AAGGCGCTGCTGAAATTTGGGACTCCAGGGTCTGTCACCACTCACTGAGCATGGGGTCTGTCTGTCCCCTCTCCCTGGTTCCACCTTGAAGATTTGTCATAATTCTGCAAAATGTAGTTTGCCCTGAAGCCTGCTGATGTCTGGATGGTGCTTTTTTTTGTCTACTGGAATTGAGATTTTTGGAAGCCTTTCACACAGATTATCTCAGTAATCTTTAGGACAACAATCTCGAGAGATAGCTAAGTATTATTAGCTCTATACTCCAGATAGGAGAGGACAGCTGAGAGATAAAGACTTGCCCAAGGCCATCCTATAAGTTCGTCATGTGATTGAAGCAGGTATTTCCTGGCTCACAGCTCGTAGACACCACAGTGCCCAACTCTTTAACCAAGCCTAATGAAAACTGTTTTACTCACTGCACTTCAGTCTGTGCCTCTACCTGAAACATGCAACTGCCATGACAAATGATTTGCATTAATATATTATTGGATTTCATCCCCAGCGGAGACAATTACTTTCTGTCCAGTTTAATGCAGAGTTACAGTCTCTGAAATAAATGGTTTTAGCAGCTGCAGGTACAAACAGGCTTATGACTCTTTTAAAGAAAACGAGGCTGCGATCCTATACCCACTTACCCGGGTGTAATGCCAGGACTTAATTTTGAGTAGACACATACAGGAATTGCACTGTAAAACAGCCCAGTATTTACTGCTGATTGGTTACTGTGTTATGATAATTTCAAACAAACTTTGAATGGAGGGAGATATCTCAGCTGGTTAGAGCGTGGTGCCAATAGTGCCAAGGTTGCAGGTTTGATCTCCATATGGGACAGCTGCATCACAGTGGGTTGGACTAAGTGATGCTCAGGGTCCCTTCCAATTATCTGATTCTAAATCCCAATCAGAGACTATGCTTGAATAGCTGGCCAGAACTAAATATAATTATGGATCGGGCTAAATAAAAAGGTCAGTGCTTCTAGATGGAAGTTTGTTTTGGGATTGGTACTCCACTCCTCATGCAAGGGGTTTTGGGGGGAATATTTTGCAGCAAATGAAGTCCCATTTAGAAGCCACCCCCTGCATTAATATTACATCTGTGTTTCTAATGCTATCAATAGTGTCCAGAAGAAATATGCAAATTACAGGCTGGTCTTCACTGACCCTAATTCAATTCATTGACACTATCCCTTTATGTGTTTATTTATTTTAAAAACACTATCAAACTATATTTTTATATAAAATATGGTAATGAAAATAAAAACATCCCTCAAGCTCACCTTTCTATGGGCCAGCATTTCCTTGTTTAAACAGGCAAACATGGTTGCATTATCAAGCAAAGCAGAACAATTTAATGTGGTTGATTCAATACAGCAAAATATCAGTTTAATAGACAGAAAATGTTTAGCTCTGTCCTATTATTATTATTATTTGTTTAAACATGTATACCTTGCTTACAATCTCATACTGACATGACACTTTCTTTCTGCAAAATGCAATAAAACAGATGGTGAATATGTTACTTTTACTTCCAGCAATTGGCTAAATCTCTCCCCCGCCCCCATAGGACTCTTTTATTCCTATGACGGACAGAGTATCCTTTTAAGTGGGTTTATTTATTTATTTAAAATTCCGTGTTTGTACTAGCAGAAAACTAGTGTTCTGTTATATTTCTGACAGCAGGGCTATCAGGTGTGGCTTGCCTGAGAGGACACTTGGCCAGTATCTAGGACTTGACAAAAGAGAGTTAACAGCACATCATATTCAATTGATATGTCTCTACAGGAGCTAAGACAGTTGAAAGAGAGGAGGCCTACACCTTGACCCCATTCACCTGGTTAGAAGGGAAAGGGGAAAAGGTGTGGCCAAGCTTTCTGATAGTGAAAAAAACATAGGGATTGTTAAAGGTCACAGCCACACCACCTGTTTAAAGCACTATTTACTCCTTTAATATTCATGGAGAATCTGGGGAATATAGCTTGTTGTTGTTGTTACTAATAATTATTAATTACCCTCCCTGCGCTCTAAGATCCCAGGGCAGGTTACAACAATTTAAACTCAATGTTAAAAACAATTTAAAACAACCTACAATCAAAAATAGGGTGCATCATATATATATATATATATATATATATATATATGTGTGTGTGTGTGTGTGTGTGTGTGTGTCAAAAGCCAGGGTAAAGAGGTGACTTCAGCATTCTTAGAAAGCTGTATAAGGCCAGACACAACTCTCTGGTGAGGGCAACTTAGAGGTTGCCATAGAGGATGCCCTCTCCTGGGTCAGGCCCCACCCCAAAGCTTCTGCGGGCAGTGGAACAAATCCAAAACCTACTGCACATTGGGTAGACATCTTCACTGAGCTAGCCACTACAATGCTGTGACATTGTTCCTGGTCAGTCACTGCTGGTTCAGATCCCACAAGTATATACGTGAAATCCCCCCCCCAACATTCATCACTTTACATTTGTTTACATGGAATTGCATTTACCATTTTACCACCCATTCACTCAGTTTTGGGGAGCTCCTTTCGGAACAAACATTTCTGAGCAAACAGGCAAACAATTGTGCTATAAGACTGTAATCCTATGCGCAATCGCTTCCAGGTAAGCAAGATAAGGTTGGACTGCAAGGATGCCAGCTGTTTGCCTTAAGGAGTTAAATGTTACTAGCACATCAAACCTGGTGACCATAAAAGCGACTTCTCCAGAACACACTTTTTATAAAGAAAATGAGCTGTGTGGCAGGCTTGGAGGGGGAAAGAGACAGGAATAACAAAAAAAGGAGTTAATGGTTATGACCAGTGCTGGATTTACATATAAGCTAAACAAGCTATAGCTTAGGGCCCCACTCTCTTGGCCTTTCCCCAAATATACTTCTTCTTAATTGTTATTTCATTATTAATATACTTCTTAATTGTATTTCAGTTCAACAATTACTTTGATAAAATGCATATTTTGTTATGTGCAAATGGCTTTAGATACCTATTAGGTCCATAAATTACCATATAGCATATATTCAACACAAAAAATAGCAACAATTGTTGTTGACAAAGGACAACTTGACATATAAAGGGCTCCATTACCTTCAGTAGCTTAGGGCCTCATCAAACCTAAATCCGCCCCCGGTTAAAACAGCACATTTAAATAGAGTAAATTACATTGAATCTAAGAAGTGTTCTGCTGGAACAGACCATATACCCATGTAAACCACCATTCTGTCCTCGGCTTCACTACAGTGGCCAATGGGCTGCTTAGGGGAAGCCCCAAGCAGGACGTGAGTGAATTAGCCCTCTCCTGCCGTTTACCCTCTGCCCCAGCAGCTGGTGTTCAGCAGCATATGGCCTCTGATACTGGCGGCAATATATATTCATTATGACTAGTAGGTGTGGATAACCTTATCTTTCTAATTCCCCTTTCAAAGTTGTCAAAGCTGGTGGCTATCACTACATATTGTGGTAGGAAGTTCCATAGTTTAACAAAGCACCACGTAACTAAGAAATAGTGCTCGAGTTTCACTTCCTCCTCCTTCCCAATCATTTTTCCTTTTGTGTCATGTAACTCTTTGTATAAAGATATAGCGGTCTGAACAGACAAATGGTTTCCTTCCCCTGTAACCGGAATGGGTTACTTCCGGGTTTCGGCGGTCGCGCAAAGCACTAAATTGTGCTTTGCGAATGCGCAGAAGTGCCGAATCGCAACCCGTGTGTGTGCAGACACACCACTGCAGGTTGCGAACGTGCATCCCGCACGGATCACGTTCGCAACCTGAGTGTCCACTGTACATACCATAGGAACAAACAAAACAACATTCTCCCTATAGTTTAATAGGCCATGGATTGTTTAATTAGCCAAAGGCCTGGGGGAAGAGGAATGCTTTTGCCTAGCGCCTAAATATATGCAACTAAGAGGCTAGTAGAGATAAAAAGTAGGGACATCACCTTGCCAACAAAGGCCGGTATAGTAAAAGCTATGGTTTTCCCAGTAGTGATGTATGGAAGTGAAAGTGGGACCATAAAGAAGGCTGATCGCCGAAGAATTGATGCTTTTGAATTATGGTGCTGGAGGAGACTCTTGAGAGTCCCATGGACTGCAAGAAGATCAAACCTATCCATTCTTAAGGAAATCAGCCCTGAGTGCTCACTGGAAGGACAGATCCTGAAGCTGAGGCTCCAAGACTTTGGCCACCTCGTGAGAAGAGAAGACTCCCTGGAAAAGACCCTGATGTTGGGAAAGATGGAGGGCGCAAGGAGAAGGGGACGACAGAGGACGAGATGGTTGGACAGTGTTCTTGAAGCTACCAGCATGAGTTTGACCAAACTGCGGGAGGCAGTGGAAGACAGGAGTGCCTGGCGTGCTCTGGTCCATGGGGTCACGAAGAGTCGGACATGACTAAAGGACTAAACAAGGGGCTAGGTGAGCCTTTCTGGGGAGAGCCTTCCACAAGTGGTGAGCCACCGCATAAAAGACCCCGTTCTCATGTTGCCACCCTTTGGACCTCTCATGGAGCGGGCACAAGAAGAAGGGCCTCAGATGATGAAATGGTCGGTTTTATTTGGGATGCTTTTTCTTAGCGTCTGCCAACAGCAGTAGCAAAAGCCGATTTCGTCTACCCAGCGGTGCAACAAGTGGGGCTTACTTCCGAGTAAGCATGCCTCGGATCGCGCTGTAAAACTCCGGCTGTTACTTGAGGGTAAACCCCAGTGAAAACTCCCCTAAAGAAGGGAAGGGAGGTGCCGATGCGGCGCCTGGAGCGCACACGGCCCGCCGACTCAGGCCGCCCCCCCCCCGCTCCTCCCTCCTCCAAGGCAGCCCTCCTCCCCTTCGGTTCCTACGGAGGGAGGAGCCGCGTGACGTCACGGCAGGGGGCGGGGCCGAAGCGGAAGGGCCTAGCGCGGCGCTGGCCGCCCTCGCCGCCTCCCCGGCTGCGCTCCCGTCGTGGCCGCGCCGCCTTCGTCGCCCCGAGTAGCACGGAACAAAGGGAAGGAGCCGCTCCGGCTGCGCGATGGTGGGCATCCCGGGAACCTCCCAGTGTAAGGCGCGCCTCTTCTTCCCCATTCCGGGGGTTGGCGGGCCCCTCCGGCTCGAGCGAGCGAACGAGCGCCGTCCCGCCCGGGAGAGCTGCCCCCGGGGCCCCGGGCGGGGAGGGAAGGAGGACTTCGAGGGATGGGGCGCTTTCCTATTACAGTTCCGTTATGTCTTTCCCCTTTCTCATTCTCCCAAACTCCCTTCTTGCAAGCGCTTCTTCTGCCTTCTCCCGTTCCCAAGTCAGATCCTCCTCGCCTTCCCCTTCCTTATCACGCTTTTCCAGGAGGCTTCTTGGCTTCCCATCTGTGATTCCTCTTCCTCCCCATTTCTTACTCCGTGGGCTTCTTATCTTCTGCAAGGTCTCGGGATGCTTTTTTCTCCACCACTCCAGTTGTATTTAACTTGGGGCCTCTTATGCTTCTCTTACTCGCATTTCGCTTATTCTTCTTAATTTCATGTACGGTACTGATCGTTTCATTGGGATTTAGAAGTGGCGCCTTCTGGAGGAGACCTTTAATTTCTTTCCATTTCCCTCTCGCTCTCTGTGCAGCTTTATGTGTGTGTGGTGTCCGTTCGTTCCATAATAGGGGTGGTGGTAAGGTTTGTCTTAAAATAAGTTATATTTTTGAGAAATTTTAACCATTCCCCACGCCCCTGACTCTTAAAGACTAGTAAAGCTGCCCTTTAGTACTTTGTCTGCAATTGAAAGGATTGTTGCTTCGTTGTGATAAGTAGCATACATAATAAAAGATGATATTTTCTTTTTTACTATGAGTGCATCCCAGAATTAGAAAACTGGATTGTAGTGGTGTTCTATATAACTCTGTATTCAGTGGAACTATGTGTGCAGACCCAGCCGATGCAAAGTAGTTAACTAAAGTTATCATGGTAGCATAATTGGGTAGAATCTGCATGTTTTTTGCAAACGTATCCTTAGTATACAGAAATTGCATATGTCCTTTGGGGAAAGAAAAAGTATATATTCATCACTATACTGCCCGTCTTAATATAAACTGTAGAATGGCTTTGCAATAGAAGTCATTAGAAAAAAGTAAAGTGTTAGATCCTGGATGTGGGACACACACAAGAAATGTGTTCTGCTTACAGTGCAGTTTACACTGTAAACCTTACTATCTCATGTTATGGGTTAGGCCAAGGCTCTGATTTTTAAAGTTTGAATGTAAGGGATGGGGAACGTCTGGTCCTCCAGCAGTTGATGGACTCCCAGTCCCATCAGCCCTAGCCAGCTTGACTAATGGTCAGGGATGATGGGAGTTGTGTCTGTGGGATGTCAGGAGTGCAGCTGACCCCCTAGATAAAGTAAAACAGTAGAAATACTTAACTGACCAATTCACAGCTGTTTTGCCCCCTCCAGCAAAAATCCTGGCTACGCCCATGGTTGTGTCCCTTCAGGTGATGTCGGGCTACAGCTTCCCCATTGCTGATGTATATGGTTACATTAAATAGTTTTTAGTGGCTCTCTGTGTATATTGAGTGTGTATGTGTGAGTTTGCACTACTGAGGAACCGAAGAAGGTCAGTGAATGTGCAGTTGTGAAGAACAGGCAGGTAGGAAGAATACTCCTTGGTTTGGAAGGAACATGCATGTTGTTAAATGTTTTAAGGCCCAGTGAAGAATTGGGGGATATACATCAATATGTTTTGGGCCTTCCTCTTGATCCTTTATCTTTGTCCCCTGCAGGAAATTGCTGAACTAGAATTTATCAGTAAACATGAAGCTATTTGCTTAGGTCTCAAGTCAAATGAGTGCTTTTATTTCTCCCACTACAGGTGCTAATAAGCATAACAAAACTAGGAAGATCACCTGTTATGACTTTGAAATAGTAGCTGTGCATATCTTGTATGCCAGGGTTAGAGTCGATGCCAGACGTTCAGGATCTACTTTGGGTTTTGGTTTTTTAAAGCAGAACTGTAAGATCCACCAGGTAGACCAGGTGTAAAATAGTGGTTTGGGCAGGCAAACATGCTCATAAGAATGAAGGAATAGGGTGACAAGCTCAGCCCGTGAATTCACTCCTGGTTTTCCCCAAGTGTTATCTCTTTCAGCAATTTTTAAATAGTTTTTTTTTAGTTTTAGTTTGTTAGTTTTTGTTAGACCATTGGAGTCAGAAATCCTTGCCTGTCTACTGTAAATTGCCCAGAGATTTGCCAGTACATTGACCCCAACTCTCCACGCACTCCTCTTGTATACATTTAAAGTTGCATAAAATTGTCATAAACCCTCATGCACACATGCTATCTGACAGTTGATGGTAACACTTCACACATCTGAGGAATGAGCTCTAGTCCATGCAAGTTTATGCCACAGTAAATCTGTTTGCCTTTAAGGGTACTGCTATACTCTTTGTTTTTGCTACAGTAGACTTAACACAGCTACCCCTCTGGAACTTCTTAGCCACATTCCTAAGCACTGCTTTCTGCAATGCATTTTCAGTTCAGTCAAGTCACATCTGTTTCTCACTACCTTGCCTGTTCTGTCCCAACATCCACAAAAACATTCCCATTTCTGTTGTGGCTTGCTTCACCATAGTGTTTTTCTTTGTCCAGTATTCTGATCCATATGTTTTAAAATAGCCCCCCCCCCCGCCCCCATGCTATGCAGGAGAAATGTGTGCAAAGAGAATTCAGAGAATGGTAGTAAAAGACGAAGTGTGAGAGATCCAACCATCTCTTTTTATCAGCACATTTTCTTTTCAGGTTTGTGGGTGCTCCTATTATCATCCTAGTGAATTCATTTTACTTAAGGTGTGCATGAGTACTTTGATGTTACTCTGTAACCCTCTTTGTCACTCTTTTTGCACCATGGCTGCATTTTCTATATTCGTGTGCTTTCCACATGAATTCTAACAGTTTTATTTCTTGTTAAAAAACGGTTCTCTCCCCTGTCATGAGTGAGTGGCTTGAGGCTCTCAGAGGTCTGATTACGCGCCAATTTCTCTGTGGCATAGAGGTCTGGCTATTCTCTGGTGTTTTGTTTCTGTTGGAAACAAGATAGTGAACTTAAACTGTGGGTTTGGTCCAGCCCTTCCTGTTGACTAGCAGATGGCTCCAAGTCTTCTTCGATAACCCCAGAAATATCTTCTGCAAGAACCATAGCCTAGTTTACTTTCTTAACCAACATATTAAAAAGTGTATTTGCAAATGGTTCTAAGATGTTGGTGGTGGTGGTGATGATTATTATAATAATGTTTAAAAATGCCGCAACCCCCTGAGTTGTTGCCAGTGTGGAGCTCTATTTCTCTGTGTCATCTGCGTTGGGTGAGGCTGGGCACATCCTGGATTACTGCTTGGACACATTGGTAGGCTGGATGAGAGCCAATAAACTAATGACAAGTCAATGGTCCTGTGGTTGAGGGCTTCATAAACCTGGCCAGAGGTTTTTCAACCTTTTTGCCTCCCTTGACCAACTACAATCTTTCTGCGGCACCCCTGTGGGACCCAGGAACCCAATTATGTCACCCCTTGCCTGCAGAGCTGGCAACCTCTCACCCTTTTTCGAACACCCTCCCTTCCCTCAGCCTCCCCTCTGCTTGGGAGTCCTCTGAGCTGTCGCCCCTGTCTCTGAGCTGCCCCCCTGCCCCAAAGAGAGTTGCCTCCTGACACTGCCCCACAGGGGCCTGGGAAGCACCCCTGGCCAGCCCATGAGGCACCATTCGCCTGGGGTGCAACAAACAGCTGTGCAAGCCTTTGGGAGGCAGAGATGCGAGAGGGCATCAGAGGAGGGAGGGAAGGAAAGAGGGGCAGAGGCACACTGGTTGAAAACCACTGACATAGGCTGTTCTACATGAGGTTGCACTGCCTCTGAAGTGGCAGGTGCATAGTTTGGGAGTACTCCTAGATTGAGCAGTATTACTGGAGGTTGAAGTGGCCTCTGTAGCTAGGAGCATCTTTTGGGATAACAGTTTTGCTAACCATGATCAGTAAGGTAAAGGTACCTCTGACCGTTAGGTCCAGTTGCAGACGACTCTGGGGTTGCGACGCTCAACTCGCTCTGTAGGCTGAGGGAGCCTGTGTTTGTCCGCAGACAGCTTCCAGGTCATGTGGCCAGCATGACTGAGCCGCTTCTGGCGAACCAGAGCAGCGCACGGAAACGCTGTTTATCTTCCCGTCGGAGCGGTACCTATTTATCTACTTGCACTTTGACATGCCTTTGAACTGCTAGGTGGGCAGGAGCTGGGACTGAACAGCAGGAGCTCACCCTGTCGCAGGGATCCGAACCACCAGCCTTCCGATCGGCAAGCCCTAGGCTCTGGTTTAGACCACAGCTCCACCCGCGTCCCTTGATCAGTAAGGTACTGACATTGTATCTGTGCAATGTCTTTCTTCCTGCCCCTTCCTCCTCCTCTTCAAATGGGCTGTGCTGCTTTGAGGAATGGGAAGAAGAAAAACCAGTGAATCTTACTGGACTGTAATGCAGCAAAGGACATCTTTTTTGCGTTGTGTTTTCCTGCTGAGGAAAAGGAAGCAATGTGTTATTTATTTATTTACATTTATATACCACCTTTATCTTCCAAGGAACTCAAGGTGGTATACATGATTCTTCTCCTCCCCATATCATCCTCACAACAACCCTGTGAGGTAGGTTAGGCTAAGAGACTGTGACTGGCCCAAGGTCTCCCAGGTCAAAGTCCAGTACTCTAACCATTATGCCACACTGAACCCTGAACTGAACAGAAGTTGGGAGGTAGGTTAAGTAAACTTACCCAAAGCTATCTAATGGGCTTCAAAGCAGTGTGGGAATTGGAAATTCGGTTTCCTCTATCGAAACTCAACATTCTATCCTCCTCATCAGACTGGCTTATTTATGAGCCTTTTTCTGATGACTTATTACATTGTATTTTGGAAGAGATATGGAAATGTATTGTCCTCCCTTAAGAATGTGGGAGTAAGTTTGGAAGAACAAAGTAAATTACATTCTCTTGATTACAATGAATCCTGATGCACTTGAAAAGATAATGCCTCTGGGCTCAGAATACTGTCCTTTGTAAAATATTCAGAGGAATATAGAGGAAGTTGAAATGTGTCTCACTTTGTGATGGTTGTGCTGATTGTAGAAACAGAATCATAGACTTAAAGAGTTGGAAGGGACTCTGAGGGTCATCTAGGTCAGACTCAACCCCCTACAATGCAGGAATCTCAACGAACCTGCCTATCCCTTGAATAACAATTTGTGGTTTAGATGCAGGACCATCAATAGGATCTAACTGTGTTCTTGACTGAAGGAGATTGGCTACTTAAGGACAATTACTTTTTAAAAAGGTGTTGCAAGTTCCTTAAGTGGCATGCTGAGTTCAGGATTATACCTTTCTTGGGCGGGATGGAGTGGGGAGGGGGTGATGACCGTCTTCAGGGTTGGGAAACTGTGATGCTAATTGTGAAAAGCCCCTGAATTTCAGTGGGTCTACTCTGAGTAAACCTTAGTTGGATAGAACCCATATTGTTGAATTATTTATAAGAAAAGCCATTTGATTTCTTCTGCATTTCGGCTGTCTTGTTCTTTCAATCTGCACTCCAAAAACTGTGAAGGCTGTCACCTCTTTATAACAGAAGGTTTAAGTCCTATGAATAACAAAGAGTTTTCCATTTAGCACTTAGGCTAAATGTTGCTTACCTCTTGGTAGCCATTTTTCTAAACCAAAAAATGTAACTTTTTCTGGAAGGATCTTTATTCCAAACTGTGATAATTTTGGTCAGTGCAGTCTCCTTTTAAGTATATATAAAGTTTAGCCGAAGTTATAATTCTAACTCCAGAAATGCAGTGAGTGTACATTATAAGTAGGGATGTTACTTCAACTTTTAAGATCTAATAGAGTCAATACATTGAGTTCATGCAGTTCAGCTGCTTGACCTGCTGATAATGGTTTTGTACTAAGATAGACCTATTGACTTTAATGTTTTGTTGGTATTGATAAGGGGGGGAAAGAAGACTATTAAACCTGGCTTACAGGTTCAAAGAGCCAAAATATCAATTTTGTACAAAGGTCTTGTCTTCTGTAGAAAGGAGCAGCAATCTGTACTAGATTAATATTCTTTAGATCCAGGAATATTCTTCTTCTTGAAGGAACAGGACTCCCTGATCTAGCTATGGTTCCCCAGCTATGACCACTCCTGGACACAGAAGATCTGGCCACAAGTTAGTCATCCTCTTGTAACATCCCATCTGCACAGCTGGCAATGTTTCCCTTTTTTAAAGGGAAATTCCCTTATTCCGAATAGGATTCCTCACAAGAAAAGGGAAAAGTTGACAGCTATGCCCATCTGGGTTATTGCAATGTGTTATATATAAGGCTGCCTCTCAAAATGGGTTGGAAGCTTCAGTTAGTGCAGAATGCAGCCACCCAAGTTTTGACTGGCACAACATGCTTGGCTCACATCTTGCCTGTTTTCAAAGAATTTCACTGACTACCCATTTGTTCCTGGTCCCATTTCAAAGCCTGGTGCTTAACTATAAAAGCCTAAATGGCTTGGGACCGTAGTACAGTGGTACCTCAGGTTACATACGCTTCAGGTTACAGACTCTGTAACCCAGAAATAGTGCTTCAGGTTAAGAACTTTGCTTCAGTATGAGAACAGAAATTGTGCTCCGGCGGTGCAGCAGCAGCGGGAGGCCCCATTAGCTAAAGTGGTGTCTCAGGTTAAGAACAGTTTCAGCTTAAGAACGGACCTCTGCAACGAATTAAGTTTTTAACCCGAGGTAATATTTCTGGGTTAGCGGAGTCTGTAACCTGAAGCGTATGTAACCTGAAGCGTATGTAACCTGAGGTACCACTGCACTTGAAGGAGCAATTCCTTCCATACCAACCTGCCTGCATACTAAGGTCATTGACAAGTAACTTTGGCCCCATCTGTACTATACATTTAAAGCAGCATCATACTAATTTCAACAGTTCTGGCTTCCCCGAAAGTATCATGGGAACTGTGCAGTTTGTTAAGGGTGCTGAGAGTTGTTAAGAGACCCCCTTTCCCCTCACAGAACTGAAGTTTCCAGAGTTTCCTGAGAAGAGGGGTTGGTTGATAAACCACTCTGGGAATTGTAGGTCTGTAAAGGAAATAAGAGTTGTCTACCAGCTCTCAACACCCTTAATAAACTACAGTTCCCAGGATTCTTGGGGGAGGGGGAAAGACATGACTGTTTTAAGTGATATGAATACTGCTTTAAATGTATAGTACAGATGGGGCTTTCCTCTATATAAACATCTCTGCTGGAGATGAGGCTTGCATAAAAAGGGGCTGTTTTGGTAGTGGTCTGTCCTCCATGGAATTAACTATGTGCAGAACCAACTTTGCTATCTTTTAGGTGTTGGGTACCCACTTTTTATTATTCATGCAAGCATTTAAAAACATTTCCACTATTTTAGTTTTTAAAATACTTTTGTAATAACCGCCCCCCTGCTACGTCTGGCAAAATGTCTTGAAATACGTAGCATTTCTTTTTATTTAGATTTATATACTGCCCTGTCTCTGGTAACAATTTCTTGTTCATTGCAATAACCCTGGTCGGTTGCCAGTATTCTCCTTGGAAATTGCAAACTGCATTGGGCAGGGATGGGTTTTACAGTACTTCTAAAATACTTAATTGATTTCAAGCAGTATAAAATAATAGCAGATGCAAGGTGGTGGTGGGAGATTATTTGCCTAGGCTTCCTACTAAACGTTGATTCAGGGAGGTACAGAAAGGAGCAAGTGAATCATCTAGTCCAACCCCCTGCAATGCAGGAATCTCAGCTAAAGCATCCATGATGATGAACAGTTGCTCTGACTTTGGATCTTGGCACTCCACCTACTGCCATCATAATAATATCTTACTGGGTGTTGGATCTGAAATCTAACTGGCAGATTAAAATGTTAGTATTTTCCATTTCTCCACTGATCCTTTAAGAAATAGCTAGCTTGAGTAAATGTTTTGCATGCTTTACTGAGCCGAAATGTTTCATCTGAAATACAGTGGAGAAATCCTCCTGGCACTCTAAATGCCAAGTTACAATGTCAGCAGAGCGGTCTTAATGTTGGGCTTTATTGGACAATATATGTTCACTCGATATCATCAGTGTGTTCTTCTGCTCCTTGCTTACTTCGTTTCTCTTTATGGTCTCTTAGGAGGAGGTGGACTCCTCCTTCATTGCCCTGCGGATCACAGGAGCTCGATACACTTCACAGGAAACACTGACTTGGTTCACATGCCGTGCTAAGCTAAACTATGGCTTATTGCAAACCCGAATGAATAGGTTCCCAGAGAGGAGGTGATGGGTGCTTTGCTCCTCCCTGGTGATCCTGCTGCCCTGGACTAAGCCTTTTGGAACAAGCAGAACACGAGCTTAATCATCTTCTCCCAGTTTCATCCCCCAGCAACTGGTATGCTGAGATGTAATGCTTAACAACCATGATACTGGAGCTAATATATAGCCACAAATGACAAGTGGCTATTGATAGACAAATTCATGGAGGATAAAGCTAATTCCTTTTGAAAACTGTCCAAGTTGGCAGCTATCACTGTATCTTGTGGTAGCAAATTCCACACTTTATTGAACCTCATCAAGGCTGTGGACTAGCTCCTGGCTGGCAGACTTTTCACAAACCCCATGGAAGCTGCGTTAGGTTTGCCAAATGAAGCGTGAGAGATAATTATTCTCCCCTCTCCCCTTTCTATTCTGTCACACTTTGAAAGGTAACTGTACCCATTTCTTCCCCCCTCTTGTCTCTTAAGCCATTTCCATGTGTGTCTCTGGGCTTTGGGGCCTAAAGGGTCTTGCCTCACCTCTTTTAATCCTAGAGCAGACCATAATACTCTCCAGGGTGCAGAACTGAGCTTTATCTGGTGACATCACTGGCTTTTCTGGCATTCCAAAAACCGAAACAGTAACTCGTGCTAAGCTTGTTTTATCTCTGGCCATGTTTTTTTGATTAAAGACAAAGCTCAGTAAATATTTTTTAAATGATTGAATTTTGAAACTATGGAAAACACATGTTGGTAGTCGGACATGCTGAACGCCATGTGTGATCAGCCCCATGCCCTCTTTGTGAGCTTAGGAGTGTGAATGTAGATCTGAGAGCTGTGGGTGACAGGTTTATCTGGAATGATTGGCAAGGATTTATAAAGCAAGAGGGGATTTACTTACTTATGCACCCTCCCCTCCTTTCCTCTTCCCCTCCTTTCCTCTTATTCTCAGAAAAAGGAAATTGGGATCACATTAAAGGCCTAATTGGTTTGGCTCCAGCAAATAGCTCAGCGGCTGCCAAACAGTTAATTTATTGTGTGAGAGTTTGGCCATGTGTTGAACAGCAAATTTGTCCTGAGCGAAAAAGATCTTTGTACACTGTACATGTATTCATTCAACAGACCCCCTTTTTACAAGTGGACTGTTGCACAGGCCACAAGGGAAATGTAAAAGACAATACCTGGGCCTGTTTTACATAACACTTAGAATCTGACAAAACCCAGTCTTTCAATCTTCAGCGAGGCTTGTCTGAGAAAGCGGGCAAGTAGTCACGGTCTTCTTGAGCCCTGGGCTCCTTGGAAATTTACCCTTTTCAAACAGGTCAAAGAGATGGTGATTCCATCCAACTAGCTTAGAGAGAAGATTTATGCTGCTGAACCATTTATAGGTTGCTTGTTCTTTGGGGCAAATTCTGATTCTGACATGGATTTTGACTGAAATTCACTGGGGGAAATAATATATCTATGCTGAAAACAACAGGATTCTCCCGGCTGTCACCTCATGGCAGAGCCAGGTGGAGAGATCCTCCACCCAGCTCCTGCTGGGCATTTTCTCTCTCTCAGAGTTATGAGGAAGGGTGAATTGGAATGCACTCTTATCTGGCTGGCTTCCTGCATAACTTTTCTTTGTTCTTGCCAGCCATCCTGTACTTATGATGGACTGGTCGTGGTGTTGGTGTGTGCTAATATTAGGTTGCAAGCATGAGTTGTGTTCTGTTGGATCTATTCTCAGTGTCTGATGCCACAGAATTTTGGAAGAAAGGCTCAAAATTTCGCAATTGCTCTAATTCATGAAACCCCTATATACATAAAATGTAAAATTTTTTAGCTTAGTTTTCAGCATTAAAACACAGCCATCTGAAAATATATTTATTTCTCGTTTGCCTTTGGATTGAATATTGTGTTGTGGAAATATTTCCAAAGTGCTAAATCATGTCTGAGATGTAATTTATGGTTTTTCACCGGTGAACAGCTAACATTATGTTACAAGGCTGCTTCCAGAAAACCTGAAACGGTATCTTTGCTTCTGAGCTCTATAGCATTTGTGTGTCAATGGCCATTTACCCTTGACTTGGCACAACTTTTTAAAGATCAGTGATCTGAAAGTTCTCAGGATTATATGAGTTCTTTAAAGCCCACGAAAAAGGCACTTGTGGCTGTGGCGAATAGGAACTAGGATTTGCAACTGTGTGGCAGGGTATTTGACAAACTATAGTTGCATCTGCGTCATAGCACTGCTAGAGTGTGTCATGAATTTGTTTGATACTCAGACTCAGTGGGATTGCTTAGCAGATGTAGGTCTGCCTACTTTCAGTGGAAATGGTGTACTGCCCATTGTGTGTGGTGTGGCACTTCAGATTGTTTGGAGCAGCTTCTATGCGATTCCCAGATGGTCTCTGGCTTAGCAACTCTCAGAGCCAGGCTTGTATAGCATGGGTAGGCAAACTAAGGCCCGGGGGCCGGATGTGGCCCAATCGCCTTCTAAATCCAGCCCATGGATGGTCCAGGAATCAGAGTGTTTTTACATCAGCGTGTTTGAACTCTTTTGTTGGAATTCTAGTCATCTTAAGTTGAGCCGCTGAGGCAAAATAAGCCCCTAAGACTTATATCTAATGAAGCCTTGATTTTTGTTCAAGTCTAGTATTTTGTTCAAGTCTGCTGAATCTGGAAGTCCCAGTGTTCTTACGAAATCATTAAAACGTTCCTCCCCTCCCCTGTTTCCTCTGGAGGTGCTGTTACATTAGCATTAATGTAGCTGAATGCTAATGTGGCTGGATGCTAACCATCTTTTGTGGGGAACTGTAGGGAGGAAGATGAGATCAAGCTGTTGAACTTCTTTGTAGGCAGGCAGATTTTGCTGAAGGCCACCTGGGGCTGCCACATGTTCTTCTGACACACAGGCTGACACACTCAGCATGCGCCAGTTTTTAAGTTTGCAGCAACGCCATGCAGAAGTCATTTCTTTGTCCAGAAAGGCTGAGAGTGTTTTGAGGCAAGCAAACTGATGATCAGCAGCATTCACACATAACAGTCCTCTCCAAACTTCCTCCTTTGGTTCTACTCCAGAGCTAAATGCAATTAATTTCAATTAATTAAAAGGTTTTAATGTTCATGGCTGAAGAGGGGGGGAAAACAACTTGTGTGGTCAGAGAGCAACCAGGTGTAATGCTTCTACACCTGTGAATCTTTGAGAGTTGCTTCTTAACTGGATTTTTTACTGTGACAAGTTATATTCTCGAAGTCAGGAATTTCTTCAGATTCTTTCCCCCATGCTCTTGAAAAGAAGGTGATATACAACCAAAAAAACCCCCAACATTGAACAGAAACAACTGCCTTGGTAAGTAATAAAATGAAATCAATAAAGTAAAAACAGGATTTTAAAAAAGATGCTAGAAACCTGTCTCCTCTTGCCAGTTGTGTTTTCTGGCCCAGATGTTAAGCATCCCAGTTGCTTAACTTTGGAGAAAGGAAGTGACATGCATCAAGCTTGTTAATGGCAGTGCCAGCAGTGTTCATGCCCCTGCTTCCCTTTCTACCAGAGCACTGTTGTAGATATGGCTCCCTTTAGGGTACAATGCTTTTTAATTAGTGCCTCTGCCGCTGTAATGTATTAATGAATCAATTGATAAGTTGTTGCAATTGATCGACTAATTCCCCCCCCCCAGCTGTATTTAAACTGCATTTTTGACAAGAAATGGAAAAAAAGCCTGACTAATTATTTGCAAACGCTAAATGGCTTATAGGAGATTAGGAATGGCATATGGAGCGTTTCACTTGGAGGTCACTGGATCAGCTGCAGCCCAGGTTGGCATTGATGAAGTTATTACCATCTGACAGCTGTTTACTGGCCTGTGTGAAATGAATGGCTGGTTTTAGTCTATTTCCTATTGGACAGGTGTCCCTGCCACAGTTGGTCCCCGTACTTGGCAGTCTCTGCAGTGAAACCAGGGATGATTAGGCTGCTCAAGCTGGGCACTCCTTGGGCTCCTTGAGGCAGAACGCTCCAACTGTATTACTGGTGCCATCTGAGGCGTCACAGTGCTAGACTGTGCTATGCTCCGTTTTGTGCTGTCAGAGAGCAGTGTGGGCCTTGCACACTTTTGTAAAAGACTGAGGAAATGTAGAAATAGGTAGAAATAGGCAGTGAAACTGCATGCCACGAGTGCAAAATCGCTCGGAAGTCAAGTAACTTTATCCTCAAAAGTGCATAAGCTTCTTGGTCACTGTGGGTCTTCGAGTGCTCAAGAGGTTCCTTCTCCCATGCTCAGAGTCAGTAATCTCCAGACCATCAGACGGCTGGCTGGTAGAGGATGCAATGTGAGCTGCAAGACGAGTCTTTCACAGCCTCCACTGTCACATGGTGGGGACGATTACCTGTATATGTTCTTACCAGTGTTCAAAGCAAGACTTGTGCCTCTTGTGCTCCTGTCTTGACCCAGCCAAGGAGCTTCTCAGGCTCCAAAATGCCAGAGAGGACACTCAGGAGCTCGTGCAGAGTGCCATTGCCTGGTCGTTATCAGAGGCAGCAAGGTGGGGATCCTATTACCCTGATACTCCAATTTTTGCACTTGTTGCCTATGAGATACCTGGATGGTGGCATGCGAAAGGGCATTTTTGGTACCGGCCACCAGATATGGAAGGGACGCGGGTGGCGCTGTGGGTTAAACCACAGAGCCTAGGACTTGCCGATCAGAAGGTCAGCGGTTCAAATCCCCGCGACGGGGTGAGCTCCCATTGCTCGGTCCCAGCTCCTGCCAACCTATCAGTTCGAAAGCATGTCAAAGTGCATGTAGATAAATAGGTACTGCGCTGGCGGGAAGGTAAACGGCGTTTCCGTGTGCTGCGCTGGTGCTCCAGAAGCGGTCAGTCATGCTGGCCACATGACCCGGAAGCTGTATGCCGGCTCCCTCGGCCAATAAAGGGAGATGAGCGCCACAACCCCAGAGTCGGCCACGACTGGACCTAATGGTCAGGGGTCCCTTTACCTTTACTTTTACTTTACCAGATATGGAACTCTCCCATTTTTTTCCTTCAGCTGTTTTAAAACTTACTGTAAACACTTCTTATTCTGCCATGACCTTGGGCTGCACAATTTCCCCATGCTCATTCTGTTGCTTGTTATGATTACTTTGCATATCAGTGGATTTGATTGTTTTTATAATTTGCATCGTTAGGTGGCCTGTATTCCCATTGGGAGGATAGGAAGGATATAAATTTGTGGAAATAAATAGAAATAGCATTGATTAAGTCAACCTGTTTCTCAAAAGCAGCTTACCCAATATAATTAAAAGGCTGGTATGAATGAGGAAATGTTGCTGTAAACACTGAAGGTGAGAGAAGGTGCAGGAGCACTTTTTTAAAAAAAGGCTATCTAGGAAATACTGCCACACAGTTGCCTGGGTCACAAATGGTCTTCAAGTTGCCATGGGTCTGAGTTGTGGTTATATTGTATGGTTTTACATTCCATAGAGGCTTGTCATTTGAAAGTTGTTTTGTGCTAGAAATGCTAGTTTCTAGTTTGTTTGATACGTATTTAGACCTGCTGTTTGTTTTAAAACTATAGAAGTGCTGTAGTTTGTTTTGCAGGTATCTGCATCACTGCTGCAACAGAATTGTTGTGTTCTGTCAACAGATAGCATTCATTTATATATATATTTTAAATAATATATATATATATATGAGAGAAAGATTGAAAGAGTTATTGGAACAGGATGGTGTAAGGAAAGTCAACATGCAGTTACTGACACCTACTTCCTATGGGGAAAGGAAAGAGAATGGCTGCAGAGGAAAAGCGAGACTGCAGACAAGAGTGGCTGATTCCCAGATCTATAAACAGAAGGGAGAGGTGGAATAAGGGCAAAGAAGGAAGGACAAAATGCACATTAGTTTACATTAAACTAAGCTAATGGATAGGGATGGTGCCAAATCCTCCCAATAAATTGCACATTAATTAATATCTCCTGTGCCAGCCACGCAGTCTGGAAGAGATCCTGTAATTCTCCTTTTGACCTCTGCTCCCTTCTCCCCTGGCCATTCTGGCTTTTGATTGGTTTCCTGTCTTAAGTGAAAACCACAACCTTTCAGGCCTCCTCTAAGGCAGAATGAAAGGCACATGGTGGTGGTGTAAGAGGAGCCCCTCGCAGTCGTCTGCGCTTGGGTGGGCGTGCTGGTCCTTCGTAAACTAATAGCTCCCAGCACTGTTGCTGAATCAGACTTCATGGAGCCACGAGTGGAGAGCTTGGAATGCCAGGCACAAAAAGGTCTGTCTTTTTTCCTCCCCTGGCCATATTCATTCTCTCTCTCTCTATATATATATGCACACTTATATTTGGTGATACTGTACAAATTGGAAGGTTGTGATCAGTGAAAGGATGAGAGGGAAGCATTCCAGTATTGAACCTGCAAATTAAATTTTTTTTGTTTGAATAATACAATATTGGCTGCAAGGAGGATCACTATGTAAATTGTTGGAAGAGCCCCTTAAAACCGATACTAACACACTCATAGAATAACAGTTTAATCCTGTACTTAAAGTCCTTTAAAATTTAATGGGGCTTCATCCTGGGTAAGTCAGTATAGGGTTGCATCCTAAGTTGGTTTTTGTTTAAATATAAATACAGGATCTGCTTAACAAAAGCACTGATCAAGATGTAATTCAACAGCAGTCTTCTGGCACCTTAGAAATTAGCAAATTCATTATGGTGTAGTAAGCTTTCTTGAACAGCACTGCATGCATGAGGCGTTACCCTGAATACACAGTTTGGGTTGTTTTTCCTAGTGGTGGGGGGAGAAGAGAGAGCTGCCTTTATCTTTACTTTCCTTATTTCATTTTCTCTGGACTTTTTCTATCTATCATTCCCACCTCCCCACAACCATGCATACGTGTGCCTGCCACCAGATAACACTTCATGCCTCCAATGAAGTTGATTAAACGGTGGTACCTCTGGTTATGAACTTAATTTGTTCCGGAGGTCCGTTCTTAACCTGAGGTACCACTTTAGCTAATGGGGCCTCCCACTGCCGCCACGCCACTGCCGCACGATTTCTGTTCTCATCCTGAGGTAAAGTTTTTAACCTGAGGTACTACTTCCGGGTTAGCGGAGTCTGTAACCCGAGGTGTTTGTAACCTGAGGTACCACTGTAGTCCACAAAAGCCTATGCCGCAATAAATATATAGGTCTCCTGGAGCCAAAACAGTAAAGACTAAGCACATTTACTTATTTGTACCAGTGCACATTCTGCTTCTCTTCTGCATTACAGCTTATGTGAAGACCATCCGCACACCTCGAAAATAATGTAAGGGAAACTTAGGTGTTATTTTTAATGTGTGTGAAAAATGTATTTAGGTTTAAAGCTAAAAATCTGGAGATTCGCACCAATGTTATTGTGTCACTAGTAGTGAAGGCAGCTTGAAACTAGAATTTTATAATTCGTACATTCGAAACACCAAGCCTTCCAGTTGTCATTGGACTCTAATTCTAGGAGTCCAGTGGTGAGAGTTCAGAGGGGTTGTAGTGCCACCAACATCTGATTCTTCACTCCTCTCCTATCTTGTTCAGACAGCTATTCAGCCAAAGACTTTTTGTTGCCTTGTTTTGTGGTTCCACAAAGGTATGAACTCCCTGTTGTCATGCATAACAAATTGCTGCATTGGAGTAATTAACCACAGAAGCATCTTTCTCACTACTAACATCCTCTCCCAAGTAAGGTCTTAAGCTGTTCATCTGATCACTCCCCCCACCACCCTTGATTTAGGCACAGGTGGGACTGAAGTTTGGAACTTAGTTATACAAAACTCTAATATTACATTTACCTGTTATTTTTGTTTGTTTAACAAAATTTACACACCACTTCATTGTAGCAAAACCTCTCAACAGTTTACAAGATATTTATAAATTACGATTCTATCATCGTAGTTAAAAAGATTTATAAATAATTAAAAGTAACAGCAGAAAAGGGCAAAATATGTAAATGTTTGCATGTTGTCTAAATAAAGTTAGGCAACAAAGTATAAGGTTGCCTAAATAGTGTTTTAAGCTTGCACTGAAAAGGGTTGTAGAAGATAGGTTATTCATATATCTACATGAATATGCATACAGGTCTGATGAAATGAACTTTCTTGCTGTGAGCTCATCCAAAGAGGCCCTGTTTTATCTCCCTTGGATTATCTGAAATAGAGTAAATGTCCTTGGAAGTTGAGGCCTTTTTTGATAGTGGCACCTAGGCTCTGCAAAGCCTCCCTTTGTGGAGCCGTTTGGTTCCCTCTGTGCTAAGTTTTAGACATTACTGCTATTTCAGAGGATGTTTAGGATCAGTGATTTATATTCAGTTTCAGCCATGTTTGGAGTAGACTTGTAATTATTGCGTGTGACAAGATAGGTCCATCAATTTCAGTCAGTTTACTCTGAGTAAAACTTAGTTGGATACAACCCAATACTGTATTTATTTAATGTGTGGTTAGTGTTACAAATCATCAGTTTTTTTGTTTTTGCTTTTTCTGCTGTTGTATTGTTGGCTGGCTTATTTATTTTTTAATTGGTGACAATATTTTTTCCCTTGGGGATTCTTATTGGACAGAAGAGTAGAACATAACTATCTAATTCAGGTTGCAATTTTTAATATTTCTCCTTTTCAAGTAATAGTTCAGGAGGTGGCTGCTTTCTTTCCCCATATCCTGCAGCTGACAATTCTCTGGCAGTATCGAGGTTTGAGAGTAATTAATTTGTTTGCTGAAACTTCAAGTGTAAACTGATCCCAGTTTAATTAATGGTATCCAATATCCTAAGCAGTATGACAGACCATTTCCAAATTAAAGGTAAAGGTACCCCTGCCCGTACGGGCCAGTCGTGTCCGACTCTAGGGTTGTGCGCCCATCTCACTTAAGAGGCCAGGGGCCAGCGCTGTCCGGAGACACTTCCGGGTCACGTGGCCAGCGTGACGAAGCTGCTCTGGCGAGCCAGCACCAGCGCAGCACACGGAAACGCTGTTTACCTTCCCGCTATGAAGCGGTACCTATTTACCAGTATCTACTTGCACTTAGGGGTGCTTTCAAACTGCTAGGTGGGCAGGAGCTGGGACCAAAAGACGGGAGCTCACCCTGCCGCAGGGATTCGAACCGCCGACCATGCGATCGGCAAGTCCTAGGTGCTGAGGTTTTACCCACAGCGCCACCCGTGTCCCATTTCCAAATTAATTTCCAAATTAAAACTGTTCAAATGTTGAACCAATGCCTGGAGGTGTGAGACAGACATGTTGGAGGTAGTCATATTCTAGAATAGGGTTCCAAACTGCTTCTTTCAAGGGGAGCACTTTGTTCTTTTCTATTATTATTATTATTATTATTATTATTATTATTATTATATTCCCATTTCACAGTTCTGATTGCAGCAACAGAGGGTCAGTTAGCATTTATTCATTAGACCTTATTTGGCCTTCGGTAGCTGATGTAAGTAAAAAAACAGCTCCTTTTCCCTTATGGGGTACCCAAGAGCCCATATCGAGTCCTTTTGTAAGTTCTCTATCGGTAGGAGAAAATAACAGAGACCAACCAGAGAATATTGAGAAGCAAAGCAGCTAGTGAGCCTGATCTTTATTAACTGTTGCAATAGGGTGCTCCCCCACATGCAGGAGAGAGGAGGACCCCGAGCCATGCGTGCAAGCCCTTATATAGACATTTTAAATTGCCCGCCCTGTAGTCCAAGACCACCCCCAGAAACATCATACATCACAGAAGGGGTGTAGCCCAAGACCACCCCCCAGATACATCATACCTACATCACAGAAAAGGTGGTCTACAACAGAAATCTGAGTGTGTTGTTTATCTCCTGTCTGGCAAGTTACCTGATTGCATTATCTGTGTTTTGGCCACTCTTTTGTTATTATAACTACTTAATTCCTGAATCTAGGCCACAGGTCACAGGCTCACACCCTGTTCATATCTTGAATGTGCCCTTAAGACAGGATTTGTGAGGAAAGAGACAATGGGGAGGTTTCCCACTTTGACCTTGCAGAGAAATATTTGAGGTCAATTTGTTCAGGACCTAATCTGTGGGGTTTCATACATTTTTATATATGACCTTAAAATTCTTCTAACAGTAGCCCTACCAAATCTTAACTGAAATGTAGTGTGGGGTGGCGATTCAGGAGTTTTGTTCAGAAGCAGTGAAATTGCTTTCTGAACACACGTGCTTTATTTGTAGAACCCTTACTGCAAGATGGTCCCAGCTATTGCACAGAGCAGGAGTCTTTTTGAATAGGTCAGTTTGTGTAGCAGATTATTCTTCAGGTGCTGGATCAGGGTCAGAAGTGTAAAAATGCCCCCTCAGCATTTGATTTATGTTGTTTAAATACTCACAAAAGTTATAAAGGAGAGACCTACTTGAGCTTATGCTATGAGGAGAGGAGTGGCTATCATACCACAGCAAAATTGACCCTGCATCCCTAAATCAGATTGCTTAAGAAACAGTCTGACAGCAGCTTGTTGTAAAAGTGTCGAGAGTATTCAGTTACATTGCACACTGTCTGAGTCCGTTAAAATCAATGGGGCATGGATTTCATTGCATGCTTACTTGAAGTTAGGATATACTCTCCAGTAATTCCATAGGGTTGCAGCTTTCCCCTCCTCTTAACTGCTGCTGTGCTGGTATTAACATATTAATAGCATGCTGACTCATGCATACTGAGTAATTATACCTGTACAGGTCTTCCAATCTGAGGCATTCGTACTGAATAGAAGTTATTTCCCCAGGCAGAAAATACTTCTGGTCTTTCACAGCGAACCATTTGTGGACAATGTTTTCTATTTGTGGGCAGAAAGTCAGGAGAAGCTATCCCTTCCATGACCTTACACCAGACCTTCCTGTGTTTGCGGCGTTTCACTATCACAATGAGGCTTCTAAACATGTTTACCCAGTGCTCTTAAAACTCTCCTTCACACCCCCTCTCTCAACACAGGAAGGTCTGAAGTGCAACTAGAATGGCCTGGGTCTCTGGAGATGGGGTTTTCATGCTTGCCCCATTGTGTTTGCCCGAAGAGGACTAATGATTCTTGCATTCCAAAGAAAGAGGGCAATAAAGGTGTATTTAAAGCTCATCAGCCAGGAAGGTGGTCTCTATCACTTCCCTACTTTAGTGGTATGGATCCTAATAAATGTTGTAAGTACATCAATGGTACACCAATGTTGCCTCTGCACTGGATCATCTTATGCTTTAGCTTTAAAAAAAAGTGAGGGGGAGATGCGACAGGGAGGGGTGAAAGGAAGTGGGTACCATTTATCTCATGATATGGAAAGTCCTGTAGACCCCACAGCCTGTTTATAGCATGGGAGGGCAAAGGACAAGCCCATGCTAGGCAAAGTGCTGGGAAGATATCCAATGAGTGTTTGCTATTGCATTCCTAAATAATCTCCATGCCAGTGGCAGCATTTTGATAAATGCTAATAGTTAGAGACCTCTTTCCAGGGTAAAAGCTAGCAGCAAAAGGGGAAGGGTTGTATGACAACATCACAGTTAACAAAAGCCAGCACAAGTTCAAGTTCTGTGGAAATTGTGGAAATGGCCTGTGATAGGTACAGAAATTCTGGCTTAAAACTCGGAAACCACATCGAGGATGCAGATATGAATAGTCTTCTGTGCTCAAAACTTTGGTTTTCCTAGCTTGTTGCATGGAAATTTCTTACATGAAGAAAATAAAACAGCTTCAAAGCATTTTCCCGGTCATTGCAGGCAGTATTATTTCTTTCCACTGAGCTGTTGCTGTCTGGGTTGCAAAATCCTGGCATTGGCTGCTCCTCCTCCAAGCTGGTTTGCTGCCTCATTTTTTTTCCTGTGAGAAGCTTGCTGTGTTAGAAAGTTCATATGCCGAATGCCCTAAATCTGTTTCCTCTGTGGGAGGTTTGCTGATGAGGATAACCGTTTAGGACTGAATCGGACCAACCTCAAGCTTATAGGATCTACCTTTTGTTTTTCAAACTAGAACTCTAGGATCAGCCAACTGGAACTGGTACCAAAAATGGCAGCTGGAGAGGGGAGGAAGAGCTGATTACAATGGATTCCTGTACCTTGTAAACCATAAATTGGGGAAACCTTGCTATAACAAGTACAAATTCATTTCTGAGTTGCTGCAGAACTCTTAACATCAGACCTAAAAGGGCACCAGGAGAACATAAAGATGTGATCACAGGTAACCAACCAAGTAACAATTACTATTTTATAGATGAGGAACATTGACGCTAGTGCAACTAAGCAATGCCATACACCATAGATGGGGAACAGCGCTCCAGAAAACTGCTGGAGTCCAACCCCCATCAGTCCCAACAAGCAAGGCAAGTGCCCAGGGCTGATAGGAATTATAGTCCAACAACATCTGAAGGAGCCACAGGCTCTCCATTCTTGCCATACACTAAGGACATTTATTCTCTAAAAGAGCCTGTGGTAATCAAGTAAGTGTGAATCTTTGAAGGGAAGGGTAAACTCACATAATTGTTTTTGAAGGCTGTTTCAGATGTTACTTAGGAATGCCACCTTCACAATTTGGAGTTGTGGCCACTACCAGCTGCACTATGAGTGTACCTGCAAGACACATGTATTTGCCAGTGTGTGCATGTGTGTGCTCAAATTAAAACGTCTAGTAATTTATAGGTTCGTTTGGAAAAAGGAGTATGTGAAGCAGCCCAAAGAATCAGCTATCATGAAGGAGATGAGCCCATCACATTTCGACGGGCACATGAACATTGCTCTTGAACCCTCAACAGCTGCCTGACAGGCAGAAATTCAACAGATGCAAGTGCTTTATTACAGCTCTATGTTGATGGAAGCAACTGTTGGATGGGGGTAGCTACTTAAGCTATTTAATAAGGAGCAATATAATTCCCAGTTTGCTTGAATAATCCAACTAATAGATTCTTAGTGTGTTGCAGCTTCATATTTTTTCATATATGTGTAAAAATATAATACTTGTGTCAGAAAAAGAGGGCGTCTTTATTCTTGTGTGAGCAATTTTCCTGAAAAAAATGTATTAAATATTCACATGCAGTTCACGACAGCAATAACTAATGTCTGCTTTTTGACTTAGAATATGCTCTTAATCATTTTTCTCACACAGTATTCTTAAAAGCACTGAAAGTAATTTATCAGGGAATACTATTTCTCTCATCCAAGATCTTTTAAAAAAAGGCCTGTGATAAAGAGTGCTAGTGCCCATGTCTCCTATGAAGCCTCATTGATTACACTGGTGTGTGAATGCAGATAACAAGAATGTAGGATTTCAGCCCCATGCCATGTATATTGTGATCTCTAGAAATCTGGAGAACTTGGGGATATTGCTACCTTGTTGGGAGTTTTTCTCTTCCTGCTTGTCCACAGGGTTTTAAAGCTCTCTGGTTTAGCTTTTGAAAATCTCTTCAGCATCCAGTAGAATGATTTTGACTCTGGGAATTTTAAACACCTACTTTTTAAGCATTGGCATACATCTTTAAAAATATGGAGGTCAAATCATTCTCATTCATGACACATTTTCTGCAACAGTTCAAGAACCACAGCAATATGTACTAGGCAATTAATTGAAGGCTTTTCTGAGGCTGCCGTCTGAAGCACACTTGCATAACTTAAAAAACCGTGTGACGTCTTACTGGCTTTCCCCGTTCTTTGATCATTTCTTCCATCTTGTGAGAATGCTTGCCTTATAAACATGCACTTCCTGTGTTGGGGATTCGAGATCTACTTTATCACTCCTGTAACATCAGAAACCTATCACTCTCTCTCTCCCCCCCCCCCGCGCTGCTGCTTTCTAATTGCTAACACATGCCACATTTTGTATTGTTGCAGACCCTGTGGCCAAGATATGAGAGACAGTTTACAGGGAAGTTTTACATGCTGTTGGAAAGCTTCAGAAAATTAATGTGCTAATTTATCAAACAATTTCTCCAAATTCAGTTTAGAAAGAAATAAATCAAAACTGAAAGTTAAGATGAAGCTTTTGATGAACACTTCAGTAGTCCGGTGAGAGGTTTGGAGGATAACCAGATTGGTCTATATTACAACAACGGCAACAACAGCAACAAGTCTTGTGGTAGCTTTAGAGATTTAGCATAAGATGATGGCATAAGCTTTCAACAGACAGGGCCTATTTTGTCAGATTCCTGAAATAATTGCCCAAGTTAGAAGCCCCCTTTGTACTCCACCTATACTAAACACATTCAGTTGAATGATGGGGAACTGTGATTAATGACGATTTCTTGATGTGTGGGGAGGACTGTAAGGACTCTCAGAATACACTTATAACTGTCCTTTATATATTCCCACTCAGAAAGTCATACCTTCCCACTATGCTGTCCACAGATTGTTTAAGGAACACCCAAGGGGGGTAAAATTAATACGGTTCTGATTACTGAAGGCTGGGCAGCATTCTGTGCCAGTTGAAATTTCAGAATACTTTATGGAGTAGCCCCATGTAGAGTACATTATGATAATCAAGTGCAGAGTTAACTAGGGCATGAAAGGAGGAGGCAAGGTCTGATTTATTCAGAAAAGGGTATATTTGGCAAAATTAAGGGGGAAGGCGTTTTAATTTTTTTAATTGGAATTTGCACAATGTAGAAATTGGGAGTGGCTGCTGCACTGCTAAAAGGTATTGTCCCTCTCTAGATGTTTGATTACACTATCTCATGGCCATTAATCACAAGTGGCCTCTGCTGGGTGCAGGTCATACAAGCGCAGTGATGGGGTTCCATGTTCACTTGATTGGTTTTTTGTATTCGTTTGTGCTCTGCATAGCAATGTGGCGTAAATCCTACCTCTTGCATTCATTGGAACCCACTTAGCAAAAGCAACCACCTTGTGCTCTCTTGCTACCCATTGAGATGACCAGTCCATTTGTCCCAAGGAAGCTTATGACATAGTATATTAGTCTCCAGTGTGCATGTTTCATAAAAGGCAAGAAGAGCCGGAGGAGGATAAAGATGGAGGCTTTTGACATGGTCAGTCCCGCTGGACATGCAGTGCCATCGTCGTTGCCATTACTCACCAGGGTTGATTTTGGATACTTTTAGCACGGCGCTGTCTCTCCCCCCCCCCCATTTGGCTATAAACAAATTACAAGTCTTTAACATATTAATGTCAGACTTAATGTGAAAGCCACCAGTAGGTGTGTACTTAGTGACATCAGCTGGCAGAGAGTCCTGGTAACAGAGAGCAAGTGACAGGGAGGAGGGCGGGGGGGGGGAGTACTAGAGAGAGAGAGAGAGACGTGTGTGAGAGCAAGAGCGAGAGAGCGCATATCTGGGTATTCTGGCAAGGTAAAGAGCTGGTCTGTTTGGCAGGACCTTCCCATCTGGGATCCATCTGTGTTTCTCTGGAATCAGACAGGCGGCTCCAGTCAGTGAGAAATCGCAGATGTGAGGAAGCTGACACATGTCCAGCTAATGAAAAGAGAAGGAAGGTTTGTCACAGACTCCGCTTGAAGATTAGGAGCTGCAAAAGAAGACCCATTTTTATTTATATTTTAAAGAAATCGGGTGTCTTTTGGACAGCAGCCTGGTTGTTGTTGTTGTTTGGCATTTGGGTGCATACGGTAAGTGAGCTCCTCTAAATAATACTCCTCTTAAAGAAGGCTGTTCTGATTTCAGTTTTACTGGGATTTTTTTTAAAAAAAGCTGTTTTGTGGCCTAAATTGCACCAGAAGCACAATTTTATTCATTAGGTTGGTGCCTGTGTGTGCATGCAAGAGAAAATGTTAACAGATGCAGTACTTTGCTACAGCTCCCTCCCTGCTCCCTAACCAACCCTCAGTTTGACTGCAGTGCCTCTGCTGTGTCAAAACTTCATTAGATGAGCAGATTTGCTACATGGATTTTCGTAGCTGAGAGAAAAAGCAATGCAAATGCCGTGTCTTTCTTTTGTCATGAGGAAACATTATTTCTTAGGAAGGATGCTAGCTTTCAGTAATTCATAGTGTAATGGGATGTTTTTTTAAATAAATATATATGATGCCATAGACTTTACACTACAATAATTTTATTTTTTAAAATATTTGCATAAAAATGACAGTCATGCAGTAATGGGATAAACTCAAGCAGTGAATTCTAGTTTTCATTTAAAATAATTCTTAACGCTGTTTTTTTTAAATGCATATTGTTCTGTTTGCATTCCTGTCAGGCTTGCGTACACTTAACATGCTCCCTCTCCTGGAAAAAGCAGCAGTTAATGCTGCCGGTGTTTAACTCTTTGGTGCAGTTTATGGTGCAGCAGTGTGCACTCATTATAAAAATCTTCATTGTCAAGGTATATTTGTGTGTAATGGGTCGCTACAGGACCTTGGATTCTGTTTTGCGCACCCAGGAAGTGCCAAATCATTGTTTGCCTCAAATTATTGTTTTGTTTTTTGTGTACAGGATTCAAACTCTTGACCCACTATCGTTTTTATTTTTCTGTGTTTCCATTAAATGCTTCACCCAGTTACTTAAGAGATCAGACTGGAAAGGTTTAAAGATGTGCATTCGTCCTTTGGGACACCTAGACCAAGGCAGGTTTATTCCCTAATTCCCACTTGCTTTTGTTTGGTTCATGCAAAATGGTGGGGCTTCCCTTTTTAGCAAAGTGATAAATAGTACTATGCATGTGTTCACTGCTAACAGCCAAATCCCCCAGTCTGACATACTGCATTATAACAATGCCTATGCTCGCATCCCAAACAACATTTGCTTTCCTAAACCTGAAAACATAGGGACTTGAGCAAGCTTTCTCTTCTGCTTAGTTGTGGTTATTCAGAGCTGAAAGAAATGACTGCAACTGTGAGCTTACCCTTTGCTCCCACCTCATTTTTGGTCCTTTCTTTCAATTTATGTTAGTGTGCTGCTAAGAAATAGTTTACAGAAGTAGGCAGTGTTGCTTTTTTTCTCATCAGTAATGCACATACAAAAAACATAGTGGGTGTTGCTTCATGACATAAAATGTCTTGTGGGTGATCATCTTCAATGTGTGTCTAGCTTGATTTCCTCAAAGGCTCATGCAGTGGTCAGTGTTGCTAATGAGCTCCTTGGAAGTGTGAGGCTATATGGAGAAACCAGCAGTAGTTTGTTGTGTGTGTCTCTGTGTGTGGTGTACTATTTCTAATCTAGCACCAGGAGTTTGATAAGTGTGTCATCTTGAGGAGATACAATTAGAGTTAGGGGTCGGATGAATATAATTTACTAGAAAGTCCTTGTAGAAAGCCATTTGACTGAAGCATGTTGGTCTACCTGTAGATATTTATCAGTATCTTCAGATATGAATACTCGAGGTGAGGTCCTTCAGTAAGTTTTTGACCATAGGACTGGGGGTCTCATTCTTATGTGAAAAGCATAAAGCTACTTTTAGAATTTCTGGACACTCAAGCTATTGACAGATAGCTTCTCAGTAGCTTTGAGAAGAATTTCCGTAACTTGAAAGGCTAGACTTCGGAGAAGAAAGACCTCAAACTCTGTTTTGAATAACATAAGAAGAGAGATGTGGTCCTTCTGGTCTCTCTAGGCCACATCTCTCATTGGCCCTGCTTTCACCCTTCTTGGTGTTTTTGCATAGCGGGAATGTGTCTATGAACTCTGATAACACTTCATGGTTGCTTGGATGCGTGAGGGTGTATCAAAACTAGCATAACATTCACATTCATTTCTCTCTGCACTTTTGCCTCTGGCCCCGCTAACCACTGACATAGCCCCCAGAAGGTTGTGCAGAAGGAAATGTGTTCTTCAAGCTGAAAAGTGTTCCCCATCCCTGGATTAAAGTAAGCCAAGAACTGTTGCTCAATTGAGAGAATGCAGTTCAACAAAGAGACCTGAGTATTTTCCTTACTGTAAAAGCTGCAGCATGAATACTTCCCATTATAAAGAACTTACCAATGTGGCTTTTGTTGTTCTAATGCCCCCTTTCCCTCTGCAGATCTAATTGTTTGACAAATATTATTTAGTAACCCAAAGTCCACTGATCATAAACACCATATTATTGTATGCTATTAGCTCTGTACAGTTGAATATCAAAAGACTCAAAGTTGAATTTTGTTCCTATTCATTTTCAAGTTGTTTGTAGCCTAATTCAAGTTTGCATTGGTGTGAATCTGCTGTAAATGCAAGAAGTGCCATGTCTGTTGGTTTAAAGATATTTTGCCACCTGCTTGTGGGGTGGGGGTGGAGATGAGAGGTTAAATATGGAGGAATTGGTTGAATTCTGAATGGATACTGTTAAAGCTGTCAAACAAAATTTTTGAAATTACGCAGCCCAGTAATTGTAAAGTTTCCAACTTCCTGATGACTTAGGGTGGTATTCAGCTAAATCCTATGCAGAGTAGGCCCATTGAAAATAATGAACCTAAGTTAGTCATGCTTATTAACTTCAATGGGTCTTCTCTGAGTAATATTGAATACTACCCCAGTTGCCTAAAAATGTTGATGTTGGTACTCAATAATTTGAATCCAATGCTAATTCATTTATTGCAAGTGCAATCATATTAAGCACATCCTACAGAAATATTAGCGCTGTTTCTTTTATAAGATGGTATAGCTTCTGGTTGTGTTCATTAGAAAGGGGCTGTGCCAGTTTGGGGTACTTCTGTACCTGAAGTCAAGCTTAAAGAGTGCCCTCCCCTTGATTGAAATTTTAATGTTAAAAAAAATAAATCCAGGTGTAATTTTGATGGAGAGCAATGGCAGCTTCTAAGATGTGCTGATTGAAATACATTGCTTCATGCTAAATTTCAATTTGTATATGGTAGCCTTCACTAATTTGGTACCCTCCAGATGTTTGGCCTACAACAACCCAGATGTGAGTTGTGGTTCAAAACTTCTAGAGAGCATCAGGGTGGGGAAGGCTGTCCTTGGATAAGGAAGGTGGTTTCTTTTGACTGGATCACTTTTCTGGGCCATTCTGGGCAGCTACATTTTTCACTCGTTCAACAATGGAAGGTATGATCCATTCAGAAACTACCTTTGAGACTAAATAGGAGAAAATGACTTAGCCAGCTGTACTGATTCAGGCACCCTAGAAGTTGAATATAAGGCAACAAGAAAAAAGGAACTGCTAGGAACTAGTTTTTCTCAGTCACTCCAAATATTTTAACTTTACCACAAGTTAAATATTAACATATTTCATGTTTCTCAAGGGCTAGATGTGGCAGTGACTTCGCCCTCTCAAATCTCCGTACTGTATGAGAGGGAATTGGATAAAGCTTTGATGGTCTGTCCACAGAATAAGTTTTCTGCTATTCTGAGATGAAGTGGATTTAAATATAGGCTGTGGGTGTGGGTTTCTGAGCTGAATCTTGAAACATTCCCACTTCTGCTTTTAACGATAGTATGCTCCCAAGATCTCATAGCCTCCTGACTGTAGCATAGACCTACCAGGAAAGAAGTTTCTGAAGGGACCTTTTGTGGACTTTACCTTGCTGTGTACATTTTCCTCACTAAAGGCTCTTGCTCTGAGTGGCATATTTGCAGTATGAAACTTAACATGTTCTTTTATATTCAGTCCAGTTGCGCTGCCAAGTCCTTTTGCAAGTTAACGATAGCTCAGTAGGTGATTGTCTTCCCAAATATGAAGCGAGTCTTTTAGAAATGGCACGTATTGGGCAGAGTTCTGCTATGTCGCTCTGTTGCTTGGCTAATGGCACAGATTTGTGTGGGGTGGGGTGGAGAGACAAAACCTGTGAGATCTTGAAAAACCCCCACGCATCCTGCATACCATGGAAGCGACTTGATTCACAGACTTTTGGGCTTTCCATTTAACTTAATTTGACTTTCTCTCGCTTTTTCAACGGGTCTCTGCCCTGTTCTGTGAGGTGAATTGTGATCGCCTTCTGTCATTCGGCGCACTCTGGTAGGCTAGACGGAGAAGGCACCACTGGAGCCTTTGAAAGAACTCAAACTTGTTGCTTGTACGGCAAGCTGTGAATATTTAAAGGCCTCATATGGCTTTTGCAGGCTGGTGGAGAAGGAGGGGGATGGGCTACTTTGTGAGGGTAACAGATGTGCCCTGTGCTGTTGACGCGTGCCAGCTCTGTTCCTCTGCTCCTAACACCAGGTGCAGCTATTGTTCCAGCCGGTCTCTATTCATCCCAACTCGTCTGTTACTTTGCTCTTTCTAGCTCATTGTTTTGGAGGGGAAATTAGCATTAAAAACCGATCCCCAAGCCCCTCGTGTCCCTCAACTGCAGGTGACTGTTATTGGCCCCAGCTGCCACCCTTGCGCTTGATTACATCCATATGGGCTTGTGGTGGGAAGTAGTATCCACTTACCAATTTCTCCACCCTGAAACACACACACTTTATTATCTGCAAGGAACAATGTCCTGAAATCTATTAGGCTCCCCCCATAGGCTTCCCATCAGTCAGCATTACAACTATGGCAAACATTTTACAAGTGAAGCTAATTACACCCTCTCCTCTCCTCCCCTCTTCCTTCAATGCTTCCCAAATGCGCAATAAGCGTTGGCTAGCGAGGGAGTGCTCTGAAATAGCCAAATGTGTGAGGATTTTTCACTAGCTGGAAGGACCCTGCCAGCGGTTAGATGATCATCAATGGAAAGTATTTAGCCAGTGAACTTTTTTGTCCGGTTGAACCACTCCTATAAATGACATGAGGGAAGTGCTGCCTCAAGAGGAAAGTGGTAACGTTTACATACGGCTTGTTAGTTTGCTAAAAATAAGTCTGTGGAGCCTGAAAGAAAATTTGTATTCTTCCCTGTATCAAATTCCACCTTCATCTAAAGGCACAATTTACTTGGATGTTTGCCAGCACAAGCACCATTGAAACAAATGACTGATGAGTTTCAGCTGAGATCTTGAAGGAGAACCCTGTAGGTTTGCCTGAGCTCCTCTCAAGATAAGTTATTAACATTTAATCAAAAGTGTTGTGTGTGTCCCCTCACCCACCCCACCCTTAGATATGTTTCTGTTTTGCAAAGTTGAGCTTACCTAAAATGCACGGTTAAACAAAAAAACAAATAAGAGGATTTCTGTTTTGTTTAGAAAGAGCTATAGGGCAGCCTATAATTTGAACAAGGAAATGATGTGGTATCAGGATTTGCTAGTGATCGTGAAATCATTTTGTTTGGTTCCTAGCCAACTTGTTTTTCTGGATAGCTGGTCCACTAGATAGTATGCAGCTTGACATCTTAAGTTTCTTCCCACCCCTCAATTTTATGTGTGCGTGTGAGCACTGTGCAATCACAATATAGGAGGCAAGTTTTTAAAAGGAGGGGGGGAAATCCGTAGTTTCTGTGTTCAGATGAAACAGGAAACAATACCTGGTTTCTTTGCAAACTCCTGCAACGAGAGTAGCAAAGCTGCAGATGGTGTAGCCACCAAGTTCATTTATATCTCTGCTTATTAAGCTAAGGTATGATCATCTTGATCACAGCCATTGTCTTCATGCAGGAGGAAGACTGAAACAACTCATATGACTGATAATGTGCACTATCCCTCACATGACTAGCTAACAGTTTTGTGGATTAGTAAGAGGTGGATATTCTTTTCTTGAAGGAAGTAAAATATGTACCCTTTGCCAAAACAGAACTTACAATTTTGTTGTGTCACATATGTTTTAGGAGTTTCAAAGGGAAATAGTTTGCTCAGTGTTGTTGTAGCGCAGGATGTTCTTGGAAAGGTTGGCTTTAGCTATTGCTTTGTTTGGGGTTTGGTTCTTCGATGCAGACAGAGGGTGTGTGAGGGGTGCATCTGTCTGTCTTGCATTCAAACTGTACCTTGAGATCCTGTGGAGAAAATGGACATCAATTACTGAGAGGTTTAAACACACGAGTATTTTGCACGCAGAGCAGGTGGAAGAAGGAAGCTGATTAGGCTCATGTAAATGGGAGCCATTATGTTCAAGGCTAATTCTTCAAAATGAGCATCTTAAATCACACATACAGATCCTCAATTTTATCACACACTGTAGCACTTAGCAACCTACTTCCTGTGTACTGTGCTTAAGTGCATATTATAAAGCATAGTGGCCACTTAGAAAAACTAGGTAGCTTTGTGTTTTGAACACATAGCAACATTATATTAATATAATAGTTTTGCCTGGTGGTTAATCCGGCTGTGAGCTAAATTGTAGGCATTCTATTCTTGCAGATGGGCTTGTAACTTTCGGTAATCCTGTAATTCCTCTGTTTAGCCAACCCATGAAATACTGCTAATTCCTGTCTCTAACTTTCAGGGGTGTGGACAATTAATACTGTACTTTGGTTTTCCACCAATGTCTAGCAGATGTTTTGATTTTTCTCTTTCTTGGAGAGAAACTCCTCTGGATAGCGTGTATAGGTCCCAAACCTCAGGACTCCGCTTGTCCAATTTTGTAACGTGTTTTAGAAAAACATTGAGATCCTTTAAGCTCTAATTTTTGTTTCTTCTGGGTGTTAAACTTACAGTCACTTCAGAGTTCTCTCCCCCCACCCCCCGGTCACTTCCCTGTCAAATCGAGAAGTAGCTTCATTGCACTCATATCTTGGTGAGAAAAAAATTCAATGTTCTGGCTTCTGTTGTTGAATGCGTGGGTGGGTGGGAGGGACAGAATTGATTTTTCCTGCTGTGTTTACAAATTAATGGGACAAACCTCCCAGCTGGTAGTGATCAGGAAAGTTGTTTCCTTCCAGCTGCTGACATAATCATTTAGCTAATGTGGGCTGTAGAAGAGTAGAACTTGTTTCATTTTGGAGTTAGCACACAGTGGATTAGGACATTACAAACAAGCATAGAAAGAAGACGCTCTAGTTTTGTGTTTTTGTTTTGGTGGTGCTTATGTAAGGTGTAAGTGAGCTGGAACTCTTGCATCTTACTGCATAGGAGACATGAGAATTTTCTGACTTTTATATTACAGTGGTACTTCGGATTACATACGCTACAGGTTACATATGCTTCAGGTTAAAGACTCCGCTAACCCAGAAATAGTGCTTCAGGTTAAGATCCTGAATCTTGCTTCAGGATGAGAACAGAAATCGTGTTCCGGTGGTGCGGTGGCAGCAGGAGACCCCATTAAGCTAAAGTGGTGCTTCAGGTTAAGAACAGTTTCAGGTTAAGAATGGACCTCCGGAACGAATTAAGTACTTAACCTGAGGTACCACTGTACGCAGGAAGTGCAAGTCACTTGCTCATTCTGTTATGCACTTTATTTGTAGCATCCAAAGTTGCCTACCATCAACCTCTGCAATTGCTAGTGATCTTGTAACAAGGGAAAGTGTTCTCAAAATAGCTTCCACCTGGGGTCTCTGATTTCTCCAGTGGGCATTGTAGACTATGTGACTTTGAGCTTATGGTTTCAAGTCATAATGCTGGGAATATCTTAAAGCACAACAGCAACACCGAAACCTTCAAGTAGTTATTCAACAACAGGAACAGCACAAACCTGGTTCTCCCAGTATTATAGAAGAAGTGATGCTAATACAGTGGCACCTCGGTTTACAAACTTAATCCGTTCCAGAAGTCCATTCTTAAACCAAAACCTTTCTTAAACAGAGGCACGCTTTCCCTAATGAGACCTCCCGCCGCCAGTGCCCTTCCACTGTTCGGATTCCGTTCTTAGACCGAGGTAAAGTTCTCAAACCAGGACACTATTTCTGGTTTTACAGAGTTTGTAAACCGAATCATTCTTAAACAGGACTGTTCTTACCAAGGTACCACTGTATTGTCATGAAGGCAAAGCTGAAAAGCTTATATTGCAGTCAATTAAGTAGGGTGCACCACATTGGAAACCAAGTTTCAGGTAGGTACCTACCATACTATTTTGGCTTGTGGTGAAAACACTATCAGACTGGGACATGCAACAGCTAATCCCAACTAGGGGGCGGGCCTAGACTGCAATCCGTAAAATTAGATAATAAAATTAATGTAGGAGGACCCTCTGGCCAAATGCTGCCTGACCCAAGGCAATTTTTTCCACATTCATGTAGTGTCTGATGGTGACACTTAAGTAGCCACTTCAGCACAATGCAAATCTGCATTCCAGATAGGGACCAGCTGTACTTGTTCCACCCACTTTCTCCATGCCATGCATAATCTTACATATTTCTATCATGTCACCTCTTACTTGCCTTTTCTCCAAACTAAAAACCTCTAACTAAAAAAAACCCCTAATGGTAATGCCCCTACTGGGGGTCAGCAATAGCTTTCAGCAAAGCATGCTCCTCTTGAACCTCTATCTCCCTAGCAATTTTCCTCCCTCCCCCCCCAAAAAAATGACACTTGTTCGTCCATGGCAACTGAGAATGCTGCCACAGAATTGTAGAATTAGAAGCAACCCCAAGGATCATCTAGTCCAACACCATGCAATGCAGGAATTGCAGCTAAAGCATCCCCGACAAATGGCTATCCACCTTCTGCTTAGGAACCTCCACCACTTTCCTCCATTGGGCTGTTTGGGCTTTTTCTTTTTGGTGGGGGAATGTGTTCTTTCCCCCTCTGTCCAAGCATGCTGATATATCCCTCTTGTTTCTCCGTGTTTCCATTTTGCCTCCATTTCATTGGAGCGTTTTCCATAAGCATAAAGGTAAAGGGACCCCTGACCATTAGGTCCAGTCGTGACCGACTCTGGGGTTGCAGCACTCATCTCGCTTTATTGGCCAAGGGAGCCGGCATACAGCTTCCAGATCATGTGGCCAGCATGACTAAGCCGCTTCTGGCGAACCAGAGCAGCGCATGGAAACGCCGTTTACATTCCCGCCGGAGCGGTACCTATTTATCTACTTGCACTTTTGACGTGCTTTCGAACTGCTAGGTTGGCAGGAGCAGGGACTGAGCAACAGGAGCTCACCCCATTGCAGCATATTCCTTTTTATATATCTTCCATCATTTTGCTTGTTGCTTGCTGCATGAGGCCACCACCAAAAATAACTTTTGGTGAAGAAGCTCCCCTGGTGGACCAGCCTGCATTTTGGAGGCAGACTTGCTTGCAGCACTTTGCTTCACATCTGGGATTTTCAAAGAGCACAAATTTTCCTTGATGTTTAGTGACTCTCTGCTGGTTCTCATCAAGGAAAGTTGACCTTGTAGTGCAACTTTTTTCTCATCCCAGGTCAATACCTTTGCCTGTAATTTTCTTGACTGCTTGTTCTCTGGTTAATTAAACCCGACTTTCTAAATAGTTGTACATTTAAAAGCTGTGTTGTGCTTTTTCTCTCTCCATTTTTTAAAAATAATACGTTCTCTGTGGGCATGTGCTACTTCTCAGCTTTTCATACCAGCTTGAATCTTCAAAGAATAAATACCACCTAGACCAGCGTTTCACAAAATGGTTGTCATCGACCCCCTTGAGTCAATGGGACTGGGCATGGGGTGAATAAAGGCCTAGACCAGAGCTTTCCCAGCTGTGTGTCACAACACGTTAGTGTGTAGGTGTGTTGCACGAACGCTACCTGTATTCCTCCTGGGGCTGGAAGGGTGGTAGGTTAACCTCCATTTTGCTAGTAAATCTGAATTACTGTGTTGTGAAGGGATGCATGTCTAAAAAGTGTGTCATCAACATGAAAAGTTGGGAAAGCTGTTGCCTAGAGGCTGAACGGGGGTAAAAAAGGTAGTAGAAATGAAGTTTACAAGATACAGTGCAAAGCATTTAATTAGGAACCATGAGGCTCAGAATAAGGGACATGAGCATGTTCAGAGCATACCACTTTTGCCAGTGAGCAATTTCTGTACTTAATAAGTGGATCCCACAATACAACAGTATTATCAGACCATATTGATTTATTGTTTTACTTCTTCTTTTTTACATTTTATCATTCCTAGTAATGGTGACTGCTGATCAATAAATGCTGATTATATATTGATATTTATTGATTTTTTTCATTTATATCCCTAAGAATCTGGGTTGGGATCAATGACAACTTTATAAACTCATTGAGGGGGTCTATATGCTATTACCCTCATTTTCTGAATAGTATCTATAGTGTTCTCTTTCCATCTCAGTCTTTTTTTTTTATTCTAAAGCGAGGGGCAGACTGGGATGAGACTTGCTATATTGAATATGAGTCACACAGGCTTTCTGAACTTGAGGACATCAGTGCTCTATTGAGAGATCCTCTGCAATGACTTCTTTCATGAGTCTCCTAGTTATTAGATTATAGTTAATTGGGTAAGTACCTCTTCTAGCTACTAAATGAGGACCTTGTCCCCCAACATTTTTGAACTTGGAGAGGTCATTCTCTGTTGGATAACATCCAGATTTGGTGTCCAATCGCTTTTATTTCGTAACTACTGCAATTGCACCAAATGGTAGCTTCTTTTCTCTTGGCTTCACTGAAGTTTCTGATATCCTGTGTCTGTCTTGTCTTAAAACGTTTGTGTGGGTTGCCAGTGTTCTGCTGTTTCCCACCCTCCCTAGGTCCCCAGCAAGCTAGCCATTATGAAATATTATTTTATTGCCTGGTAATTTTGCTAGCTTTCTGTAGTCTTGAGGAAACCTGAGAACATAAATAAACAATTTTTGTTAGTTTCAGTTTACTTTTCCATATAGTCCTAGATCTGGTCCTAACCAATGTTGATGACCTGGTTAGTGGGGTAGAAGTGGAAGGATCATTAGGCGCGAGTGATCATGCTCTTCTGAAGTTTACTATACAGCGGAAAGGAGCAGCCAAGCATACTAGGACTCAATTTCTTGACTTTAAGAAAGCCGACTTCATAAAACTTAGGGAAGTGCTGGATGAGATCCCATGGACAGTAATACTAAGGACAGTAATACTAAAAGGAAAGGGAGTTCATGATGGCTGGGAGTTTGTTAAGAGGGAGATAGTAAAAGCACAACGTCAGGCAATACCAATGAGATGGAAACATGGAAGGTGCCTAAAGAAGCCAGGGTGGCTATCTAAAGAACTTTTAACTGAGTTAAGATTAAAAAGGATGTGTACAAAAATGGAAAAGGGGGAAACCACCAAAGAGGAATTCAAACAAATAGCCAGCACGTGTAGACACAAAGTCAGAAAAGCTAAAGCACAGAATGAACTCAGGCTTGCTAGAGAGGTTAAAAGCAACAAAAAAGGCTTTTATGGGTATGTTCGTAGCAAAAGGAAGAACAAAGAAACAGTGGGGTCACTCAGAGGAGAAGATGGTGAAATGCAAACAGGGGACACAGAAAGGGCTGAACTCCTCAATGCCTTCTTTGCCTCAGTCTTCTCCGATAAAGAAAACAATGCCCGACCTGAAGAATTTGGAGCAAATAATTCAGCAAAGGAAACACAGCCCAGAATAACTAAGGAGATAGTACAAGAATACTTGGCTAATTTAGATGTATTCAAGTCTCCAGGACCAGATGAACTGCATCCAAGAGTATTAAAAGAACTGGCAGATGTGATCTCAGAACCACTGGCAGTCATCTTTGAGAATTCCAGGAGAACAGGCGAAGTCCCGGCAGACTGGAGGAGGGCAAATGTTGTCCCTATTTTCAAAAAGGGGAAAAGAGAGGACCCAAATAATTACCGCCCAGTCAGTCTGACATCAATACCAGGGAAGATTCTGGAGCAGATCATTAAGCAAACAGTCTGTGAGCACCTAGAAAGGAATGCTGTGATCACCAATAGTCAGCATGGATTTCTGAAAAATAAGTCATGTCAGACTAACCTGATCTCGTTTTTTGACAGAATTACAAGCCTGGTAGATGAAGGGAACACAGTGGATGTAGCCTACCTTGATTTCAGGAAGGCATTTGACAAGGTGCCCCATGATATTCTTGTAAAGAAGCTGGTAAAATGCGGTCTTGACTATGCTACCACTCAGTGGATTTGTAACTGGCTGACTGACCGAACCCAAAGGGTGCTCATCAATGGTTCCTCTTCATCCTGGAGAAGAGTGACTAGTGGGGTGCCACAGGGTTCTGTCTTGGGCCCGGTCTTATTCAACATCTTTATCAACGACTTGGATGATGGACTCAAGGGCATCCTGATCAAATTTGCAGATGACACCAAACTGGGAGGGGAGGACAGGATCACACTTTATTGATCAGAGGACAGGATCACACTTCAAAACGACCTTGACAGATTAGAGAACTGGGCCAAAACAAACAAGATGAATTTTAACAGGGAGAAATGTAAAGTATTGCACTTGGGCAAAAAAAATGAGAGGCACAAATACAAGATGGGGACACCTGGCTTGAGAGCAGTACATGTGAAAAGGATCTAGGAGTCTTGGTTGACCACAAACTTGACATGAGCCAACAGTGTGACGCGGCAGCTAAAAAGCCAATGCAATTCTGGGCTGCATCAATAGGAGTATAGCATCTAGATCAAGGGAAGTAATAGTGCCACTATATTCTGCTCTGGTCAGACCTCACCTGGAGTACTGTGTCCAGTTCTGGGCACCACAGTTCAAGAAGGACACTGACAAACTGGAACGTGTCCAGAGGAGGGCAACCAAAGTGGTCAAAGGCCTGGAAACGATGCCTTATGAGGAACGGCTAAGGGAGCTGGGCATGTTTAGCCTGGAGAAGAGGAGGTTAAGGGGTGATATGATAGCCATGTTCAAATATATAAAAGGATGTCACATAGAGGAGGGAGAAAGGTTGTTTTCTGCTGCTCCAGAGAAGCGGACACGGAGCAATGGATCCAAACTACAAGAAAGAAGATTCCACCTAAACATTAGGAAGAACTTCCTGACAGTAAGAGCTGTTCGACAGTGGAATTTGCTGCCAAGGAGTGTGGTGGAGTCTCCTTCTTTGGAGGTCTTTAAGCAGAGACTTGACAACCATATGTCAGGAGTGCTCTGATGGTGTTTCCTGCTTGGCAGGGGGTTGGACTCGATGGCCCTTGTGGTCTCTTCCAACTCTATGATTCTATTATTCTAGTGTTTCTCAACTTTGAATACAGGTTCTTTAGGGCAAGCTACTGCAAATCACCCAAAGATCTACCTGTAGATTCCATTTTCACTTCTGACCATCCTTTTTTTTAGAGGAATTGATCTAGGGTGAGAAGGGACAGATGACTGAGTTAAATAGAAAGCATGGTTTTGTAAAGCGTGAGAGGTAGTGGCCTTGGCTAAGTTTGGAGGCTAAAGCCTTCTTTGTGGTGGCTGGCACCCTGTTTATGGAATGCCTTCCTTTTACAAGCATGTCTGGTAGTGACGTCATTGTTCTTCCAGTGCCAGGTTAAGGCATATCTGCTTTACTTAGCGCATTTTACGTCTTTGTATGAATGACTATTTTTAGCTTTCTCAGCTGTGTTAAATAACTATTAGTTGCCTCTGTTCGCTGATGTCTTTAAGGATATGATTATTTTTATTGATTGGGTTGTTTATAATTTTATGTTGTACTCTGCCCTGGAATTGGTATTGATCAATAGCAGACTGATAATCATTTAATAAATATAAACTATTATTGTGGGTTTCATAGAATACCAAAGAATTTGTGTTCATCTGTTAACAGTCATACTTGGAGATACATCTTTGAAAATATGATTGGAATAATTGGCAAGATTCAGAAATAAGGAGCTAAGTGGGGGAAAATACAAATTCCTTCTTTTTCATTTTGGGATTTCTCAGGCAATTTTGATTCAGTATATTCAAGGTGGTGTTTTGTAAATTGAGAATAGTGAGAATGTGCACCTTGGTTCCACTTCTACATGTATAAGGCATCGTCTAAATTTGTTAAATGGGCTGTAACCAATGCTAATCCTACTCAAAGTAGACCCATTTAAATTAATTAATCTAAGTTAGTAATGTCCATTAGCTCCAATGAATCTACTCTGAGTAGGATTAGCATTGGAACCAACCCAATGTTTTCAGTATTACTAGAATGTGCAAATTAAATTTGACCCTTTTGGTTCATTATCACTTCCCTTGTTTGCCCAGATTCTCAACAAGTACTTATCCTTCTTTTACATCTGGTTCCCAGTTGGCTGTGATTGAAATTCAGGATATTAATGCCATCTTCTGAAAACCTAAATGGATCCTGGCTGCCTAAGTGATGTGGTGATATATATATACATATATAACACATTCAGCCTGGGCTGTGTGCACTAATGTTGGGAGTTTTAGATTTTGACAGTGTACACTGTGTCTAATCCCAGAGATCTATGCAGTTTCAGATAGCTCTCTTGTAAGCATAGGGCTTCATATTTATTTCAGTGGAGGGAGCCAATCTATGTGTGCAATCTTTAGCAGGCTCTTTGGGGGGGGGTATGTTGTGTGTGTGTGTAGGAAATAGAGAGGCTGTTGTGAGAGCTTTCTAAGTATCAACGCTTCCGCACATGGAAAAGATTCCTGGATTTGGGTGTCTGTCTGTGGCTAGAGACATGACCTTGCCTAGGGGAGGACCACCTACATATCTGGGAAAATGTTATAAAGTGCTTTATAAATGTGTTTTAATTAAGCCTCTTGGGCATGCTTGTAACATACATGTGAGTGAAGAGCTTTATTAAACTCGGCATACAGATGGGGAAATAGTTCTGGACCCCCTCCCATGATCTTGCAACCTGACACTACAACTTACATTCATTTGTAGCTGAATTTAAACACTTTAGCTCTCCTCTTTTCTGGCCCTTTCTCTTCTGCTTGGTCAGATCTGCCTGGAGATGGCAGGCAATTCTCAAGGGCACTCGAGAGTTGGGATGAGAGAAGCAAGGAAACCAGTGTTTTGGTGCCTAGTGAGGCAGGAAAGCCTGCTTTTCAAATTTTTGGCTTAGTCTCAAAGTCATTAAATTTGGGAAGATCACTGTTTCTCAGCTCTTTCCACTTCCTCATCTGTAAAATGTAAATAATAATGCTGTCATGGTACTGTGAGGCAATATACAAACATCACTGATTAGGAACTATTTTATTAAATGTTTGTCCCATTCTTCCTCCAGGGAGCTCAGTCTTTGCCTCCCAGTTTTATCCTCTCAAAGCATGGTTTAGGATAAGCAGTGGTGTCTGGTCCAAGATTTGACATGGCACTTCATGTGCACTTCTGTTTCCCTGTGCATTTGGTTATATCCTACAATCTGCAATGTAAGCTGAAATTAATTGGTTGGTCGTGGGACGGGAGCCTGATTATAGAACCATGGTAGTTAAGAAATTGAGAAGGAAAAACTGGACATCATCCAAAATCAAATTTGACAGTCACCTTGATCTAATTCCCGCCTTTTTTTGAGACTCACATTCTGAGATTTGAGGGAGAAAACACTTTAAAATGTCAATGTGAAAGCTGCCTATAAATATATAGAGAGTACAAAAAGACGTGGCTTGTTTTTTGTTTTGTTTTTAAATCATGCATGGAATTGTCATCAAGACCAATATGTGTTCAACATTAAATATGCAAGTAAATCATCCATGTGTCTAGAGTTCAGCATTAAATATATACAAAGGGTTCAATTTTACTGTAATCTTCAGGTAAATTTTATAGGTGTAATAGGTTTTTTTTAAAAGTTAGCATTTGATAGAATCTGCATTCTTAATAATTTGGGATCACATGAACCGTTGCCACTACAGTGGTACCTCAGTTTACGAACTTAATCCGTACCTGAAGTCCGTTCTTAAACCAAATCTGTTCTTAAACTGAGGCACACTTTCCCTAATGAGGCCTCCCGCCGCTGGTGCCCTTCTACTGTCCGGCTTCCGTTCATAGACCGAGGTAAAGTTCACAAACCAGAACACTACTTCCGGTTTTGCGGAGTTCATAAACCGAATAGTTGGCAATTTCTTCAAAATCATAGGCACACAAGTCCTCCCACACATTGGTTTAAATTAATACTAATCATGTTCCATTTGTTTATCTTAATACCATTACTGGGCAATGGAAAGGAAATCTTTCAGACAACCTGGTCCAGACTTATTTAGAGCTTTGTATTTAAGTAACACTGCATTTACACTGGATTTGTGGGTAGTAGGGAGCCAGTGCAGATTCCTTAGCATTGGTGTGATACGTGCCCACTAAGGCCCCTCCCTCACCACCCAGGCTACTGCATTCTGCATCAGTTGCAGCCTCTATACTAGCTGCAAGGGAAGTCCCACATAGAGCACATTGCAGTAGTCAAAACATGAAATTACCAGTGCATAAACCACAGTGAGCAGGCTATGTTTGTCCAGGAAATGTCACAGTCAAATGTCACACCAGTTTAAGCTCATGATAGGCAGGCACTCTTTTACACAAAGGCTCATGTACTGTTCAAAGATGGTTACCAAATCCCTCCTAAATTGCATACCTATTCCTTCAGAGGGACTGCAACCCCACTGAGAACAGGCAAAGTCCTAAGTTCTTGAACCTGGGGATCATTCACCTGCAGTGTCTTTATCTTAGCAAGCTTCAGCCTGATGACCCACATCCAGTCCACCAGTGTGTCCTGGTACTGTTTCAGCTTGTGCATATCCTCTCTTGACTCAGATTTAATGGTGAAATAAAGGCCCAAACCTTCTGATGACTTATCCCAAAGGCTTCATATAGAAGTTAAACAACACTGGGTTTAAAATGGTGCCTTACAACACTTTGCATCTACAACACTGCGCCTAAGTTGTCGGGGGATAAACACAGAGTCCCCAAATGCTACCCTCTGAAACCTGGTGTGAATGTAGGAATAGAATCACCATAGAACAATACTTACACTTCCCAATTCACAAGAGATTGTCGAGGAGGAGACCATGGTCAATGGTGTCAAAAGCCACTGAGATTCAGCAGGAACAACAGGGTTGCATGTTCCCTGGAAAGGGTCATTCATCAGGGTGACCAAGGCCTGAGGAATCATTGGTGAGCACACTTTGGGTTAATTGAAGGTGAACAATTTTGTCCCCCGTTTGCCCAGCAAACTTATTACAGTTGGTGCTAGCAACTTCTTTTTACTGCATGAAAGAGCTCTGCTAGGCAAGGCACGATGGAGGCTTTTTCACTACCTTCATCACCATATGACATGACACGGTTAAACACTCTTAACTGCTGTTTGGTCAGCTTGATATTGGGCCTTAAGCCATTTCCACTTCCTCTCTCGCCATGCAGCTGGCTTCATTGCTCATAGCTCCAAGGAAAACCAATGTGCACAACGAGCTTCACAGTGTTGGAGCAGGCACTCCTGAGCAATCTTGTCCTAATCTCGCTGTTGCACAATGAGGAATAAAGCATATGGACAAACCAAACTTGTATTCTGGAAATATATTTATCATTGTTACTGGAAATTCCCCCAATTCTGATTCAAGTGTGTGAAGGGACCAGTGAACTCTTACATGTTCCTGTTTATGGCTTGGCTTATTCAGTGCAGGAGCAGTAAGCTAAATTATGAGGTAAGCATCATGTCCTTTAGCTTTAATTGTTGGTTGTAAAAGAACTGATTCACAGGCATGTCCTAGGATTGTGGGACTGTATGCGCACCAGATCTTAGCTTTCTAGCTAGTATGAAAGCATCTTTACTATTTAGGAGCTCTGCTCATGTCCCCCTCCCACGCAGAGTGTTTTAGGGGGAAAGATGTATAGACGTCTGCCTTTCCTTTCTTTCTTGTAATCATGAGGCTTTGGGCTACAGGTGTACCAAATTTTAGATTTCTGTGTGGCAGGGTAGTGTCCCAGCAATACTAACCACCCTTGTCCTTCAGTCAAAAACATAGTTCTATAATAGAAACTGTGATCTTTGCATTCTGTTGCACCGATTTTCATGTTAGGTGTACCCGGATTCCGTGTGTGTGCGTGTGCGTGCGTGTGCCACTTCTGTGCTTGAGGGACTTGGCAGAATATCACCTTTTGAGGGTTTGTGAGTAACTATCGCTCCAGAGTATTCTTAGGTTTTACTTGTTATGTCTGGGTACTGCTGGGCTTGGAGTCGTTAATCTTCCTCATGTTTTCTTGGCTGAAGAAAATGAGAAACAGATGTTCACATCTGGAAACTTCGTTCTAGGCTTCATTGTTGCAGTGAAATAGTTTAAATTGTAACGGGAACATTTAGAGTACTGAAGCAAAAGGCTACCCTTGAACACACACACACACACCCTTCCAGCTTCCTTTTTTGCATGAAACTTAACACTGCTGCATGTTTTGTTCCTGTCAGTTTTAACTTCACTTAACACTTTCGTAGCCTAGATGAATATTAATAGACCTCTTGAAATACTAAGCAGACTTCTGGAAAAGTTTGTGTATGTAGTGTTAACAAGCTAAAGCTATATAGTCCCAAGTATGCCTGCTCATACTTCTTAGTAAACATGATTAGAATTGGGGAACTGGACAGTTTGATTGGCTGCAAAACTCTTTCCTGCACGAGGTGTGGATTTGTTTTGTGTGTTTTCCAGGAGGCATATTCAAGTCATACTATCAAGTCTAATTATACTAGAGAGGTGGCCTGCTTTGGAACTTAGCGGTGAGCAAGAAATCCCTGTTATACCTCACCTTGACTATGAGTTCATTGCGGCTTTTTAGGCAAGCCACTGTTTCCTCTACTCATCTCTTGCAACTATCCTTAATATGGATAATACTGGGTTGTTTATAAGAGTTAATGAGATAATATATGTCAGGGAATTTATGCACACTGGAAAAGCACTTTATAAACACTGCCTGTGTTCACACTAAACGGTGGTTTAGTTCATTGTGCAGCAGCCAGGAGTGAACTACAGTGAACCATAGGCTTGCACAGTCTCCCCCTACTTTCCTCTTTCTGGAAGAGTTTGGAGTATCCACTTCTGCTTTTAGATAATCACATAATTCTGTGTAGTTTGGTCCTAGAACTACAGCTAACATTAACTATGGCTAGCTTAAAATAAGGCCAGGTGTGGGGTGCAGAGGACTTTAATCTTTTGCACCCCATTGTGGTCCTGATTCAGACTGAGCCCTCCACATTTGTAATTTGTATTGTGGGGGAGGGGATTCCCATTTGCTCCAGGAAGGTTTTTTTGTATTGAATTGCTACCCAGTCAAAATACAGTCTGCAGAGTCATAGAACAGTGTAGACTTGATCCAAGCTTTTGGAGGCAGCTTTTCGTTTGTTTTTACATTGGGGCCTGTTTTCTTCAACACTCCCCACACTGTTTCTCTTTGCTGATTAAGGGTTCTCCCTTTTCTGAAGTTAAAAGTAGGAACAGCTGGCTTACTGGGGGCATCAAAGGCCTGCACTTCTCAACACCCCAACTCAGGTGGGGCTTTTGGTGTTAGACCCCATCAAAAAGAAGCATAGATTCCTACCATGTGGATCCATTCTACTTTTGCAGAGAGACTCACTAAACTGAATTCACAGTGAACTACAATTTGAACTGCAGAAGTTGCTTAATGACAAGCTTTGCTGTGCCTGGGCTCATTGTGAGACTGAAATGCCACTTGGGCTGGCCACTCAGACATTGCACCATGCTCTTCGCAGAAAAAACAGGCAGAAGCTGACAATGCATCATAATTGTGATAGAAGGCAACTCATCATAATGTTCAGACTGTGAATTTTCAGTGTATGTTAATGGTGGATGCACTGCTATGCTTGGATCAACTTCAAACAAGAGCTATGCATTTGCAGCAAGAAAAAGCTTTGTATTCAATTTTCCCTGGATTAAATGCTTTTTCAAACTGGCTTTGAATGGTAAAATACACTGTTATATCAAACTTTGTGCTTATTTTTGCTGCTAAATTGAAGATAAAATGAAACAGCTGTGTGTGGGAGAAGCATGTATTTATTTTTGAATTATCTAGTATCTGGCCCATGTTTCGGGGGTTCAATCCTACAAGCTGCTGAGAGCTCAGAAGAGGTGTTAAATCCCTTCCACTCCCACTGCATTCTGCAGAATCAAAACTCCAAAGGACAGGTTTTCATCAGTACTCTTAACTTCCATTTATCTAAATGTTGGTGTCATTTACATCTTTCCTTGAGTGTTTTGTACACCCAGGCAAAGCATTCAAGGAAATGGGAGTGTGTCTTTTCGACATGATCTTTTTGTTTCAACATGAATGCTTGTTTCAGAGAAGGGAGCTGTTTCCAAAATGCTTCACAAGTGTCCCATTTCCCCCCCGCCCATGTTAATAACCCAGATGTGGCTCAGTGGCTTCCACTTTCTGATAAAGCATACACCAGTGCTGCTCTTTCCCCCACCAGAGTTGCAGAAGAATGGAGTTCCCCAAGGGCAGAACTAGTCAAGAGTATAGAATCATAGAATTGTGGTGTTGGAAGGGACCCCAAGAGTCATCTAGTCCAGCCCCCTGCAATGCAGGAATCTCAGCTAGATCACATATGACAGGTGGCCTCCTGACCTTAAAAACCTCTAAGGAAGGAGAGTCCACCACCTCTTGCAGGAGTCTGCTTCACTGTCACACAGCTCTTACTGTCAGAAAGTTCTTCCTGATGTTTAATCGGACTCTCCTTTCTTGTACCTTGAATCCATTGGTTCAGGTCCTACCCTCTAGAGCAGGAGAAAACAAGCTTGTTCCAGCCTCCATGTGGCAGCCCTCGACTATGGCTATCATATCATTCTCCTCTTAACCAGGCTAGGGCAGTTCTGTTGTTGGGGAACCCTCTCCACGTTGGCTTGTCTATTGTGAATGCTTGCATGTATTATTTCCACTGTCAGTTGAGGATCTTAGTGCATATGGGCATAGGTTTGCACATTTAAAAAACAACAAAAACCTCGTCAGGCAGAGAAGGGGTTCAGGCAGTATGACCTCAAATTGAAATAGTTCTGTTAATTATAAAACGAGAGATAATCTCCCCACCACCACCTTTTCTGGTTCCCAATGTGAAAAATATTAGCTTTGTGGAGACTGAAACAGATGGCGAGCAGCTGAAGTAGATAAGCGTGTTGTTGAAAATAAGCATTTACTCAGGCTGGGGAGGTGACAAAGCCATGTTTACAATATCTCATCCATTTACAGTGATGCTACTTTTAGCTGTATTGAAATAATTAATTCACAGGATACCTGGAAAACACAAGCTGATCGATGTATGTGGGAAGGGCTTTTTACAATTTTGGGCAAAATGGATCTAGTCTGTTGTCTGCTTTAGGGACTTTAAAGGGGTAAATGCCCCCCCATCTTGATGTTTGCTGCTCCCCAAATGTTTATCTTGCCTTCTTTATGTATTACATTGTGTTCATTTTAAGAGAAGTATCTCCCAAAGCAGCTCACGTCAATTAAAAACAAACAAGCAAGAAACTAGCCCTTCCATCAGGAATACCAACTGCATAGGTAGGACAGATAAGGGGGAAGGCATGTGGAAGAAGGGAGAGAAGGGACACCAGTTTTTCAAGGCCAGAATAAAGTAGTGAGCTTTATGTTGTCATTAATGTCTAGCTCAGTCTAGGCTGACCCTTCTTTGCTGGTGGTTTTTGCTGGAATAGCAATTGGTGGCTCCATTATTTTGGCTGATGGATGGGGCCAGAGTGCCCTTTCCCCCCTGCATATCTAGTACAGTGGTACCTTGGGTTAAGTACTTAATTCGTTCCGGAGGTCTGTTCTTAACCTGAAACTGTTCTTAACCTGAAGCACCACTTTAGCTAATGGGGCCTCCTGCTGCTGCTGCTGTGCCACCACCACCGCACGATTTCTGTTCTCATCCTGAAGCAAAGTTCTTAACCCAAGGTACTATTTCTGGGTTAGCGGAGTCTGTAACCTGAAGCGTATGTAACCCGAGGTACCACTGTACCATGGCACCTGGTAGTTGGATCAGAGTGTCTTGAATTTGTCATTTGGTTTGTAGTGGCTTTGGATGGGAGGCATTAGGATGTTTTTCAAAGGAGATTTCTGTTCTTGATGCACCTTCTTAATAAAGGTGTGGTACTATTAGCAAAGTGGGTTAGAATAGGAACATTGGTTTTAAAAATTCAAATTACAATATCTACAAAAGAGGCAGTTTTCCTTTACCTTGAAACAAGATCATATTAATGGAAATGAGTCACCAACCACCATAAGTGAAACTGTAGGATCCATGTGTTCCATTATGTAGGCATGGCCTCTTCCTGCTAGAGGTTGGGATGCTGGTATAGCAACGTAGCAAGGAACCTCTTCATATACATTCCCGGAATACAAGTGGTGCTTACAGTGGTTTCCTATGAAATCATCTAAGTAGGTCATGGACATTTTCATATACTGTATATAAGGGCCCCTCCAGACATCCTTTTTATTGAGCATTCATGATTTGTTCTCAAGATGGAATTGAGACGATCACACATGTTCCTTTCAATATTGTTTGCACATGCAAACGTTTGGGGGCAGTCACGCTGCTTCATTTCCATTCTGTGCATATCCCACATCTTCCTGCTGAAATCCTGTAGCTTTTTATACCACAAATGTTCTGATTTATTTTTGTTCCATTGGTTTCACTATAGTCCCTCTGGAGAGCAGTAATGAGGTGGGATTGGGGAAGCATTGCAGGACAAACTAAAGCAGAATCAATCCACCACCAATGCACACACTATTATAGAGGCAAGAACATATGGCAGAATGGTCTGTTATTTAAGGTAGCAGCGCTGACTGTTTCTGCTTCCCTTTCTACTGGAAAAAATACAGTTCTGGTGGCAATAACCTAAGAACAAATCCTGAAAAAAGCAGATGGTAGTCTTACTAGGTGATAGGGTGTTGAATGGTATCTTTCACAAAGAGTAGAATTTCTTAAGATAGGGGACAGCTTTGAAAAGCAACAACACACATTTAGCTAGGTCAGTGTTTTCTTTGATAGTGTTATGTAAAAGGGGACTGTGTGTGTCACTGCGGTTTGTAGCAGTGAAGCCTCTGTCACCGATCAGATAAGTTGATGTTGATAGCTCAGTGTTTAAGCATCTTCTAAACCCTCTCGCAGTCCTGTCTCTGTGAGGGAAAAGAAAATTGTCAGAGGGCTCTGAAGAGACCCTTCAGTGCTTTACAACCTTTGGTCTTTTTGGGTGGAGTGGGAGGAAAAGAGTGCTAGGGAGACTGGTCAGGATACAAAGGAAGTGGAGGAAAGTTGATAGTAATCTGGAAAGGAGGAACCCGAACAGACAATGCTGAGGGTGAAGATATGAGGTAGAAGAACAAAGGTGCAAAGGAGAAAGTGCTACTGGGACAAAGTATGTACAGGGCCTAGAGTCAGGAGCAGCTGAGATCCTGAGAAGGGAATCCTTCCCATTGTTGCTTCACTGCAGCAGTTCAGCCTGGTAGCCCCAAGGAAGGAGTAAGGCCGAGGAATAAGGGCACACTTACTTCCCTTCACCCTCCCCGTCTCCTTCCTTCCTTCCTTCCGTCCATCTGGAAGAGGCAAGGATTTGTCTCTTTACACTGCAGTATGGGGTTAAATCTATAAGGAGGTCTTAGGTAGGAGGGTCCTAATGCCAGCTATCATGTGTGGGAAACAGTGGAGGCTGGTCTAAATTAGGTTTCAGAGCAAGTTAAGAAAAAATAAACAGTGGCACTGCTCTTGGATAGCTCCAACTTGCTTAAGGATTAGTGAGACGGAAAAATAGAGTAGAAAAGAGAATGGAGGTTTCTGAGGGGGGCACATTTGTGGGTTGTTTTAGATGGCAAGTCCCCTGAACTGCTTGAGTGGGCTGTGATGGGGCTGCTGGGGGCTAATGGAGCCCTGTAGGCCCCTGAAGCTTTGAGTGGCACAGGGTTTCCTGAGAGAGGCTTGAAAGGGAAACATGGGGCAGCGTGTGTTCTCTTTAATAATGCTTATGTGCATTATTTGTTATGCTCTTTGAGTATTGCAAGAAAGGATATACTTTTTCCTCATGGTCAAATGTGCAATGTGTCCCTGCGTTGGCAGCTTGCACACCTGACTGCAGAGGGACACAGAGACCTTGCCCTTTAAATATCGCAAACCAGTGCAAAGAACAGGAGGGATGGGAAGAGTCGTAGCTCAGTGATAGTTCAGTCTCCAGCTGTCTTGCACAGCACTTGGCATAGGGCTTTGCAGGCACTGCCAAACAGCTGATGGCAGTGTCTGCAACCCCCTACCTGCTTTGGGTGAACCAGGTTTTTACCTGTCCAGCACTTGACAACATGTATGACACTAGGGGTAGGGCAGGTGCAGGTGGCTTTGCCAGAATGGGAGGCCTAGATAGGCCCTTACCTCTGGTCTAGACAATACTGAGCTATATGAACCATTTGGTCTGACTTGATATAAGGCAGCTTCATATTTATGTTCTTACTTTCCTTTGAAATGAATCATTCATGCTTCCATTTCCACCGCCAGGAGGCATTGCTGTCAGATTTCATATATTAAATTAGTGGTTATGCAGGTAAATAAATGTTCTGCATGCTGCAATGTGTACAGAAATATGCAGCTCATAACATAGTAAAGGCACCCCATATACCATGCTAAGCCTCTGATGGTACAGCTGATGCTGTTAGATCCGGAAATAGTGTTTTCAGAATGCATTGAAGAGATGGAGAAACTAACTGGTTTGATTTCTTGAATAGTGTTTCTTTTGGGTAGTCTGCAGTTGTAAGCAAGCAGCTACTTTCGGTTAGGGAACTATCTATATAGTTTGAGAGTGCCATCACTATGTATTTGTGTCTTAAGGCATCAAAGGGATTTACAAATTCAGCATTTTCTTTCCAGTGTCCGTTCATGCAAGTACATTAGTTTGCTAGCCACTTTCTTAAAGAACCATGTTGCAGGAAGGCCAGAGGCAATTAATTAAAGGAATAAATACTGGATTTTTATTTTTTTAAAATAACTGCATAGGGTTTACTGTTTGTTGTTGTTGTTGGGGTTTTTTTTGCATTTTTTGATTTCTGTAAACTACCTTGTGATCTGCTTGGAGGAGTAGCGTTGTTATTCCGGGAGGATTGCTCTTTCAGAGCTCTGCCATCACCGGCGATCTCCGGCATTGAATGTGTTGGTCTCGTGTGGGGCACCAAGGAGAGCTTGGCTGTCTGGCTGGTGTACCGACCACCCAGCACACCTGCATCCACCCTGTCAGACCTGCTGGAGGTGGTGGAGGGCTGGGCCTTGGAGTTCCCAAACCTACTGGTTTTGGGAGACTTCAGCGTCCATGCCGATGCCGCTCCCTCCTCACAGGCTCTGGACCTAGTGACTTCCATGGCAACACTAGGGCTCTCCCAGTTTGTTTTGGGCCCCACTCATCAAGCAGGCCACACGCTGGATCTGATCTTTGGGGCTGGCATAGATGTGATCATGCTCCCCGCTGTGGAAGTGCCATGGTCTGATCACTACGCTCTGAAAGCCAAGATTGACTTCCCGCTCCTCCCCGGCTCGGGTGGCGAACCTATTTGGGCTCGTCCGCGAAAACTGATGGATCCTGATAGATTCCGACAAGCCTTGCGGAACCCTGCTCCTCCTGGCGACTCATTAGATGACCTTGTTGAGGACTGGAATAACTGGCTCTTGGCAGCCATTGATGAGATCGCGCCTAAGCGCCCTCTGCGACCCCGTCGAAACCGGGCCCCTTGGTTTACTGAGGAGCTCCGGAAAATGAAGCGGGATCTCAGACGGCTAGAGCGAGTATGGCGACGGACTTGTGACGGAGCCTCAAGAATATCTTATAGGACGCTTATGAAAGCCTATGAGATGGCTAAGAAAGCTGCTAAGAAATCTTACTTTGCAGCTTCCATTGCATCCGCTAGCTCTCGCCCAGCACAACTTTTTAGACTAATTAGGTCAATAACGTCCTCAGGAGGACAACCAAATTTAAGTACAAATTCGACCCACAGCTGTGAGGCATTCACAAGCTTTTTTGCGGAGAAAGTCCTGTTGCTCCGCCGTGACCTCAATGCCAATTTAGATACAGTGACTGAACTGGAGGCCCCTTGACTGACTTCAGGTCCAGTGTTGGACCATTTCGATTGGATACTCCCTACTGATGTGGATAGATTCCTCCAAGTTGGTAGGCCCACCACCTGCCTCCTTGATCCGTGCCCGTCTTGGCTGATTAGGGAGTGTCCAGATGTTGCGCGGACCCCCCTGGTTGAAATTATCAATTTGTCCCTTGACATGGGGACATTCCCAGGGGAACTGAAGGAAGCAGTGGTGTGTCCACTCTTAAAGAAAACTTCATCAGATCCCTTAGACCTATCCAATTACCGCCCAGTTTCAAATCTTCCATACCTGGGTAAGGTAATTGAGAGAGCGGTTGCTGAACAGCTTGGTAGGTTTCTGGAGGAAACATCGGCATTAGATCCATTTCAGTCCGGTTTCCGTCCTGGTTTTGGGACGGAGACGGCTCTGGTTGCCCTAACAGATGATCTCCGTAGACAACTGGATCGAGGCGGGTCAGGACTGCTGATCCTTTTAGATTTGTCAGCAGCCTTTGACATGGTCGATCATGATCTTCTGGACCACCGCCTCGCAGACGTGGGGATACAGGGCATAGCCCGTAACTGGTTGTGCTCTTTTATCTCTGGTCGGGGACAGAGGGTGGCATTAGGGAGGAAATGTCGTCGCGCCACTCCTTGGTGTGTGGAGTGCCGCAGGGCGCAATTCTCTCCCGATGCTTTTTAACATCTTTATGCGCCCCTTGCCCAGATTATCCGGAGCTTTGGGCTGGGCTGTCACCAATATGCTGATGACACTCAGCTCTATCTGCTGATGGATGGCCACACCGACTCGGCCCCGAACACACTGACCAGATGCTTGGAAGCTGTAGCTGGATGGTTTCGTGGGAGCCGATTGAAACTAAATCCTTCAAAGACAGAGGTCCTATGGCTAGGTCAGGATGGCATGGGGATGAGGGACCAACTCCCTTCTCTTGCGGGGGCCCAGTTAGTGCCATTGCCTTCTGTTAAGAGTTTGGGTGTAATCCTTGACGCCTCCCTTTCCATGGAGGGGCAAGTTACAGCAACAGCCAAGGCGACATTTTTCCACCTTCGCTGCATCAAGCAGTTGGTCCCTTACCTTTCCCGCCCCGACCTGGCCACAGTGATCCATGCGACGGTCATCTCCAGGCTTGACTACTGTAATTCGCTCTACGCGGGGCTGCCCCTGAAGCTGTCACAGAAACTCCAGCGGGTACAGAATGCTGCAGCGAGGCTCCTCACAGGGTCTCTGCCATGGGAGCATATTCACCCAGTGCTTTTCCAGCTGCATTGGCTCCTGGTAGAGTACAGGGTCAGATTTAAGGTGCTGCCTTTGACCTTTAAAGCCCTTCACGGCCTAGGACCCTCGTACCTACGGGACCGCCTCTCCTGGTATGCCCCACGGAGAGCCTCAAGGTCCATAAATAGCAACACCCTAGTGGTCCCAGGCCCTAAGGAAGTTAGATTGGCTTCAACCAGAGCCAGGGCCTTTTCAACTCTGGCTCCGGCCTGGTGGAACGCTCTGCCTCACGAGACCCGGGCCCTACAGGATCTGATTTCTTTCCGCAGGGCCTGTAAGACAGAGTTGTTCCGCCTGGCCTTTGGCTTGGAGCCAATTTGATTCCCTCCCTCCCTCTCTTTCTTTTTTCTTTTCCTTCTCCTCCTGCGATGAGGCTACATTTTAATATTTTAATGTTCCATTATTTTAATGTTGTATTTTATTTTTGTTTTTAAGTTGTAATCATTCTTCTTGTTTTTATTATTGCTTGTAAGCCGCTCTGAGCCCGGCCTTGGCTGGGGAGGGCGGGGTATAAATAAATTATTATTATTATTATTATTATTATTATTATTATTATTATTAATGCAGCCAGTGTGCTGTTGATATGGGATGCCCTTCTTTGTTTGTGCTTTTGTAAATAACTGGTTTCCCCCATATGTGTGTGTGGCATCTGTTATATGACACAACCTTAATGAGATACTGTTGTCGCAAATACTGTCATTGGAGAGAACCCAAAACAAGTTTTCTTGCCTTGTTATCCATTCTGCCCCCCCTCCCCCATGGAAATGGAGTCAGCCAACTCTGGCACAGTGTGTCTGAAAAAACAGGTGCTTCAGATTTCCACGGGGGATTTCAGGTGAAGGACAGCAGAGCTCGGCTCAGCACTGTGTGCAGAAGGGTTCCTGTGCTAGTTCAGATTTTCACATGTTTTAACACACTAACACCTCCCCCCTTGGGTGAACAGATTGCCAACAGAAGTGGCTTTTGGGGGGTGGGGGGACATGTCATTGTAATTCAGCGAAAACCTGAAGTTCCTTTTTATTTGGCTTGGGGCCTTCTGTTCTGCTCACTTAACAGACTTCAGAGCTCCCCGCCTGTGACGATCTCAGGAGTGCTGTAGATGCTACCCTTGACCTTTATTCAAAGTGATACAACACTCTTAGCTGCATTGCCCATTTGTTCATGTTGCTAGCTCATAGATTCTCAGGTGAGGTCCTACTGTAGACATTTTTGCCCTCTGAAGCTTTGTTTATAAAGAAGAGTTGTTTTCTTGTTTCATTTCTTGTGGTCCACTGAGTTAGTTCTATTGGAGCCTTGTTATTTGGGGGATTATATGGAAGCCTTTAGATAATGTTGTCTTTTTCAGGATGTGTTTGAGATTTGATATACAGTTGTATCATTAGTTTTGGATCCCTGCTTTCATGGCTATTTTAGTTATTATTTTGTGGTTTTATGTTGCAAATTGTGCTCAGGGCTCCCAAGTGCGCTAAGAGTCTGTTTCTTTCTAACATACAAGTAAACATGTCCATTGAATATGTTGGCAGTGATGCACAGAATTGCAGAAAGAAGCATATTGAGACAATGGCCAGCTATCCATGCACCTGCTTTTCCAGAGAGCGCATTTGCTCTCAGCACGTAGTGTGAACGATATACACATGTGTACCTGCATCCTAAAACACAAATGGGCACGTATCTGTCCACAAAAAAGGAAAAACTCCCCAAAATTATGAGTAGAAGGGAAATGAAATCCCATCAATTAGAGCTGAATTACTGGAATGAAACTGCATTCATATGCACACTTGCCAGATATTAGCAAGTATACATGCATAGGATTGTGCCACAAGTTTGTTCAACCCTAAAAGAGTACCAGGGTACTGTACATTGAAAATTTTATTATTCAGAATAAGAAAGTATTATGAGAATATATAGTTGTATCTATAAGAGCACTTGGCACTTCTGGAGACTGAACACAGAATTACCCTACATAAGCAGGGTGTGTCTGTGTTCATTTTATTAATAAATATTACAGAATGAACTTTTTCTTGCTACATTAATTCTTCCCTTTAACCACCGATAGATAACCATGGAATAACCATATTTGCCTCCCTCCATCTAGTAATCCTAGAGACACTGGGTTGGAGCCAGATTTAGCAATGCTTAGAGTATGCCCATTGAAATCAATGGACTTATATTAGTCATTGCTAACTTAAGTCCCACTGATTTTCAGATGGTCTATGACTCTGTGCCAAACACGACTAACCCTGGATCCCCAACACATTGTCTTTTATAATCATGGATTTTTTGTTTAGCCACTGATAGACCTAATCTCCATGAATTTTTCTAACTCCTTTTGGAAAAAATGTTACTCTAGTTTATAGTTACCACATCTTACAGCAGTGAAGTCTTAACATTAATTATGGGAGTATTTGAATGAATACATCTGGGACTTAATAAGCCAAGCTATGAATGAGTCTTATGTTGCGCATGCAGCCCCTTTGTGCTTCTGTTCACATGAGCACCCACACACGCAAGGAGGTCTTCTACTGTGAGTTCCCATTCTGATAATAACTTTGGAACAAACCAGGAGATTAAGCTAACTTCTTGCTTGTTCTGGATCTGTGAATCATAGTTTCCCAATTTGAATGAAACAAGAACCTTTTGTTAATGGAATACTTCTTGGTTTGCTTGTTCATGCAAAGCAATGGCCCAAAGGGGCTGTGCGCATAGCCAAAAGACACACTCATATTTCTGCTTATTAAACCGATATATGATCATCCAAACATGGTCTATGGGATTTTATGATAACTCATTAATGATGCTCATGGAATCCAAAATTGAATGTTAGCAGTCATGAAGCAGCATCCAGTGTGCTGGGTTGGAGAATATTGAGAAAGTAACAGCTTATTTGTACTAATAGGACCTGCAGTTTATTCTACTACTGTGTCCAATTTTGGGTTCTTCTCAAAGTCTCTTATTGTTCTTAGCTCCTAAAGCCTTGCACAGAAGCTTATTTCAGTGGTTATGGAAGCATAGGAACTGCTAATTCTCAACAGGAGGGAGAATCTGAGAGTTTTCTGTTTAAACTTTTGAGTAGGCATTTCAGCATGCCTGCTGGTAAGCTGTACTGAATTCCAGCATTATGCCAAGTCCTGAAGGTTGCAACGTGTCTAACTGCTAAGATCTCTTCCAGGCCGCTTGGCGCCCATCACTGAAAAAGCAGGTGGTCTGAAGTGAGGGCTCCCTTTGGGCTTTCACACTCTGTGCACAACATACAAACGTGAAAGACAACTGTCAGTTCCTTCCCTTCCTAGTTGTCTCCCCCTTAACAAAAGGAGAGGTTGGGAGGCGAGCGGAGATGGGACACAGATGGATGTGTTGGAAACCTGTCAATATGTTTATGGAGACATGCTACAGTGTAGTCCCAGATTGCTTGTGAAATAATCAAATAAGACAGGCACCCCTTTATTTAGGAACTAATAAGTGGTCCATATGTTGTTCAATGAGATGGAGAACATATATCTTGTACCACAACATTTATAAAAATATATATGCTTGCAACAGGTTGTTTTGCACCACAGCGGGTTGTTTTATACACAGATGAAAGCAATTTATTTAAAGCTCCTTTTTATTTTTAGTAAAATATTTACTAAATATTTTATTTAGTATTTTAAATATTTAGTAAAATATTATACTGGTGGTTAAAAATCCCATTGGGCACCTGCACAGTTTTGTGACTCTTGGGTAATCTGTTTATTTTATTATCTACATTGGAAGTATTTCCTTCTCTGTCCTTCACTGTTGCAGAGGGAATCATAGAATCGCAGTTGGGAATTATTCAGCATTTTTACACCCCACCTGCAAGGTAGCTTCTTTCCCTTCCCTATTTATCCTGTACTGCAGCTCACCACCTTGATCTGGGGATGCTCCAGACCAAGCATTGCAAATCGTTCCACCCATTTTTTAAAAAGACTTCTTAATAGACTTCCTTATCACTACTTAACTATATTGGTAATTTCTGAACTAAAACCATTTTTGTAAAGTGATCTTTGGCCATGCAGGATCCCGCCCTGCCGCCGTCCCCAGCTCACTCATCCGTGTGCTCCTTTGGTCTCCTAGCCATGATGTCCCCACAGGGCTCATGACATCTGGGGCCACAAGGATAAAGAATTACACAACGTTTAGAAGACATCTGAAGGCAGTCCTATATCGGGATATTTTTATGTTTTTAGATATGCTATAAGCCGCCCAGAGTGGCTGGGGAAACCCAGCCAGATGGGCAGGGAATATTATTATTATTATTATTATTATTATTAATAATAATAATAATATGCAACTTGCCATGTTATCCAATCCCAGGCATACTACAATTGATGGAACAAGCCAAGAACCTTCTGGTCCCCTCCTCGTACCCTCACTGGGCAGGAGAGGGGAGTGGGAGCATGCAAACTAGGTTGTGGAGGGAGGAATAAGGATAAGCTCATTCTCATAATGCAAAACCATGTTTAAGTGTTATGTTTGAATGTAGCGAACTAGCAGATGATCTTGAATAGAGCCAAACCATAGTTTAGTGTGACATAAACAAGGTGGGACAGGCCTTAGGTTTGCACAGTCCCCCGTCCCTGGCATGGTTGCAAGTAGGAGCTGCCACTGTCTCTTGATCAGAGCTTGTCATGTCATCGGAGACTGACAAACTCTAGTTAATATTTGAAACAATTGAGCTTCAAATGATGTTTCAAGAGCCACCCATAAGCCAGGACGTCCCTCCACCCTTTAGATCTCACCTTTGCCACTGAACTGCTAATTGGATTTTAGGCCAAACTTCGCTATCATCCCCCATGGAGAGAATACTGACATTACTTGTATGGATTACTCAGATACTGACTATGACGTGGTTTGAACACTGAAGCACCGTGTAATTCCTAAGTTCCATTGGATTGTTAACATTCTTTCTTCTACTTTCCATTTCAGTTGCGAGTGAGAAGAGGGTACCAGTAATGCCAGGATCCCCTGTGGAAGTGAAGATACAGTCAAGATCCTCGCCATCCAGCATGCCGCCATTGCCGCCTGTCAACCCTGGTGGACCTCGGCCTGTCTCATTTACCCCAGCAGCATGTAAGGCTGTGGCTTGTTCAGCTTTCTGGGAAAAACAAAAAGCCACCATGAGTTCTTTCTTTCTAATGCAGACATTACAGAAGTGAGGGACTGTTGTTTCAGTCCAGGGGAGGTGAATTGCTGGGATAGTACCTAATTACCTTGACACTTTTGTGGCTTTATTAGCAGGCAGGTTTCCTGAGATGCATATTATATATATAGAGAGAGAGAGAGAGGGAGAGGGAGAGAGATAGATAGATAGATAGAGATAGAAATATATAGATATATAGATATAGAGATATAGAGATATAGAGATATAGAGATATAGAGATATAGATATAGGTTTAAGCTGGGTTTTAATTTAGGAAGCGATTTTAAAAAATGTTTAATTTCTCGAGAGCATCAAGTTCTTTGCATCTGTGTTTTCTGTTCTCATTAATAAGAGGTGTGTTTGTCAGCACATCTGGTGTGTTAACTTTTTATTTATTCTCAGATTCTGGAGTGCTAGGGTTTTCTTAGGTCTCTTAAATTTTATTGTGTACTGTACAGGGTGGTACAGAATGCAGACATCCTGCAAGGAACAGAAAAAGAGCACTCTGGTCCCGGGAATGTAAGCTGCCTTCTGCTGGTCAGGTTGAATGCTCATCTAGCCCAGTAATGCTCCCTCTGACTGGCAGCAGCTCTCCAGGGCTGTGGATGGAAGTCTTTCCCACCACCAGCTCCCCTACCCTCCTCCCTTTAAAAACAAAAACCAGAGGGGCCAGGAAATTAACAAGGGATCTTTAACCTGCAAAGCTTATACAGTACTCCACTACTCAACCCCACTAGATGTTATTTCCTAAAATATTAAATAGTTTTTAACACCATCACCCAGTATCAAAAGCAAGTATGTCAACTCCTGAATTGTGTTCTCAGCAATTGTGCCTGCATTTCAATATTTCCTATTTTGTGTAACTTCCTTCCGGTTGAAATCAGACAGGCCCCCGCCCTGTTGAACTTCTGGCATGTACTTTTTAAATCCCTGCTTTTAACTTACTTTATAGCAGCCTTTCTCAACCTGTGCGTCCCCAGATGTTGCTGAACTACAACTCCCATCATCCCCTAGCTAGCAAGGCCAGAACTCAGGGATGATGGGAGTTGTAGTCCAACAACATCTGGGCACCCACAGGTTGAGAACCGCTGCTTTATAGCATTAACTGGTTTTTACCTTTTCTGTATTTTATTTATTGTACAACACTTGGAGACTATTTGTAGTTAAGTGGTATATAAATTTATGTAAAAAAGAAGCATTTTGGGGCTAAACCTCAAAATATAAAGCTAACATATTCATTGCTTTTCGCCTTCCCCCTCCCCACTGTAGTACCCAATGGAATGAACCATTCTCCCCCGACGCTGAATGGAGCACCGTCACCCCCTCAGAGGTTCAGCAATGGCCCTGCCTCATCATCTTCATCTTCACTGACCAACCAGCAGCTTCCAGCTACCTGTGGGGCCCGTCAGCTCAGCAAACTCAAACGCTTCCTGACCACCCTCCAGCAGTTTGGCAACGACATTTCACCAGAGATAGGGGAGAAAGTCCGCACCCTTGTTCTGGCATTAGTGGTGAGTATTAGTAAGTCAAATACAGCAAAGAAATGAAAAGCAGAAGCTTTGGCGTTTCATTATGGTATCGCAGAATCATAGACTTGGAAAGGGAGCAAGCATGAGGGGCATCTAGTCCCACCCTCTGCAATGCAGGAATCTCAACTCAGGTGCCCATGACAGATGGCCATACAACCCTTGCTTAGAAACTTGCATTGAAGAAGAGTCCACCACCTTCTGAGGGAATTCATTTCACTGTCAAGCAGCTCTTACTGTCAGAAAGTTCTTCCTGATGTTGAGTCAGAATCTCCTTTCTTGTAACTTAAGTCCATTGGTTTGGGTCCTACCCTCTGGAGCAGGAGAAAACAAGCTTGCTCCATCTTCCATGTGACAGCCCTTTATATATATGAAGAAGGCTGTCATATCTCCTCTTTTCCAGGCCAAACATACCCAAATTCTTCAACCGTTCCTCATGAGGCTTGGTTTCCAGACCCTTCTGATCCTGCTCAGACTTTTTCAGTAGGCTTTCTGTAAATGGCGAAACCTCTTACAATATTTGCTCCCCCGTCTAGGATTAGTGTGCTCCCCCCAAACCTTCATTGCATAACTTTTCAGAAATTGGGGTGTCCATTTTGTCATAATTAATTGCAGCATGGTGAATTAATAATTTTCTGATGCTGTTGATTTGAGTTCAAACCAGTTTATAAAAGGAGAAATATTTGTGTTTGTGTGTAACATATACATTACAGTCATACACACAACTGGGGTGCACTTTCATCTAATTCTGTCTCAGTGTAATCTCGAGAATTCTGTTTACACATTGCAAGGCTTTTCATACCCTGATTATACATGGTCAAAAATGGATTAAGTGCTAGGAACTGACACGTGACATTTCACCCAATTTTCCTGTTTCGGATTTTTATTTATTTACTTTATATTTTGGAGGTTGTCTAGCTAGCATTAGCACTCTACAATTCCAGATAACTTCTAATGACTGGTCACACTTTGAAAAGGTGCAGAAGCAGCTTATGAAACCGGAGTAGCTATCTTCTTAAGTAATCACAATGCAGTGATAGATGTCAGCCCCCCACCCCTGCCTCCTATATCTACATCTCTTTGTAACCCACCTTAAGACTGCATGGCGAAAGGGGCCTATAAATGCATATAAGTTAAATGAATAAATTCTTAATGTATAAATTATGCATTGAGTGCGAGAATTTGTAGCTCATGGTTCTTAGCCAAATGTGAGAGGAGGCAGATCAGATAGGCCTGGACCCTAAGGAATATTGGTTCTTTCCACACGGTACATGCAAATCCAGATTCTCAGAGAGAAAAGGCCTTGTAGAATTTCTGTTGAATTAGAATCAATAACCACGTCAATCCCCTTTGTCTTTACAGAATTCTACTGTGACAATAGAGGAATTTCACTGCAAACTCCAGGAGGCTACCAATTTTCCTCTTCGTCCATTTGTGATTCCATTCTTGAAGGTGATTGCTTAATACTGTGCAATGGCTGGTGAGCCAGTAAGAAAAAAATTCTGTGTGCCACACTAGAGAAAGACTCACCAAGCAATGATTTTTGATAGGAGGAGGATTCTGACTATTTGAGAGAAAGTCATGTCATGTGTATGGGGCGTGGGTGGTGCTGTGGGTTAAACCATAGAGCTTGCTGATCAGAAGGTTGGCAGTTCGAATCCCCGCAATGGGGTGAGCTCCCGTTGCTCGGTCCCTGCTCCTGCCAGCCTAGCAGTTCGAAAGCATGTCAAAGTGCAAGTAGATAAATAGGTACCGCTCCAGCGGGAAGGTAAACGGCGTTTCCGTGCGCTCCTCTGGTTCTCCAGAAGCGTCTTAGTCATGCTGGCCACATGACCTGGAAGCTGTACGCTGGCTCCCTCGGCCAATAAAGCAAGATGAGCGCTGCAACCCCAGAGTCGGCCACGACTGGACCTAATGGTCAGGGGTCCCTTTACCTTTACCTTTTACATGTAATGTGTAGCCAAAAGTAGTTGCCAAGGAATGCTCAAGAGCCCCCTTTCTCTACCACCGCATAACCTCTGACCATTAAGTGGGTTATGTGCCTGCTCCTGACCTTCAGTGTTTCAGCTGATGTGATGAAAGCAACTGGATATTTTTTTTTTTACAAACTTGCTTTCTCTGGAGGGTGTTCTGTACAGTGTGCCTCCGCCCAGGCCCATGCGTTCCTTCCTTCCTTTTTTATTTTTAACCATTGATCCAGCTGGATACTTCTACACAGGGAAGCAGGAGGGGGAGCTGAATTCTGAACTTTGTGAGACCTGGCAAGAATAGGAAAGAATCAGCCCTTTCCCCACCTTCTGTTTGAAGGGACTGAATCTCCCATTTATTCATAGTAGAGTTGCATGAGAGCTCATATCTCCAGAAGACATTTATTGTCTGGGACATGGGAATAATAATAATAATAATAATAATAATAATAGCAACAACAATAACATTATTATTATGATTATTATTATTATTACCCCGCCATCTGGGTGGGTTTCCCCAGCCACTCTGGACGGCTCCCAACAAAATACTAAAAACACGATAAAAGATCAAACATCAAGCACTGCAAGCTATAGCCCAGCCTATCACAGATATAGGCACTGCTAGCAAATTCTACTTTCTTTTGTCTTATTTGCTCTTCAGGAGGCTCACAGTGATTCTTGGGGGGGTGGGGTGTCTCTGTGACAAAGGAACCCTGTTTTAACAAGTAGCTTGCTCCTATGGCTCATTGGATGGTCAGCAGCAAGAGGTATCCCAGCAGCTGAATAAATCTAAATGGCAACCCTAACTTTGTTTTGCAGGCCAACCTTCCCCTTCTGCAGAGGGAGCTGCTGCATTGTGCTCGGGCAGCCAAACAGACCCCGTCCCAATACCTGGCCCAGCATGAGCACATCTTGCTGAACACAAACACTGCATCCCCAGCTGACTCTTCAGAGCTGCTGATGGAAGTGAATGGAAACGGAAAGAGGCACAGTCCAGACAGGTAGCAGGAGCTGGTTTCAAAACAGACAAATTTGTCATTAAAAAAACCTAACAACCTGGCACCTTATAAGCTGCTTTCTATTGAAAGTCCCTTTTGTTGTGACCTCTTCAGGCATCTGGTAGTTCAAGACTTGCCTACGTGTGGCTTTTTTAGGTTGGCTCTGCGAATGTTTGACTCGTTGTGGCTTTCAGTATAGCCTGGATGATTTAGAAAAAGAGCTTTGGAATTGGTGCATCTGTCGTTTTCCGCACTTTTCAGCTTAATGTCTCTCCCTTCACTAGAGACCCAACAATGGGAGAGGGAAATTGCCCTCATCTTTGTTTGTGGATCACCATACCTGCTATTTGAAAACCCTGACCTGTTTTTGAATTTCATGTTCTGTATCACATCTAGTTTCTCCCTGTGTGAAAAGGATACTGGACTATAGGCCATTGGATTGATCCAGAAGCATGATTCTTGTGTACCGTCCGTATGTGTGAATTGCTTTCTACTTCATCTCTTTTCCAGAGTTCACTTCTATATATCTCTTTCCCCATTAATTACTGGTTTCACTGCTAGCACAACACAGACTTATTCACTCTCCTTTTCTGCATTTGGTTTCTTAGTACTAATGGAAAATTTCCTTTCTTGACTTGCTTACAGGAGGGAAGAAAACAGCTTTGAGAGAGAGCCGCTCCCGTCAGAGCCTCCTGCCAAGAGGGTGTGCACCATTAGTCCAGCCCCTCGCCACAGCCCGGCTCTGATGTTGCCCGTCATAAATCCAGCGGGACAGTTTCATCCTACTCCACCCCCACTCCAGCATTACACCCTGGAAGACATTGCAACGTCCCATTTGTACAGAGACCCAAGCAAGGCATTGGAGCATAGAGAATTACGAGATAGACATGGTATAGGTAAGGAGTCCCATGTATTTTTCAAACGCATTTCCCTTAGCTGTTAAAGCTACAAATTCAACGCTTTTTGAATCTCTGTAGATTCAGTTCTCGCATAGCAAAATCAATGGCACACAAACCTACACAGCTCCTTCGTTGATCTGGTAGCCCTCTGGGGTTTTAGAAGCCTGGGCTGTGTTTTTTTGGAGCAGGAGTGGGGCACCTTTTTGGCCTGGCGGTCCAGATCTTTTATCTCTTCCTCACCCCTGTGGGCCCACTTTGATAGGTGGGTGGTGGTGAGGGGAGATAGTGACCAAGCAGGATTGATAGATGGTTGTGGTTTTGAAGGTGGGGAAAAGAGTCTTACAGACAGAATTTGACTCCTCGGCAGGGGATTTTTCCATGGGCCAGAGGTTCTTCACCCCTGTTATAGAATAATAGCTCTTCTCCCCACCCACCCCACCCCATATCTTTGTATTGCATCAAACTGTCAAGGCTCTTTTTCTGACGTAGCATTTTCCTTGCCATGCATTACAGGGTTAAATGGAGGCTATCAGGATGAACTCGTGGACCATCGTCTAACAGAGAGAGAATGGGCTGATGAATGGAAGCATCTTGATCATGTGAGAGACTGGAATGGGGAAAAAACCCCAAATAAACCTGGACTGCAGAAAACCTAATTACCAGGGCAGGCTGTTTATCCACCTAGCTCAGTATTGTGTATTGTGGCTGGAGCAGGGTCTCCAACTGAGATTCTTCTCATTTCCTGCTGCCTGTTCCTTGGAACTAGAGATGCTATGGATTGTACCTGGGCCTTTCTGCGTGTAAAGTGTGTGCACTGCCATGGAGCAGTGGAAATGTAACAGCATGTGTGCATGCAGCAAGTGTGTGTGTGTGTGTGTGTGAGTGAGTGAGAGAGAGAGAGAGAGAGAGAGAGAGAGAATGTAATTGTTTAGCCTAGATGAGCCAGAATGCGGTAATCGGGCACATGCTTTTTACATACAGGAAGTCCCAGATTCAGTTCCTGGTGTCTCCAGTAGAATTTGATACAAATAAATGTACAGATTGAGAATCATGCAAAAGAGTGTCCTGCAGCTAATTAAGAGCCAGGCTATGTGACCAGCATCATAATGTGGTACTGGACTGTACCATTTCATGTGATGAATTGCATATTTAAATGTTTCCATTAAAAAAAAATCTCAGTTATGTAAAAAACTAGCACGTCAATGACTGTGCTAGACCAGCCCCCTTTCCCATAATGCTTGTATTTTTTTATATACAGGAGTTTGGGCTTGATTTCTTTTTTAAAAAAGAGGGTCACTACAACATGCAACATCACAGTTTGAAACCATTTACTGCAGCAAAACCAAAAAACCTTCGCCCTGTTAATTTTGATACTGTAGTTTTGCCCCTGAGTTTCTTTTTCTTAAAGTTGCAGGAGGAAATACATTTTCTAACAGCTTCTTCAAACGCTGTTCTTTCCTCTCTCTGGAAGGCATTGAATTGCATCATGGAAATGGTCGAGAAGACCAGGCGCTCTATGGCTGTTCTCCGCCGTTGTCAGGAGGCTGATAGAGAAGAGCTCAACTATTGGAAGAGGCGATGCAGTGAAACCACAGAGCCACGGAAAGGAGGGAATGACTTGATCACAAGGCAACATAGCCCAGGGAGTTCAGACTCCATTAACAGTGGTAAGCTATGGAACTCTGCATGTTCCATATGTGTTATGAAGTGGAATAACATTTAACAACCATTTTCAGAAAGTGGCTGTGTATTATTAGTGTGCCAGAAGACCAAAGTATTAGATTGTCCCCATTCTTTTCAACGGGCTCCTTTGCTTTTGCAGCTTAGTCTGTAATCTTCAACACACAAATTACTTATACACAAATTAATTAAGTACAATGCACCTTACTTCTGAGTTAAATTCTGCACAAAAATAGAACTATCTGAAATTGAGCAAGCTGTGCCTTCCCTGCCTCTGTGTGCCTTGGGTATTCAGAAGTTTGAACCTGAATGGATGTCAAGTAGAGTTGTATGCAAAAGAAACAAAAAAGGAATAAATAGAAATCATGTATTTCTTTTATTTGTGAAATCCTTGTCTTTTGCTGCTGCTTCTAGCATTTTAAGTGTAAAAATGCAATGCAGTCTTTCTCACTGAATCTGTCTCTCCCCCCCCCCACTACACTACATTGCAATGAAATCAATTAAGACTCCCATTATACTGTTAGTGACTTTCCTTATTAGAAATTCACATGTAAAATGGGGACAGCATGGGACAGGATGCTTACCACACATTAATATTTAACCTGTGGCATGCATCTAGGTTATGGGTAGTAGGCAAACTAAGGCCCGGGGGCTGGATCTGGCCCAATCGCCTTCTAAATCCGTCCTACGGACAGTCTGGGAATCAGCATGTATTTACATGAGTAGAATGTGTGCTTTTATTTAAAATGCATCTCTGGGTTATTTGTGGGGCCTTTCTGGTGTTTTTACTTGAGTAAAAAGTGTGCTTTTATTTAAAATGTACCTCTGGGTTATTTGTGGGGCATAGGAATTCATTCATTCCCCTCCCCCCCCAAAAAAAATATAGTCCGGCCTCTCACAAGGTCTGAGGGACAGTGGACCAGCCCCCTGCTGAAAAAGTTTGCTGATCCCTGATCTAGGTGGAGGATTTGTCTTGATAACTATCTTCTGAAATTCTGGGGTGGATAGGATAGTGTCAAAAGCAAGCCTATTGCAGGGAGACAGGATTAATAAATCAATTGATACAAGTTACGAATAAATATAGACCATGTAAATTCTTTCTCCTCGACACACTTCCCCAGTCAATATCTCTCAGTCTCCTGGCTCTCACTCAAGACCCAAACAAACTCACAAACCTCCCCAGAATCTCACAACAAAGAAGGTTCCTGCCACCAGCTGGCATCACCCTAGTCTCTCACCTCTAGGCTTGCTTTCATGGGCAGCACCAAGGTGGACAGAGCTTCCTCAGGCTGTTCACAGCTGTGTCCCATTCAGCTGTCAATCAGCTGGGCTGCACACACCCAGTTCCAGGTTTCAGCAGATTTATTTTGGTGATTTTCCCAAGGAGTTCCAAAGATGGCAATCCCTCCATTCGCAGTTCTTTCTCTGTGGCCTCTGCCTACCTCTCCCCTACCAGCTGCTTTCATGATGCTACACCTTGTACAAAACCAGCTACATAATGCTTCTAAATCCTTACCGATGCAGCAACCATTGACTCTGATTTCAAAACAATGATGCCAGATGGAAATGAAAGTGCTGTAGTTTTTGCCACAAGTCCTTTTTTCTTTGCATGTCCTGTCTTTTTTGGATTGTGAACCTGTGGGCAGGGAACAGTAAAAAGATCTTGGTAATGATTTTTGTATTCCACCATATCCTGGTGATATGACAGGGGAGGCATTTCTATATCTCTTCCTCATAACAAAGTATATGAATGTTACTTTGTAGTAGAGGGTGCATGCAAAACCATGCATTAAACAGAATGTTGAGCCAGGGTACTTTATCTGCCATCTCAAATGCTTTAATTATGGATTGGGGGCTGGAGAAGTTCCAATGGCAACTGGAACGAGGAAGTGTGCTTGCAAAATAACCAACCTCTTACATAACCCATCAAAACTTGGCTTAGTGGAGGTAGGCTCTTCAGATATAGATAGAAGATTCCAAGTATGGAATAGCACTCTTGAGTGGTGAATGCTGGAGGAAGGGGGAAGCCCCAAAAACTTCATGTCGTGCCTTAGACTTTTACTTGGATGATTGCAACTGGAGATGCTGGCTTGTAACCTTGACTCAAGCATGAGGGACACTTGGACATAATTTGGCTGATCTCATGCATAAAGGATGCAGCATAACAAAATAAACCACTGAAGAAGGCTTGAAAGCTGAACATGTATGGTATTGATATTTCAGTCATCCAGAAAATCTGGTTGATGGACATTAAGAACATCCTGTGATAAAGAATAGCATTTTTAATAATAATAATAATAATAATAATAATAATAATAATTAATAAAAAATACCCACCCCGCCTATCTGGCTGGGTTTCCCCAGCCACTCTGGGTGGCTTCCAACAAAATATTAAAATACAATAGTCTGTCAAACATTAAAAGCTTCCCTAAACAGGGCTGCCTTCGGATGAAGTATAACCCATGCAATGTAGAGTTTCTTATATGGTTATATGTTTTGGAGATATAGGTTCTGTTTATAGATTTTTCTTTTTTAGTTATTGTAGCACATAGCTTTTATATTTGGTATTTCTAAATTCTAAATTCAGTTTTCTAAATTTGTGTATTTGTATATGCCTTTTTAGTTCAGGGTTATACTCCGTTTTTGGTAATAAAATGTTAGGCAACACATCTATTAGATTTTGTGCTTATATAGACTGATTATTAAGTTCATTTATGTTGGTTACCCTCTATTTTTTTATTTTACATTGACAAGACTCACTTAGGTTCATTAATTTCAGTTACATCCACTTTGAGTAAAAAGTAAGTTGAATTCAACAAAGGAGCACTCTGTAATGAATACTGCAGTACGTCTGTAAGTGAGCTACATTTATGGGGAGGGGGCAAGATGAGAATGGAGACTTACTTCTGGGTTGAGAAATGCTGTATCCTCTGGTTTTCCCCATCTGGCGCATAAGGTTACCCTTACATCAGGTTGTCAGAAATGCATTGCTTTCAGTCTGAAGGTATGCAGCATCTCATCTAACTATGCAACTGAAGACAGTGAGAATGTAATGTATGTGAGAAAAATTTTCACTGTTAATCCTCCTTGATTTCTGTGTAGCACTGTGTATCTTTGAGTTCCTGTTCTCAAAGGACTCCTTAAAATATAGCGTGTGCTCCAGTGGCCTGAAATCCTTGGGAATACAAGGCGCGCTGTAAAAACGTGAGACGCCATTAGCAAGGATTAATGCTCATTACAGTAGGGCAAAACCGATGCTTGACAAGACATATTTATAAGTGTGTAGCCTGTGATGACAGAGTATTAAAAGATGGAAATTGGCTTCGCTGTCCAATAAATTATGCAGAACACTAAATTAAAAGTGGCCATTTATCATTTTGCCTTTTGGTGAACACTGTTAAACTGCAGAAGTCTCTTGGCTTGGTCTTTAGCGATTAATCCTACCCTGTTCTCTTCATGCTACTTCTTGCTGAACAGATGCAGCCTATCAATTCTTAGAGTTTGGGTGGGAGAATATTTCTGTGTCTAATACTGTCGACACCACCCTTCCTTCTACAGATTCTCAGCGGGAGTTCAGCGGCAGGTCAGGAGCAGCCGGTTATGTCACCGAAGAGATATGGAAAAAGGCTGGTAAGTAAGGAGGCCCCCTTCAGAGAAGTGCCACACAGAGAAGCTGTGGAATGTTACAAGAGATTACGCACCACAGGTTGGCTGGGGAAAGGCCTCATAAATATGCTGCTGTCTCACTGCCTAGAGAGTGATAATGGCCAGAGCCAACCAGGGCCTCCAGCAGATGGACCCATCTGGACCCATCACTGCTTGTCCATTTGACCTAGGGATTTGAGCCAGCCAGCCAGGCAGGGCTGGCACCTTCCCCAGACAGAGTGGGGGGAGAAGGGGTGCCTGAGCCTCTTTTCCTTGGAGGTAGCTGATAGAGAGTCCCACATGTGCCACTGCTCCTTGCATGTTTAATCTGGGGGTTGTCTGGGTAAATGGCGGTAATGACAATGTTCACTTGGTTTTTCAGTTTGCCTTTCTGGCAGAAGCTGGAAGAGGGCATAGCAGAACGAAAGGAAGGGAATTTTGTGCTGCTCCTTGAGACAAAATAGGGCAAAGGAGAAGGCAGAGGGAAAGGAATCCCATTTTATGTTAAGGGAATACTTTTCTATATCCCTTTAAAAAAAATCATAGGAGTGTTTCTGTTAACAACACACCACAACTGCAAGCAAATGTTTCAAGAATACTTTTAAAAACAGTTTCCAAAGCAGTCTGCTAATTTTGAAAAGATGGTGATTTTCAAATTCTTTTTAGCATTACAAACTGTTTTAAAACTGGCAAGATCAAGTAAGCAAGCTAAAAGACATGTCGTCCCTCTGTTTATGTAGAGTTTGGCTTCTAAGGTAGACAACCTTCCACTTCCTCTTCTCTGGGGAAAAATATTGAAAAGTGTGTCTGTGTTAGTATGTTTTTAATAGTTAAAAAGATAGTTCCATAGGGAAAACACTATGGAAATATAGGTCCTACACATAGGTCACACTGTAAATTCATTGGCATAAGCATACCTAGTTCTATTGGACTTTGGCCATTGTCTTTCATTATCAATTTTAAAAGGATAACACTACTAAAAATGGGGTTCATCTTGGGGTTCTGAACAATGTTTGAAGGTTTGCTTTAAGTAGAGGCTGGATGAAACCATTTGCTTCATTCTGTGTTAATTTTTGTGTATGTTGAAAAGTACCTCCTGACTTCTCTGCGACCTTCTGAGTCTCCTACAAATTTGCATTGTTTGATACTGTTCTTTTTAGTGCTTCCCTTTCGTGCCCCCTCCCTTCTTTCATTGGCTTCTGCTTCATTTGCTGACACTGCCATTTAATCCAATTCTCTGTTGATGATGCTGATGCAGCAAAACCACCCTTAATGTGGTGTCATGGGTGCTCGTAAACAGAATCACAAGGGTCTCTGTAGCCAGTAGAATTAAATTGCTGGATGGGCCAACAAGCGAGGTCAAGGACAGTAAAGGAGTGAAATGGCACCAGGAAAAGAGACTGCATTCATTTTCAAGGCTAGAGTTTCTCCTGCCTTGCTTAGTTTACTCAAATAGCATCCCTAACTTTCTGTATGGACTGCCAACTTTGTTAAAAGGGTAACTATCTCAATGCGTTTAGTTGGATTTGTAGTTTGCTCAGTTCCAGAGGCTCAAGGTAACCCAAAGCATGCTGAATTCTTTGGATACAAATGTGATCAAAAAGTCTGCTGCTGCTGCTCCTATGTGATGCAGTAGAGGGCATAAGAAATCAGAGTATGGCCATCAATTTAGTAGTATTGTCATAAGTTAGGCTAAAGTGCTATGCAAAAGCTTCACTTTCTTAACTCCTATGACCACTGGGTACTTCCATGCTATATACTTTGCCTTCCAATGTGAAGCCGTTTGATGAGGCTTTTGTTTCCCTTCAGAAGAAGCTGTGAATGAAGTGAAGCGCCAGGCCATGTCTGAAGTCCAAAAAGCTGTAGCAGAGGCTGAGCAGAAGGCATTTGAAATGATTGCATCTGAGAGAGCCCGCATGGAGCAGACCATTGCCGATGCAAAACGCCAGGCTACAGAAGACGCTTTCCTAGTCATCAATGAGCAGGAGGAGTCTACAGAGGTGAGAAGCCAAGGGAGTATCTCTGGCAATCATGGAAAAAGTCCCAAGGCAAGAACTTTAAAGATGACATTCAATCCTTCCAGATTCATCCTTGTTTTTCATTCTGATTAATCTGATTGGAGCAAAAAATCTAAAGCCAGTTAGAGTTTTGAGAAACTTCTGTCCAACAAGCAACTAATTCAGATTCATTGGTGCTGCCATTGAATCTCCACTGTCATTTTCAGTGACTGCATGAGGCTTTGAGATTGCCCCCCCCCCCCGCCACACACCTTGCTGTCCCCCATTGTTTGGGAACAGTTACAGTGAGGACAATGTCAGCAATTATATTGGAGAGGCCATCTGTTGGATTTGCAGGGTGTTGGCAGTCAGTGAAATGCAGGTGAATGAAAGCAAATTTAGGAGATGCTTTGTCACGGCAGAATTCCCTTCTCCCAGTTGCTTTTCTGCCATGTTGCTTAGTTGTGGCAGGCAAAGTTATTGTGTGGCTCTGCTCAACTTCCAGGTTGGAACCCCCTTGCCTTGGGAAGATCTTCCACATGCTGGATGGGCTTTCAGAAAAACCTTGCTTCTTACAATTAACCCATTTAAACCTATTGTGCGGCTAATTTGTTGCAGGCTTCTTACGACGTGGTGCTGTTCTCTTAATGGTGCGGGTGGTAGGACTTGCATGGATTGCTATGAATCTCTGCATTATAGAAATGTCGGTCGATAGCACTTTTTTAGGGGGTGGGGTACCGTTTGTTACCTTCCTCTGATGGCTTCAGTTGGGATGGGCAATAGTCAGCCTCGTTCGGAGCTGTGCTTAAGAGAAATGCTTGTTCTTTGGTTTTCCAGAGCTGCTGGAACTGTGGGCGCAAAGCCAGCGAGACCTGTAGCGGCTGCAACATTGCCCGCTACTGTGGCTCCTTCTGCCAGCACAAAGATTGGGAGAGGCACCACCGAATCTGTGGGCAGGGCTTACACAGCCAAGTCAAACCAGCCCCTATACCAGCAGGCCGATCCGCAGCCGCAGCCGCCACCCTCAAAGCAGTCGATGTGGTAGCAAGTCCGGCTCTAGAGAAAACGTCGGCCGCCACTTCTCGATCCTCCACCCCAGCCTCCGTGACAGCAATAGACAGTAATGCACTCTAAAAAAAGAGAGGATTGCGCTCAACACAGTTTATTAGTTTTCTACATTGAAAAACAGATGCCTCAAAATGTTGAAGAAGGTTTGTACTCCAGCACATTGGCGCTCAGGCTTATGTTGTTTTGGGGCATTTTCCATACCATTATAATGTCACTTTTAGGAGTCCATGTTAGCCTTCCTTAGTGGGATCTCAGAACGGTCTGCCTGGGACCCTGAGGACTTTGGCCTATTGTTTCATTTTATCCGAACTTTCTCAAAATGGTACTCTCACCCGAGGTTCTAACAAGATGGTTGTTCGTTTTACTACAAAGCAGAGCTTGCCAGGGCATCCTCTTCTCTCATCTTTGGTATGCAATCTGACCATTATTTGAAAATTTCTTTCTCAGGCAAAAGTGAAACAAGTGAAATGAGATGTAAGTAAGCTTGATTCTTAGTTCTAGCTATTTCCACTCCTTCCATTATCTAAGACTATATATATTGGTTCCCTCACCCCCTTTCCATTTCCCCCATCTCTCTCTCAATTTGGACACATGGAAAAAAAGGGGGGAGGTAGAAGGATGCTTTTTTTGTTTGCTGAAAGGAAGATTTAAAACTACTTCATATAATGACTCAGCAGCTATCCCACTTGTTGATCCATTTTAATTCCTTACAGTTATGGGCAAGCTGCTTAAGAATCTGTCTATGGGCCGCAACAGATTGAAATGTTTCATCCAAAGATTTTTACAAAAGGGATTGGTGGTCTTTCCCTCAGATCTAATTGCTTTGTCTCGTAACACCAAGATATTATTTACTTACACACACACACACAGAGAGAGAGAGAGAGAGAGAGAGAGAGAGGAGAGAGAGAGAGAAGTTGTTGGCTTTTAATGTTTGAGATTCATTGATACAAAAATTTTGTAAACTGCTTTGACGTGGTATATACATTAAATAAATAAAATAACTGGACCCCCACCCCACCAGACATGGTTTATTCCAACAGGTTTTCTATCACCTGGTCTCTCAGTGCTTGTGAGCGAAGTTCAAGTTGCAAATAACAGATTTCATGAACACCCAAGGCCAATGAGATCTTTTTGCTTCTCTAAGCAGTATATATCTTTAAACTGATGCCTCCAGCTAGGGATCCTGTGCATTGAAAACCAAGGAATGTGACTTTACCAACGCATTTGGCTACGTTCCTGAGTTGTGAGGCCTCCCTGTTGCGTCTTTAGCAGCCTGCCTGTTCACTTCAGGGCATTTGAAAGCATGTCACTGGGAGGACACTTGAAAAGAATTCAAATCCACTAAGAACTTAAATCCATTAAGTTGTGATGCTAAATCTTGAGCATGCCAAATTAACCATTAAATTATATGATTGAACTAGACTGAAGTTAACTTGATGGTTGAATTAGATTAAAAAGTAAATTAAAGTTAATATGTAATGCAGCCACATGGAAAGCCTTACTTGTTTTCCCGGGGAGCAAGGGGGTAAGGATTTGGATTGGGGAAAGACTTAAACACCCCCACCCCCCAAAATTGGGGGTATAGATATACCCAAAGCTGCATTCTGCTAGCAAAGCGGCTATGTAAGGCTTTTGTGTTTGAAAGGTTATCATTCTGATATGGTTGACATTGGATTAATTCAGAAGTATACCATGTGAAGCAACTCTGCTCTAATTTCCTAACTCACTTGAGGTTTAGCAGCAGAAGCATACTTTGCCTCATTTGAAGGTTATATTTTGCTACTATTGTTGTGGGAGATGAAATTGCGAGTGCAGAAGATGAAGGAGCACATGAGAAACAGGGCGTGTTCATTTGGTGCCAAATGTGATTTAGCATTATTTCTAATGGCTGTCCCGTGGTAGCCAATTTTTTAAGGTAATAATTTGATCTTCTAGAATACTGCTTGAGAGCTGCTTTGGTTTTGCTCATGAGGCACATCTCCATCCATTCACATTCCCAGATACTAAACTGCCTGAAGAAAAAAAAGCCAAAAATTCCATGTGTGACCCACCACTTAGTGATGCAGTGCCAAAGAGGGAAGTCTTCAGTTTTATTGATGAGTGAAGAGGATCAAGGTTTTAAAATTATCAAAAATGGCCACTTCTGTTGGATGCAGACCTTTCTCTGCCACATGCAAAAAAGAAAAAAAGCAGTAAAAGAAGCAGCCCTGTTAATCTCAAACTTTTCTCGTACTGCAAGGAATACTAATTTGGTTTTGCAGAAAAATATGGAAATTATAATTAAAGCTGTGGTGTTGAAATTACTTATTGGCTTGTAAACCCCCACTTGCCATGTTATTTTCTGCAGAGAAATGAAAAGAAGATTTGCTCCAAAGAGTTAAGGGGTGGGGGGGGAGGGGGGTGTCTGTGTGTGTGTGTGTGTGTGAGAGAGAGAGAGAGAGAGAGAGAGAGAGAGAGAAAGTGAGACGGCATTCTGAAATTGTGTGTAAATAGGCAGTCTTCCATAACTTTCCATGCAACTACAATGGCTTGCTATGTATTAAGAGGAAAACACACTAACTCCAATGTACATAAATGAATGCTACCATTCATGATTTTAAAACAATTTTTGAAAATGTATGTGGAATTCTACTATGGGAAGACTCCTTGGATTCTGTTTTCTATCTGATTTTTGCCATTCGATTCTATACTAGGAGTTTTTGTTACCTATTTTATGTGCATAACTTATTTAATGTACTGTATAAAGGAACCCAAACTGTTACAGATGTATTTAGTTTGTTCTACTCACAGTAGTCAATAAAAAGACTATATTCACCTTACCACGCCAGACTTTGCTTTGTTATGTAGAATATGATTTTATAGAATGCACAAAATGTCCGTAAGTGATTGGAATTCTAGGGCAGTGAAGCCATATCCCCATTTCAAGAGTTGAGTCACTACGACACATGTGAACCCTCTGTGTGGTCTTCAGCTGGTGGGTCACAGCCTGACCTAAGGTGGGTTGCAAGAGGAGCACAGCCACCATTGCAGTGCATGGTATAAGATTAAGAAATGGGTCCCCAAATACCTGTTTGTGTTAAAGGTGGGTCCTGCATCTGAAAAGGCTGAAGACCACTTACTGATCTAGCAAATTTCATAGGACCCAAAGTGAAACACAACTGCCCGATTCAAAGCCAATAACATAAAAAGTACCATCCACGGTACGATAGGGCACTTCTGGCTCCGTTCCTGGTTATGTTACAAAGTTTTGGGGTTTTTTTTAATAAACAATTTTTATCCATATAACCCAGATAACAAAATAGAACTGTTTTCAATGCTATTTTACTTCCATGTGTAATGTTGTGCATGTGATTTGTTTGCTGCTCTGTGTGTTCCTGTTGGAAGAGTGAGATGCAAGCATGAGAAAACCAGTCATCAAATGTTGGACCCCAGAGTAAAGCAGCAGGCAAAATGAGAGCAGTTAAGCCTTTTCAGCCGGGGAGCTGGCCTTCCTGGGGCTCTATGCCAAGAGGGGGCAGAATCAGAGCCAGCACGCATATAGCACAGACATAAACAGTCTCTCGCACAGTGCATTTCAACTTGGAAGACGAGCATTTCGCCTTCACTGCATGCCTAACTGCTCAAGGTGGGTGATCTACAAGGGAAACTGCGGCTGAGGATGCTTAACCCTTCCCTGTCCAGCTGCACTCTCCGCAAAGGTTCTAGTCATGAGGCTTGAAAACAGCCTTCCATTGGCACCTTTTCCCCCCCTCAAAATTTTTTATTCATTTTATAACACAACTATACAACACAAACAGAAAAACAAACAATATGAACAAATTCTTGTCTTATCCTTTTTTCTAAACATTGTTAGGTGAGCTTCCCCAAGTCCCCCCATCTGATTTTCATTTTGCCTCATCGTTAGTAGTTTACATATATCATAATTTTTAACCATTTTTTTAATCACACTTACTTTTACCATAAAAATCTTCACATTTTATCCCTTACAAGTAATACTATTGTAAAATACACTATCTTCTACTTCTAACCCTACAGCCTATATCCACTTCCAAAGCTATTCTAAGATTTAAATATTAACATATATTTTTCAAATATTCTTTAAACTTCTTCCAATCTTCATCCACCGTCTCTTCTCTCTGGTCTCGGAGTCTCCCAGTCAGTTCAGCAGGTTCCATATAGTCTATCATTTTCATCTGCCATTCCTTCCATTGGCACCTTACCGAAGTCTGTTTTCAAGCCTTCTGGGATAAGCTCACGTTGAACTTGTTGCACAATGTGGCTGGAGAGGCTGCATGCCATCAGAGCCAACTAATTTCCCCCCAGCAGGTTTAGGGTTGCAACAGATAGAATCATAGAATTTAGAGTTGGAAGTGACCCTGAGGGTCATCTAGTCCAACCCCCTGCAATGCAGGAATCTCTGTGAAAGCATCTATAACAGATGGTGATTCAACCTCTGCTTAATAAACCTCCCAAGAAAGGAGAGTCTACAACCTATTGAGGGAGACGGTTCCACTGTCAAGCAGCTGGGGGGTGTTTAAGCCTTCCCTCCTTGCCTGTGACAACCCTCAAACTTAGGCTCAGATAACTTATATTAACTCCCAATAGGAGGCTCTTTTTCTGCAGGGGCCAGGACACTGCAAGTCAATTAAGGAGGTTCCCAAGGGCTGCTGATTCCCACCCCCTGATTTAATCAAAAGAGTATTAGCATATATTTAAGTGACATATACTATTTATTCTCTGTTCGTAGGCAGAGAGCACAATAATTTTCTTCTAATTAAAAAGTTTAAAATTGCTGCCTAGGGCATTAAAAAAAAAACCAATACTGTAAGTGATTTACATTAACAAGTGCCATATTTTACTTTAACATCAATAAAATGCACATTTTACTGCATATTTTCCTTGGATGTTTTTCAAGACCTGACTAATTATATATTACAATATAATATTGGGCACAAGCAGAATAAGAAGTAAGAAATCTGCATAATTTAACACAGTTTTCATAATTTGGGTTATTGCCAAGTTCTTGGGATTTGGCACAAAATAATTATTTTTTAAAAAAATACATTTTGGTACAGAGTGCTACATCCCATGGCTACTTAGATGGTGCCGTTGCCTCAGTGGCCAAAGCAAGAAACACAAAGAAAGTGAAGTCCAAAAGCTCTTCACCAAACCTGGTAAGTGATTTACCGTATTTTTCGCTCTATAAGATGCACCAGACCATAAGACGCACCTAGTTTTTGGAGGAGGAAAACAAGAAAAATATATATTCTGAATCTCAGAAGCCAGAACAGCAAGAGGGATCGCTGCGCAGTGAAATCAGCAATCCCTCTTGCTGTTCTGGCTTCTGGGATAGCTGCGCAGCCTGCATTCGCTCCATAAGACGCACACACATTTCCACTTACCGGTACTTTTTAGGAGGGAAAAAGTGAGTCTTATAGAGCAAAAAATACGGTACTTACTTTGAGAATGTGGCTACAGTTTGCTGGGGAAGATGCAAGGTAGGCTTCCATTGAAGTTGTTGCTCTCAGCGTCTGGGGTGGCTGCATATTTCCTGACCCCTTGAAGCCGAGAAGTAGGTTAGGGTTCAATTTGTAGCTCAGGATGGAAGCCAGAGTCAGTGCCACTGTTACCAAAATTTATAGATTTGCCAGAGAAGATCAATATAGGTCAGGGGCCAAACCTGCAGGTGAGATTTAGCAGCCTCTAGAGCAGGGCCTCCATGTTACAGAAATCTTTAACTCTCATTTCCTGGATCAGGCCCATCAAGACAAGCATCCTGTACTCAACAGTACTGCAAGCAGGACCTGAGCACAACAGTGCTCTCCACTCCTGTGTTTTCCAGCTACTGGTATTCAGAAGCATTCTGACAGTGGAAGTAGAACATAACCAATCAAAAACAGTAGCACAGGCCATGCTGGTTGTGGGAGCTGGGAATCCAACAACATCCGAAAGACCAAAGGTCCGTCAGCCATTCTGTAGGGAGACAGGAATCATGGAAATTAGCAGCCAGACAATGGTTAGTAATCAGGGCTGCCTGTCTTGTGCAGGGGCAGGGAAATTTCCGGCTCTCCATATTTAATGGACTCCCAACTCCCATCAGCCCCAGCCAACAGTGATGGGAGCTGTGGTCCAACAACAGCTGGAGGCCCAGGTTTGGGAAACCCTGGTCTCATGTTTGAGTGTGAGGCGGGATTTTGGAGAATTTTTGCTTTAGCGCACTGCTGTGGAGTTCTATAGTCTCCCTCCCACATCAATATATAGAATATTTGCTTGTCCATCTAGGGATTCCTGGCCCAGTATTGGCCCCCAATATTGCAACAGAGGGCCTGCTGCTGTTTAGTCTTGCCACCACTATTTTATTATATGCAGTATCCCTGCAACATACACTATATGTTAAAAGTACCTGCTTTTGTTATTCCTTTTTACTTCCCGCCTTCAGCATTACATAAAAAAATAATACAATAATATTCCCGTACATATTTTATCACCTACCTTAGCTAGATACAGGGCTGACAGACTGGGGAATTAGGGTTTGAAGGTCAAAACAAATGTGATTTATTAAAATTTAAATACAGAAGAACATATTTAGTTGCAATTTGGTTATGTAACAATACTTTGCTTATTGATGTTACACTTAAATTTAATGATTACATTTATTTTATTTTATTATTTATTTTAATGCTTTTGCTGCTACACAAATACCTTTCCTACAGTAAAACCATTACTGAAACCTGGCAACTTTCTTCAGCATCAGCAACTGATTAACGGCCTCTTGGCAGATTGCCTGCTGAACCCCAGTCAGGTCCGGCCCACCCATGAGGTAAAGTGAAACAACTACCTCAGGCAGCAGAATCCACAGGGGCATCAGTTCCCGATGTCAATCTTTCTTCCCCCCACCCCTTGTTCCTGATGTAGATCTTCCCTCACCCCTTCTTTCCTGGCAGGGAGGGGGGAGTCATTGTGGGGTCCTCCTCAGATGCCAAAATGTCTTGCGCTGGCCTTGAACCCATCCAATGCATTGCTCTGGCTTCAGCTAGGAGTACAAGACCATTGTCCCCTTCACACAGTTGATGATACAAAGTCTGAGCCGTGTTTAAAATTTTCCTTGGAAATACACAGTTTCTACACATTGTCAAGAACTTTAAAGCTGTATTTATCCAATAAAGAATATAAAGTATTTTGCACAATGCAGGCAAACACTTTTTTTTTAGTAGTTAGCATTCTCAGGGAAAGTGCGTACCTCTAAAACATATTTCTGCAGGTTTGCAGATTTCTTGAAACTGGCATGTCTGACAGTTCACTTGCTATTTGTTCTTGCTAAAGAGAGTGTTCTTTTTAGTTGTTAATTGTTTCTTATAGAATGTGGAAATTCTCCTGATTTTAAATTCAACATGTCTTTGTTCTATGTTATAAACCATGGGTAGGCAAACTAAGGTCCGGGGCTGGATTTGTCCCAATCGCCTTCTCAATCCAGCCCACGGACGGTCTGGGAATCAGCGTGTTTTTACATGAGTAGAATGTGTGCTTTTATTCAAAATGCATCTCTGGGTTATTTGTGGGGCCTGCCTGGTGTTTTTACATGAGTAGAATGCGTGCTTATATTTAAAATGCATCTCTGGGTTATTTGTGGGGCATAGGAATTCATTCATTTTTTCCTTTCAAAATATAATTGGCCCCCCACAAGGTCTGAGGGACAGTGGACCGGCCCCCTGCTGAAAAAGTTTGCTGACCCCTGTTATAAACCATGTAAAAAGGTAAAGGACCCCAACAGTTAAGTCCAGTTGCGAACAAGTCTGGGGTTGCGGCGCTCATCTCGCTTTATTGGCCGAGGGAGCTGGTGTACAGCTTCCAGGTCATGTGGCCAGCATGACTAAGCCGCTTCTGGTGAACCAGAGCAGTGCACAGAAATGCTGTTTACCTTCCCCATGGAGTGGTACCTATTTATCTACTTGCACTTTGATGTGCTTTTGAACTGCTAGGTTGGCAGGAGCTGGGACTGAGCAACGGGAGCTCACCCCGTCGCAGGGATTCGAACCACTGTCCATGTAGAGATATATAAATTGCCCACATAAATAATTTTGCTATGGGCCATAAGATTTATAGAATTTAGCTTGTCTATGAAAAGCTGGGAGAAAAACCAACGAAAAAGGGTGATTACTTCAAGCTATATATAAGTATGAGGGACGCGGGTGGCGCTGTGGGTAAAACCTCAGCGCCTAGGACTTGCCGATTGCATGGTCGGCGGTTCGAATCCCCGCGGCAGGGTGCGCTCCCGTTGTTCGGTCCCAGCGCCTGCCAACCTAGCAGTTTGAAAGCACCTCCGGGTGCAAGTAGATAAATAGGGACCGCTTTCTAGCGGGAAGGTAAACAGTGTTCCGTGTGCTGCGCTGGCTCGCCAGATGCAGCTTGTCATGCTGGCCACGTGACCTGGAAGTGTCTGCGGACAGCGCTGGCTCCCGGCCTATAGAGTGAGATGAGCGCACAACCCTAGAGTCTGGCAAGACTGGCCCGAACGGGCAGGGGTACCTTTACCTTTATATATAAGTATAAGAAAGCAAACATATAGAATAATTCTGAAGAACAGTTTTGTTCCCAAAAACGCCTGTGCCCTCCTCCTACCACAGTGTGGCGCCTGTGGCCTATCTTTGTGAATCACAGGCTTCACGCTCGCCCCCCCCCCCCCCCCCCCAGGTTACACAGATATTTTCCATGCATATTTTTAACCGCTGTACATCTCTGGATGATTCAGATTAAGCTTCCCGAAAGAGTCTGGTTAGCCATGGTTTAGAAACTGGACTCTAGACTAGCCCAACCCTTTGTCTGAACTGGCTTATAGATAAGCAAATTGCAAGGAACTGCCATATGACTTCCCTATAACAAACTAGCTAGAGGAAAGATTTGGAATTTTCAGCATCCTCTGAGCACAGTTTGCATTTATGAACGCATTTCCAAATAAAAATGGGAAAGGCCCAGTCTTGAACCACAATAACTTGAACTACGATAACTAAGAACCTCCCTAGCTACAGGACTCATTTTTCCTTCAACTCATTCAGAAGGGCTTTAAACAACAACAAACAATAGGTTGGTATTTCCCCAAAATTTAAACATTCCATCAGCCTAAAGTGTTCTGTTTTTGAAAAATAACCAGGTCCTTTTTCCCATGTAAGGCAGGCAGCCTAATTAAAGCACCAAGCAGGGCATCATCACTGATGTCTACATTACCATTTTTAAATGCACTTGTTGCAATCTGAGATTTGCTTGTTGGTAATAAATGCAGAGGATCAACAAACTGTTGGCCACATTTCCTCAATGCACAACAACACCTTTTAGGTAGGCATTTGCTAATTACTAAATATTCATTCATTTGCTGGTTGCTAAATATTCATTATTACTGTTAATTACTAGAATTTCTGCAGAGCCTGGAGGCCACAAAAGAAATCAAGGCTCTGCATGAGATTACAAATGCAGATTTAAAAGGGAGTGAAGAAAGAAAAATGATTTTTTGAGTGAATCGTGATTCAGCCTGTCTTTATGGTGGCTCAGTATTACGTGCTTTAGCAAAGCAGTGTTTAAAAAGCAGAGCAGTTAAGAAGTGCTCCATTCCTTGTTGTTTTCTCTCAACGGATATTTTGCAAGTGGGTTGTGAGATGGAAGGGTTAATGTTTCCATGATAAGAAGTTTAAAAGACGAATTGTATGTTTGGTCAAACCCATGGAATAGGTCTCCTGACAAGACACTCATCACTTATAAGAATAGTCTTAGGGAAAAGAAACATTTGCACATGCAGCTTATCATTCGATAGCACTGAATTTTTGTGGGGGAAGTTGGATTTGTAGAAATTCTCCCATGTATGGAACGGGTGAAGGCACAGAAGCTCAGGTCTATGTGGAATCACATCTTCCCCCATCTGTGCCCCTTTGTAGACACAGGTAGTGAGGATGTATCACTTATATTCCACAGGACAGGCGTTGAATGCGCTTGCTTGTGGCGTGGTAACGTTCCATCCACTGCTGTAGAATATCATAGGGTATGCTTGAAAAACCCATCTGCCCAAAAGTGTGAGTGGCTTCTTTCTGGTCCTCATTGTGTTTCACCTCATTGACTACTTTGAAATACCATGGTAACCACCTCATCATAATGCAACCCACTGCCCCTTCCTGGTGTTCTGTTTACTTGCACAGCTGCTGTTTCTTACAACAACTTCACCATAGTCAAGGAGACCTTCCAAGCTGAAATCACTTGGTTTCCTCTCCCCACCCCACCCCCACAAAAACACAAACACACAGTAGCAACAGAACGTGTTGGTCTCCAAATGCAATCACCCTTGACTAGCATTCAGCACCTGTGTGTCTAGGCAAACTTCTAAATGACCCAGCCATGGAACTGGGCACTGCTTCAAGTAAGAAAGGCCCACACAGCCGGGTCATTGACATATTCTATCTGTAAAATTAAACATGCTCAGGAGCTGCTTGTTCACAAAGAGCTCCCACGGTGCTAGGAGAATGTCTAAAGGCACCTGTATCTCCTCAGACATAATGGACAAGCAATTCCACTGTTGTGTCCTCAGAATAGCAGCAGATGCCTCTGACCTGCAGACGTAGGTCCCATCTGCATTATATGTTTGAAGCCATATCATATCACTTGAAAATGTCCCCACCTTGCTCTGACCCCAGCAGCTCTATACAGGCAGGCAGGCAGGCAGGCAGGCACATCATTCCTTTTCCTGCCCTGAATCTCCTTCAGTCTTGGAGATATGTGTGTGACGCCATTTATGAATTAGCTTGGCCTCATGCTGAATCCACCTTCCACAATCTCTTTCAAGTATTTGCTGCGGTTCTTCCTGTTATGATAAAAAGAGTTTCTGATCGTCCCTTTAGTGAAGCCAGGGGACATTTCTTTTTCAAAGACCAAAAATGGGAGGAGAAATCTCTGTGACATATTTTGCCTTGCCTAATCCCCTCTCGACTCTTGATGCCTTTGAAAATCTTCCCCTAGAGCAATTTCTTTCCTGCTGCTCTGTTTCCATACTTTGTGTTGTTTGCATATGCTGACATGGAGACAGATATGAAATGTGGTATGTGTGTGTCTATATATATATATAATCTCACTTTGAGAGGGACCATCCTGATGTCTGGCAAGCACATCCCCCTCTCAACCCATGTTTTTCCATTTCTTGCATGGTCTGATACTTTAAATGAATAGCATCCCTCCTTTAACTAAGGGGGTTTAGAGATGGCAGCCCTCATAATAAGAGCCAATAATTAGTTAGCAAAGAATAGCAGGTGATAAACAAGCTCAGATTTGTCATTTTGAAATCAAGGTTAAAGCTTTTGTGAAGAGCAGCTCTTCTGGAAGCACAAGAACAGAAGAACAGAAATACAAAGTGAATTTCACTTAATGGGTACAACAAGCTTTTTTTTGGTGGTGGAACTTTGGGATTTTCATCATGAAAGCAGCTCTCAAGGAAAGGCCTGACTCCTTCAGCAACATCTTCTTGGCCACTTGCTGTGGTTGCTTTTTGCTAAAACTTAGAGAACAGCAATCACGTAATTATGGATCTCCATTATACTATCTAGTTAGGGATGTAGGATAGGTTTAGTCTATTTGAATCTTTCTTGAAATATCTGCTGGTGATTTGAGACCTACAACTGGATCTATTGTGTTTTTAAAGGGTTGCTGTCTTTTAAGGGGTTGGTGGAAGAAAAATGGGCGTGTTAGGGCCTCCGTCTGAAAAGGCTACTCAAGTAGGGGCTATTTCCATTCTACTGATCCCAACAGTGCTGACAAATGGCGTACTACAGGCTGGTCTGCTACCAGCTTGTCCATAAGGAGAAGGAGAACTGTGTGTGAATCCAGCAATAATCTCAACAGGACTAAGGAGCGGATTTCTATACACACTGTAACAGCAAAAGTTTCACCTGGACCCTCTCTGAGCTCCTGGTTCTATGCAGTAGTGTTAAATCAGGATCATAGGCAGCCATTGGCTGCAGGAAATTCATAATATCATTGTTCCAGTCTCTATTCACAGTCTGAAGCTAAACAGGTCTGGATCTGGTCAGTGCCTAGACAGGTGATCTCCTAGGAACCACACGTACGCCACCTTGGGCTCCTGCAGAATCAATCCAGTCCACAATGCACATGGTTCATACTAGCAAAATCTAGCAAGTCTCTCAAGCAATGGCAGTGATGAGACTTAGGGCTCATCCACATTTACCTTTAGCCCCATGTGTTCTGTATCCATACTTTCCCAGTCCATGTCTGAGAGCTCCACCCCACCCCACTCCCACTTTCCCCAGGAAAACCCACTCTTTAATGCTGAATCAGAATAGTGGTAAAGAGCGGGTTTTCATAGGGAATGCTGAAGGGAGTGTTTGATGGAGGGTGTATCTTAGTTCTTCAGGCAACCAAGTTCCATTTGATTCTCACTATGTGACATCTGCAAAGAACAAATATTAAGAAAGTTGGGTGGTCTGCATCCACTGTTCCTGCCTCTTTTAATGCCCACTGAGTTGCTTATCAACACCAGAGTCCAAGAGAACTGAATAACCAAGTTGGCTCAAAGTCTGTAGCCAAACATAACACCTACTGCTCACAGTCAGAATATTGTATTTTACCCAATTATTTACCTTGGAAGGTTGGCAGGAACATAGGTCTGCTTCCCACAAACAATAATCTTAGTGCACAACCCCTTCATTAAGATATTATTCAATTAGTATATAACAGTGAGAGCAGAGGATGGAGCCAGTTTGAGAAGCCGTTGCTGGAAACTCTTTACTAGGTAAAAGCTACCTGCCACGTCATCCACTTTTGGTAAGAACAAAACAGAAACAGATTATTTGGGGACTGGGCATTTAGAAGAAAATTTCTTAAGAATGTAAATACTCTGGTTGATGTTTTTTCTATCCAAAAAAAAAAAAAAAAACAGAGAACAATGTGGAAGCTGACATCTGTCCTTTAAAATATTGTTCTTGAACTGGTGATTCAGGACTTACTAACTCAGTTACAGCAGCCTAACCACAGATGAGTTGCAACACCGATACAGCCACCACACAAAGATTTGGTAAAAAGTTATGAAGTAGGTCTCCAAATGCGTGTTTGGGCTAAAGGTGGGTCCCAGATTTGAAAACTACTGCCATAGAACATGTTTAAGGTAGTGGTGCTCTCCCTGTGGAATGCCCTCTCTTCAGACATCAAGGAAAGAAACAACTATCTGACTTTTAGAACACATCTGAAGGCGGCCGTATTTATGGAAGTTTTTAGGAGCTGATATTTTTATTATTATTTTAGGTATGTTGGAAGCTGCCCAGAGTGGCTGGGGTATAAATAATAAACTTATTACTGTTATTGTTATTGTTATCGTTATCGTTATCGTTATTACTGTGTGCTACAATTGAGCTTTCATTTTGTACAGGCTTGCTTCTTTGCATTTAATTCAGTGGTGGAAAATATGCATATAGGTGGTATGACTAACAAGACTGAATTTGTCCTCAGAATCCACATGGGTGTAAGTGTGCCATAATATTCACACTGAGATCTGAGAGACACACAGGGTGTCTCTGGAGGCGGGTGAAGAGCAGGGAATAAACTTCCACAGGGGAGGAGAAACAGGTGAGGGAAACAACGAGGTATAAAAGGTCAAGTCTAGGAGAGCAGGGAGAAGAAGAAAAAAGAAATGGAGAGGGATGAGGAAGCCATTTAGGAGTGTTTAGGTTGTGCGTTGCTGCTAGAAAATTCAGGCAGTGATACGGACCACTGACACAAGAAAGCACAGCAAGGGAAACTAGACTGGAGCATAACAGGAACTAGTAAAACCTTATTTCTTACTTTCTTATGGTGCATCCAGACTGACAGTATTTTGCTGGAGGGATTCAAAAACATACTGTACCTTTGGAATTTGCACTTAAAGTGGAATAAATGGTTCTATTGCCCCATCCTATCACAACAAATCCACTTTTGAGAATAATTAGTTTGCAGTTTGCAACGTGACAGGGAAATGCATTGAAAAATGACATGGGACAAACAAAGGGAAGACATGTAAATATCCCACAAGCAAATTAGGATGCTCATTGTCACAAAACTGTAGTACATGCTAATGTTGCTGGGAACTGCAGCATTGTGATGGGAAAACTACAGTTCCCAGAACTCTTTGGGGAAAGTAAGGTAAAGGTAAAGGGACCCCTGACCATTAGGTCCAGTCGTGACCGACTCTGGGGTTGCGGCACTCATCTCGCTTTATTGGCCGAGGGAGCCAGCGTACAGCTTCCAGGTCATGTGGCCAGCATGACTAAGCCGCTTCTGCCGAACCAGAGCAGTGCACGGAAATGCCGTTTACCTTCCTGCCGGAGCAGTACCTATTTATCTACTTGCACTTTGACGTGCTTTCGAACTGCTAGGTTGGCAGGAGCAGGGACCGAACAACGGGAGCTCACCCCGTCGCGGGGATTCGAACCGCCGACCTTCTGATAGGCAAGTCCTAGGCTTTGTGGTTTAACCCACAGCGCCACCTGTGCTTTAAATATATGGTGTATATGCAGTCTTAATAGGTAAAGTAAAACGATGACTTTCCTTTCAAACAGCCTGTATCACGGTGCAGATGGACCTTTTGTCTCTTTGTGCTGGTATTTCTTGGGAATCTAAGATACGGAAAACATATTATTATTATTTTATCACTGTTTCTTTCTTTGCAAAGGTGCTTTCCCCATGTGTCAGGGGCAATGATGCAAAGCCTTTGGAATGTGGTTCTGATCTTCTTTTACTGCAAAACCAGAGCCAGTATAGTTGACCCAACTGTTGGGGAAGGAAGAAGAGAGTATCTGCTTGGAAATGGAAGCTATATACCAGCTAGTAAAACAGTGAGACTAATCAGAACTGCAAGGAGTCAAGTCGGTTCATTTGCGAACAGAGCGGTCTATGCCTCTATCACCGCAGGCATCAGTGACACTGCATTCAATGACTGTAAGTAACCAGCATGGCATATTACCATTGCATACGCTGCCCTAACTGCCAGAAATAAACTCTTCCATCAGAAATACTGAGTGAAAACAGGGATATGGCATTGCTTTTGCAGTTATTCTCTTTGATGTTTCTTCCCTGTCACCTAAACTCCCATTTCAAGCAGGGACTGGGAACCTCAGTCCTGTGGGCCGAATGCAGCCCTCTGCCTGGCACTTAGAGCCCTCCCAGGCCACCCCCCTCACTGGTCCTGCTTTTTTCAGCCTGGAATGTTTCCTTGAATTCTGATGGAGGATGGAAGATAGAGATGGGGTTATGTTAGTGTGCAGAAATGATGTTAGCTGCACAAAGATTTAAAAAAATTCATTATTGCTCTGCTCACCTTTACCTTTTCACCCGATGCTGGTGTATGGACATTGGAAGCGGGCCCAGAAGGAAATGCATGTTAAGTATAATTGTTTAATGCACATTAAAATGGAAAATAACTCTTGTGATGTGTCTGTATGTATGCATGGCATGGAAATTTCCACTGAAGCTAAATTGGAGCTGAGTAGAGAGACTAACAGTTGATCATTAAGTGAGGCTGTATCTCTGCTGGGTCAGTCACAAAGTGTTTAACTTCAACCACATGAAAAGTATACTGTTATAAATCTATGCGTATGCTAATTTGTAGAGCTCCATCTTGGGTGGAGCAAGTCTTTGTTCTGAAACTGCTGAGGAGAATGTTGCTAATCTCTTTCCAGGAAAACAGCCTCAGGCTAATGGAGGCTGTTTGGAGAAGATGCAGAGCTTTGATTTTTAGCTCTGGATGGAAGAGGTTTTTTTAGTCTAAGATATTTTACCTGTGCTGGGATTAGCAAATGATATTATGCAACTATTTGAATGTAACTTTGTTGTTTTACGTTTTTCTGGAGTTAAGTTATGTAAGTAGGCCTTTGAACCATATTTTTGGACTGGATAATTTTTATTTCAAAGAAGAGTAAGTTTTTATTTATCCAGTTTGCTTCCGTATCAATAACCTCAATAATGCAGCCCTCAGGCTGAGAAAGGTTCCCTATTCCTGATTTAAGGCTCCCTCTTGCAGAAGGTGAGTGTTTATTTAATGATCAAAACATGCAAATTGTTTTTCTGGATTGGACCAGGTATTCATTTTATCTAGCATTCTGCTGCAAACAGTGGCCAGTCAAATGGTCCTCTGGGTGTCCATAAGCAGAACATGAAGGTAATAAGACTTCCTTTGTTGCTATTTTCCTAAACATCTGGTGGTTTCACTGGTTATTCTGGATCCCTGAAACATGGCATCAATTTGCCACAAGCCATTCCCCCACCCCAGTGCTAGGAGCCCTGCTCAGGTCAAGAAAACAACAACAGCTGACCTTCTCTTGCAGTTTAAAAGTTTGTGGTTGAATCCAGCATTTATAAGCAGAAGAGATAACATCGTGTACAAAAGTTCCCCCCTTCCCACTTTATCTCCCTGCTTTGCAAAGATTCTCTATTTATCATAAAGTAATAGATGCCTTAAATCATGGTCAGCCTTTTCTCTGGGAATTTGTCAGGTTATTTAACTGTGATGGATCATTGTGATACCCCAGCCCTTGAATTTTGTGACCTTCCGTGTTCTCTAACTCCCTTAAAGCTGGTTTGTGAAGAAGTCAGTGTACCACCTCCCACTTTCAGATATACAAGGCTTACTGTCAGAGGTGATCAAGCAACTGCTGCCACTGGACATAACAAACTCACTGCCGAAGACAATCAAAGATGTAAGTGAGCGCTTAAAAGGCAGAGAAGATACAAAATTGACTGGAAGCTTGAGAAACAAGGCTGATGAAACAGAGATGCTCAAAGTGATACAAAGTATAACACAGTAAGTATATCACTGTTGAAGACAGCTCTCATCATGAGTGGCACGCCCAGACCAGGGCAGTATCTTTACAGATGTTGGTTTATAGGCTATGCGCCACCTTCAAAGCCTTTTTTTAAATATTCAGATGCCCCTACAATAGGGGTGGGGAACCTGTGGCCCACCAGATGTTTTTGGATTCCTGTTCCCACCAGTCCCAGCCATTGTGGTCAATGGTCAGGGATGATAGGAGCTGTAGTCTGGTGAGAGACTTCCGGGACAGTGCCATCGGCAATGGCGGAGTTCCTCTGACAGAGAGGAACCCGCTCTGTGAAAATCGGGTCTTGCCGCCGTGGCGAAGGCGGAGACCCTTTAAAAATCCCAGGCGGAGGAAGCCTGGGAACGTGGGATTCGGCTGACACCAGGAGCACCTCCCCTACTCGCAGGGAAACCCTTTTTCGGGGGTCCGAAGCGACGTGGGGTGAGTGGCGCGGTGTTTTGAATCAACCGCTACTTTTACGGAGTGAAGCCGCACAGCCGTTGCCGGAGAGCGCTGACCTTTTCCTGTGGATATTTGGACTCTAAACAAGTACCCGTGAGTAGGACGGAAAATTGGATTAAGTATCAAGAAATATCTTAATTTGGCACCGAAACGGGAAGGTTCTAAACAGGAAGTCCGCCTCCCGTTTTTTGTAAATAGATTGAAGCAAAAACTTTGTAAGCTAAAGTCTGGAAAGTCGTATATAAAGTTCTAAATTTCCTTCATTTATCACCACCAAAACCCCTCTTGGAAGCAGGAGAAAAGAGGGGGATTTTTGACTGTTTAAGCCTGCAGGAGAGAGAGTAAAGAAAGATAAATTTTCCACCGTCTCAAACCTGGGAATGGGGTGTCAGAGACAGAAATTTATGGAGGAAGTTCATCGACCGTGAACGGAACGTCTTTTGACAGATAGTTTTAAAAAAAAAAAAGAGAAATATATTGATTCCAATGTTGCTTCTTGCAATCAAAAGAAACAAAGTATTTGAAAAGTGAAAGTAATTTTTCCTTGTTGGTCCTGCTTTTAAAAGATGGATACAAATAGAAATTGTCTCCTCTAGAGGGAGCTTGTTAATTTGTTGCCGGAGCTGATCTGGGGACCTCACAGCTGTATGATTAGGATCATGAGACCAGACTCTAACCTTGGGGAAAAAAATGTGTTTACAAGAAGTCTCGGTGCTTGCTTTTTGCAAGACAAGTGCTTTGCTGGAGCAGATGCATGAGAAGATGGATTTGATGACTGTTGCAGTTAAAAACTTTGGACAAATGGCGAATACCTATATAGAAACCACTCAGGAACCAGCCCAGGAATCTGTTTTGATAGGGCAAGCGCAAGGGCAGAAGAAAATGGAGGAGGTTGTTGTTGAACCTCAAATAACACAAATGGAGAGACCTGAGGCCTTGCAGGAGTATAAGCCGCTGTTCTTGAAGTTCGAATCTGGAGTGGACCAGGGGGGGTCTGGAGTTGTGAGGGCTCTTAACTTTGGAAAGACTTTGAAACATGCTTTTAACTACTTTCTGGATTATAGTGTTGACTGTGGGGAATGGGCTGATCTGCTGAGGAGAGATGAAGATACTTTTGGATTGGAGTCCTCCCGAGACCTACCCCCCAATGAGAAAGGAAAGAAAATAAGAAAAAGATCAACAAAAGATAAAGTAAAGGGCAGGCATAAACAAGAAAAAGACCTGCAGAAGGAACATGGAAAAGATTTAAGAGCCTCGGACATAAGGGCACCAGGTTGATGGATTAGATAGACAAGAAAGGACTGACAAAACCCGAGACCAGGAAGAAGAGATGATGGATGAAGATTGGAAGAAAGTTTAAAAATTTATTTAGAAAAGTATTGTAAAATTAATGAGTATTAGAAAAATGTTGGAATGAAATTATTTGGCTTCAGCAGAAATGTCAAAAAGAATTATGAAAGAATATGTTATGGTTAAAAAAGTTTGGTATATATAAGTTTTAAGTTTTAGGGGGGTTTTTAGGTAAGATAAGGTTAAAATAGATTAAGGTAATTTAAATGACAGAATATTGTGAAAGATGGAAAGGATTTGCTTAGATAATTAACAACTAGAATACAAAAAAGGGAGGTGTGAGGAGGTCATTGAAATAAGTTAATGAAAGTTAAGGATTTGGGAACATTAGATTTGTCTTTTAATTGTTTGTTTATTTTTGTTTTTTGATTTAGATGTATTGTGTGTTTTGTTTTTTTGACTTTGGTTTTTATTGATCTGTATTGTTTAATTGTTATGTTTATCTACTTTTTTCTTTCTTTTTCTTCTTTTCTCTTTTCTTTCTTTTCTCTTTGTAATTTTAAAATTCTCAATAAACATCATTAAAAAAAAAATAGCTCAAGGCAAAGACCTTGCAAGTGGATCTCAAAGGAGAATTTATGATCAGAATAAAGAGAGATCTGCAAGGCTAAAAAAAAAGGAGCTGTAGTCTGGCAACATCTGGAGGGCTGCTCTAGAGCAATGCACCATGGGATAGAATATTTCCCTGATGCAATGTCATCTAACCTCCCTGAAAACAAATCAAAATGGATGCTCAATAAATAGCCAACATTGTCTTATCTATCCACCAACAAATTAGGATAAATAAACAGATTATCTGGAAGCAACATCGTCTTTGCTTAGACAAGGGGTACCAAGGCACCTCCCCAGACCTATATTTACAAGAAAGCTAGTTACAGATGAAGGTGGTTGCTAGGTGCAAAAATGGGTCATGGATTGTTTCAGTCTGGTAAGGAATCAAATGATTCTTCCAATACTATTCCGTTCTCACCAGAAGTCTGCTTGGGGGAGGAGAGATTGCAGTAAAAGACCTGCTTGACTGTCTCTTCTCAATACTCTCCCTGCTTTTTTCAGCTTGGCCATTACAAAAATTACAATTCTTCCAACTTTGATGAAGTTTTCATCTGGTGACAAGGTCCACCTTTCCCTTCCAGTTGAAATTTCCATTAAAGGTGAAAGGTAAGTGTCCAAAAAGATGGGGCTGACAGCCAGAAGAGCACCAAACACACTATTCCATTTCTAACAGTTGGCTTGAGCTGCAAAACAGCACAGGCAGAAGTTGGATAAGACTTCCAATCTCCATAGATACCCTTTCATGAAGTTACACTGTGGCTGATGTCAAGAGAAATCTTGCCTGATCCTTGGTAATAGGAAGTCAAAGAGCCCCAGTGTCACCTGTGCCCAGTAGCTCATTTCCACCCACAATGTGTACTATTGTGCCCTGATGTCCGTTGAAGTTTCTGAACAAATGTTCATCCCAAGATAAATGTTCAAAAATGTTTAATAGACTTATGGAGTTGCAAGTGGCCTTACTGGTCATCTACTCCAACCCTCCGCTTTATATGGGGTATGCAATGCATGACACAACTACTAGAGCATCCCTGACAGATGACCACCCAGCGTCTGATTTAAAAGCACCAGTGAAGATGAAGGGCCCACCACCTCCCAAGGAATTCAGTTTGACAGCTGAACAGGTCTTACAATTAGAAAGTTACACATGACGCTTCACCAAAATCTGCTCCCTTGCAATTTCCAGCCATTGGTTCTAGTCCTGCCTTTCAAGCATCAACCAAATAGTTTGTCTGTAAGTTGGCTCATTAGCCACGCAAGACAAAGTACCTTTATTGAAAAGTAAATTGCACTTTGCTGAAGGGGACTTACTCTCTGGCAAATGTGCTTAGGGCTGCAGGGTATGATATAAAAATGGGCTACCCCTGTGAAATGGCTGGTTACCACTGTTTAATATGTTTTAGAGGGCAAATGAATTGTCCATAGGGATGATTATTCTCTGTGAATTCCTATGCAGAATGTGATTGGTACAGTGGTACCTCAGCTTAAGTACTTAATTCGTTCCGGAGGTCTGTTCTTAACCTGAAACTGTTCTTAACCTGAAGCACCACTTTAGCTAATGGGGTCTCCTGCTGCTGCCGTGCCGCTAGAGCACGATTTCTGTTCTCATATTTCTGGGCTAGCGGAGTCTGTAACCTGAAGCGTATGTAACCTGAGGTACCACTGTACTTCTTGAACGAATGTGTGCATTGGTTCTAAGTCTTAACAGACTTAGTTTTATGTTGCTGAGTTTTTTAAAATGAAGTTGGAGATGTTACATTTGCTGGAAATTTTATGTCAAAATTCTGATTATGTGTTGGGATTAAATTTGTGAGTTGTTTTGATTTTTATTGTTTGATTTTTGACTTGTTAGCTGCATTTGGAGAAGTAGGTCTATTTTTGAAGACAATAAAATAGTTGTCCAGCACATTTTGCACTTCTCCAAATAATGTGACATAGTTTCTCATCAAAATACACATTTAAAGGCTAATCTTTTAGATAAAGTAAGTGTTTTGCATACATACTTTGAGAGAAAATGCACATTTCAATATATACTTTGAAATGATTTAAATTAATAATAATAATAAATTCATATAAGTGCAGAGATGGAACAGAACAGAATTATGGTTAAAACATGATAAAATGACAGAGACCAGAACTATAACATGTTAATCCTTAATGTCTATAGTCTTGGCTCTAACTCAAATCTGATTACATTGGGAATTTCTTTGAAATAAAATTCTAAAGAACAAGAATATTATTAACACAACTGAATGGTGATGGCTTTCATAGGAATGCAGATGCAGTCATTAAGAATTGTTGTTCTGCCAACATCCCGAGCCCTTGTAAAAAAGGAGAAAAATTGTTTATTTCCTTTTCCTTGGAGTTTAGCACCAAGAGTGGTGTCTTCAGTTCTGAAGTGAAAGTCAAGATTGATGTTGTATCCAAACTACTCTGGGATTCTTCCAAGAATCAGATATTCATCATTGAAGCTTCAAGGATCTTTATCAATGATATTCAAGTCAAACATCAAAAGAGGTGAGTGGGGAAGATAATTCATATCCTGGTAACTGAAGAAGGTCATGAGCAGAGAAGGATACATCTCACATACAAATCTGAGATAAAACTAAAGAGTACAATTAAATAGCTGGCTCAGCTCTTGCTGTTAATGCCATTTTTCTGGGTTAAACAGATAGGCTTCAGTCTAGATTTTAAATGCACCTGTCTCTGTTGGATTGTCCCATGTTGGATTGTCCCAAAGTGAAGAATAATGGCAAAAATGCAGCAATTTTGATAATGATAAAATCTGATTGAATTTTTTGGCAACAATTTTGGCTGCAACCTAATTATATTCCGCAGCCTTGCTAATTTGCCGTCAAACAGGCATTTTGTCTTCAGTTGTGGGTTTCTGCATGTGTAACTTGAAGACCATCAGGTCTCTTCCAAAGACTGAAGTTAAAATTATTTTTCAGTGTTTGGACGTGTGGAATACACCCAGCCATTTGCCAGCAGCATATATCCTCTAACTTTTTCATGTTCTTCCTTTATATCTGTATTCCTGTTTTGCAACCAACCTAGGTTTAAGCTTTAGAATGTGAGATAAGAATTGCAAAGCAACAGGAATACTGAAATTTCTACATGCTTATAATTGAGCCTTATAATCAGTGATGTCAATAATTCCTTTTGCTCAGTGTGGCTGGACCAGATGAGAACAACATGCAATCTGTGGTCTGGACAATTTTGATTGATGTGGTAAGCTGGGCAACTGTGTACGTTTTTTCCACGAATATATGTGTTTTTGTGCTCAGTTTCCCCTGAAATAATGCATCTTTGTACCCAATTTTTTGTTGGAGAACTGCATCATGAAATTTGGTGTAAATTTAAAAAAACAGCTGTCTTTAAGTTTGCATATTGGTTTGAGAAATGTGAATTATGTAGGTTCACATGAACTACAAGAGTTTCTTCCCTATCAAGAGCGTGCAACTCACAGTGGAGTAAAGTTGACAAAGTTCTCCAGCACTACATTTTCACTATTTGGGGACAAAAGTGTGTCTCCCTTGCTTTGGGTTTACTATTACAGGATACACACAGAAATTTCTGTGTCGCAAACGCATAGGACATTTGGATCCTGATTTGTCTGCAGGGAGATTAGATGACCTTGACTATTTAAGGAGCATTTGTTGCTATTCGTTTGTGGGGAGGCTAGACAATGCTGTGTCATAGCAAGTGTTATCTCACATTTCCCATTGCATTTCCCAATCACTTTCCTTCTTGCAAAAAGTCCAGTGTTTAGGGGGAAGTGGGGTTGTTGTGCAAAACCTCCTGCTCAGCAATGATTGTGCAACCTGGATTTGCTAGTATGTGATTGAATCCCACCCAAAAATCGCTACGGCCTAGAAGTGTCTGCAGGTATTCAGCCCTGATCTGAGTGAAATTCAGAAATTCCAGAAGAAATTCCTAGGATAGCTAATTCACTGTGTAGTTCTATACCAAAATATGCATTTTACATGATTCTTAAAGAAGTCTCTCAGCACCTTGTTTCAGGAGGACTTGGTAAGAGTCCTTTCCATTCCAAATTATTCTCTTCCTGACTTTGTGTGTTTGAATCTTTACTGTGTGCTCTGGTATCTGAAGAAGTGTGCATGCATACGAAAGCTCATACCAATAACAAACTAAGGGGCTACTGGAAGGATTTTTTTTTATTGTGTGCTCTGCATTCACTCTGTTTTACAGATCCGTCACTGCATCCGATTGGTGGCTGACATCCTTAATGTGTCACTTCTGAGTACACTGGCTTGTAAGTTGCTGATGACATACTCTTTTTCCAACCACCTTTGCTTCTGCTGGGGAGACTTTGTGGAACAGCCTAGCAGAGGCTAACAGATAACCTTGTTCAGAAACAGAACATAAGAAATCAGCTGGTAACTCTCCAAGCGTTCTATGCCCTAAATTAGGTATGGTTATCTCACAGGGATTCTCCATGGTTTTATTAAGTCAATCCATCAATGGAAGTGGTCTGTATTCAGGGACACCTATCTGGTCCCAGGAATTACTGCCAATTAACTCACTGAGCATCATAAGCAACAATTGCCCTTGTCTGATAGCCTGCCCTATTTCTAAGACTCGAGGCAAATGGTTGAACTGAATGTACTTTTCAAGTCTGTTTTAACCTTACAATTTAAAGGAGCAGCACGAAAGAGGTGGCTCAGCTCGCAATAGCCACATGCTCTTTCATGGGTTTTGCACGTGATTCAACAATCTCTTTGTATTTCTCTGCAGCTGCAGTTCCTGTTGGAACATTTGGGACCATCCATTATGATCTAATAGGTTCCCCTAAAGTAAACGATAGGTATTTCCTGATTCCTTATCAGGCAAGTATTATTCTTGGCTTTGGAGAATAGGTTGTGTTATGAAATTCTGACTAATCCCCATATCTATAACCTCTTTTCTTGCCTCGTGATTGTGGCAATGGAAGTCAGGCGTAGATGTAGTTGTGGTATGGCTTTCTGCTGCTGTTCCTGTTTTATTTCTCAAGATCTGCTTCACAAAGAGTCGGACACAACTAAACGACTAAACAACAACAATGGGTGGGAGGATAATTAGCCCAGCCTTAGGTAAAACTCCCCACTTGGGTCCATGGCCTTAAGTCTAATGACATCTGTAGAACTAAAGAGCACAGAACTTGACTGAGGGTCAGAGTGTTGGTTTTATTTCTGTAGTTCTGTATTTTCCTTACCCATCCTTCACCACAATTATTATTATTGTTACATTATTATTATTAATCCCAGGGTGGGATAAAGCAATAAAATATTCAATCCAAACACAAATGAAACAGTTGTGATCTTAAAACATTTAAAGACAATTCCACATGTAAAAATAGTTTTAAAATAGTTCCAATACAGATGGGGATTGGGACAAGATCTCCACTTAAAAGGCTTGCCGAAAGAGGAAGGTCTTCAGTAGGTCCTCAAATGATAACAGATGGGGTCTGTCTAATATGTAACAGGAGGAAAAACCAGCATGCTGAAGTCCTGATTCCTGCAGAATCCTGAAGTTATCTGCAGGAGACCCTCTTCTGCAGAGCGCAGTGGTTGATTGTGTAAAAGGGGATAAACTGGGTTTTTGAAATACAAGATTCTCAAACCAGCAAGCAGAGTTCCTGCAAACAGTTGGGAAGGAGAAATAGCAGCCTTAAGGCTGACTTACTCTCTTTAAAGGATTAACAAAGATGTCCTGCATTTTCCCCTTGGATCTCCCACCAGGCTACATTTCAGGTTTCTCTGCCGGGAAGTCCACCCAGGACCACACTTTTCCAAGTGACTCCACAGTCTGGCACTAACTTCCACTTGACTCTGAGCAAGGATTTCATCAGCATTGGGATTGCTGCCCTGACTGGAGGCTGCAGTGCCAACCTTACCAAAGGAGCAGGGGTAAAGTGACCATAACGTTTGGGTTTCCGTGCTTCTATATGACACAGTGTTGGTGCTATACATTTTGTGGCTGTAGACGAAATGTTGCCAAAATGATCTACTCTTAGCCATACATGTGCACCTGTGAGCCCTTGCAACTCCACTCCCCACACCGGTGATTCCATATTTTAGGAGCAGTATGGAGAGCAACAACAGGAGATGGATTCATATCTTGCTTGTGGGCATCTGTTTGGCTGCTGTAGAAAAGAGGATTTGCTCTGATCAGCCAGCAAGTCTCTTATGTTCTTGTTCCCCTTTACCTTTACCTTTACCTCTCCCTTTACCTCTCATGCCCCTCCCCCATCCTCTGATGGATCCATTGACTTTCTCAAGAAAAGCACCCCTTTCCATTCTAGAATCTGTTCTTTACCAAGGGTTGATAATTTTTTTCACTGGCCTCTGTGGCTGTGCTTTTAATAGTAGCTTAGTGTACAGAAACACTAGGCAAAGCTTTTATCAACCTAGAGATAACTATTTAACAGCTAATTTCTGTAAATTAAGCTGTTGCCCAAGAGAAAAATCAGCAACCCATCTCCATTACTTGTTCTTGTGTTGAGCTAGGTAGGGATGGTTGAATCTGTCATTTTTGGCTTCTCTTGAGTTCTCATTTTTCCAGTCTTAAATTCAGTTTATGACATTTCTGTAGCTATTTGCAGCATATATATATATACTTTCTGAAAATTCACCAGCATTTTACTGCTAATTTCTGCTAATGAACCCAGTTTGCACCAGAGAAATACTTTCATTACAAGCTTGTTTCCAGCAATTGCTTTGATTATGTTCTCCCTCCATCATTTAAAAGCCTCATGCAAAGCTTTCAGCTAACACTAAGAAAAGCTTCAGGGAGATATGAAACTGCAGCAAGCCCAAACAATGGAAAAGTAGCTACAAAATCTATATTATAGTAGAGGTGGGGGACCTATGGTCCTCCAGATGTTGCTGGACTATATTGTCAGCTTCGCCTTTGAGCCAGTGCCACCGACGGGGCTCAACCATTTCAGCCCCGACTGGGCCAGGCAAGTTGGGGTAGCACTTTCAGAGACCTTCTTCTGCAAGAACAGGTCTAAGTGCTGTGGACTCACAACTCAGAGCTGTGAGCACCGAACTCACTTCCAGAAGACAGTTGTGCACAGCAGAGTACAGCAGAGCATAAATCACTTGGACGACAGCGCTGAAGAATATCTTCTTTTATTCACTACAACTACTGTACTATACAAACTATATACAAATGGAGACACTGGACTGCACTGAGTGTTACAGCTGCTTTCTGCAGCAACCTTATCTACACAGAAATAACATTCAGTCTCCCCCTTTGAAGTGAGGCTGGAGCGGAATAAGTAGCAAGCACAATCCGCCCCCTCCTCTCTGGAAAATCAGCAGATTCTTGCAATGGGAGGGGTGAAATCTCCTCATATACTGCCCATCATCCTTGATGGTTGGCCATGCTGGATGGGGCTGATAGGAGCTGGAGTACAACAACAGCTGAAGGACCACCAGCTCCCCTGCTATAGAGGACTGTTCTGAGGTTATCCTTGATAGATTTAGGGCAGGATGACTGGACATTTCCTGTTTTAGAGGATTGCTTCTATTTCTAGAACAGCGTAGCCTCATAGAACATAAAAGGTCATCCTCAATCCAGAGGATGCATAATTGGCTGTGCATCTCCTTCCTTCTATTGTAATTTCACCAGATCATTTTCAAGTACACTTTCTCTAAAAATAGCATGATGAATGGAAATGGTTTGCTCCTCATCCCCTGTCCTATCACTGATTGTCCCTAATTAGCTTTCTGCTTCCTGGCTTCTCCCTCTGAAACAGACTGTCTTGTTAAGGAAGTAATATTGTTTCTGTGGTCACTTTGAACATATGTCTTGCAATGTCCCTTATTCCTGCCCTCATCTTTCATAATCAGATGCTTCTCCTTCTCCTTGCCTTTGCACACACCTTTCATCTTGTTTGAGAGAGGGAGATTGCTTCTCCCTATGCTTTGTGGATGAAGTTTAGTGCCAGGCTTATAAAAAAATGTATGAAGTGGGAAAATCCTGATTGTTCCAGCAAGTCTCCTTGACAATGGACTCCTAGAACCCATGACAATCAGGCAAAACCAAACAAAACCAAAACAAATTGTGCTTGGACACATAAAGCAGCCGATGACCACTGAGGCCAGTGGAGCAAAGGACAGAGCAGAGGGCAAGGCAACTAACAGCAGGTAGAGCTAGTGGTAAGTGGAGCCAGAGGTCCCAATAGGAAGAGCACGCTTGACACAGAGAGAAAACACTCAGAATTGAAGCAGTGGGACGGGAAAAAAGATGAGGCTAGAGGTTAGGTTGGGGAGGAAAAGGTTAAGGGTTGGGTGCTCTTGGAGACAGGAGAAAGAGAGCGAGAGAGGTTAAGTGGCAGGAGAGGGCAGAAAGAGCAAGGCCCAAGAGGCGGAAGACAGACCAATGCAAGGGGCTGGGAGAGAGGAGAAACAGAGAGTAAGGGAAGGTGGGAGCTTTTCTGTGCTGCACTGCAAGAAATGAAGTCCTTTTCACACAACACAGAAGCCAAACTCTCTTGTCAGGGTTCCTTGTCCTTGCTTTAAAGCAAAGCAACACTGTGTCCCTTCTGCTGTTTCCCATCCTGCCTCCAAAGTGGTGTGTTAGCTCATATTGGAGTTATTTGGTTCCAACTACCTACATAAGCCCTTTTTGTATGCAGAGTAAGGCAACGTGAAAGGAGAGAGGAAGAGAGACATGGTGAATGGTTCTAACATGGGAGAAGGGAAGCGTGGGCTCAAGCTGCTGCTGGTGGGTGGCCTTTTTGATTTCTCCTATTGGCCTGCTAGCCCTGAATGAGAGTGTTTCAGAAATTAATTAGAGATATCCAAAGCTGATTCACTTTACTATTCCCTTTATCAACAGAAACAACTCATGACAACTGACTTGGCAAGTGCAATTACAAAGGTTAATGTGTTTTCTTCTTATGCTCCTCTGGCAATAGGCCATTCAAACCAAGCACTTGATCTTCTCCTTATATGTGTGCATCTTTTAAAGATATACCGTGAGTCATTAAGGCTGCAGTCCCATGACAGAAAGCTCCATTGAACTCAGTGAGGCTTTCTTCTGAGAAGACATGCATAGGATTGCCCGCTTACGCAGCACAGGACATAACTAAGTCATTCAACCCAAAGTTTGCTTGCTTAAAAAAATAAGTGCTTCATACAAATTTGCATGAATAGAGTCAGCAGGCAATCACTGTTGTTGCATACAAAGTCTAACTAATTAGCTGCCTAGATGCACTGATATGCTTGCCTAAGTATTAGAATCTTATATGCTTATTAAGCTTGGAATCTGCTGAATATATATTTGCATTAAAACCTCTTTTGGTAGTAGAACCTGAACACAGTGTCTGCATTCTAAATCTCATTGTCCCATGAGACCATCCTTTAGGATAATAGTCCTGGAAATTGTGTCTTGTCCTAATGGGAATGAAGGTCTGTAGAAGTGGCAGCCACACACAGATACCAGAAGCTCATGACACCTTGCCTTCTCTTGCAGATTTCTGAGCGCTTCCCTGCTCCACAACCTTTGGTGGTAAAGATAAGGGGCTCAGATTTTCCACTCATTTCCATAGACAGCCAGAGTGTTGTGGTGAAACAGCCTCTTTTCTCTGATGTGTTTGTACATGGTCAGTCTGTCCTGCAGTGGGAAATTGTGAGTATTGAAGCAAAACACCTGCATGACCTCCATTTTATTTATTTATCTAAAAAAGGTATCCCCTTCATCAAAAGCAGAGATAGGAACCTGGGCCTTTCAGATGTTGACTGGCCACAACTCCAACAACCTCTGTCTATTGGCCATGCTGATGAGAGTTGGGAGTCAAACAGCAATTGGAGAGCCGCAGGTTCCCAATCTCTGATCAAAAGATTCCAGGAGCAGTGTAAACTAATAAATACCGCATGGCATCTGGTTGGCCACTGTGAGAACAGGATGCTGGACTTGATGAGCCATTGATCCATTCCATCAGGCTCTTCTTATGTTCTTAAATAAACTTTACAAAATGCAGAAAAAAACAAGAATTGCACAGCACATTGGCCACGGTACCCTAATTATATTCTGCCGATGGCCAGGTTCACCTCAACTAACCCTCCCTTATACATGCAAGATTCATACACATGCCCCCATACAGTAAATGCAAACTTGTCAGATTATCCTAGCCAGATTATTACTGACAAAGCAATGGTCAATTCCTGTTGAACAGAATAGAAAATAAAATAATAATAATAATAATAATAATAATAATAATAATAATAATATATTACTTATACTCCACCCAATCTGGGTGGCTTCCAACAGAATTTAAAAAACATAATGAAAGATCAGGCATTAAAACTTCATGACACAGGGCTGCCATCAGATATCTTCGAAAAGTCATATAATTTATCTCTTTGAAACAGTACACTCATAATAGGATGGTCTTGTGTTGTATGTCACTTGATGTATGTAGAAATGAATAATGTTCCCTATGCAGCCAGAGTAAATTAACAGTGTCTTTTACAAATAAGAAGAAAGAAATAGAAAAGGGGTGTGGGGTGCGCTATAATCCATGCATGTATACATGTAATTCCCAGCAGTTTCTTGCCCCCCCCCCCATGGCACAAACTTGTTATGTGATCTACAACAAACAGAACAACAATAACAACAAAACTAAGACTTTCTAGAGAGGTAGCATTTGCTGTGCCAGTTTAGGTTCCACAATTTAATACATATATTATGGCATTAGGTTTACATCTGATGAAGTAGATGCTAGTCTGTGGTGCCATAATAAATGTTAGCTCTTGAGATGCCACAACAACTTTTTTAAAAACAGTTACGACTGTAATTGAGGCTGTGCCAGTTCAGCCATTTGCAATGATACATATTTTTGTTGTTGTTGCAGGTCATCATCTTCAATGCAAAGCTCTCAGCTTCTAATGGCAAACTGTTAATCTCTTTGTCACAAAAGAGGTATGGGTATTTTTCTTACTGGATTTGTTTTCAGGTAGTAGTGAGAGATTGTGAGCAGCTAGTAGAAATAAGGAATACAACCCTGGCACACTGGTTGAAAACCACTGCTGTAGAGAGTCATGGCTTGCATCCCACCCCCTAATCTGATTGCTTTCTTTCCCTGTAGCTTTGACAGTGTTCAGGCATCCTCATCCGTTGGTTCTACCAATGTAAGTCTTCTCTTCAAGGCCTGAAATATGCCACAGGCAAATCAATCTATTTTGCATGAAACAATAGGGTGTGCTGTATAGCATGAGCCTTCAATCCACAACCTGATCTAAGAGAATTGAGGATATTGATTGCATGTTTTATAGCCAGATACTCTAGGAGGAGGTAAAGCTCTCTCTACTCCAAGTGTATCTTTGCTTTCATGTGTTCTTGTTCCATGCATTCTGTACAAACTTATCTACCTGGCTTAGGTACAGCTTTGTGGTTTGACATCTGAGAATGAAAGCTGAATACACCCTAGCCACCAGGCAAATGGGTTATTAATGGATTATGTGAAAAGCTTCCTGATGAAGCTGTTTGTGCATGGATTTCAGTAGATCACTTGAATCCACTTTTATTATAGTCCTTAAAAGACAGCCCAATCCTTTTAAAAAGTCTTATAGTACATGTGGTGGATATATATGGATTTAAAATATGTACTAAATGTGAGACTCAGGCCTGTCTATGATTCTACTGAAAGAATGTCCTATATTCCAGGCCCAGAAGCTCCATGAGTACATCAACGACCTTCATACAAACAGCTTCCTACCAGCCATGAATGGTAAGCCAGGCAGCTGTTTCACAGAAAACGGAGGGCTTCAGCTGAGGGAACGGGAGCTAACATTTCATGAGGGGCTGCTCAGCTAAGTAATGACCATTGGCTGTTCTCTGTTCTAGGCATGCTCAGGAGAGGAATTACCTTGCCTTCCATGCTAAATGTCAAGTGGACCAAAGTCAACACTGCCCTTTTCCAGGTACAGCAAAGAACCAGAACCCTAAACGGCCTTGGTCCAGTATATCTGAGGGAGCGTCTCCACCCCCATCGTTCTACCCGGACACTGAGGTCCAGCGCCGAGGGCCTTCTGGCGGTTCCCTCACTGCAAGAAGCCAAGTTACAGGGAACCAGGCAGAGGGCCTTCTCGGTAGTGGCGCCTTCCCTGTGGAACACCCTCCCACCAGATGTCAAAGAGAACAACAACTACCAGGCTTTTAGAAGACATCTGAAGGCAGCCCTGTTTCGGGAAGCTTTTAATGTTTGATGTATTATAGTATTTTAATATTCTTTTGGAAGCCACCCAGAGTGGCCGGGGAAGCCCAGCCAGATGGGCGGGGTATAAATAATAAATTATTATTATTATTATTATTATTATTATTATTATTATTATTATTGTAGCAAATGCCCAGCAATGGAAGGCTGCCATCCTTCTAGCACCACCTTGGCATTACAAGATGGACACTGTGGAGGAAGGGGACCTATTTTCTTGTTTAGATCCAGTTATTTGGTTCCATGTGTATATTGTATGTGTCCTGCTTTCCAAGGGAAGTGGGAGCACGAAAACAAGGTCAAGCAAAGAGCAGCATCCACGAATCCTGCTGGCTAAGCTCTGAAAGGTGTCGTCTTAGGAAAGAGCTAGGCCCACCTAGGTAGGCTGGCAAGGTCTGCATTGTAGTTGGCCCCACCTGCTTGAGGAGCTAGCTGTTCTGACTCAAAGGGTCCTCACCCAATTCTGCACTTCTGCAATGTGGAAGGGATGGGATGGGATGTTATTGGGGGTTCAACCTGTGAGTTGGAGGGAAGCAAAAGAACTATGTCCTTAGGTTAGGAAGGCCCATGGGAACGTACCATTGAGGGGCTCCCACTGAGTGGAGTTGCCTGTGTTTCCTCATCTGTTTCCTCCTCAAGGTAGTGCACTGGGCTGGGTACTTCCATCTGTTATTGGAATAAATACTGGTATCTCAAAGGAATAATTTAAACATCTATAACTTCTCTCTTTTTAGGATGGTCTAGTGATTTCAATGTGACCAATCAAATCAGCAGCACCTTGAAGAGGCAGAATGTTAAAAGAGTTCATCAAATGTTCACTTCAAACTGGTTGGATTATATGTTCTAATGCTCTGGGATTTATCATATTTCAGCTGCCAAACTTCCGGGTGATGGCTGTTAATTCAGTTTGTTGTAGGTACCGCATTTCTTGTATATCCTGTAATAAAGGGCTCACATGACCCTCTAAGTGTGTAAAGGCTGAGCTCTTCATCTCTTGGTAGGAGGGACACCAATATGCAAGAATTATAGAATTGTAGAGTTGGGAGGAATCCAATAGGTTCAATCCAATCCAACACCCTCAGTGCAGAAGTCATACCTTGACACATGATATGCTTAGTTCCCTGTCTCATCTTCTACTAGAGGCTTTTTATGGTACCTTTTAAAAAAGCCAGGTGGGCAGTGTACAAAAAAGGTCATTAACCCAAAATGATGCAATAGGGATTGGCAGTACTCAGAAATACACTTTGGGCTCTGCTCATTAAAGCAACAACTTCCTAGTAGCCAGGAAAGCTGCATAATATTTAAAGGTTGTGCTTATTTGAATTGTTCACTGTGATTGGAAGCTTTAATTTGGAAATAAGTTCTGTCCACAGTCCTCCTTTCCATCTATACAAGGGGTTGTCAACCTGGTCCCTGCTACCTACTAGTGGATTCTAGGTGGGCGGTAAGGGGTTCTACAGCACAAGCTGAATCCTCCTTCCATCGAGCACTGGTGGGCGGTAAGGAAATTTGACCACCAAGAAAGATGCATTAGTGGGCGGTAGGTATAAAAAAGTTGACTACCCCTGATCTATACAGATTGTGGTAGGACCAAGGCTCCTCCAGCCTCTTCCTGCAAGTCTTGTTGCCACAAGCACTATATCCCTCATGCCTCTCCCTTCACTTCTGTGATTGCACCCAACCAAATACAGGTTTTCTCCTGTGGTCAACAGCTCTTAACCCAGAGTGCTGTTATACCTGACCCTGACCATTGTGATCTTGAAAGGTCCTGCTAATGCTTCCTCTGGCAAATCATGCTGAGCTGCCCAGAGCACAGTCGCTTTCTTCCCTTATTAAGCATGCCAGGCACCTTTCCGCACAGTTCCTGTGTTGACATGATGCCCTTCTGCTACACAGATGGGGGAGATGGTGGCTGCTCGCTGCTCGCTGCCACTCCCAGATAGAAAGTCTGGTTCATCTATTATGCAGCAAACATAACAGGGCAGTTCTGTTGGAGAGATGAGGAGCGTCAGGCACACAGCAGGAAGGAACCCCGTGGCCTTTCCCCCGCTATTGTGTATTCCTTGACTCTGACTCAATTTCTCACTCTCCCAGCTGTGATGACCACCTGGGCAGGACCTGGCTTTGGCCCTCCAGCTCTGTGGTGGGGAGAACTGGGCTTCAAAGACACGAGGAGAATGTGTAGATTTATGCAAGTGTGGTGCCAGAAGAGTCACAAGGCAAGAGCCTTCTCAGGGATGGAAGCAGAAATGCTAAAGCTGTAGGGTGTCCATGTGTTTGACTTTACAGAGGACAGCCCTCTAAACTGAAGTGCTGTCTGTCTGGAGGTATCCTCACTTTGAAGGGTTGTCCTGACTAAGTCCATTTTAAAGATAAAGAACGACGAAAAGGAAGGACAGCAGCCTTGAAGCTTATCAACAACACGGAAGAGCAAATTGAGCTGGCACATGTTCCCTAATCACAGTCTTTCCCACATTGGTGTGTTGTACTTCTATTTAACTCAGAGTAGCTGTTTCCCAATTTGCATCTATACATATAAATCACCCTATGCAATTTTTAAGCAGATAAATGCCCTCTTCTGCTGAATCCTTGGTGAATTCCTCTCTTTTTGGCAGTGCATCGGTCTGGGATATAAAACCCACAAACAGCAAATAATACAGATGCCAGATGTAGTGGACAGTCACATTGTTCAATATGGAAGGTTCTAGAAGACTGGATTTCAAACTGTGTCCCGAGCACTGGCGGAAGAAGAGGAGTGCGGGGGGAGCGCACCGCCCCCGGCAGCACGATCCCATCAGGGTGCCATCGTGGCTGTCCCCCCGGTGCACTGGGCGCCCCGCCCCCACCTGCTCCCCGCTCCCTTGTGCCGGAGCATGAAGCTCCACCACTGGTCCCGAGGGACCTTGTTAAGAGAATCTTTGGTTTTGAGGATATGTATCAGGAATAGCTCAATGGTGGGAAAGCACAAATTTCGGACACACTTTATTAAAAATCAGTTTGGACACCATCTCCAATTTTCTCTCATGATGTGTCAGATGGAGCAACAGTGGCCCTTTTCAGGAGTTACTTTCAATTGCTTTTTAACACATAGTATGGAGAGTGGGTTAAAGGGACACGGGTGGCGCTGTGGGTTAAGCCACAGAGCCTAGGGCTTGCCGATCAGAAGGTCAGCGGTTCGAATCCCTGCGACGGGGTGAGCTCCCGTTGCTCGGTCCCTGCTCCTGCCAACCTACAAGTTCGAAAGCACCTCAAAGTGCAAGTAGATAAATAGGTACTGCTCCGGCAGGAAGGTAAACGGTGTTTCCATGCGCTGCTCTGGTTCTCCAGAAGCAGCTTAGTCATGCTGGCCACATGACCCGGAAGCTGTACGCCGGCTCCCTCGGCCAATAAAGCGAGATGAGCGCTGCAACCCCAGAGTCGGCCACGACTGGACCTAATGGTCAGGGGTCCCTTTACCTTTACCTTTATGGAGAGTGGGTTAGTGGGAATGAGCAGGCCCCTCCACTATTATTTCAGTCACCTACTGGCTCTTAGTAGGTGACTGTCTTCAGCAGGGGACCTTTTGCATCCATGGAGGCTCCCCATACATTTCTGAACCCCACTGTGTCTTCACATGTTTATTGTGTATACTTCTAGGGGGATTTCCATAGTGGGCTACAAAAATATCACAATTAAACTAAGTATGATTATTATTAACATACCCCATAAGTGTCCCAGAAAAATTGGGACGTTGTTTTTCCCTCTGAGAGCTGGCGGCCATTTTGGGCACCGTGATCTTTTAGGGGGCACTTGACTTGTGCAGGAACACGGCAGGGAAGACGTACATCCCAGTTTGGGGAGGCAACATGTTGGGTCAACATGCTTTAAGATCATAACCCCATCATTAAAACCTAGCCCATAACAAATTTAATAAAATGTCAGTACAACCATGCATGATTGACACTTGAAAGTATGGATGTTGAGCAGGACTGAGTAGAAAGAAGCAAGAGAGACACATCTAGCTATGATTCAGTATTACATGATTCAAAACAGCATCTGTAAAATACAAGTGAAGGTAACTAAGGTTGCAATCTTAACAATGCCTATTCAAGTGAGGGTAGATGGATCTGTTGATTTTTGTTCTCTCAATTTCTCATTTTCCCAATCATAAATTCAGGTATCCCTATTTCTGCAACAATTTGCAGTGTTTTTAATCAAAAAATCCTCATGAAAACTTTTCAGCATGTTAGTGCAAATTCCTTATAATAAATATCTGTTTTGTATGCTGTTTTGACTAATGTACATATTTTATGAACACTTTTCTCAATACCTCTATTTCTGTAAACATTGGTTGGAGACATGCACCAGAAAATGTGTAAAAGTTCAAATTTTAAAGGATGGCCGTGTTTCATTTAAAGTAAGTCCCATTGATTTATATAGGGCTTGGTCCCATGTAAGTGAGATTAGGATTGCATCTTAATTCTCAGTGGTTAGTCCAGCTGTAGCAGTGGCTTAAATGAGTCCTGGGGATGGGATGAAATTCTGCTTACTGGTGTAAAGTGACAGTAATTGGAAGCAGAACAGGAGACTCCTGCTGCATTTACAAAATTATGGACCAAATCTGAGTTTCTGCATGTCTTGTTTGCATAAAATCACCTATGAGAAATCACAGATGCTCTCTATCTTTAGGTCTCTTGTCAGTTTGTGAAAGCAGATGGGGCTTGTTGCAGCAATTTCACAAATGGAAATGTGGCCTGTTTTGATTTCCCTTGCAAAAGAAAACACCACCACCACCAGATCCCTTTTGTATGACTGATAAAAGGAGTGTTGCAGAAATAGTGGCAGTTGTTAAAACTCTGTGACTGGTGGACAGCCCTTCCCTTGACCCTGAACAGTACATTAAGGGTTCAAGAATCAACCTTATCTGATGAAGAACGGTTGCATAAATGTTAGCAACAAGCCTGGTAAAATAAGACAGGTGATTGATGTTAACGTAACAGCCATTGATTTTTCTGCCCATTTTAGGACTAGACCACAAAACAGATAGTAGGTCTTCTGTGGGGGCAGGGGGAATAGCCCTCAGATGAGGGCCCATTGCAAACAACTACGTTGATAATTCGTAGAACAACTGATATATTGTGAAGGAAGGGCAAACCATGTATCCATTCCAGTGCCAATCGAGGGGGCACAGTTTTGTAAGTTCAATAGTCTGTATTTGAATCCTGCTATCTCTAAAGGTGCTGCTCCCCATATATCTTTAGCACAACAGGACAAGTAAAGTGCAGTCAGTCACAAAGCAATAGAGCCACCTCTTTGGGCTAGTGTTATGATTTGTAAAATCAGCCCCAAGAGGACAGCGGTTGTTGAAGGGTAATAGGCAGGTGGATAAAATTGTTTCTGGACATTACAGAGCAAAGACAGTCAGTTAAAGCTGTCATGTTGGACTGCTTGAAGTTGTCTCTGCATGGCAACTGTTCCATATGATCGCTGCAAAATGTAGAGCAGTTAGCCATGTGGATCACCCTGAGTTTCACTAACACCATTGGCCGCCATGGCTAAAAATGCCCAGTGGTGCCACGTGGAGCGTCCACAAAATACAGGTGGTTCCACCCAGCAAACTGTTCAAAACATTAAGGCTGCCATATGGAGACTATTTCAAGCATCCTCCACCTGATGCCAAAATTATGCAGGCCCGCATAAAAGGGAGGGTGATGCCTTTATGTTACAAACCCCAAATAAGAAAGCACTCCAAGATGCCTGAAAATATATTTAATGCAATATCTTTGCTATATTTGGGCTCAAAGATTCCATACTACCGGTTTACATAGGAACATATGAAGCTGCTTCATACTGAGCCAGACCATTGGCCCATCTAGCTCAATATTGTGCTCTGGAAACAATGAAAGTTTGCCAGCCCTCCAATGGCTGCGTGCTAGTGTGCACATGATCTCATGGAGCATACACAGCACACAAACAAATACACCCTAAGCAATGGGGGCTGGAGTAGGCAAGCAGCTTCAGCGGAATGTAGACTCTGCCCTAATTGCCAGTTTCAGACCAGGGTACCTCCCAGTCCAAGGGACGCGGGTGGCGCTGTGGGTTAAACCACAGAGCCTAGGACTTGCTGATCAGAAGGTTGGTGGTTCGAATCCCCGCGACGGGGTGAGCTCCCGTTTCTCGGTCCCTGCTCCTGCCAACCTAGCAGTTCAAAAGCATGTCAAAGTGCAAGTAGATAAATAGGTATCGCTCCGGCGGGAAGGTAAACGGCGTTTCCGTGCGCAGCTCTGGTTCACCAGAAGCGGCTTAGTCATGCTGGCCACATGACCTGGAAGCTGTACGCTGGCTCCCTTGGCCAATAAAGCGAGATGAGCGACCTTACCTCCCAGTCCTACTTAGAGATGCTGGAGAGTCTGAACCCAGCAGCTTCCACATACAAAGCAGGTGCTCTCCCACATAAACCAACTTCAGACTGTGGTTTCTGAAAGCAGCTTGCTTAAACTAACCATAATTAACGTTAACCAGAGTTCAGTGTGGAAGCAGAAGCTTTAGAACTCCTCCTCCTGGCCACACAGAGGGAGAGGGGAACACACAATCCTAGGAGGAGGCCATGTTGTAATATACAGTTATTGACTCACACTTGCCTGCGTGAAAAGGTCAGCTTGAGCTCTGAGCTCTAGCTACATGAGCAGGTGAGGTTTAGCAGGCTCTCAGCAGCCTCTGCTCCCCATCCTCTCAGTTTCCCCTGCTTCGTTCTTCCTGGAACAAATGAACAAGGAGTCATGTGGCCATGGCTCCCTGCAAGTGAACTGAATCTCTCTAAAATGACATTTTAAAGCCTGCATCTTTGCTAACCTGAAGATTGCAAGATTGGTTTTGTAAAGAAACCAAATTATTTTCTTTTTAAAAGTTGTTTGGAACCTTTTTTGCTGTAACGCTGTGAGTAAAATATTCACTTGTTTGTAAAGCTAGCTGCCTGTGATTTAGTCCAGCCTAAGTATTTTTGTGGCGAACATTTGTTTAAAGGTGGGTGGTGGCAGAGGTAAATCTAACCAAGTTTTAATGGGCTTGACCCAATCGCCGATGTGCTAACTCTGCTATGAGAGAGCAAGAATCAATAGTAGCCATTAGTAATGTTGACACCTTGTGAAAGCACCACCATTAGAATTCTCAGATGTTTTGCTTACTAGAGCTGATAATGAAATATGCCCAAGTGTCACTGAAGATCCACTGACATCTGCCCCTGTAATCTTTCACATCCATTACTGGCACCCAGGCAACCCACAAGCAACGCCCTCACAATCCATTGAAGTATCCCATCATATCATCTAAGGATTAGCTTCTTATCCTGTACTGAATACCCAGCTTCTGTAGTTACCAAAGCCTTCCTTCATATTCCACTACTAAAGAAGACTACCCTGTGTTCTTTCCCCCTAAATGTTCAAATAAACAAGACATTTCAAAATGAACCTGCTAAAAATATGTGTGTGTGTGTGTGTGTGTGTGTGTGTGTGTGTATTTATTTATTTATTTGAATGCAAAGGCACTACTGTACATTTATAGAGAAAATACAGATGGCAAAGCATCAAAGTGCCACTTCAGAGAAATCAATGCCTTGGTTCTGCCCCCCACCCCCCCACCCCGCTCGCTATTTTATGCTTTCCCTTGTTTTTAGGTTTTTGTATGCATGTTAAAGTTCATTTATTTATAGGAGAATAAGTGTTTCTGAGTGTCCTTATTCTGAAGAGAATCTGGGAACCTGCACTCTCTTTAGCTTCGGTTATTCACCCAAATACATTTAGGAAAATTCATCAGAGGAGGCAGACTTAAGACTCAACCAATCCAGTCCAGGAGTGTGGAATTGTTTATTAAGAGATAAGGAAAACCGGATAACACAGCCATGTGTCAGTTACTGAATACAGGCAGAGCCTTGAATATACACAAAAGGAATACTAAATAACTAGGCATTAGTAAAATAAATGAAGCTGCTTCTCTCTCTCCCTCTCTCGTTTTGAAAACGACTCCTTATTTTACTGGAAAAAAATATTCACAGAACAGAACGCGCTACAGATGGCAAAGTGCCACTTCAGAGAAATCAATGTCTTGATTTGAAAAGCGTGCAATTTTCTGTTCTTCTTTGTTGTTGTTGCTTTTGTTTCAGGTTCACTTTATTCATAGCAGAATAAATTTTGCTGAGCTGCCTGTTGGCAGTGGTCCGCCATCTAGAACCACAAGAGAGGAGCAGGAGGGCTTTCTGTGAATCATTTTTTCCCTTAGGGACAGAGACATACCAGTATTTGCAGGAGGGGAAATCAGGCAGTTGCACTGGGGGACAAATTTGAGGAGGCCATGTTTGTTTGCATCATTGTCCGGCAGACCACCCTGCTCCTAGGCTAGTCAGTTTGGGATTCATGGGAAGATATGCACCGCAGGCTCCTGAATAGGAGCGATTGCAATTCAGCTTGCATGCACTGACTGGGTGACATAAATTACCTGAGATTCATTCCATGCTGGGATATTTCATGCTGAGCAGCCACTGCACATGTGAGCTAAATTGCTTTCGTTTGAGAGATGAGATCCTATAGTGCTGTCCCACCAAGTACAACATGCTGGAGGATGCTTGTACATGGCAGCAGCAGCAGGCCTGGCCTTTCTCCTTTCCCCCATGCTTTTGAGCTGACAGGTCAGACTTTGTTTCTCTTCTCTAGGAAGGTGATGCTTTCTATGTTTACATTATCATTTCTAATGCTCCACACACTTCATCTCAGTCTCTTACCTTTTTACAGCACCCTGGTAAAGTAGGTCACAGTTATTCCCCACATACTGCAGATTGTAAGAGAGTAGCCAGATCATTTGCATGTCTACTTAGAAGTAAGACCTAGAGCATGGGTAGGCAAACTAAGGCCCGGGGGCCGGATCCACCCAATCGCCTTCTCAATCCGGCCCGCAGACGGTCCGGGAATCAGTGTCTTCTTACATGAGTAGAATGTGTCCATTTATTTAAAATGCATCCCTGGGTTATTTGTGGGGCATAGGAATTCGTTTATTCCCCCCCCCCCAAAAAAAATAAAGTCCGGCCCCACACAAGGTCTGATGGACAGAGGACTGGCCCCCTGCTGAAAAAGTTTGCTGACCCCTGACCTAGAGAATAGCATGGAGCAGCATGAAGGAGCAGCCCCATCAAAGAAAATAAATCTCTAACCTCTGCATTTAGCCTCCCCCTGATTATTTCCCTCCCTTTTTGATGTCCACTATGCTGAATAGACTGCAGTTTCAGTTATCTCTGCCCCATGGTATAAATCACGGGACATGATCCAGCCAAAATTAAGCATTTTTCACATGCCATTCATTTCAATTGGGCTTTAAAGTTGATGACTGCAACATGACCCATAGTTTCACTTCCCTGCACACACACACCTGTGCCTTCTAGAAAGTTTGTCTCCTGTTCATGAGGTTCCCCCAAAATAAAATATAGCAAGTTACACGCTCCCTTTCCCCAAGTCCAAATGCTTTTTAAAATTTGCTTTGAAACTCCAGTAGATTATTTTCATCCAAGCTGCAACACTGTTGAGTTGGTGGGGGGAGCTGTGTGTGTGTGTGTGTGTGTGTGTGTGTGTGTGAGAGAGAGAGAGAGAGAGAGAGAGAGAGGGGAGGGGGGGAGGGAAGAGGATTATTGTGTTTATCAGGCGGTCTGCTTCTCTCTCCTGCCACCAAAGCTGCGTGGAGGAGGAAGCTAGCCCAGATTGATCCTATTTAGGATTCAACACAGTTATAGCCCCACTTATCTGTGACTGGACTTAATTGTCAGGGGTCCCTTTACGTTTACCTTTTACATGAGAGCAAACCACATTCCATCTAGCAGGAATTATTTCTGAGTAGACATGTAGGATTTATTATTGAATGGGTGGAGCAAATTTCTTCTGCCCAGGGGCAGCAGCCACCATCAAGGCACCACTGCTTAGGGACAAACCACAGCCATATGTCACACCCATTTGACCAACCCCTTCACCTTTGCAAAGTACTTTGAAGCAGAGAAGAAATAGAGAGGATGGAGGGGAGTGTTTAACTCTTCAGCCCTGACGCTTTGTTTTTCTTTGCAGATTATAATAAGATGATGTGTGAAAGACAGACATTTCAGGACCATGTTTCAAATGCCAGCTTTTTAAAAACTGAGCTGGTCCTATGATGCTTTTAATTGTTGCTTTATGATGTTGTTTTTCTTCTCTTTTTTTGTTATGTTTTATATTATTTGCAGTCTTGCAAGCCACCTGAAAAATCAATGTGAAAGGACAGTATTGAGTGTTTTATATAGGACTCTGTTGATGGAGGATAATTTAGTTGTTCAAAACCCTGGGTTATTACTCTACACTGCTGTGTTTTGAGATGAAAATGTGCTTTTATTATTGACCATGTGTGTTAAGATAGTTGGAGAAATTGGTGGGAAATGGCCTTGTGATTGCTATGGATAAAGAAGAGCAATCTTGAAATTCAGTAAATACATAAAATTAACACACCCACCCACCAAGAGACACTGTTTTCACCAAGTTTTCTATTTTTAGGAGGATAATTAAAATTCTGTTGGTGATGCTCATCTATATTCCTAATGTTTCTTTGCGAATATTCTCAAAGCCAAAAAGGTAGTTGAGGCTAGTTTTAGATCAGGGATAGCCAATCTGGTGGGTCTCCCCTTACCTCAGTGCTGGGGAATACAACTCCCATCATCCCTGACCATTGGCCATGCTAGCTGGGGCTGATGGGAGTTGTAGTTCACAACATCTGGAGGGCACCCCAGTGGATATCTCTTTTTAAGATTAAGAGTTCAATTCAACATGTTTACTGAAACCCCACTGGGGCTTTCTCCAAGGAAAGTATGCATAAGATTACAGTGCAATTCTATTCATGTATAGGTAAAGAGACACCTGACCATAGGTCCAGTCGTGACCGACCCTGGGGTTGTGGCACTCATCTTGCTTTATTGGCCGAGGGAGCCGGCGTTTGTCCACAGACTGCTTCCAGGTCATGTGGCCAGCATGACTAAGCCGCTTCTGGCGGACCAAAGCCATTTACCTTCCCACCGGAGTGGTACCTATTTATCTACTTGCACTTTGACGTGCTTTCGAACTGCTAGGTTGACAGGAGCAGGGACCGAGCAACGGGAGCTCACCCTGTCACGGGGATTCAAACTGCCGACCTTCTGATCGGCAAGTCCTAGGCTCTGTGGTTTAACCCACAGTGCCACCTGCTTTGGAGTTCAATGGGACTTTCTCTCGGATAAGTGTTTGTAGGATCACAGCCGCCTAAGTCATACTCAGGGCTTTCTTCAGCTGGAACTCACTGGAACTCAGTTTTGGCACCTCTCAGGTGGGTGCCATTGCCATTTTAGGAGAACAAAGGAGGAGTTCATGGTGAGTTCTGGCACCATTTTTTCTAGAAAAAAAGCACTGGTCATACTCCTTTGCTGCATGTATATTGGTGAGATTCTGAGCAAAATGTCTATCTTGAAACAAAGAACACAAGAGAGCAAAATTTCCTCTGTCAGCTACTCATGGTACTGTGATACCATAGATGACAAAACACGTCTGTTCTGGCTCTGATGCTAATTATGACCTATTTGCCTCTCAGACATTCCTTCTTTAGCACTAGGAGCTGGACCACCTTTCTTTAAGCTTGTTAGTAAGGAACACACTGTCAAGGGTACTATAAATGCATCAATAAATTGAGGAAGTGATGCTCAGAAAGATCGTATTAACAAGTAAGGCAGATTTGGAAAAGGTCAGGGGCTGCCATTTAACTTGAACTGAACATTGCAGATATGACACCTAGTTCTCAAAGGTCAGACCGGGCTGGCTGTATGTATGTATGTATGTATGTATGTACTGTTGTTGTTGTTTCACTTCTGCAGGATCACAAAATGCACACAGCCCCTAATGCAAAACATTGATCCTTACTGGAGAATCTTCTAATTTTACCCTCCTTGATCAAAGTTTCCTAAGCACTCTGCAATGACCTCAGGCACAGGGCAGGAAAAAGCTGGTTACAGCTGACCTAAAAATTGTTCTGTCTTCTCATTAATTTATCCCCAAAGCTTTGTGGGATGACAATACACAGCTCCAATATTGGCCTTGCACCTCAGAGTTATGGCCTCACATCTCCACAACATTCTGTATGAATTGTGCTCCCTTTGTGGCACCATCCTAAGAATGCAGGAAGAGCGTGCTAGATTGGGCCAAAGGCCCATGTTCATATGGTGGGTGGACAATCAGATGCCTATGGGAAGCCCCACAAGTAGGACCCGAGTGCACCAGCACTCTTCCTACCTGTCATTCCCAGCAACTGGAATTCATAGCAGTACTGCCTCCAACAGTGGAGGTACATCATACTCTGCCGGATGGTCAAACTGAATGTTGTAGCACCAACAATCCAAAACAATAGGCTGTTCTTATCGTCAAAGAGGCTAGCAAGGCTATGGCATTATTCTGGGTGAAACTCCTAATGTCAAAATGGTAGGAGGTGGCAGGAAGACGACGTTCAGGAAGGACTGCAGGGTGCATTCCAAAGTGCCGCCCCATTCCCAAAGCTGCAGAAGGAAAGAAGGTAAAAGCATTCCACATTAATATAGATGAGAAAAGCAACACTGAAGAGGGTGGGAGGACAACCCTGGAAGGAAGGCTGTCTTTCGAAGAGAATGCTTGCTCCATCCACATGCTGGCTGCCTTGAGGGAATGCCATGGGGAGATCAGTTATTGTTCATGATCCACCAGCAAGCTGAGGAAACAAAAACAAGGGGTTCACAAAACTCAAATGCAGGACCGGCCCACCCATGAGGCATGGTGAGGTGACCGCCTTAGGCAGCAGGGTCCACTGGGGCAGGAGAACCCAATGTCCATCTTTCTTTCCCATCCTCATTTGTTCCTGATATAGATCTCCCCCCACCCCTTCTTCCCTGTTGCAGAGGGCAAGGCACTATTATGGTGCCAAATTGGCTTGGACCAGCCCTGCTCAAATGGACAGACTGGGCTACAATTTAGTCTAATAATTTTTAAGAATTTATTTTGCAAGAATAACTACACCTTATTCTAAGGACCATGATGTATGGAACACAGCTCTGAAATGCCAAATAAATTTTAGATCAGAATAGAGACACACTATGTGGCCTGTTTCTGATGTAATGTTAAGAGGTCCTGATTAGAGATGGGAAGGCCTGGGGAAAAAACCCCGGAAAAATTGGGGAAATAACCAGTTTTTCTCCCTTTTCCAAAGCCGTTTTTTAAGTTTGGAGAAAAAGGAGGGAAACTGGTCCCCTCCCCATTTTTCCGGTTTTTTCCAGGCCTTCTCATCTCTAGGTCTGATGCACTTAAAAAAAAAAAAAAAGCAATAAAAGCAAAATTGGAAGCAAAATTGCAAATCTACATCAATCAGTACTCAACCTGGAAAGAGCATGGTGGTCAAAAGTTCTGGAGAGTCCAATAAGTCAATGATGGCACGCTGAAACTTCTTACTGTAGTTTGATTGCAGGTGGCTGCAAAGAAATGGGGAGAGTTGGGACGGTATCTCTATCTCTATCTCTATCTCTATCTCTATCTCTATCTCTATCTCTATCTCTATCTCTATCTCTATCTCTATCTCTATCTCTATATCAGGTGGTAACAAGAGGCAAGTCTTATGGAACCTCTTCTTCTATGGGTGACTTCTGAGATTAGGAGTAGCCAATGTGGTGCCTTTCAGATGTTGCTGAACTACAACTCCCATCATCCCTGAGTACTGGCCCATGCTAACTGGACATCCGCTTTGAGGCCTCCCCCCGCCACTCCGTCTCCCCACAAATACTGCATGAATTGTCAGGAGCCACCAACCTTCTCCATGAAGCCACATCTTGCCAAAACTCATAGAGGATGAAGCAGGCATCGCTCGACAGTTTGTGGGCAGACACACTACAGGAAAAGAAGACAGGCCATGAGGGAAAATGTTATTGCTACATGTCAGACAGTGTATAGTCTCTGACCCCAGGATTCACAGCCAGCCTAGCTCTTGAACCATCTTCACAAGGATGTTTAAGAACTGCCAGTGCTATTCAAAGGATCATTTGGCATGTTGTGACAGCCCCATTTTTTGCACAGCCTGCATTCGGCAGACTAGCAGACATTGATTTTTTTATCTGATGCTGTGACCTTCCACGTCACCTTGACTTTAATGAAATTGCTGGACATGCCGATATTCTTCACTCACAAGAATTGATACTAGCCTCAAACTCTACTAAATAGGACCTGTTCACAGAACCACTTCTGAGTGGAACTGGGTGTTATACTTGCTGTCAAAAATAGTAGCCCTGTGTCAAGTTTCCTTCCAAACATTGGGAGCTACCAAGGATGTGGAATGTGGGTGGGTGACTGTGATGAGGTCATGGCACACATAAATTGGTTTAATGTTTTGGAGGCTGCTGGTGATTGGGGATCAAAGGATTTGTTTATTTCGGATCTCCCAGTTTCTCATTTTTCCAATCTTAGATTCGGTTCTCCGCATTTCTGCAGCTTTTTGCAAATTTCATTTTTTGAATATTCTCATTAAAATGCTTCAGCATTTTAGGTGTGCCTTTCTCCTAATAAACATTTTTTGTGTGTGCAGTTTTGGCTAATGTACACATTTTTCCTAGCAACTACCTGTTATTTTCACTAACATATTCATTTCTATGCATGCTTTCCCCCAAATATATGCATTTCTCCAAACATTATTTGGTTGGAGAACTGCAGAGAAAAGTTTGTATAAGTGTAACTTCTGAAAGATGACTGTGTTTTGGTTCTCCTATAGTTTCAGACCCAGCAAGGTCATAGTCTAATGCTCCTCCAGACCATATCCTGCCTTGAAGAACTGCCACCACACAGCCAATTCCAGCAAACAATGAAATTGTGCCAACTTTCCCACGAAGATAATTGATTAACGCTAATACCTTCCCAAAGTTGTTTATTATTAGTATTACTGTATGTTCATTAATTCAGTAACTTAATCTGCTGACTCTTCCTTTCTCACTGTTTCAATGATGAATGCTTTTGTTTTTTCCCCAGTATTTGGAAGTAAAATACAGGCAGTTACTAATACATTTCCAATTACTTAATGCATTTTCCAACAGCAAAAATAATTACAAAACTAGGAAAGGGGGGAGAGTCTGCATTCACAATCATCTGAGTGTGCAATTTTCTTTCTGTGCTTCTGTTTGTTTTGCCATCTGTACAGAAAAAGAGTAATAATATTTCCCTGTAATGAGTCTGTATTTTGTAGTGCAGCATTCATCTACTTTATGGGGGATGTTAGGTGGGCAATTTAGTTCATAGATTATTTTTTCCCCAGGATTAACTATAAAGCAACCCTGTATCTTTGTTCTAAATAATACCACTAAGCTGTTTGGGAGAGTGAGTTAAAATTAATAGCCTGAAGATGGAGAGTTCGACAAAAGCCACAATTGCTGTTCTTAACAACATTTCTCATCCAAACAGCCTATGAAAGTCAACATCTGGAAGACTTACTGTAGGCAGCTGCTCTGTCCGGCTGTGATTTCTGTGTAGGATTGGAGAGCTTGGCGGAACGCCTCTAATCCACTGTCTGCCACTGAGATCTGTCTCTGTGCCACCAGGATGTGCTGCAGAAAGTGGCAGAGGCAGGAGGGGGAAGAGAGATGGTGAGGGGTGATAGACCCAGTTCCAGTATGCTACATGCAATACCCCTGTGATCAAAGGCAGCCCTTTGTATCTAAGGACTGCATTCCACTTAGAAACACACCCACCCAAACAGGTTCTGCAACACCCACTTATATTGATTTGGCAAGTTTATGGAAGAAACCAGTGACAAACAGAGAGTAACAGAGAGAAAGATAGTTCAGGAAGATGTGTGTATTATTGCTTAAGAAGCAACCATCCCTAGCATGGTGCCCTCCAGCAGTCTTGATCCAGAGCATGCAGATAACAAGAGCTCTCAGAAGCACTGACAGTGTACTATAGCTCCCCGTTATATGCAGCATATCTCTAACTGGCACAGAACACTTTTTAGCATGTACTTGGCCGGCCCATCCATCCATGCATCCATCCATCCTTTCCTTTATTTTCTGCAAAGGCTATGGCAGATGTTTTGGAGCCCTTCCTGTGATCATACATTGATTAAGCTCCACGAATGAAGAAGAAGAAGAAGAGTTTGGATTTGATATCCCGCCTTTCACTCCCCTTCAGGAGTCTCAAAGCGGCTAACATTCTCCTTTCCCTTCCTCCCCCACAACAAACACTCTGTGAGGTGAGTGGGGCTGAGAGACTTCAGAGAAGTGTGACTAGCCCAAGGTCACCCAGCAGCTGCATGTGGAGGAGCGGAGATACGAACCCGGTTTCCCAGATTGCAAGACTACCGCTCTTAACCACTACACCACACTGGCTCTTGCAAAGTGAGCAAAGTTCTCGGAACGACACAATTGTTCCTGGGGGATGACTTACCCACTTTAGGTATGGTTTTAGTTCAAAACTCATGTGAAAACCTGCTCATTTAAAGACACACTGTGGCTTCTGCAATTTTTGTTGGGTTCCTTCAGACAACCCATTTATTGAGCATTCGTCCTGATTTACTTGCATGCAACTTACATGGAGGCTGAATTGTTTTTGGTATTTATTACACATTTGTTCTGGTTTGGTTGCAGAGAGGTTATACTACAATGAATATTCACCCTGCATCCATCCTGATGTGTTTGTGGGGCATTTAGATGTCTCCCCATTACTCATTTGTTCATTCCCATGCTTTCCAATGCATTTCACCATCGCTATCCTAAAGGCAAAAAGCCCATTTATTTATTTCTTAATGTGAATTTGTTGTACTGAAGCAACAGAATGCTTTAATCCACTGTAATTGTGCCTTTCCTGGAATGTGCTTGAGCCCTTCCAGCAAAATACAGTCTGGAGTCCCCTTTTGTAATGACACATATTTTCTCAAAGGTTGACAGCTTTAGAAAGGTCAGTTTTGATCAAACTTCTGCAGAGGCTGCCATATAAACATGTCGTCACAAGCTGGAACTAGCAGCTTCCCTTGCTGAGTGATCACAAGTACTAGAGAACTAGACCGCAACACCACTGACAGCCCTGGGCAGAAGAGAAAGATCTGGTGGAGGCAACTTTTCTCACTCTTGTAGCCCTGTGATATAAAAAGCTGCTCTTTCTAAAATTCCTTCCTCTATGCAGCTCTCAAAGGCATAGGAGCCCTGTCCTTTACTCCATCTGGTCATTAAATCATCTTCTTTTGTATCCACCAGTATATTAATAGTATCCCAAGCACATTGGCTGAGGGATTTGCTCATTTTGATTATCAAATAAACGGAGCGGTCACAATTAAACTTACAGAAGAATCTCTTCCTTTGCAGACCACATCATCTTTCAGAGGTTCCAGCCTTGGACTCTGAGTAGACAGAAATGCACAATTATTGCAAAAGGAGAACAATGAATGTGAAAGTGTGAAATGTATAATTGACTTAATGACTGCCTTTTTTTTGCCAGCATTCACAGTTGCTACAAACCACGACTTGGCTGCCATAGAAGTAGTGCTTTCTTTCTGGGGGTACTCAGGGATACGCATACCCCTAAACATTTTGTGAATCTTTGTACTTTTGTCCAATTACTGTATTTATTTTTTTCCGATTTGACTATAAAATGGTTATTTTCTTGAGTCAAAATGAGAGTACCCCTAAACATTTTTTTTTAGAAAAAAGCACTGCATAGAAGTATGTCAGAGCAAAAAACCTGGTAAGTTGGCCTGATGCAATATATATGAGAAGAATTGGAACCCCACTCCCTTTAGGGTCTAGCCTTTGTGCTTTTGAGCTCTTCCCAGAAGCAAAACCAGCCATTTTTATTGGTATCCAGACATAAACCAGTGGGAGTTTTAGCAGTTGGTTATTTGATGTCTCACAGAATGTGTTACGGGTGAGTGTAATGTGTAGGAATCAGGGTTACATCAGATGGTATTTCATACGTATGGAACACTCTTAAGAGACCACACACCATAGGCAGAACTTTCCTATCTCCGGACACAATGATTTTCAACAGAGGCAGTTCACACTTTCAGCTGCAAATGACAAGCGTGCATATATGAATCAGCTACAAGGTAATGAGGAGAATATTTCATTATCTCATCAGCAGAAGTCCCATCTTCTTTCATAGGCGGAACAGTAAAAAACCCGAGGAAGTGAGTCAAATGGTATATAGGAACCTATGTCATAGGAGCCTAGGAAGCCTGCCTTATACTGAGTCAGATCACTGGCCCATCTCACTCAGTATGCACTGAGTATACACTGACTGGCAGCAGCTGTCTGGGATTTCAGGCAGGAGACATTCCCAGCCATACCTGTAGATGCTGGGGATTGTACCTGGCACCTTCTGCATGCAAAGCAGATGTTCTGCTACTAAGATATGGTCCTTCCCCAGAAAGACTGGAAAGTGGAAAGAACAAAATTTTCTGACATGTTAATATATGCATTTATGTATTGTGTGGCATAAGCTTTTGTGGACAACGGTTGACTTCACTGAGCTTATGCCATAATGAATTTGTTAGTCTTTAAGATACCACAAGGCCTTCTTTCCCCTTCCCCCCTCTTTTTCCCTTTTGCAACAGGCTAACACAGCTACTGTACTGGAATATTTCACAGTAAACACCCTCTAGAGATGCTCCTTAGTTCTCTGTTTCATTCTAGGGTTTTGGCTAGGTTCAATTTCAGCAGAAAGAATATGGACCTTAATATAAGCTGTGAGAATGCGTCACCTCCCTCTGAAGTATAAAGCATTCTTTATACATGACTGGAGACAAGGGACTCCTGGCACCATAAGCAATTCTATAAAAACTTTTATTCCTTTGTCTTCGCCCTGGGAATATCCCGGAAAGGGCACAAGAAAACCATTTTGTTTAAGGACAGAACTTTATTTAGGATTTTACTGCCACTTTGTTTTGAAATATATATGATGCTGTACATTGAACAGACTCTGGGTTGGATCCAGAATACACCTTCCACAGACAGAAAGGCTCCTTTCAGCCTTTGTGGTTCAACAGAAGGATTTTGCTGGGAGGTGGAGGGAGGCAACATTTGCCAAGTCACTCAGTCCTCCAGGGTTCACCCAAGCCTCTGAAACAGTGTGGGAGGTGGTGCTGTGGGTTACAGGGGGGTGGCCAGGAGTCACCTACCCTCTTCTACCAGCAGGAGCAATGTCTGGATCTCCAACTCATAATGTATTAGGCAGGCAATGCATGTACATATATTTGAAACACATCAGAGTCACAAAATGGGGCCCACCACATATAAGCCTTTCAGACTTGGTTGGTTAGTATCGGTTGCTTTGGTTAATGCAATAAACCTTAAAAGAAAGGTTGCAATATTTCTATTGACACTTGGCTTCTGTACCCCGCCCCCCGCCTTACTATAATTACATATCTTAGGGTCCCTTGACTGGTAATTGTGACAGTTTAAAACTGACAATTTAAAACTGGCTTAAAGATGGGTTTAAAGCATAATCTACTAAGAAAAGGTACAAAGGTGGGGCCTAATGGATAAAAATAAATCAAATCTTCCAAACCCTTGTCAGTAGGCAAGTTGACTTTGAGAGGCTGGGAAAGTGATGCCTGATTACAGGGTTTTATGCTCAAAGATTCTCTGGTCAAAGGATGGAGAATTCAGTCAGATATGTCTAGGGAAAACCTGAACTGCCCCAACAGGAGATGATATTAAAGCGAACTAAGTTGTATTTTGGACCAGATCCAAATGCCCTGAGAAGCAGCCAGGATCTTGGGAAAATGCATCTCTGTTCTACACAGAATCTCCATCATGTATTGTTACTACCAGTTCCATCTTTTGGCCCACCTTACATTCCAGTTTGTCAATAAGCTGCTGTAGTTGGTCGATCTCAGCTGTCCACTGGCTGTCAGTTTCCACACAAACACCTGGATGCAATGGGAAAAAGGGAGAAGAAGGAGCTGAAATCATGCAAAGTCTCCTCCTGCCTGTAGTTCAGCGGATAGGGAGTACTTCTGTAGTGTCGGCTGATGGATGGCATGGCAAACCTTCACTCCTTCATTTTAGCACAAATAAGGCTGGTCTATTTGCTTGTTATTCCTCCTTGACCCTGTGGCATTGCCCACTCCAGCCCACAAAGGAAGGCAATATTCCATTCTCTCTCTCTCTCTCTCTCTCTCTCTCTCTCTCCCCTCCCCATAATGATTTCCTTGTGGTTGCAAATGTTTAAAGAATAATGTGCTCTGTGCTGCAACACAGACAGTACCTCTGCCTGGAAAATAGCTACGACCACTTCTGACAGGTTTTCATTTGTGAATGTACTTTCTTACACTGCTGGTGTTGTGGTGAAAAATGTAACATGGGAGAGCCCTGGCCTGTGTTGGCTCACAGATCAGAAATGGGCTTTCAAGCTACTTCCAGGCTTGTTGTTGGAACGATGCCTCAGGGCCTAAGTAGATGTTACATGGACTGAGTGGTTGCCACTTGCATGGTGTGACATTGTCACACCCAGCATTCCCCGACCCTTGAAAGGGTGGAGAATGCAGAAAGTGATGATATCACGTCAGGTGTTTCTTTTACTTGACATCACTTGGGAGATGTGGGCTGGAGACAGTTCCTTGTAGGGTGGGGTGGGGAAAAGGATCAGGCTGGAAGGCCTGACCTAGAAGTAGCCTGGCCTCGTGGGCTATTTTGATAACTGGGTGTGGCCACCTACCTGTCAGTCACCTGACTGCACAGTGCTAAGGTTAGAGATAAGCCATTATCGTTGCTGCTTTTTATTATCAAAGAGCAAGCAGGGGGCTTGTCTCCAGTCCTGGTGCTGTGGAGATTAGCACTAAGATTGGAGATTCTCCTCTGCCTGTAAAAGGATAGTTAAAGGCAGCAGCAGCAGAGGCTTGTCTCTGATCTTAGTGCTCTAGTACAGTCTAAGGTCTACTTAGGTCCTGATTTGCAGCAATTAATTAGAAAGAAAGGCCCAGTGTTTCTTCTTATGAAGGCATTAAGTGTGCCTACCTTTTGGTGTACCTCTTGTATCCCTCGTGTACACCACTTAGAAAGTGCTGTATAAATTATTAAAATAGGTAAATAAATAATTCGTGTCCCTCGCATGCCCTGACTTCAGCATCAAATGGTGACTTCCATGAATAAGCCCCCATGTATCAAACTCTGTACCTAGAATTTCCATATAACCTTTCATGACCATGCTTTTTTCGAAACACAGCACACACCGAGCCGCCAGATCATTGAATAATCAAGGCCCTGTTCATGTGTTCGTTCACATGGAGGACACTAACATGTAGCAACAGGAGTGGGGCTGTGCTTCAAGTCCTGTTCTGGATGCGTGGAGTCCTTATGCATGAGTGGTCAAATGTTTCATTTGCATCAGGGGCCTCTATTACATGCGTGAGACCTCTGTGCTCAAGATGCTGAAGGTCTGGTGGTAGGAAGATGATGCAACGGTGGGGTGGGGAGGGGGTGCAACTAGAAGCATGGTCCTGCTCTGCTGCTAGATATGAGCACTCTACATGGGAGTAAACATGTAAACATGTTTTACTATGTTTTTATATGTGCTGTAAGCAGCCCAGAGTGGCTAGATGGGTGGGATATAGTAATAATAATAATAATAATAATAATAATAATAATAATAATGTCAATAACGCTCAAGTGATGAGAAACCAGGTGATGTCTACAGCTGTGTGCACCAGGCCATTGTTGACGGGGGCCAGGGAATTTGTACAAGACTTTGTTACTGCATTCAGACATTTTATACCCTATTTTTTTCCAGAAGCCACCCCTCTTCTTCTGGCAGTGAAGCAGCCAGCCTCATACCAATGTGAAGTCTGACAAGAGGGATGGGGAACCTGCCAGTACCTGTGGTGAGCATCCCTGAATAAGGATCTGTCGGAGACAAGCAGATGTTCTTCTGAGCTCTACGGCCACATCTTTTAGCAGTGCGTGGACCAACAAAAGCTTCTGATTTGGTAACATCGTTCCTGAAAAGCACAAAATATGATGATGACAATCTTATTATTTTTTTCAATGTATTACCTGCCCTTCACCATCAGGTCCCAGTTCAGGTTGCAACAATTTAAAATTCAATATTAAAAACAGTTAAATTATAGATAGGGTAAAGAGATGTATCTTCAGCATTCACCAAAAACTGTGTGATGAAGGTGGCAGACACACACAGCTGCCATAGAGAATGTCTTCTCCCAGGACACCCCCCCCAAAAAAACCCCTCCAAAGGAGGTGGAACCAATAGGGCCTCCTCTGCTGTTCTTAATACCCAGGGGGGACTGTAGGGAAAGAAGTAGTCTTTCAGATATTAGGGGCCTAAGTCATTTAGGGGTTTAAACATAGTATCAACACCTTAAACTGAGCCTGGAATTGAACTGTCACCCAAAGCAGCTGTTTTAAAACAGGGGTTATATGAGTTCTAAAGAGAATCATAGCCAGCAATGCATGCCTAAGAGTCACTTCTGCTGTGTGAGTTTCTGCACACAAGGCCCCTCATTCTTCATGGCAGGAGCACAAAGGAGACATACCCTAAGCACACTCTTGGTCTAAAATCTGTAGGGGCTTTTTCTAAAGCATTGTATTATTTACTAGTAATTCTGAAAACTTCAAGGATACGAAAAGTGGTATCCGCTTTGGGAGATCAGATCTAATAAGAGTGAAATATTGGTTCCTCTCAGTTCCTGTGGGTTGCTTCTCCCTGGTGGCAATTACGTATTATTCCTGTCTCTGCAACTGAATGTCTATGTGACAGCTCCTCTGACTTCCAGAACAGCACTGCAGCATTCAACCAGGCAAGAAATGCAGGAACTGCTCCCAGAAATGGTGGGGACTGGGAGAAACCCTGGGCCAGAATGGGATGATGGATGTAGACTGCACAATCCACTCCAGTCCTGCCACTGTCCCTATTGACTTTGTGGGCAGATAAAATATCAGTAGCAAAGTTCCACATGTGGATGGAGCCTATCCCTCTGGTTTGAGACGAGGAGAAAAGGAAGGAAGGAAGGAAGGAAGGAAGGAAGGAAGGAAGGGAGGGAGGAAGGAAGGGAGTGCTCTGAGGCCATTATCACATGAAGTGGCATGCCCAGAGAGCCTTTCTCCTCAGATTTTGGTGGCGCCGTTACATCTCTTCCCCACTCCCCCAGCCATTTCTTGTACCTTTCTCGGCCAGCCTGTTCTTCAATGGTGTCTGCAGCACATTCCAGTGAGACCTGGAGGGACTGCAGCTGGTTCATCGTCTCGCGAAGTAAGAAGCGGGTCACAAACTGTTCCATTTTGGAGGAGCTCTCATATACCTGGAGGAGTGAGGGCAGGGGGTTGGGGGACACAGCAAAATACTTCTGAACAATCTTTCCCCAGAATTGCTACCATTGCTCTTGCTCTGTTCAATGCCCCGTGGAAACTCTTCTTTCCACCATCCAGCTGCGTTCACCAAGGAAACCACCCTGCAGAAGGAACCTGAGCTCTGATGCAAGTTCAGAGCCTTGCGGGGAAGACGCAGTCAGTATCGTGCCGCTGCTGCACTCTAACATCTTTTATCCAAGGAATTCCAAATGCATAAATATAAAGGGGAGTTTTCAATACCCTCAGTAACAAAGAGAAAGAAATGCATTGAGATAAGGATTACTCTCCATAAATGAGGAGAGGGGGCCACACAAACAGAAGCTCTGCCCTGTTATTGTGGGGGTTTTTTGGGGGGGATTATAATTACAAATCAAAAAATGCTCAAAGCATTCTCACATAAAATTAAACCAGGAGCATATAGTCAATAGATCTTTGAAATATTAGCAGGCACATTTGTTTGTTACTTTTTTTTGAAGTGTTACCTTCCCTGCTGCAATTAAGTTTAAGATTATATATATATATATATATATATATATATATATACCAGTGGGCTTTGTTCGACGATAATGAAAATGAATAAATAAGAAGTGCTTTATCCACCAAGCGACGCTGCGAATGAAGAGCCTCTGTTTTCACACACAATGGAACAAAGGGATTTATATATTATTAGCCACGCTACCAGAGCACAGGTAATAATGCAATATTGTGAAGCTTCTGTTCCCCTTCATTTTTCTGTACAATAAAGATGATCCGCATAAAATGGCTACTTCATCCATCCAGATAAATTGCTGTTGTGAGCACAAATCTATTAGGCCTGACCTGATTATATAATTGTGGATTCAGTCATCTGTCAGAAAAGTTTCTGTCGAGAGACTATACTTTTAATCCAGTTGTAGGTGTACTTAGATGTAACAGCAGCTGTAGGATCCTTGGATTATTGGAACATAGGTTGTGCTGAACAGGTATAAAGTGGACAGTGCAAGTGCTGTTTAAAGCAGAGAAGCAATGGCAAAATAAATGTAGTGCTGTTTCATAGAATCATAGAGTTGGAAGGGACCGCAAGGGTCATCTAGTCCAACCCCCTACAGTGCAGGAATCTCAACTACAGCATCCATGACAGATGGCCATCCAACGTCTACTTAAGAACCTCCAGTGAAGGAGACAAACATGGCACAGGTCTTGCAGGTCACTGCAGCAGCTCCCTCACTATCCATGTATCTTGGTCCCAAATTCTACAATTTAGAATATTCATTTAAGCATCCTCAAAATATCAATGACTTCCTTTTTTCTCCTTCCATGGTTCATTTTGCATATCACAAATCTCTGCATATTTTACATAAACTAAACCATTCAGTATTTCATTATTACATCCATCAAGACTTATTTACACTGTTGAATTTAACTTAATGCTGCCAACGTTTTCAAGTGTACACAGTTTCTCCGCATATATTCAGTAAACATTTCCCAGTCTTCTTTAAACATAAGTTCTTCTTGTTCTCTTATTCTATCCTCTTTACACTTCCTGGTCACAAGCTCCCAGAGGCTGCAATCAGCTAAACAGAACTGCTGCTGGCTTTTAACTCCTCAAAAAAAGAGAGAGATTAAAGTTTGTTACGTATATCTCATTTTATTAGGATGAGGGGGGGATATAATATGAGCCTTCGATTCTAGCTAAACAGATATAGCACCACATTTATTTTGCATTTCTTAGCTTATTGAAATTTGCCACCTGACTCTGAAACTCTAAAAGGAAGTACATTCTGTAAGATGCTGGTGGTGGCAAGTATCCATAAATGGCAGGGTGGATTTTGAACAAGAGAGTCAATCCATCTCCAGAAGACCCAAATGCATTACATTATTAGTGCAATTAGTTGATTAATTCCTATGGAGGTTTAGATGGATGTTAAGGGGATCTGTCCTCTGTGAAAGGTCACTCAGATGACTCAGTGGCTAAAGAAGGGGCCTTTAATCCATGAGAGCTGGGCTGAAGTTCTACTCCTGCCATAGTGCAGTCTTGGCTAAGTCTTGAGCTCGGTTCCTTGCTTGTATTGCAATCAAGCCCTTTGTGGAAGTTTGCGCTGTATTTGCCAGCACAAAATGGAAGCTGAAGAATGACTGGGCTGTGTGCTTTTTACAGCCAGTCCAACAAAGCAGATGGAGAGGAAGACTAGCGATAGCAGCAGCAGCAGCCTTTCAGAATAGTCAAAAAATTTCATGACTACCTGTAAAAGTAATTTGGTATTATTATTCCCAGGGCTTTTTTCAGTCAGAACTCACCAGAACTCAGTTCTGGGACCTCTCAGGCACCGTTGCCATTCTAAGAGAACGAGGGAGGTGTTCATAGTGAGTTCCAACACCTCTTTTTCTAGAAAAACAACATTGTGTGTGTGTGAGTATGAGAGAGGCTAGCTCAAGGATCCCACCCAATGAGTTCATGGCAGAGGCAAGATTCGAAGCAGGAAGTTCCTGGCTTCTCAATGAGCCTCCTTGCCCACAATACTACACCAGCTCTCAGTACTGGACTTTCCTGACATATCCTGATGATGCCATTTCCTTGCACAGACAAAACTAGACCTTTGAAACACATATATTAGTTTTTTGGTTTTTTCCTGAACCACACAAATTTGGTTCAACCTGTTTCTTTGTCTGTTGCTCAGTCGTGGTGCCAGCTATTTATTTATTTTTGTTAGGGAATTTTTTTTTTACCCGGCTCTTCAACCAAAAAGGATTCCTTGGGTAGCTTACAAATCACAAAAAAACCCCCAGATAGCCCCTGTCCCTGAGGTTACAATGTAAAAATACATGGCACCAAAGGAAAATGGATTGGAAGGGAGGAGGAAATAAGCAAACACAAATTCAAGCTCTTAGTTACATGTTGTTCTAATGAACCGCTGGAGTGGAATGAGTTGCAGAATGCACCTCTACAGAGCCCTCCAGTGGTAAAAATGGGAGTGGTTGTGGCAAATGGGAGGCCTAATGCAATGGAAGCCTGTAAATGTTGCTGAAAGACATTCCACCATCCCTGGCCATTGGCCAGGCTGGCTGGGGCTGATGGAAGTTGTAATTCAGCCACATTTTGAGGGCCACAGGTTTGTGATCTCTGGTTTAAAGGCCTCAATAAATTAAATGTAACACTACTCAGTTGGTACAGCAGCATGAGACTCTTAATCTCATAGCCCCACATTGGGCAAAAAGATTCCTGCATTGCAGGGGATTGGGGTCCCTTCCAACTCTACAGTTCTATGATTCTACTACTAATAAAAATAGTAATTTATGACCCACCCTTTCCCCTTAGGTCCTAGGGTGGGTCACAACAGTTTAAAACAAAATACAGAATTGATGCTTTTGAATTATGGCACTGGAGGAGACTCTTGAGAGTCCCATGGACTGCAAGAAGATCAAACCTATCCATTCTGAAGGAAATCAGCCCTCAGTGCTCACTGGAAGGACAGAACCTGAAGCTGAGGCTCCAATACTTTGGCCACCTCATGAGAAGAGAAGACTCCCTGGAAAAGACCCTGATGTTGGAAAAGATGGAGGGCACAAGGAGAAGGGGACGACAGAGGACGAGATGGTTGGACAGTGTTCTCGAAGCTACCAGAGTGAGTTTGACCAAACTGTGGGAGGCAGTGAAAGACAGGAGTGCCTGGCGTGCTCTGGTCCATGGGGTCACGAAGAGTTGTACACAACTAAACGACTAAACAACAACAACAATCATTAGAATAAGCTGAGTCCTAAAATATGCATCTCAAGTGTCAAAGCCCAGATTTAAGAGGTGCGCACAGGTCAGCACACCTCATGAAGCAAACAATGTAGCGAAGATTTCCTAAAATACTATATGCCTAATTGAGGTGCTACAAAATTCTATAATCGATTGGTTGACCAAAAGCAAGACTGTTGTCTGAAACCAATCCTAAAACATTGTCCTGTTTGTGTCTGCCATCCCCAGTTCAGCTGTTCGCTGGTGGTGGGAAGTTTTATTACAGGAGCCATCATGAAGGCCGACGCAGACAGAACCATTTCTGTGTAGGAGATAAATTACCGAGTAACGTAAGGAGGCAATGAATAATTAGATACCAAAATGGGGCTCATAAATTAAAGAACAGGAAAGATGCCAGAACTGCACACAATAAGCTGATAGAAAAAAAAAGTGAGGGGCCATTTTACCAAGGTAAGCATCACCCCAGTGCAATTTCTGTGAGATACTCCATCAGCTGACAGCATCTGCCTGGTTGCTGCTCTGAACAATGCACTTCCATTTCCATTGAAAGGGAGGAAGAGGGATTTTTGATTCATTAAGAGCCAGCACACCACAGATTAGCAAAAGGCAAACTCCAGTGTACATCCTCTGGCCACAGGAGCTTCCCCCTCATGTTCCTTTTCGCTTCATAAATATGCTAATTTCCCCTTTCTTCTGCATTCCTTCTTCTTTCAAAATTCCATTTCATGGAGACATGATGAATCTACTTTCCAGCTATCTCTGCTTTGCAGAATTATCTCAGAGAAAAAATCATGCAGTGGGGTGGAGAATCTGTCTCTTTGCATGTTTCTAGACAGGGGCTTAATATTGCAAGGAGATCATTTAGATGTTGGATGATTGTTAACAGGTTTTTTTTTAAAAAAGAAACTTATCCTATTTTTGCTGGAAAGGGTACATCCAGGTTAAATGGGTGAGAAATGGAGGCTGGCATTTTGGTGCCAACCACATCTGGAAGACCCTTTCCCTCATAAATGGAGATAAAGCAACAAAGAAGACGAAAAGCAAGAAAAATGCAGTGATTAGGTCAGATCTAGCCACATCAGGTTAGGTTTATTCAATTTATAAATCACTTCCCACTCAAGTGATTTACAACCAGTAAAAAAAAAATACAACAAAAACCTAAATAAAGAACAAAAAACAGATTCAACAGCACAATACTGTTATCATTCGTGCCTCCCAAATGTCCGAGAAAACAAAAATGCCATTGCCTGTCACTGAAACAATGACAAGGTTGGTGTCACACAGAGCTCCTTACGAGAGAGCTTTCCATAAATGGGGTGAATGCTACAGAGAATTCCCATTCTCTTCTTGCCACCCTCCAATTCACTCTCAAAGGGCACACACAGAAAAGGACTGCATATGATTATCTCAGGGTCCAGAGAGGTTCAGGTGGAGACAGGAAGTTGTTTAGGTATGGTGATCCCAAGTTGTGTAAGGCTTTCAGGATCAAAACCAGCACACTGTGAAATGATGCAGGACCCAACACAGACCTTCTAAACCAGAGGAACTCAATGCAGTGCCCTCCAAACACTGGACTACAATTCCTATCACCTCTTATCACTGGCCATGCTTGATGGAGGTTGATAGGGTTGCAGTTCAATAACATCTGGAGAACTCCATGTGGTCTGCTCAATTCAAATATATTCCTTTTTCCTGGTTGTTGTGGCTCAGTGACAGAGAACGAAGGGCAAGAGAAGAAGAAAGATCCCAGCCACTGGTGACTGCAAGGGCTCAGCTGTATATCTCTCAGCCATTGTAAGATTGCCCTATGAACTTGGATGACATCACAATAGCACCTGATGTTAAACTCCCAACCACAGGGCTGGCTGGTAGCAACATTATCATAGCTGCTTCTCCAGGAGGAGAGCCACTACCCTGGTGGCATGATGGGGAATAACATCTCCCACAGGAAAATTAAGAAAAATAAGTGTGATAAGTCTTCAGACCAGGACAAGGACAAAAGGGGAATTTTAATCTGCTTGAAAAAAGACAAGGCCACTGTAAGTACCAGTCGATTAGTTGCTCCCCCATATCATCACCCCCCAAAAACACCAGAATATTTGTACAACTGCAGCCTTGTACAACTGGGTATAATACACATCCTCCCCCTACACAAAGTTTCTCTCCTGCCAAGCTATTTCTACATGCAGAGATAATGCTGCCAAGACTATCGGTAGCGAATGCGTTGCCCTCCAGATATTACAGGACTACAATTCCCATCATCCTTGACCATGTTACCTGGGACCGATGGGAGTAATTGCTCACCAACACTTGGAGAGCATCATCTTGGCTACCCGTGAACTAGACCCAGGGACCACAGTGTCACCACCATCTTAAGAGATCTGGGAGTGAGTATTCTCAGCACTGCCATCCCAACTGTGGAAGGCTCTCCCCGGAAAAAGCCACCCGGGGCCTACTTTGCTGTCCATTCGGCACCAAAGAAAGACATTTCAAAAACCTTTTCAGGCTTTTCAGACTTCACATCAGCCTTGTTTCTGGTCCCAAATGTATAACTGTGGACCTTCACACATACCCCTCCATGTAGGTTGGTGGTGTCACATTCTATAAGTGGTGATGGTAATCTTCAAAAATATTGGAGAGATTTCCAGATATCAGGAGAGTGCCTTTTTGCACTTATCATTTATGGTGGCATAACTGTTCTTTCCATCAGGGTTTCTTTTCTGGCATATTGCTGAGCAACTTCATTATTACTCAGCTAGTATTTTGAAATGATGTACTACCCCCACCCCTGTGTACCACAAAAAAATTGACTTTTGTGAAAGATCTGGAATGGATCATCAATATTTGCATTTGTGTGGCATTCTGTAAGCATTGTCTCAGTTTTTGTGTGGGAGGGTTGAGAGACGCCTGTTTTCCTTCCCTCTGACCACTGCGAGCTGTCAGCATGCAAGCTCTGTTCAGAGGAGGGATATACAGGGTGAGTCTTTTAAAAGAGGCCCCGTGGAACATGTGTACTCTGTATCCTTGGGGCCTCTTTTAAAGGACTCACCCTGTATATGGTGAAAGGAGTCAATGGTACTGAGTCAATGCACTGCCCATGACTTCAATTATTAGCTGCAGACAAAATTCCATCACATTAACAAGGTTCACCATAGTTCAGGCAGACATGCAGATCCTCTTCTAATCTCCTATCTTCCCACAATATTCCAGCACAACAGGCATTAAAATAAAAATGATAAAAGCTGTGAAACGGCTACCTCAGTGCTCACGCTCATAACTCTGACATTTGCTGAGGGACACAAGGGTACTTGAGGGATAGAACTACAGCAGTGGCACTTTTCTCATGAGGGCACAACTCACCCTTAGTTTGGAAAGCAAAACCTCAAAGTCACTCTCTAATAACTGTGACGTATGAGCAAAAGTGCAGGCAATCAAGCTACAAATTAACTCTTTAAAAAAGCCAGATCAAATAGCAACAGTGCTATGATAAATGGCAAGTGTGGAAAGGACCTAATTCTTCTCAGTCAGCTCTCGAGAAGAGACATCTATTGACCATCCAAAGTAATGGTCAACCAATGAAGTTGAAGGATGAGAGATTTGCAACAGACAAAAGGAAATCCTCCTTCACACAGCATTTCATTAAATGGTGTATTTGAACAAGATGTGGAGGTGGCTAACAATGTAAGAACATTAAGAAGAGCCTGCTGGATCAGGCCAATGGCCTGATATGAACGGTAACATATCTTTGCTCCTAATGAAGGTTAGCTAACTCTGGGTTATAGAGATTACAGGGATTTCCTGCTAGTGAGACCTAGAGATTCTTCTGCACAACACACACGCAGACACACACACACACACACACACACACGTTTCCTGTGATGCTAATGACACAATTTATTTAGTTTTGCAGTTTCACACTTTTGCTGCTTTGTCCTTGCTGTTCCTGCAACTATTTCTTCATGGAGCACCACATTCCCTCTTTCACTCCAAGTCTCTCTTCTTTCCCAAATTTTGAATGCAATCAATCTTAAGAGGGAACACTATAAAAAGCTGAGACTAAGCTTCCTCAGTTCCACTAGTGCAGGGGTCGGCAAGGCTTACCGGGCATGGGCCAGATCACTCCCGTGGAGATCCTCCATGGGCCGGAAATCACTTCTGCGCATGTCCAGACGCCGGAAATTGTGCCTGTGCAGAAGCAATTTTCAGTGTCTGGGCATGCACAGAAGCGATTTCTGGAACAAGTCAACTTTAAAATCACTATATATATTGCAACATTAAAGATCTGTTTAAAAAACAATGGCAGTGTTAACAGGTAAAAATGACCTTCATAGTACTTAGCAGGCAAAAATGTGCCAGAATAAAATGTCTTTACCAGCTAGCTAGCAAATCACAATTCACAGAACAAGGTGCGATATTGCTGTAGTCACTTAGAAGGCCCAATCTCTTGCTGTCATCAACTGTGCCTCCACCTCCAGAGAAGGGCAGGTTGATACGGAAAGAAGAAGAAGATGATAATTTATGCCCCGTCCATCTGTTTCCCATGGGTGGCAATCCCATAGGTACATTGGACATTTAGGGCTTTAAAGTTGATCGCCAACACTTTAAATTGTGCCAGGAAACAAAAAAGCACTCAGTGAGGATGCTGCAGGATAGATCAAACACAGTCCCTCTGGTGCCCACTAACAACCTTGTTGTTGCATTCTGGGTCAGCTGCAGCACCCAGAGACTCTTCTGTTCAAAGGTAGCCACTGCAAGAATCACATGAGAGGAAGCCAACAGTGTTTAAATATCTGTCAGGAGGCAATAGCTGAGACTATGAGGTCCAATCAAGTGCTTGACTCAGGCTGCAGAAATGGATCAGGGAGAATTCTTGTGCTTGAGGGAGGAAAGTTTCATTTTATTAGGAAGATTCTGTTTTGCTTACAGGTCAAGGTAGTGCTGCTTCCTCCTCTTGGAAAGTTGTCTCATGGCTCCAAAGTCCTCCCCCTCTTCACTCTCCCCCTGGGGAGCAGGGTAAATTTTTGTGGCCGGCAAGAGCCAAGGGGCTACCGTGGAGACAGTCCCAGCAGCCCCTCATTGCCGTTTCCTTCAGCAGCCCGACGAGGAGGAGGAGATGGAGACCACCAACTGCGGAGGATTCTCACAATGTTTTTCTTGGTTGAGGCTGAAAAGACAGGGGTCAACGCAGAAGGAGACTCCACGGTTGCCAAAAATAAAATCAAGAATTGGTACACCATACATCCAGTAGGCGTGAGAGGACCACCTGGACTGTGATCAGCAGACATTGCCAGATCAAGGGTACGGAAACAAAAACCTCCAGGACACAGGAAGGCAATAAACCAACCTGAGCATCTCAAAAAGGCTGGTCACCTTTAGTGTGTGCTTGAAAGTGGGGCGAGAACAAGGGTCTGTTCTCACGTGCTGCTATCGTGCCGATCACAAGGGCAATGTGAGGTTAAAGTAAGACTTAACGGGTTAAGGCAGAGATGAGGAGCCTTGGGTTTTCCAGATGTTGTATTCTGACTACCATCAGCCCCAGCCAGCGTCGCCAGCATGGCAAATGGTCAGGGATGATGAGAGTTATAGTCCAGCAACAACTGGAGGGACACAGGTTCTGTTCCCGGGTTGGATATTTATCATTGTACAATATTAATGCACGAGCATGCTAGAATCATTCAGGCAATCAAGCCCATCTTTGTAAGAGGCAAGCTAAACAGGTTCCTTGAGGCTGTCAGCTAGGAAACAGGTATGGTCCTCCTAGAAAACCCAGCAGACACCATCCAAAAAATCCAGAAGAGAAGTAGCTGTAAGATGTTGCACCAGCAATTGCTGATTGGGAACTAACAGTTGTAACATTGTGGAATGTGCTGTGTAATAGGGAGAGGCCCTGATTCACCTCCCACGCTTAACTATAAGCTATGAGCATTTTGCTTCCTTTGGGTGTCTTCATGTTGGTGCCTCATGAGGGAATCAGGTTGTTGTGGGTTCCAAAGCCTGAAAACAGCAGAACAATTGAGGAGAATTCAGTGGCAAGTGGAAAGGCATTTCCACACACACCCTGTGGCTTTATTGGGTGTTTTGGAGGGAGAATCATATACCTGTTTACAGAGTACCTGCAAGGACGTCAAAGATTAAGAGTTTCTCAGCTCCAGTCCTAGCAGGCACTTTAAGAACAGGCCTCCCTCTCATCCTCTGAAGGGCCAGTCAACTCATTACAGTATTCTTTGAGAAATAACGATGTATTCTGGAAAAAATTGGTATGTAGCTTGGGACTACACGGGCACGGTGCTCCAAAACCACTTCCATACTCAGCTCAGATACCATCAATTCACATTTCCATAGGCTTTTATAGTTTGGGAATTCTTACGTTACTGGATATTAGCCATAATAGGTCAAACAGAACTTCCAAGGTTAGAGGCGGGATATATTTGATTTTCTGGATGCTGTTGACAAACAACAGGGTGCCCCTGTTATAATATGTCTGGCCTATGGGCTTGAAATACAGAATTTGCCATATAGCAGGTCAGACTATTTGACATTCTAGTCTAGTACCATCTACTGACTGATGGTGGCTCTCCAGGGTTTCAGGCAGAAGAGGTCTTTCCCATCATCTGCTATTTGATGGCTTTAACTGGAGATGCTAGGGATGGAGCCTTATGCACAATAGTCACTTGCTGTACCACCAATTTATGGTTGCTACCCAGAAAACTTCCCAAAGCATCTCGCTGGCCTTTGTTGGGGACTAGGTGGACCCTTTGTCCATCTAGGCAGTCCTTATGGTCTTGCAAATCATCACACATTTTTCCTATATGAAGAAACTAAAAGGGTATTTGACAAATTCATGGTGGATAAGGCTATCAGTGGCTGCTATTCATTATTGTTACATATTACCTGTCAGGGAACTGACATCGGAGCTAGAAGCGGAGGGAAGGCTCTCAAATGATGCTGGAGAAGGGCCCAGCAAGGAGAGAGGCAGCTCCGCAGATGGGGAAGCAAATCAGCGCAACACCAGGGATAAAGAGGGGCTGATGGGGGAATCGGCGAGAGGGCTCCAGGACTCTTCACCGGACACCAGCAGGGAGAGCACGGGTCCCCCGCTACCCACGCCCACCCTGCGCAGAAGACTTCCGCGCAGAGAGAGTAGGAGGAGACTGGGTGTCAAGCAACTTTTATGTTGGAAAAGATTTAAGAAACGCCCACTGACGGATTCTGCTAGCGACTGAGGCAGCCACGAAGTGAAGGGCTGCCCAGACTGAAAGGTTTAGCAAGGCAACAAAGCCTGGAGAGGCGGCAACTTACGCACGAGCAACCCATACACATGACAGCAATCCGTCAGTCCCTGACATCGCTCGTGCACAGCGACTGGCAGGCAGCATCATGCGCAAAACCGGAGAAGCTGGCGCCACGGAGGGAGCAGCTGGAGGGCAAAATCTGGTGGAGAGGAACCGAGATTTGGAACAGCATGTGGCTCTGCTGACGACGCGGCTGGACGAAAGGCGGTCTCAGGATGCTCAGGTCAGACCCATCCCCGTAGCAAGGAAGGTACCGGGACTGGTACACAAGTTTGGAGGGAAACCCCAGGACTACAGTGCGTTCCGAACGGAAATAGAGTACGCTTTGGAACTGCAACAGAATGATTTTGCAGACGATGGGGAAAGGGTTGCCTATATTGTCGGACATCTGCAGGATGGGGCCAGAGATTGGATCAGGCCCCTAATGGCAACGCAGAATGCCGCCTTGAAAGACCTGAGGAAATTCTTCCAGGCGATGGATGCGATGTATTCCAGTGATGTACAGCAAAGTGTGAATCGGCGGGAACTGATGGGTAGCAAACAGGGGAACCAGTCAGTTAGAGACTACTGGTCACACTTTGCCATGTTAGTCTACCGGCTCAGGTGGGATTTGGACTCTGAACCTATTCAAATGCTGTTCGAGGAGGGGTTGTCCCCAACGGTGAAGGACGAGCTCCAGTGCACCCCGCCCGCAGTCGATGGATCAGCTGACCAAGGCTGTGCTTGCGATTGGTGTAAGGCAGGAAGCGCGGGCCCAGGAGAAGCAGGAAGGGAGAGAGCAACGTTACCATGACTACCGCATTCCTGAAATACCAAGGCAGCCTCCCCGCCGGCGGAGCCCATGGAAATAGATGGGGGGCGCGCGCGGGAGATTTCAAACTCCAGTGAAGGTCGCAAGAGAGAGGGAAAGGATGGGAAAACCACCAAGAAGTGTTTTCTCTGCCAGCGGCCAGGACATTTTGCCAGGGTCTGCCCGCAAAGAAAGGCCTGGCAAGGGATGGTGGGAGCTGCAGGGGGTGAGGAGGAGATGGTAAAGGAGCAGGGAAACGCCAAAGCTTGGCTGCCACTCAGCGGGCACAGCAGCCAGGCCAGCAACCAATAGAAGTGCCCAAACCAGACCCCCCGAGGGCGGCTATAGCCATAGAAGTGGTGCTAGAACTCCCAAATGGGCACCCAGTCAAGGTGAAAGGGCTGTTGGATTCAGGCAGTTCCTGCAATTTCTTCAGCAAGGACTTTGCCCTAGAGCACCAGCTCCACCTGCTGCCCCTGGATTTCCCCTTGCAAGTAACCACCATTGATGGCAGGGAGCTTCTGGGAGGGGAAGTGACGCACCAGACCCCACCAATGAGAATGAGGGTTTCCAGGCACACGGAGACTATCGCCTTTCACGTAGCCTCACTGGCAGGGCCCCCAATAATATTAGGAATGAGCTGGCTAGCACAACATGATCCAGTGGTGGCATGGCATCAGAGAACGGTCACCTTTGGGTCCGCTTACTGCTTGGAACACTGTCTAGGGGGAGAAACCCCAAGGATGACCGTGGCCAGGGTGGCTGGGATAGCTGTGGAGCCGAAAGGGGAGGTGCCACCACAATATGCTGACCTGAAGGAGGTCTTCAGCGAGAAGGAGGCAGATAGACTACCCCCACATAGGCCCTTTGACTGCCAAATCAACTTGCTCCCTGGGGCGCAGCTACCGGTGGGTAAACTGTATGCCATGTCGGACAGGGAGATGAAGGAGTTGCGGGAGTTTATTGACAAGGACCTGAAGAGGGGGTTCATAAGGGAATCAAAGGCGGTGGGGGGCAGTCCGGTGTTGTTTGTGGACAAAAAAGGGACTAACTAGCCCAGATTGGTCGTAGATTTCAGGGCGTTAAATTTGGTATCAGAACCCGTGACCTTCCCAATGCCCAGGATTGACGACATTTTAACACGGGTGAGGCAGGGAAAGATTTTTACCAAGCTGGACCTCAGGGGAGCCTACAATTTGATTAGGATGAGGGAAGGGGACGAATGGAAGACCACAATGTTCACCCCCCTTGGGGGCCTTTGAGTACTTAGTTATGCCCTTTGGATTACAGTCAGGCTCCGCCTGTTTTCAAGCTTTCATGCACCACATGTTGGGGTCCCTGCTGTACAAGAACTGCGTAGCCTTCTTGGACGACGTCTTAATCTATTCGGACAATGAGAAGCAACATGTCAGAGACGTCAGGGAAGTGCTGAAGAGACTGCAGAAGCACCAGTTGTGGGTCAAGCTGGAGAAATGTCAGTTTCACGCCAGAGAAGTCGAGTTTTTGGGGTACAAGTTGTCAGACAAAGGCTTAGCGATGGACCCAAGCAAGGTGCAGGCAGTGCTGGAGTGGAAGACTCCCCAAACCCGGAAGGACATGCAGAGATTCCTAGGGTTCAGCAACTTCTACAGGAAGTTCATCAAGAACTTCGCCCACTTGACAGCACCCATCACAGACTGTCTCAGTAGCAAGAGGAAGTTCGCCTGGACAGAGGAGGCCCAACAATCCTTTGAAAAACTGAAGAAAGCGTTCGCATCGGAAGAGCAGCTCCTGCACGTGGATCTGGAGAAACCCATGAGGCTAGAGACCGACGTGTCCGACAGAGCCATTGGGGCGGTTCTTTTGCAGCCAGGGAGGAGCAAGCAGGAATGGAGACCGTGTGCCTTCTTCTCAAGAAAGCTGAACAAGTCGGAGCAAAACTATACGGTGTATGACCGCGAACTGCTTGCGATCTATGCGGCGTTTCGTCGATGGCGACATCTACTAATAGGGGCGCAGCACAAGATCCAGGTTTGTACAGATCACAAGAACTTGGAATACTGGAGGACCGAACGAGTGCTCAACCAGAGACAGATTCGATGGGCACAGGAGTTCTCCAAGTTTTCCTTCGAAATCCGATACGTGCCAGGAGAGGAAAACGTGAGAGCAGATGCTCTCTCCTGGAAACCGGAGTGCTTGGAAGGAGAGGGGCCACCGGAGATACGACACGTGATCCCCGAGGACCGATGGGTGTGGGGGGGAACCTTGGTGGGGCAACGAGAACTGGCTGGACTTACTAGAAACGACGTGTTCGCACAAACTAAAATCCGGGAACTCCGAGACGGAAGAGAAACCCAAGGAGGGTTTGAGGAGAAGGAAGGGGTGCTGTACTATAAGGGGGCGCTGTATGTACCGGGGAGACCCTACGGGGAAAGGTACTCAAACAACTCCACGACAACCCCACATCGGGGCACTTTGGACAGCACAAAACCATGATGCTCGTCACCAGGCAGTTCTGGTGGCCAAGGGTGAGGGAGGATGTACGGGAATATGTACGGGGTTGCGACCGCTGCCAAAGGGCAAAGGGGGAGCGGGCTGTCCCCGCAGGATTACTGGAACCCTTACCCACGCCGGGGAAACCTTGGGAGGTGGTATCCATTGATTTTATGACCGATTTGCCCAAGTCCCGGGGGAAGACAGCAGTCATGGTAGTGGTCGATCTACTAACAAAAATGTGCCATTTTATAGCTTGCTCACATGCGGTCACGGCAGAGGAAACAGCCAGGTTGTTTGTAGATCACATCTTCCGGTTGCATGGGGCTCCTTCGAGGGTCATCTCCGACAGCGGGAAACAATTTACTTCCCGTTTCTGGAGGAAGCTCATGAGCTTGCTGCAGGTCGAAGTGGGCTTCTCAACGGTGAGACACCCGGAAACCAACGGGCAAGCAGAAAGAGCGAACAGTATTCTCCAGTAATACCTACGCTGCTACGTCAGCGAGAGGCAGAACGATTGGGTAGAAAAACTAGCGCTGGCTGAATTTGCGTACAATAACGCTGAACATGTGTCAACGGGAATGAGCCCGTTCATGGCCAATTATGGGTGTCACCCCAGGGCCTTCCCGGGGAGTGGGGAGGAAGGTTGGAGTGTACCGGCAGCAGAGCAGTTTGTGGAAGAAATGGAAGCCCTGCACCAGCAACTCAAGATGAACTTGGAGCGGGCCAAGGAAATTTACAAGAGGCAGGCAGACAAGCGCCGTAGGGAAGGGGAGACCATACGGGTGGGAGATCGGGTGTGATTGTCAACCCAAGGGTTACCTTTTAAGGGGGGGGGTGCAAGAAGTTGCAACCCAGGCGGTTGGGACCGTTTGAGGTAACACAGCAGGTGAACCCCGTGGCATTCAAGCTCAAATTGCCAGACAGCATGAAGATACACCCGGTGTTCCATAGGTCCCTACTCTCACCGTACAGGGAAGGAAGGGGGTTCCCGGGGCGAGAGGGAGAAGTCACCACACACCCGCAGGTAGAAGAGAGGGAGCACCACAACTTGGCCACGGAAATACTTGATTCAAGGTGGCGAGGGTGCCAGGTGGAGTACTTGGTGGCTTGGGAGGGAGAACCCGGGTCGGAAAACACGTGGGTTCCCGCGGAGGCAATCACTGACGGGTATCTGGTGGAGGAATTCCACCACCTGTTCCCAGACAAACCCAAACCACTAGCGAGATTCTGGGAGGAGCAATTTGGAACCACAGACGATGAAGAGGATTTTGTGGGTTTTTCAGTCTCCGAAGGGGAGGGAAAAGAGGCTTCAGAGGACGAAGAATCAGACTGGGAGGCCCACCCCGCGGGAAGGGATCAGAGCGGGTGGGAAGCGGGTTTTGAATCCTCAGAGGATGGCGACAGCTCCTTCCGGGGGTTCCCCGCATCGTCGGCCGAAGAAAGGGATGAAGTTGGGTCAACAGGTCGGGCCGGGGGTGGAGGGGGTCCTGGGGGGGAGGTGGATGTCAGGGAACTGACATCGGAGCTAGAAGCGGAGGGAAGGCTCTCAAATGATGCTGGAGAAGGGCCCAGCAGGGAGAGAGGCAGCTCCGCAGATGGGGAAGCAAATCAGCGCAACACCAGGGATAAAGAGGGGCTGATGGGGGAATCGGCGAGAGGGCTCCAGGACTCTTCACCGGACACCAGCAGGGAGAGCACGGGTCCCCCGCTACCCACGCCCACCCTGCGCAGAAGACTTCCGCGCAGAGAGAGTAGGAGGAGACTGGGTGTCAAACAACTTTTATGTTGGAAAAGATTTAAGAAACGCCCACTGACGGATTCTGCTAGCGACTGAGGCAGCCACGAAGTGAAGGGCTGCCCAGACTGAAAGGTTTAGCAAGGCAACAAAGCCTGGAGAGGCGGCAACTTACGCACGAGCAACCCATACACATTACAGCACCTTTGCTACTGTAGGTGGCAAGCCACCATATGCCATTTGCCGGAGCTGGCAGGAGCAAGGAGCAAGAGAGGGCTACTTCATTTATGTCCTGCTTGTAGGGATCCCAAAGGCATCTGGTTGGCCACTGTAAGACCAGCATATGGAACTAAACAGGCCATTGGCCTGAGCCAGCAGGCTCTTCTTACATTCTTATATTGTCTATGTGGTTCTTTTAAAAAGGAAATCATTTCAAAATGATAAGTGCAGAAAATAAAACACATTGTTGTGACAGGTATGTCGCTGAATAACAACATATGCAAAAATGTCATGTGTAAGAAGCCTGTAATCTTCACAAAACATAAATATCCTCCATGCTTCCTTCTTTCAAGGCTCTACTATAGGTCCCTTTGCCCTTTGAGGTTAGATGGGTGGTAAATAGAATAGGGCCCTTTTCAATTGCAGAGCCCAGTCTATGGAATGCCCTCCTTGCGGAAGGGTGTATTTTAGCTCCTGACAGAGACTTTAAAATCAATAATAGTAAAATTGCCCAGTTATTTCCCCATTTTTTATAACTGATTTTCATTTTATGGTATTCTGCTGGGATTTATTGGCTTTATACTTATTTTTAATCATGTGGAGTTTTTGTTTATTTTAATGGTCTGAGAGGTCATGAAGATGTTTCAGAAATGAAGCTAAGCAGATTTGGCTCTGGATGAGAGACCACCTGGAAACCTCACGAACATTGCTCTGAGCTTTGTGAAGAAAAGGAGGGGTACAATCCGAATGAATAAACATAGCCAATGCTACTGGGATTTGACACCAATGCAGAGCCCACTCCCTTCAAAAACTTTTCAGTGGGGCAATGTTGCCTGGGCATAATGGGAGCTGGGGCTCAGCAACGCCTGGAGGGCCACAGATCACCCACTGCTGCATTGCCATGGAACTACACATAACAGAACCCAATGAAGTCACAAGAGAAGGAAATCCATGTTAGGAAGAGAAACCACAGCAGGTTCTAAGAATTCCCATCAAAGCTGAGCATTTCCCTTCTTTGGCCATCTCATTCAGGACCTCCCCATTGTCGTGCCAAAGTTTTCTAATATCCAGAGGCTCCTCAGATGAGTCTAAGGTAAACAGGAGGAGACATATGACAAGGTATGAAATTGATTCTGCTAACCAACAATGGTCAATGTCAGGAAGGGTTATTATTGATCGTCCGCTGTTGCACTACATGAGGACATTCTAGTTTATTTTATCTTCATTATTTTGGTAAATGGATGGTGTTTTATGTATGTTCCCTGCCATGAGATCTTAGGATAAAGGGCAAGTTATAGCTATTTTAAATAAATAAAACTCCCAAGAAGCAAGGAAGCTGGGTTTATGGGATGCAAGGGGCTCCAGCTCCCCAAATATTTTGGGGGCAGGGAGATGCATCCTCCAATATTGAGGGGGCCATCACCCCCTGCCACCCCCTGTGCACCCCAGTCTCTGCCTGGCAGCCCAGGAACCCAGGAGCCAGGTGGGGGCTGGGACAAGCGAGGGCAATCTTTGCCTTCGCTCGCCCCAGCCTCCGCCTGACAGCCCAGGAGCCAGGCATAGGCTGGAACTAGCAAGCACAAAGATTGTCCTCTGAAAGTCCCACCCCCACCCAGCACATGCTGGGCAGTGTCACATGACCACACCCCCTCAATGTGTGGGGCAAGTTGGCGCCCCTGCCAAGAAGGCACCCACTTTCCATGCAAAACCAATGGAGATGCACCATAAGTGCAACCAAGAAAAGTGCTGGTACCTACTATCTAAGTGGGAATATCAGGATGTGAGACCTGTGGGAAGCATGAAATGCATACTGGGCAGCTACAAACTGCACACATGTGTCTGCTATGCCTTTTCGTAGGGCTGTTCATCCACAAAAAATGTTTCTTATCCTGTACATTCTAGCACTTTTCCCCCATCACCTTTCTAACAGCCATAATGTCCAAAAAACAAAACAAAAAAAGTGCAATGGAAAACATGGGATAATAGCCACTAGTTGCTAGTGACATTTAACCTCCATGCAAACATATCAGGATGAATATTCAATGAACAGGCAACAGGCTTTATCTCAGTGTCTTATAATAACAATGTCTTTATTTCCACAACACTTTCCTATGTAAGCACACTTGGGGATCTGTAATAAACCATGAATTCTGAAGTAGACACGATACCATGTCCTTTGGAATGCATCCCATGTTAAGCTAAGCCATGGTTAACATAAACCAAGGTTTACAAACCAGCTGCAAACCTTGGTTAATACATAAACCAAAGTTAAGCTGAGGTGCAGGTATGGACAATCAGGCTTAACTGTGCTTAAGTTAAATCAGGGTTTATAAACCATGGCTTAGTGTCACATGCAAACCAGGTTGTGTTTCTACTACTGAGTGCACATATCAGCACTATGTAAGTCCTTGACATCTGTTCAGTCTTGTCTATGCAGTATTAAGGGTTCAGGGTGCTAACAAAAACAGCAATACACCAGTAGCGGTCACGATGGTCATGTCACTTGTTATTTATTTTGTTTTTGTTTTTTTAAATAATATTTATTAGTAGTTTCAGAATTATAGAAGATAATGAAAAAATAAAAACAGCACAATAATACCTAAAAAAGAGAGGAAAAAAACAGTACAACAATACAACAGTACAGCAAAAAAAATACAAAGGAAAAAGGAAAACAAAAAAAGGAAAAAAAACACAAATCCCAAATTACATATCTATAACTTCCATTTGCTTGTTTCATTGACCTCCTCACACCTCCCTTCTTGCATTCTAGTTCAATTAGTTATTTCAGCAAATTCTTTCCATCTTCCTCAATTTTTGTTACAAAATTTATCTTAAAAATTTAACCTAATAATTAGCTCAACAAATCCTTTCCATCTTTCCCCATATTCTGTTATTCAAATTACTTTAGTTTATTTAACCTTATCTTACCCTAAAATACCTTAAAGCTTAAATCTTAGTTTTCAAATATACATAACTCCTGATATCATTTTTGCTAGAGTCATATAGTTTCATTCCAACATTTTCCCTAATATTCATTCATTTTAAGCTAGTTCCCTAAATAGAAAGTTTTTATTTATAAATTTTTTCCAATCTTCATCCCACGTCTCTTCTTCCTGTTCTCGGATCGTGTCAGTCCTTACTGTCTTACTTGTTATTTATTTTGAGTCTATGAAGAAACACAAAACCTTGGTGTATTGCAGCACCATGTTTTATCTGATCGCTATGGACTGCAGTGCTGCAACCAAAAGGGATCCCAAAGGGACTTACTCCTGTAAGCAACAATTGTGTTGTGAGATTGCTTAGATATCCTGACTCTGATGCTCAACAGGAATCCTACTTTCACTTCAGCAGTTGACTACCAAGGGAATTCACAGCCTCATTCCTTCTTTACTTATGCTTTGGTTTTTTGGCAGGGTGACAAGAGCTTTTATCCCTCTCCAATTCTGCTAACGCAATTCCACTTCCACAAAGTCAGAAAAGGGCATGAGGAAAGGTGCAACACTATGGGGGAAGTTGCGATTGTGGTAGACAATGGCAGTGCCTTCAGTCGATCAGGCTTTGCAGGAGAGGAAAGGCCAAGGATTTCCATGAAGACAACATACTTGCCTCCCACTGATCCGGGGATGACTCAGGACAAACATCTATCTATTTCCTGTAGTGTCCATGCCAAAGGCAGCTCCAGAAGATCCTCAGACCATCCAGTTAGGCATGGCATCATAGTGGACTGGGAGGCTATGGAGAATCTGTGGAGCCATCTCTTCTACTGTGGATTGAGAGTGCCTGTTGAGGACCATCCTACGCTGATGACTGACTCTCCCTCCTGCCCTACTACAAACAGAGAGAAGATGGCAGAGGTGTTTTTTGAGAGCTTTGGTGTCCCAGCTTTACATGTGGCCAACACAGGATTCCTCTCCCTCTGCGCCTGTGGTAGAGTCACTGGACTGGCTGTGGAGGCAGGGGCAGGAGTTTCTCATGTCACTCCGATCTACTCTGGGCAAACCTGGATGGAAGGCACCTACCGACTAGACGTGGCTGGGAGGGCTCTCTGCAAGCACATGCATGCCCTGCTGCTGGAGAGTTCCAATGACCCACAGCTTCTTGGGTCCTTGGATAAAAAGATGGTGGCCCGGCTTACAAAGCAGTACTGCTATGTGTCCATGGACTATGAAAGGGATCTTCAAGGCAAGGCTTGCCAGGACCCTGTGAGCGTTCAGATCCCTGATGGGCACTTGTTAATGTTAGACAAAGAACGTATTTGCTGCCCAGAGCCACTCTTCAGGCCACATCTGTTGAGCCAGAACTCCCCGGGACTTCATATCTTGGCTTTCCAAAGTTTGCAGAAGTTTCCAGCTGAGTTTCAAGGAGAGCTCATGCATAATGTTGTATTATCAGGAGGCTCCTCATTGTTTCCTGGCTTTCCAGAGAGGATGTGCAAGGAACTGCATGCCTTGCTTCATGGCAGGGGGCACCCTATAAAAATTCTGGCTTCCCCAGCAAGAGGCAAGGCAGCATGGCTTGGGGGCTCTTTGGTGGCCTCACTCAGCTCTTTCAATGGCTTTTGGATGAACAAAGAAGACTATCAAGAGCATGGGGCAGCTTATGTGCATGAGAAATTCAAGTAGGCAAAGAAAATGCTTCGACTAAGATAAGGCAAAAGCATAATGGGGAAGAGAGAAAACAGCAAGAGCACAGTGGCTTTCCAAATGCAATTGTATTTTGTATCCAGCCAAAATTCGGTGCTTTGTGTCATATTGATTTCTGCTCTCAGCTCTTTCTCCTTGAAATCAATGGGAGTTAAATAAATGGAGGTCTGATTGTGCACCTAAACTCTCTATGGAAACAGGTTTTTCTTTAGCAAATGGAAATGGAAATACAAGAAGAGAAAAATGCACGGATACCCATCATTTCTATAATCAAATTGAGAGAAAAAGAAGTATCATTCATTACAACATGACCAACTTTACACATTATGCATTCTACTTATCTGGTCATTAAAACTTCATACCTGTTGCCAATTTTCTAAGAGAAATGAAGAAATGAAAGCAAAACAAAATCAAACAGTGAACCATTAACTCAAATGCAACATAAATGTAGTGCTCTTCTGCAATAGCAGAGAAAGTCAAAATTATATATTATATTATATTATTATATTATATTATATTATATTATATTATTATATTAATCTCCTTATATATGTAACTACTAGATTTATATTTGTATGAAGATTGCATTGCAGAATCATGGTCTTTCCCATCAGCTGCAAGAAAGAGGGCTCTTTAAAAAAACGGTATCTGTCTGTCACAAGACGTCCTAACTTGATAGCTGAGGACCAAACATAACTGCAAGGCACCTAGAGACAGTCTGCTGTGTTAGGTAACTAACAAAATAAATAAATAAAAATTATACTTGGTGTGATTAGCACTTGTTATTATTTATTCATTACCTGCCCTTCACCCTAAGGTCCCAGGGCGGGTTGCCACATTAAAACACAATATCAAAAAACACTTTAAACGAACTTAGAATCACAGAAATAAAGTGGGACATACATACATACATACATACGTGTGTGTGTGTGTGTGTGTGTACCTCAAGTGTCAAAAGCAAGGGCATGGAGGTGTGTCTTCCTTCAGCATTCTCCAGAAATTATATAATGAATGTGATATTTCACACAAAGAATTCTGCTTGCAGAACATAGCTTCCTTTTCCTATTTCAAAAAGTATCATGTCATTTACATCTGGGTCCCAGCGTCACCCCAATTGTCTTCTTCCAAAGCTCAGCCACCAGGGCCCACTGGGAACTGACCATGGTCCTGATTTGCCTTGCTCGCCCAATTGCTACCATTTCCCCAGCAGGCCCCAAGCCCAGGATGACTGGCTGTCATCTATTTTATATGTGAATGGGTTGGGCAACTGAAAAGAAGCAGGCTTCAGTGCCCATTCCATCTAGTTTGGTCCTATTACACTTCAGCTTTTCTACCTTATTAGTCTGCAGTCATTTCTGTCTCTCAGCCCCACTTCTATTTTCAAGTCTATCCAAAACGTCTGTTGTCATAAAGTCAGATTAGAGATAGGCCCACTTTGTGCACATATGCCTTAATCAAGTCAGAGAAGTGGGTACCCCATTCAAATACCAGGCTCCCTGCTTAGATGTGACCTTTGGGCCATGCCTATTACTATAGGGGAATTGAATCACAGGAAACAGCAGAAATCTATCATGCTCCCCTCCTGCTGAGCACTTTGAATGATCTCTCCAATACATTTGTGTCCAAAATAGAATCCAGTGATACTACTTGTATTATTAAGTTTGAATGCTTTCAGTTCCTATGGAGAAGAACTGTAATCATGAGAGCAGAGACAAAGGATTGTTAAATGTTGAAGACCCCAAAGAGAAGACACTAAGAACCATTTTCATGTGTGAATTTTTTTTTTTGTCCTGCCATGGAGATTTAGTTGTACATGGCTTCAGGGCCTTCTATGTGGTAGCACCCCTCCCCCTCCAATTGTGGAAGATTCTCCTCATGGGATTGTGTCTCTTCCCTGTACTGGCATATTTTCACCAACAGCTAAATACAACATTCATTTGTTCAAGTCTTTGGGAAGGGTGATTGGCACAGAATTATTTATCTCTACTTGCTGGATTGGGCAAAAATTCAATAAACATGCAAGTAGTCAGTTTGGGGCCAAATGGAAATTCAGATCTCCCAATAACTTTTTGAAAGTTTAAAAGCAGACACAGGGGTGGGCAGATGAGATTTGAGTCCTGATGCTTTGGGGTCTAACCCTTTTCCTTGCACCGTTTCCCCCAATCAAAACACCCTCAGGAGAAGAAAAAGGAAAAACAGGTTCCTCATATCTTTTCTTTCCCATCTCCAGCAAGGTTATTAGCTCCATGTCATTTTGATCAGAGAAATGGCTGTCTCCCAGTTTAGACACTCTGTTAGGTGTTTTGATCGACCTCCCAAAATAATAATAATAATAATAAATACTGGGAGATCCAGTCATGGCTCACATCAAGTTAGGCCTTCCATTTCCCCCTAACAAAGCTTGTCTGGATGGTATTGTTCCAAATCAGCCTTTGCCAACCAGATGGCTAGCAGGGACTCATGGGAGTTGTAGTCCAAAACATCTAGAAGTCACCAGGTTGCTCTAAATCCTGGGAACATGGTAATAAATATAACCTCCTGCTTAGCAATCAATGCTGTCTCAGCACTGTATTACATAATGGATTGCTGGAAGACAAGCAGCCCCATGTAAATCAATAAAGAACTGTTAGGTCTTAGCATTGTTTTGTTCAAGCTTCCCTGAGAGGTGTGGAAGTTCAGAGTAGCCTTGATGGTTCTCCAAACAAGGCAGCATATCCTCAGGGTTCTTCTGACATCACTTGAGCAGCGTGAGACGCAACTTACCCTACGGCTCAACTCCCCTCTGGCTAAATGTGATGTACCCTTCTAAAGCCCCGCTATAGTGAATAATCCATAAGTGGCTGCAACAATGTGTGAAGAAACTTGAACAATGTAAATCTCTGAGAGAGACATTGAACGGGAAATGGGATGGACAGAGCCAGACCAATAGTCCATCTAGCTCTGTATTGTTTACACAGCCTGGCAGTGGCTCTCTGAGATTTCAGGCTGTGAGGCTTTCCCAGCTGTACCTGGTGACACCAGGGACTGAACAGGGGACTTTCTGGGTGCAAGGCAGGTGCTCACCCACTGCGCTAGAGCCCTTCCTTGAATGGACAGGATATCAAATAAGGTTTGGATTAACTCCCTTTTGACAAATAGAAGGGAACTCAGGTAAAATCCATCTGAGATGCATCACTTTAGAGGACTCTAGGACCACCTGAAGAAGGAAGCCTAATATAATGCCTCCCCATTTGGGACCTTTAGCAGCATACATTATTGATCTGCTGTTGCATTGTTGAGCCCCTGCCATTTTCTCTCCAGGATGGAATCCTTCCAGGATCCAAATGTCTCTCCTTCCTTCTCCATCAGCACTGGGAGCTTTTCACATTGAGCAACCTTTGCAACCATACAGCCTGGCATAATAAGATGCGCTTTCTCCTCTTCCTCTGCCTACTGAGGCTCCTGCTGAGGCAAGCAGAAGCTGATGCTAGCTTAGCCTATTAATACTTTCCCAGATATAGCACCTCCATACTGGGAGGGCTGCACCTGTTGAATTTTTGCCTGTCATCCTGCTGTTAAACAACCTCTTCTAGAAGAAAAGTCAGCAACCCTGTTTTGAATCTTTCATTTAATTGGCAACCTTCTGGTCTAAACATTTGGGCTTTTTTATAGCAACTAAGGAACTTTCTTTTAATTTTCTGAGATGATTTAATTTTTTTGACACCCATCTCCTTAAAGAGTGCATAGCCAAGCACATATATTGATGTGGCTCATACGTTAACTGAAGGAAGATCATGGAAGGAAATTTTCCAGCCTCTTTTCTCCAAAAAGTCTCTCTGGAGGGTCAACTCTGCCAGTTCTCTTCCTGTAATCCCTCTCTCCGTCCCAGACTTTTAACAGGCAAAAATTTAGCAGGTAAAGTGTTGTTCTAGAATAGGGATGAGGTGATATGAAAAGTCCAATGAACTGAACTTCTGCATTGCAAACAATAGTGCAGAAGCCCTGTGAGGAAAAGAACAGTTGGCAACACCTCTGCCCTTCACAAAGAACACGGTCCTCAGTTAAATCCACCCTAGTTTTAGGAAATATTTCAGGTCTACTTAAAACCTCATTTTCACCCAGAAAAAAAAGAAATGGTAAAAATTATTTGCTGTTTCAGGCTCTGTTGACATTACTGACTTGAAACACAGTTATTTTGTTCATTATCACAATTCAGAGCAAAGCTGGTTTGAAAAAAATAATGCATCAATGCACATTATTTCAGGGTAGATATGGATTGTGGCTAATGTCTTGTGTACACTTCTTGGTAAACCCATGATGGCAGCACACTGGATGCAGAGTAAACAGGTGTGTGCACACCCAATCACAGTCTTTTTCTTTTCTTTTTTTTTACAGCTGACATAATGCTTGAGGGTAAGGAGTACCATATGAATCTTCTTCAACCATTAAATATTGACCTTGAAAGACCCAGAAATATTTTCACATGCATGCATAGGCATAGGTGCACCTGACATTTCACCTGAAAGGCCAAGTCCCTGTGATTTCCCCTCATCCTAAATGAGAGAAAGCATTTAGGCACAAAAATGAAATTGTTTTGCACATTTAAGGAGGAAAAAACAAAACTATTCCCAGGAAGTTTTCTCGTTCATTATTCTCTAAGATTTTCTCACACACATCGGGTTTAACATGGAAGGCACTCAACTGCAAACATAATACTCTGGCAGAAGGTTTTAAGAGGGTTCACAGTGTTAGGTTTTGGTAAGACTTTCTGCCTTTTAGCTACAGAAATGGAGCTTGCAAAATGAAGCAAATGCTGTACAGTTAAGCTCAGTGATTAATTCTCAGCTAGGAGCATATTCAGTTAAATAGATGCCCATCTTGCACTCACAGATTATCCCTGAAAAACAGATTCTCAACTCAAACAATTTTTTTTATCCTTATGGAATTAGTGACTTTTTTTTCAGCAAATCACTTTGGATTTGTGGAGTCTGACTACAGCCATTTCCTAGGAGGCAACAACTTCTGAATTCATTGCTGAGAACAATCAAAATTGTTATTCATAATAATATCAATCACTGGGGGGAAATTAGTGATACTATCATATAAATACTGAGATGTCACAAACAAATGAACCCAGTTACAATGCTTCAAGGGTACGTGAAACATAGGATGAGAAAAGATCTGATGTCTTGGTATCACAGATGTTGACAATGTTGCAACTGGGTCTCAGAGTAGACCTAATGAAATTAATGAACATGACTAGCTTAGGTCCACTAATTTCAGTAGGTTTACTGTGACTAAAACTAAGTTTGATACAACCCAACAATGGCTAAAGAAGACATGAAATATATTGGTGATGATGAAAACAAGAAGATTCAAGAGAATTGGACACCATTTATTCTGTACTGGAATCAATATAAAACTAATGAAATAACTAGAGTGGACACAATAAGTATGATATAATGTTGCAAATAGATGTAAGCAAATGTAAATGTAAATATATTTACAAATAATAATAAACAACAGGCATAACATGTCATCTTAATTAGCTAGAAAATAGGATGGAATCAGAGTTTCAAAATGATGGACAACAACATCAGTGTCTGAACTTTCCTAACATTGTCAACACCCGAAAAGGGAACTTGGAGCCCTGGAGGTTCCACAAACGATGCCCTTTAGACATGTTGCACTCATACCTTTGAGAACATTCCAAGTTCTGCTGGAAATGATAGAACCCAAACTGACCTGTTCCTCCGCTGAGCTCACCACCCCCCCATGCTGCAAAGCAAAATTGGGAGTGGGAGTGGGTGAGACACAGGAATGATGGAGGAACAGAGCAGGAGAAGGTATGACTGCACCTGTTCTCCTACAGTGCATTCCTATATATATCAGATGCAAGTCCCACTTTATTCAGTGGAACTTATGCCCTAGTAAGTGTGTTTAGGATTGCAACTACAGATGCGGAACTTTTAAAGGTGTGTAGAAAAAGTTCGGGTTGTAAACTGGCAACTCTATTCACAAACACTCTATCAAGCCTAGAAAGTTTTTTCTACTGGATATGAGGCAAAGTGATTCACAAGCCCTCGGACATTAGAGGCACTGGAAAGAACAGTGACCCAAGTGGACTGTCTCTAAACGCCTTATTCCAGTTTGGAGAAAAATAAAATGAATTCATTATATCTATATTTTTGTTTATGAAATACAAACTTCAGCTTTTTTCTTGAGAACATTGAGAACCATACACATAGGAATACAATTGCACTATGTGCCTCATTGACTGGATGCCTATTTATTGATCCTGGGATATTCACATATGAACTAATGTTCCATTATAAAGAGTTGGATGCAAAGAGTGATTGAAGGCTAATTAAAGCTGTCAGTGTCAAAACATATATTACTGGCTCCATTCATGCCCATATCAGAATGAATGCACACCTACCAGTTTGGTTTTATCCATGGCTGACAGGACAGCAGTGTTGAGTTGCTCCAAGGCAGACAGCACATGTCTGTATTCTCCAAGGTAGTCCGAGAAATACTCTGCAGTAGGAGAAACAGCTTGTGAAGATTTCAAAATGGCATGCCAGTTTTGTCCCATGCCTGCTTTTCAAAGAAATGTTGCCTCTACTAATATTTACATCTGTGTTGTCATCGCTGGGGGGAGTGGCCAGTAGTATCATAGAGTACATAGGAACACAGGAAGCTGCCTTCTACTGAGTCAGACTATGGTTCCATCTAGCTCAGTATTGTCTACACGGACTGGCAGCAGCTTCCCACACATTCAGGCAAGCTGTCTCTCAGGTATATCTGGAGATGCTGTGGATTGAACCCGGGTCCCTCATCATGCAAGGAAGATGCTCCACTGCTGAGCTACATCTCTCCCCCAAAGTATCTCTTCTCTTCCCTGAAGTACGGAGTATTCTATCACCAGGAAACCTCCTTTTTGTCTAGTGCCCCATCTTTGGGGGGGGGGGAATAAACTTCAACAGAGGAGCAAAAGCCACATGCTTTGTGGGCACTTACTGAATAACATGCCTAGAAGTACATTTTTCATAGCAAGGAAGTAAATGGCCTACTTACCGCAGAACTTCTCCGTCTCTAAATTGCTGCAAGAGAATGAGGGAAAAAAGAAAAGAAACTCAGATGAGATGATGGGTCTAAACCTTAGATGAGAAACAGGTGCTGGAATTGGATGAAAGAGGAACCATATTTTCAGACAGCACTCTAAGCGAAGCCATGTCTTAGCTCACAACAGGGCAGCAGAGGAGGACCAAAGAGGCCACACTCTCCTCTCTGGCAGCTCGCACATTCAGACATTTGCACTAAGCAGGTCGTTGACTGCAATAGGACGGGTAAAAATGGGGGCAAAGCCACCCACCACCCACTTTGGTCACACAGCAGTCCACCACAACAGGACCGCTTTGTAAAGTGTAAGACTTCCAGCGCTCTCATATGCCAATGCAACGTGAACAATCTTTTCTCTCCCATCTGAGCTTCTGGCACCCATACATTTTACATTTTTCACAGCGCAGCTTTCAACCTTCTGTCTCAGTAATGACATTGTGCCACCTTTTCTTCTTAATGAAAATAGATGCCTCACTTAAGCCAGCTTTTTTTTAAGGAAAAGGGCAGAAAGGTACATGATGGAGTAATTTTATTGCACAGCCAGTGGCATAGTAGTAATAACAATAATGATAAAAACCACTCCATGCAGCCCTTATGTGATATATGCTGAAAAGACACTGAGCACAGATGAAGGATGCAATTCTGAGCACTTCCACCTGGGAAGAAAAGCCACTGGAAATAATCTGCACCATACATTTTAAGCAACGTCATAACACTTCAAGCAGTTGTGGCTCTCCCCCCACCCAAGAATCCTGGGAACTGTAGTTTGTTAAGGGTGCACAGAGTTGTTAAGAGCCCCCTCCCCGTCCTCTCACAGAGCTACAGTTTCCAGAGTGGTGTAACGGTCAATCCATCTTCCCAGGGAATTCTAGCCTCCCCGATGGGTAGCCTCCCTTCAAACCAATAAGAGTACAGTGGTACCTCAGGTTACATTCACTTCAGGTTACATACACTTCAGGTTTCAGACTCTGCTAACCCAGAAATAGTACCTCAGGTTAAGAACTTTGCTTCAGGATGAGAACAGAAATCGCGTGGCGGCGGCAGCGAGAGGCCCCATTAGCTAAAGTGGTGCTTCAGGTTAAGAACAGTTTCAGGTTAAGAACGGACCTCCGGAACGAATTAAGTCCTTAAGCCGAGGTACCACTGTAAGTGCTTATTAAATAGCATAGCCTCCAAAATTCCTCAGATGCAAATAGGGACTATTTTATTTTATTTTATTATTTGGTAGATTGGTATTTTATTACGGTATTTGGCGTGCTCTGGTCCATGGGGTCACGAAGAGTCGGACACGACTAAACGACTAAACAACAACAGATTAAAAAAAAATACACACCAATAAATAAATTATAGAAAGTGGCAAGAATAGATGTGGATGCATGAAGCATGAAGCTGGCTCATCCTCCTCCCCAAGCTTGATGGTGGAAGCACTGGTGAAGGAAATTGGGACATTCCAGGATCAAAACAGAAGCTGGGGTGACTTTTGTAATTCCAGGACTGTCACCGGAAAATAGGGACACTTGGAGGGTATGAAATAGCTAATGTCACCCAATCTCCCTGCAAACAAATCAGAATGAGTGCAAGGATTTCTGCCTGCACAACAGAACTCCTCTCCCCCCCCCCCATCTTCCTCCCCTAAATCTGTTCTTTGAGGTTCCCCAAACCCTCTGGTGCTGATTTGGGGAGGACACAGCATGTGCAGGGAAAGGAAGGGATAATTTATTACTATTTACTGGAGCAGGTTATTTACTTCCCCCACCATTTGCACTGCTGGAGCCATTCTTTGCCTAGACCATCCTATGCCTGTTGAAAACGTTGCGTATTATTATTTAACCTTAGACTTTCGGCTTCCTCTTAAAATTGTGTCTGATGGCTGCCATCCAGTTAATAGTAAAACACCAGAACAATCCCCACATATAAAAACTGAACACTCCTGATAAGACCCACTTCCCTAAGGGAGCCAACTGCACTCGGCACTTATCTAGCCCTTTTCATCTTCTGAATTTGTAACAAACATTAACCAATTAATAATTAAAATGCTGAATTATTCAATGCACAGGCAAACCTTGAGAAAAACCAGGCAGAGAGGTCTTTGCCCAGGACTTTAAAACAGAACAGAATCTAAACAGAAAGATGGTTTTCACTTCATTTTGACTTTGTTCTCAGTACTAATACTAATTCTGTAACATGTTCAATGTAAAAAGTGATTTACAGTTTGTTTTTTAGAAGATACCATTCCTAGCACAGGACATAAGAACATCAGAAGACTCATACTAGCTCAGGGGGGAAGTCCTATCTAGTCTAGCATCCTCTTCTCACAGTGGCCACCCAGATGCCTGTTGAAAGTACAGTGGTACCTCGGGTTAAGTACTTAATTCATTCCGGAGGTCCGTTCTTAACCTGAAACTGTTCTTAACCTGAAGCACCACTTTAGCTAATGGGGCCTCCCGCTGCCGCCGCGCTGCCAGAGCACGATTTCTGTTCTCATCCTGAAGCAAAGTTCTTAACCTGAAGCACTATTTCTGGGTTAGCAGAGTCTGTAACCTGAAGCATATGTAACCTGAAGCGTATGTAACCCAAGGTACCACTGTATGTGAGCAGGACATAAGTATTTTAATCAGGAAAACTAGTGTGATAAGTCCCATGCTTAAGTGCAGCCAATGTCATCGCATTATGCCCTCTGGAAGCTCAACGCAAGCAGGACCAAAAAGATACCAGAACATTTGTAACATAAAAAGGTTCCAGGATTTCAGCAACACAGCATTTGACTATTCAAGGTCTACTGTGGTAAGAGCAATCAACAAAATGCTAGGTATTATAATATCTATGGATCCAACTTTTAAATTACATTACATGTCTTATACTAGCAGAGTTTCAAGACATCGTATTCAGTCTTTTAATGAAAGCTCACCTGGTGTTTCATAAACACTGGAAAGACGATGCCATAGCTAGAGATTGGCCAAGAGTGTGGGAGACTATGAAATTAGTCACACTAACAGTTCAATCTTGTGCATGTTGACTCAGGAGTAAGTCCCATTGTGCTCATTTGTGCCTACTCCCAGGTACATATGCATAGGTTTTCAAATTTTGGAGGTGCCCTGTGTGCTGCTACAATTTGCTCCTTCATCTCTCGTGCTCTGTTCTATATCATTGTTGTGGCTCATCCTGCATTGTGGCCGAGCCATTCGCGCGACCCGAAAATCGCCTCTGGATTACAGCCTGTTTTAATGAGATCTGCTTACAAGCCACGAAGGATCAATCAGCCTCAGCTGCTCAAATAATCTTTTATTAAAGGAATATAAACTGGTAGATACACTTCTCCTGTAGCCCTATTTGTTGTAAATGGTGTAAGGGAACTCCACTGCGAAAAGCGCCTGATATATGGTACTTGTGTGAAATCTGAGAAATTCAGTAAAACAAATAAAGCAAAACAAAATATTTAAACGTTCTTCCAGGCCCAAATTGGCTTGCTAGAGGCATTTCATTTCTACAAAACCTGAAGGGGGAAGGAGAGACATTGCTGTACCTGTGTTCTTATTGCTATTCTCCTACCAGCACCCTTGTTTTATTGCTATGTTGCCTGCTTACGATGGTTTTGCTGTTCCCTGCACTGCCTTTCATTATAACCATTCTATTGCTTTTTGTATTAATTGTTTCTCATTTTTATTTAGTTCATTTTAAAATGAACATTTTAAAACTGCCCTTTGTTCAAACATGGATTTCAGGGCAGCATGGAAAACTTAAAAAAAAAATCTGCAAATACAGTTATACAGCGTAACCAGCAACGCAATAAATTAAGGAGGAATGAAACCAATGCACTCAAAGAATGCAGTGTTGGTAGTAGTCATACTTTCCTTGAGAGGTGGGTCAGCACCAGCCTTCAGGAGGCCTTCAGTATGATGCCGCAACCTGCTAATGAACACACGCCAACGTGCCAACAGAGTATTCCCACCCACCGCCACCTCTGCTGCTGCCATGGAAGCAGGGAGGTATTTTAATGGAGGGCTCCTGTTAAAAGCTAACCTCCCATCCACTCTGGCTACCTGCCATCTTGCTTTCCCCGAAACGCAATACCCCTGCTTTGGATCTAGACTTCATAGGGCTGGCAGGGAGCAGTGGCACAGCTGAGTCAGGCCAGTAAAGGAGTCCTTCTGAGCCCCTTGGACACCTCAGCCAGTGAAAGGCCTGACCTGGCTTACTGCTAGCACGGTGGCTGTAGGCAATCCACACTGAGGAATGTTCTAAACCCTTAATTGATGGGTTTTTTTAAAAAAAACTCTTGTTCTTCTCTACCTTGTAAACTTCAAGGCCGAAAGATGGGATATAAATATTTAAGTAAACAAACACAAGAGGCAGCCCCGAGTGTAACTGCAGGTATGTGTTATGAGCTTTTGTGATCACAGTCTAAAAGCCACAAACACACACCAAAACCCTGGTGTGAATGAGTACTAAGTATATAGGACAAAATCCAACCATCTCCACCTCCCAGCAGCAGAATGGATACCCTCTCCTATTATTATTGGTATTTCAATTAACTAATTGCCTTGAAACTACCATTTCAAGGTGATTTAAGATAATTAAAAACAGTTAAAAGCACAAATACATAAAATACATGCTTTTGATACCAGCAACCAGAGCATCCTTCTGGGCCGCCTTGCTGGGATGGGACTTGAAACTGCTGGGAGAGGTTGTCCAGAGTTTTGGGTCTGGTGTCACCAGTATGCTGATGACACCCAGCTCTATTTCTCCTTTCCATCTGGTTTTAAACAAATTTTGTATATGTATATAGTTTTGATTCTCTTAATGTTTAATTGTTTTAATGGTTGTTGTTTTTCTATATTTTTAGCGATTCTTGTTTTTATCTGTAAGCCACCTTGAGTCCTGTAAGGAGAAAAGGTGGGGTATGAATAAATAGAAGAGAAGAAGTTTGCACCAGCAGCTTTAACTTGCACCAGTAGCAAATTGGCAGACACTGTAAATCCCGCAAGCAAGGTATTATATACTGGCTTGTCCTCACAAGCAAACTAGCCGCTGTGTTCATACACAGGAGATAAATCATGCTGGACCTGACCAAATCAATTTCCTTGCCCAATCTGATTGTGAAGATTGCCTCTCTTACAGTGTCAGCATCAGATAACGTATCCAGAAGAGATGCTTTTTATTCTCATTTGTGCAGCCCTTTCTTCACATCAGGCAAGGGCAGTGAAAAGTCACTCAGACATGTTAACGTTCCATTCTAGGAAATCAGCAGCCTGCCAGCTTGAGAAACTCATTAGGAATGATCTTCATTGCACAAATACAATTCCAAGCTCTCTTCTTCCTTGGGTTTCCTTCAGCGACTCCCTCCGGAGCCTGCCATCTCACCACACCACCTCCATATTCTTCAGGCACCTTCAATTACCTCTCAGAGTACCTTTTGTTGCCTGAGATTAATCTAGGTTAATTTAATCACTTCAGGGAAATTGCTTCAGGCCCGGGTTGAGGCATCGTTAAGGGAAGCAAAGCCCCCCTAGTGCCCAAGGTGTGATATTTCAGAAGGTAAAGCACATTATTCCCACGGCTCTTGGTGCCATTGACAGCAGGGGGTGGGGGTAAAAAAAAACCCCAGCTCTCAAATATGCACAGAACATTGTGTGCTGTTTATACCTCCCCATCTCCATGCTCTCAGAGGATGTACTGCAAGAGACGGCTGCTTCCACTTCCTAATCACTTACAAAAGAGCAGTCCTAGGTACTGTTATTCTGACTAAATTTAGATCTGTATTGTGACAGGTATTTCTCCTACCACAACATTACGCTTCCCACCAGTTCCTCTGTCACTCTATTTCTCTGAGTACAGGATGTCTTTTGCTTTCTCTGGGACCATGACACTCCAGTGAACAGGTCTACGAAACGTACAGGGTCCCATCCATGCCCCCTTTCAGGATATGCCATTCCATTCTGCCTCCCTGCTACTTTTGCATGCTGCCCATGCCCCTAGGCAGGCAGGCAGCATTCCTTAGCCACTAAGCATGCTTTGTTCTCATTAGGCTATTTCCCCCCCCCCAGTCGTCTCTCCCCCTCCCCATTTTCACAGAACTGGGTTTCCCCCCAAAAGCTCCTGCAGCCAATCGGAAGCCACACCTTGGTTTTTGAACCATTCCGGGAGTTGAACAGACTCCCAGAACAGATTAAGTTCGACAACCAAGGTACCACCAAGGTACCACTGTATAGGGTATGAGGACTATATTGTTGTACCACTTCTCCTCTTGGCCCTCTGTCCTCCCCTCTTCTTTTCACAATGGGTGTTTGTACAAGGACAATGAATAACCGAACCATACATCTTTTTTAATTGGTTCAGAGATCTGCACATCTCCATGCAGGGTGAATCTGCTATGAAACTGATGAAGCTTCAGTTTCACGACCTCTAATCCCAAAGAGGCCCCAGAAGCAACTTTAGTCCACATTATTATTATTTTTTTAAGGGTCTGGTAGATCCCAGTTGAGTGGCACGACTCAAATTAGTGTTTTTTTTGTTGTTGTTCTATATATCACAACAATCCCAGAGTTATACAGTAAGTAGCACAGATGATATAGATGTATGGTGATCTGTCATGGAACAACCCCATTGAAGAAGATAACAGTGGTTACCCAGACCTTGTTGCTGGTTGCGAAGGGACCCCATAATGTAGGTCCACCACTGTCCCCTTGAGCTTACTGCAGGCATCCCTTGAAAATTGGAAAGGGGCATGAAGCGTGATGTTATATGTAGGAAACCTGTCAAGACGGAGTACATTATCTACCTGGGGTGTCTAGGAAGGAATAATTTCCTTTATATTTTGGAAACCACTGGCGAACTCATTTTTGCCTAGTCAAACTGAACTTTTGAAGAATGCTTTCTATGTTGAATGCTGAATTTCTAACATGGGAATGACCAGGCTTTATACTTACATGACCTCTGGCTTGAAAACCTTTTATGAATTAATCCCCAAAGACAAGATGAGCTACTCCTGAGATGTGAGAAAGGCACTCAGCGCATGGCCGCAGGCACCCTGTCATTCAGGGATGCCACATCTAGGTGATAAATCAGTGCTAGGTTAAGGAATTAAACCATTCTGAAAGAAGAAAAAGAGGCCCTGGATTCCTCAGCCAGCAAATTTTAATACATTTTTGAATTGCTTTTGTTTCAAATGTTCATATGCCACTTTCCCACTTAAAATTATGTGCAGTGGCTTGCAAACAAACTGTAAACGTATACAAGCTGCAGATGGCAAGTGCCATCTTTTTTAAAAGGGCATTTCCTTCTATGCAGAATAGAATAAGGAATTCACTTTCTACCCTGATACTTGTTTGCAACACTTGCATCATGTAATGACAACATAGGCTTCCCCCATAGCTTTCCCCCCTCCTCATATGTAAATACATGCATTTAATTGTTTTAATCTACAACACATGCATATAATTGTTTTCTTAATATTCCTTCAATTAGCAATTTATTTATTCATTTTAAAATTTATCTCCCACCCTGTATCTGAAGGATACAGGGCAGATTGCCACAATAAGCTGTGTTAAGTGGAATTCAACCCGGAAACACAATTTAAATAATAAAGAACACCGAAAAGTAATCTACAGTATGCTATGGTTGTTCCACATATTCCAGTGGTGTCCCTTGGCAGAGGGGAGAGGTGGCACCTCAGTGGTAGGGCATCAGTTTTGCAAGTGGAAAGTCTTAGCTTCACTCATTGGATCTCCAGTTAGGATCGGAAATGACCTTTCTTGTGAAACTCTGTAGAGAGCTGCTGCCAGCTGCTATAGACAGTACTAATCTAGATGGATCAGTGGTGTGACTCAAAATAAGGCAACTTTTTACCATCACCGATTTTGAAGCAAAGCCCTGGTTATATTATGCTGTCGTGACGAAGGACCGCTTTGTTTCCCAGTGCTTATTTAAGAGAGAGGCTACTCAGAAACCTTCCTAAGCTGAAAGCAGAGGATTCTCCTTCCTCAGCTTAAACTGCAAGCATTGGAGCTTGTACGCATTCATTACCGTCATCTATAAAGCGCCAGCAAAGCTCCTGCTCTGTGCAGCAGCAATCTCAACCCCAAGCCAGCTGACGCAAATGGGCTAATTCCTAATGTGTCTTGAACATGTGGAGGCCAGAATCAAGAGGCTCGTTCCTCTCAGGCTTCCGGCAGCAACAAACACCCAAAGGCAGAACTGGTTGCTGTTATATTACAGCAGCCAGTGAGACTCAGATCAAGAAGCTGAAGACAGATGGTTGCTTTAATGCTGAATGTGAGCACCTCCTTGTCCCCAAGACCACAAGGGTCAGAGAGTTCCGGCTTACCAGCTTGCTAACAGCATACATTGAGAAGCATATGGATGAGAGAAGCATGGGTTGTCCTGCAGATTGGTTGCTTTGCTGCTAACCTCTGCATGACTCAGATTCTGGTGTTTCGCCTGCTGCAAATGGCAGTATGGGATAGGCTTGCCATACATCAGGAAAATTTCTGACCTGTCCTGGTTTTCAGGTGTAAAAATCAGTGGGGTTAGGGTGTCAGGAATTTTGCTTTTTGAAATATGGCAATACTAGCATGAGAGAAACTGCTTGGCAGATGATGGGAGGTGTGGGACACACGAATGCAGAGGTTAAAGCCCGCATGCACATTTCTTTGTAGTTTTGTCAGGCAACAAAGGGTGGGGAGGGGAGCTGAAATTGGTTTAAAAAAAGCATCAATGCAAGAGGGGAATGGCTGTAACATACAAAACGAGTGCGATAGGCATGGCCCCTAGCAATAGCAGATAAGCTCACACAAACATGTAGAGTGGCTAGAGGTGAATCTACTAATCATATATTTGAGAGCAATTGGTTTGTTTTCATTTCTTCTGTTAACTCTCAGCCTGTTGGGTTTGGGTCTCCTATAGTACAATAATGTCTCATTCTGTATGACTGATGGTCTACTTGTATGTAACTCCATATATTGGTGGTAGCTGCCCACCTGTTTTGATTATATCTGTTCTATGCTGTATTTATGTTTAAAAAAAAAATTACAGTGCAAAAGAAAAAAGAAAAGCATTGCTGCTCCCGGTGTATATACTAATTCTATTTTTGCCCCTGGTTAACTGTAGGCTTTTAAAAATAAATAAATGAAAAACCCATTTCACTAAAGACAACTTGCATCAGGGTGAGGCATTTAGGATGAGATGAGAGCCAAGGGGACCTCTGGGTGCATTCAGTCTAATGCATTTTAATTCTTTTTCATCAGGGAATATAACCATTTAATGTCATTAATAAAGCATAGTTGAAAATCTCAAAGGTAGCGCCAATAATTGTTGCTACTAACAATACAAACCATGGAAAGGAACAACAACAAAAAGTAACAATTTTTTAAAAAGGAATAAAAAGTCCCATTCTTTCCCACAGGTTGAATTGTTTCTGGCAGGATTTGTGATAGTTTTGAGATTTTGAACACTGTTCTGACCAAGTTCTCCAAGGTCACTCGGAACTTTTATTAAAAGAAACAAAAGAAAAATAAAATCTGACCCTCATTTGCTCCATCTGTCTTCCTTTCTCATTGAAACATGTTTTATTTATATGGCCATGAAATTAGTTTGCCTGGCAAAGATAAACCTGAGACCAGGTATTCACACACTTAACTGAGCAACAAGAGCAGATGCTGAAATCAATTCTATGTCGCCAGTGGACAATGGTAGTCAGGACCGAAATCCTCCTGACAGTTGAATCCTCAGGCTCATGAGTCCTTCATCTCAGATGGCACATGTTGGTGATCACTCAGGGTCAATTCACATGACTTGTCTTTTTTTATTATCTGCGGCAGTGGCACTTTTCAGTTATCCAGTTATCAGTTTAGCAGCACAGCCACAGTAAGCAATACACATGGATTTGGTTTGGGCATCCAAACACAACTGTAGCTTTTTTTAAAAGGATCAAGCACCAAAAGTTGATCTGTGTTAAGATCAGTAAAATGACACCAGTTACAGCAAGCGCATGCTGTGGAATGTCGTATAGTCTAACCCCACAAACTGCATGGAGAATTTCCTTGTTAGATATAACATCCTATTTGCAAGGAGATGGCCAGGTATGATAACCATGTACATGTTCATTGCACCACTTTCAGACAATCGTCCAAGCCATCAAAAAGACCAGGAAATCTCTAACTAATCACAGCTTCCCATTTTGTCCGTACAGGGGGTGATTACCAGCTTTGGAACAAAACAGGATATTAAACAAGTTTGAAAATGGTTTAATATCCCGGTTGCTTCTGAAGCTGTTGACCACAGTTTCCCAGTTTGGACCAAATGGAAAATGAAAGTTAACTGTAGATGTCCTGGTTTATTTACTGGCTCACATGAAGGGAGGACTGAAGCATTTCTAGCTGTTTTCCTTTGGGAAGTTTGTTTCTTGTCTGGATGCTGTCTATTCAAAATAAGCGAAGGGGCCAAGCTGAGACAATGCAGCAGAAAGGCCATCTATCTTACAGTGTAATTGAAGTTTCGCTGTGATGGACAAAACCACACTGTAGTGCTTAAAAGCAAGCCAACAAACAAACATCTTGCCTGCATATTTCATAGAGGGTTTACATGCCATTGAAATCTGCACTTGGACAAAAATAGCAAAGCAGATTTTGATCCATGCAATTCAAGCATACTGCTGTGAAGTTAACACACTATCTTAATTATGATCAGAGTCTGGACTATTTTTAAAACAGCTTTTAATTCCCAGGCTTACCGAGTTCCTTCTTCAAGCTCCATGATGCTCCCATATCGACATAATGCATCCTTATGTAGCTCACAGACAAACTATTCTGCCGTCTCACTGGATGAAATCCTTGATGATTTGGAGGATGACTGAAGGTCATCTAGCCAAGCCTTCCCAAACCTGGTGCCTTCCATATATATAGGACTACAACTTCATTAGTCTTAGATGTCAACTGAAGGGCACCAGGCTGAGGAAGATTGATTCAGACTAATCCCAAAACTTAAGGCAGGTTATTCTACATATACCAGTCATTGTATACTTCAAAACTCAAAATACAGCAAGACGGAATAGGACTAAACCAATTTAAGTAGAATGAAATCTCATGTGGCTCAGCTCATATGTAGCACTAAGCCAAACTGCTTTAGTGAAAACATGCCAGCATGGCAGTGCCTGGAGAGGAGATTGTGGCCACTTTGTTCCTCCTCTGATCCTGCTGCTGTTGCGAGCTAAGCCATAGTTTAGCATGTCATCCAAACCTAGGCTCGTGGTTAGTCTCCTCCTCTGTAAATAAGCCACGAGCTCAGCTTGGGATGGTCAATCAATAGCGTAGCTCACAGCAGTGCCGCAGCAACAGGATGAGAGAAGGAGCTAAGCAGCCACAATTTCCTCTCCGGAAATTTGTGCATTCATACTAAGCCATGGTTTGTCTTGGCACTACATGCAATCCAGGCCACAATAGGCAACACCATCTATTTAGTCATATTCTTGATCCTCTCCTGGCATGCTTACATAGTCTGTATTGCCAAGAAAAAGCTTTAGGTTCCACATCAGTTAAGTCCAGTTTACTTAAGGGTACTTTCATGAGAACAAAACAAACTGAACCAGGGTCTCAAACAAGGATCTTGCCCAGGCCTACCTTGAGATGCCAGGGACTGAATATGGGATTTTCTGTGTGCAAAGCAGATACTCTGCCTCTGAGCTACAGCAAATGTCTGCATTGTATATCTGGCAACTCCAACATAGAATATTATCTTTGTTATCGCACCCATTTGCTTTAAGTGCATGCTAATCTGACATAGTGCAATGGGTGTTGGGGTGTTGGGAGGGGGAATTGACTCTGCTTGAAATTTCCTTGTTGTTAACTTAACAGGCGTCTCCTTACCCTGACTGACGCCTGTCAATGCCACTGAACAACTCCCACAGTTCTTCAGAGTTGAGGATGCCATCGGCACAACAGTTCTTAAATTCTTCAAATGACAACTTCCCATCATCTACATTTGAATGAAAGAGAAGGAATAATTATACCTTTGCAGAGATGAGAGCAACATGAGTCTCTGTATGTTATTTTGTCTAATTCAGCAAGCTGTGCAACAGGAAGACATTATGGTATAACACTGGAGCCAGGAATTCATAGAAAAACAACAAGGAATCTTGTGGTGCCTTGAAGACTACCAGATATGCTACGGCCATCTTTAGGAAGGTGCCACAAGATTCTTTGCTGTTGTGTGACAGACTAACAGGGCTACTCCGCTAGGAATTCATAGGTCTCTGCTGAGCAACATCAGCAGTGCTGAAGACACAGGTTTTCACTGAGATGGCGGAGGCTGATGCAGATGAGATTCATGGGTTCCTGGCTGACATATCACACTGTTCATGCTTGGAGATCACTCCCACTCACTTGGAGATCAGTGGCTATTAGTTAGGACCGCCTCTTCCCATATGAACCTACCCGGACCCTGAGATCATCTTGTGAGGCTCTTCTTTGTGTGCCTCCTCCTCGAGAGGTCAGGAGGGTGGCAACACGAGAACGGGCCTTCTCTGCGGTGGCTCCCCGTCTGTGGAATGCTCTCCCCAGGGAAGTTCGCCTGGCGCCTTCATTATACACCTTTAGGCGCCAGGCAAAAACGTTCCTTTTTAACAAGGCCTTTGCCTGACTTGATCTACATCCTATACCCTTTTTTAAATGCTGGCTTTTTGGGGAGGAGGGTTTATTGGGTTGTTATTTTTGTTTTGATTTTATGTATTTGATAATTTATGTGAACTGCCCTGAGACCTTCGGGTATAGGGTGGTATAGACATTAAATAAATAAAATAAATAAATAAAATGATGACTCTGCTCTGCCTCCATGGTTGGAGGTAATAGTGATTCTGAATACCAGCTGCTGAAAACTACAGGAGGGGAGTGTGCTCTTGTATTCAGGTCTTGCCAGAGGGTTTCCCACAGGAACCTGGGTAGCCAATGTGTGAACAGGATGCTGAACTAGATGGGTCACTGGCCGGTATTTCTTAAGCGCTTATGCTCCATTGAGCAGCTGTAGGACATGTAGACACTGAAAACTAAAGAGTTCTGCATGTTAACTGACCACCACTGCCAAGTTGCATCATGGAGGAAGTGCAGGTGCTCTACTGAAGTAAGACATCATTCTGAACCTGCACAGAGGCTTCTAGCAGCACATGCAGGTATGAACCAATCCACAGTCTGTGCAGGATACTAGGGGTCTGTCTACATGAACATCACTGTCAGATCCATATTATCTCCTCCCTAGTCATATCTTGGCAGCGGTGGTTAGCCAATGCACAGACCTTCTGCTTCTTTTCAGCTTGCCGTTTCCTATGAATAAAGAAAGCTGCCCAAAGAATGGACTTATGAAACCAGGGTTAAAATCCAGCCATGGGTGCAATCTGAGTGAGCCAATACAATTTGGACTCAGTTTTCCACTTGTAAACGGGAAAACTTAAAATGGCCAGTGTTGTGAGACACTGAGAAAACAATTGCAAAACACTCTAAAAGTGGAAGAAAAATAAAATGCCAAATGAACAAGTGTGCATAATAAAACAAAAAATATAAATAAATAATAAATTTCAGATCTGTTTCCTGGGGGTGACAGGAGTGTGAACACAGCAGCCACGGGGGATATAAAGGTCAGAGCAGATAGCCGAATAGCAATGAAAGATCAGCATTAATAGATGGATTTGGCCTAAGTAGGAAGAATGATTGACATGCAGGTTTGTATGACAAGGGCAAGGATGCATGGATATGGGAAATAATAGACAGCAATTGCCAAAGTGATAGACAGCAAGGGGGCAAGGAATGTCAGAAACATCTAGGGATTAAATTGAACCATAGGCCACAGACTGGGTCAGCAAGGCTATGGAAGAGCCTGGATGTATCCACTCACCCATGAGGCCTGGAGTTTGCTTATCTGTTGAAGAACTTGGAAACTAGACAACATTGGCCTTCATTTATCATAAAGTTTCTAGCTGTCATGGTTGCTCAGAAATTATGAAAGCTAGAGTGTTTTAACATGTTTGTTTTTTTATTTTTTTATTTTATTATTATTATTATTAAATATTTTCCTTTCCCTTCTGATTTTTATATATGGGGGTGGGACGGATGTTTGGGTGGGCTTGGGAATTTGTTAGATTTTGATGAATTTGTAATTTTTGCAGTTTTTATTTGTATTTTTTAATTGTTTTCTGGGTTGTTTTTGTTTTTATTGTTTTAAGGTTTTATTGTTTTAGGCTGCGAAAGAATAACATTAATTGCCATCAATGGAAGCTACTATGAGGCCTGGGATTGCTACCGTGGAGGGGCGAGGGAGGTATGGTGGAGGGGGCAGATGTTATAGGCGAAGAGGATCAAGATATGGATACGCTCGTACCCCTTCCAATCTGCGCCCCATCCCGAGGGACGAGGGTAGGGTGAGCAAGGATTACTCACCTCCGTCACTGGTGCTGTGCAATGCCAGGTCTATAGGCAATAAAACCGCCACCCTGCGAGATTTCTTTATCTCGCAGGGGGTCGACCTGGCTTGTGTGACGGAGACCTGGGTGCGCGAAGGGGCAACAGTTACCTTACGAGAGATGGCGCCCCGGTTTCTCTGTCCTCCACCAGTCGCGGACTGTGGGCCGGGGGGGGGCATTATTAATCCGGGAAGATTGTCCTTTCAGGGCTCTACCATCGCCATCGATCCCCGGCATTGAATGTGTTGGCCTAGTGTGGGGCTCCGAGGAGAGCTTGGCTGTCTGGCTGGTGTACCGGCCACCTAGCGCACCAGCAGCCACCCTGTCAGGCCTAATGGAGGCGGTGGCCGGCTGGGCCTTGGAGTTCCCTAACCTATTGGTATTGGGGGACTTTAACATCCATGCTGATGCCACTCCCTCCTCACAGGCTCTGGACCTGGTGTCTTCCATGGCGACACTAGGGCTCTCCCAGTTTGTTTCGGGCCCCACACATCAAGCAGGCCACACGCTGGATTTGATCTTTGGCGTAGGTATAGATGTGATCATGTCTCCTTCGATGAAGGTGCCATGGTCTGATCACTACGCTCTGAAAGCCAGGATTGACTTTCCATCCCACCCTGCTTAGGTGGCGAGCCGATTTGGGCTCGCCCGCAAAGGCTGATGGACCCTGATAGATTCCGCCAAGCCTTGCGGGATCTTGCTCCCCCTGGCGACTCATTGACTGAGCTTGTTGAGGGCTGGAATACCAAGCTCCTGGCAGCCATCGATGAGATCGCACCTAAGCGCCCTCTGCGACCCCGCAGAAACCGGGCTCCCTGGTTTACCGAGGAGCTCCGGAAAATGAAGCGGGACCTCAGACGGCTAGAGCGAGTATGGCGGGGTGCCCGTGATGGAGCCTCAAGAACATCTTATAGGGCTTTTATGAAAACCTACGAGATGGCGGTGAAGGCTGCTAAGAAGTCATACTTCTCGGCCTCCATTGCATCCGCTAGCTCTCGCCCAGCGCAATTATTTAGTATAATCAGGTCTTTAACGTCCCTTGAGGGACAGCCAAATTTAAATAACAATTTGACACACAGCTGCGAGGCATTTGCGAGCTTTTTTGCGGAGAAGGTCTTGTTGCTCCGCCATGACCTCCCTGCCAATTTGGATACAATAAAGGAACTGGAGGCCCCTCGACTGTCCTCAGGTCCAGTATTGGACCACTTTGACCGGATATCCCCAGCCGATGTGGACAGACTCCTCCGAGCTGGAAAGCCCACCACCTGTCCTCTCGACCCGTGCCCGTCTTGGCTGATTAGAGCATGTCCAGACGAGGTGCGGGCCCTCCTGGGGGATATCATCAATTTGTCCCTTGGCACAGGGACATTCCCAGGGGAACTGAAGGAGGCAGTGGTGTGCCCGCTCTTAAAGAAAATATCATTAGATCCTTTAGATCTATCCAATTACCGCCCAGTTTTGAATCTTCCATTCCTGGGTAAGGTGATTGAGAGAGCGGTTGCTGAACAGCTTGGTGGGTTTCTGGATGAAACATCGGCTCTGGATCCATTCCAGTCCGGCTTCCGCGCTGGTCATGGGACCGAGACGGCTCTGGTTGCCCTAACAGATGATCTTCGTAGACAGCTGGATCGAGGCGGGTCGGGGCTGCTGATTCTTCTAGATCTGTCAGCAGCTTTCGACATGGTTGATCACGAACTTCTGGTCCACCGCCTTGCCGACGTGGGGATCCAGGGCACAGTCCTTCAATGGCTGCGCTCGTTTCTCTCTGGTCAGGGACAGAGGGTGGCGCTTGGGGGGGAATTGTCATTGCGCCACTCCCTGGTGTGTGGAGTACCTCAGGGTGCAATACTCTCCCCGATGCTTTTCAACATCTTTATGCGCCCCCTCGCCCAGCTTGTCCGGAGTTTTGGGCTGGGTTGCCATCAGTATGCCGATGACACCCAACTCTATCTGTTGATGGATGGCCATCCTGACTCGGCCCCAGACACACTGACCAGATGTTTGGAAGCTGTGGCTGGATGGTTACGTGGGAGCCGGTTGAAGCTAAATCCTTCGAAGACAGAGGTCCTGTGGCTGGGACGGGACGATATGGGATTGGGGGCAACTCCCATCTCTTGCGGGGCGCAATTAGTGCCAGCACTGTCCGTTAAGAGTTTGGGTGTAATCTTCGACACCTCCCTTTCCATGGAGGCGCAGATTGCAGCTATAACAAAGGCGGCATTTTTCCATCTCCGCCAAGCTAAGCAGTTGGCTCCTTACCTCTCTCGCCCTGACCTAGCCACTGTGATCCACACGACGGTCACCTCCAGACTGGATTATTGTAACTCGCTCTACGTGGGGCTGCCCTTGAGACTGACCCAGAAACTCCAGTGGGTGCAGAATGCTGCAGCGAGACTCCTTACGAGGTCTTTGCTATGAGATCACATTCACCCGGTGCTATACCAGCTGCACTGGCTCCCGGTGGAGTACAGGATCAGGTTTAAGGTGCTGGTTTTAACCTTTAAAGCCCTATACGGCCTAGGACCCTCGTACCTACGGGACCGCCTCTCCTGGTATGCCCCACAGAGAAACTTACGGTCTTCAAATAAAAACATCTTGAAGGTCCCAGGCCACAGAGAAGTTAGGCTGGCCTCAGCTAGAGCCAGGGCTTTTCGGCTGTGGCTCCGATCTGGTGGAACACTCTGTCACAAGAAACCAGGGCCCTGCGGGACTTGACATCTTTCCGCAGGGCCTGCAAGACAGAGCTGTTCCACCAGGCCTTTGGCCAGGGCACAGCCTGACTCCCTCCCTCGGCAGTCTTTGCGGAGCTCTGGCCCAATGGTTGCCAGTGGCTTGAATTAATTAATTTTATAATGAATGATTTTAGAGTGTTGTTTATGCTGTACTTTTGTATTGTTTTATTGTTGTTAGCCGCCCTGAGCCCGGCTTCGGCTGGGGAGAGCGGGATATAAATAAAATTTATTATTATTATTAGAGTGGTAGAATACAGGACTAGGAATGGGGAGAACCAGGTCCCAATTTCCACTCATCTGTTTTCCTGGTTGGCTTTCAAACATTAGAAGCAGGAAACTGGCTAGGAAGCTGGCTAAGCCTCTGGACAACAAGGAACCAAAGGTTTGCTAAAGGGAAAAAAGGAGATTGCAAAGAAGCTGAATGAATTATTTGTATCTGTCTTCAGCACAGAAGATGTAGGGCAGATCCCTGTTCTTTAACTAACTTTCTTGAGAACAGAGTCTGAGGAACTAAGGCAAAGAGTGGTGACAAGACACAGTTCTAGGACTTATTGACAAAACAAAAGCTGACAAGTTACTGGGTTTGGATAGCATCCACCCAAGAGTTCTTTAAGAATCCAAATTTAAAGCTGCTGAGTTTCTAACAAAAACAAATGTAGCTTGTCTCTAAGATCAGTCACCATAGCTGAGGACTGGAAAGTGATCAATGTAGCATCAATTTTTAAAAAAATATATCCAGGAGGATTTGGAAATCACAGGCTGATTAGCTTAAGTTCTGTTCTGGGAAAACAGGTGGAAAGCTTTGTTAAAGATAAAATTACAAAGCGTCTAGAAGAACAAGTCTTGCTGAAGAAAAACCAGAATGGCTTCCACAGATGTAAGCCTTTTCCAACTAATCTTTTAGAACTCTTTGGGAGTGTCAACAAGCATATAGATAGGGATGATCCACTAGATATTGTGTACCAGGGCTTTTAAAAAGATTTTGATAAAGTCCTCCACCAAAGATGCCTGAGTAAGCTTAGTGGTTGTGGGGTAAGAGGTTGCTTAAGGCTAGTCTTTGAGATGGAGTAACGTTATTTATTTAAATGAAGAGACATACATACATAAAAAAGAAGGGCAAGGAAATCACATGGGCAGGTCACTCACCGTTCTTGTCAGCTCGTCGAAAAACCTGAAAAAACAAAAAATCACATTCAGCAACACAAACTTGGGAAGGAAATTCTTTTTGCATACATGGGTGTCTATAAAAAGTAGTAGCTCCTTCAACCAGCTCAATCCATATGCCAAGCCCTAATGAATTAAGCTCTAGCTACCAGGTATCTCCAGATATTAGCTGCTTTCTTGGTTTGTCACTGTAAAATACAGCAGGAAATGAGTGAAGTGTCCCAGAATGAGGCTGATTCCTCTTCCATTGGTTCATTCGCACCAGTGTACATAGGGGGCAAAGAGGGGCAAAATCCCATTGTGCAAGCAAAAATCATTGTGCTGACAGGATGAGAGAAATGGATATTGTAATCTCTCATACTGATAATGGGCTTCTCACTATAAAGCAATACCAGATTGTTGCAAATATTGAGAGTTATTGCAATCACTTGCATGCTTTGATTTTATACTACACACCCACACCCCGTTAGGTTTAGTTGAAAATATTTAAGTTTGATACTTGTTATTTAGCTGTGATTCCTGCATTGCAGGCGGCTGGACTAGATGGCCCTTTGTGTCCCTTCCAGCTTTGCAATTATACAATTCTGTGATTCTATGATATGATTTCCCTTCTGTATTATTGCAGTTCAGGACTGGGCTAATTTAACCATAAATGGGAGTTCCACTGTCAGTACAGACTGAGCCCACGCACTCCCCCACAGATATTGGGATGATAGACAGTTACACTAGCACAAATGTGGGACATGGCGCAGAAGGGCAAGTGCAGTGTGTGTGCCGTGGTGAAGCATGTGGAGGATTTAATTTCATTGGAAGTAGCAGATTAGCAGGAGTAAAGGAACAGGGAACAAAGCCAGAACCAATGGGCAACATTTATAGGCACCGGAGTTCCACATGTTCATCCAAGTTACTGCATCAATAACTGAGCTGTGGGGTATCATCACTGGTGTTATTTCAGCACCAATATATCCACTGTTTTGTTACTGGGCATTCCTATGTCATGCTGATTGGTTCTACTTAAACGGGGGGCGGGGGGGGGCGGCTCTGCCATGGGACAGTTCATCTTAAAAGACCACAAAAATATGGCCCGGTGGCTAGAGGGATGGTTGGGAAAGAGTTTTTAGCTGCAGATTCGGAGAGCTGTTTCTAGCCTTTAATTTTCAAGGCCCCCATGGAGGCTTGCCCGTGCTTTAGCATAAGGCATTCAGGAGCATCCTTTCGCTCCTTTACACTTTATAGGTAAGAGCGCACAAGGGAGCCTCACAAAAAAGGAAAAACCTAGACTTCATCTCTGCTACATTACAGCTCATGTCTTTAAATTTTCAGCAGCTTTAAACAAAAGAGGATTCGGCTTAAAATACACCCGAACAAAACTTTTAAGTGCATTGCCTTTTGCTGTCAAAGGGGAACACATCCCTGAATCTGACAGCAGGAAAGAAACGAGATTCCCCCATACATAAATGCCTTTAACAGGAAAATCATCCTATAGCATCTTAGAGGCTAACTGGCATAGAGTTTCAAAGACTACAACTGACTTCATCAGAAACAAAAGTGATACCCTCATTTGGTAGGTAGGCATCAATACATATTTTGTTACATAACTTTGTTCAGTTATGATTTTTTCATGTTATATTATTGTCATCAGTAATGGCTGCCAGGGCAGCACAGGTTGGAATGTGTTCCTGTCCTGGCTTCACTGTGCATCACTGCTGGGAAAGAGACAAGGTGGTGGGTAGTTTAGCATGATGCAGGCACAACATCAGGAACATTGGGTTGGCTCCGCAGCTGCGACACACCAAGCATCCCATTGCCTTTTCCCCCTCCTTCCCAGTAGCTGGTAGTGTTGAGAAGAACAGAAAGCAACACCTGTACCATCAAACGCTACTGATTGCAATCATCTGGTTGGTTAAACAATAAAATAACATTCTCGTAATACTGCCCTTCTCACCCTTTGCACCTGTACCTGCCTCCTAGAACATCTGTACGAGGCCACCACTCTTGCTTAGCTCAGACCATTCTGGCCTCAACACAGAATAGGCTGAATGTTCTAAACTCACATCCAATTCACCCTTTCCTCAGTCTTCAACTTTATTCATAACTTTAATACGATTTAAGCAGCGGAGAAGCTGTAAATGCAGTCAATCAAGTTGCAGAAGAAGGATTGAATCTGGTAGAGATTTCAAAAAAATAAATAAAATAAAAATGGAATGGATTGAGTGAAAAGACCTCTAGCCTGCAATGCAAGGCATGCTCTGGCATTTACCCGAACACGTGAATTCTTAAAATGTGGATGGGGGGGCACGCACAGGGTGCCCACCTCCAACATCTTCATGTATGATAATAATAATAATAATAATAATAATAATAATAATAATAATAATTTGTTATTTATACCCCGTCCATCTGGCTGGGTTTCCCCAGCCACTCTGGGCAGCTTCCAACAAAATATTAAAAATACATTAAAACATCAGTCATTAAAAACTTCCCTAAACAGGGCTGCCTTCAGATGTCTTCCCAAAGTCATCTAGTTGTTTATTTCCTTGACACCTTGACATCTGATGGGAGGGCGTTCCACAGGGCAGGTGCCACAACCGAGAAGGCCCTCTGTGAGGTTCCCTGTAACCTCACATCTTGCAGTGAGGGAACCACCAGAAGGCCCTCAGAGCTGGATCTCAGTGTCCAGGCTGAACGATGGGGGTGGAGACACTCCTTCAGGTATACTGGGCTCAGGCTGTTTAGGGCTTTAAAGGTCAGCACCAACACTTTGAATGGTGCTTGGAAATGTACTGGGAGCCAATGTATGCCACTCCCCCACCCTGAGCAGTCTCCAAATGATCCGTGTTCAGTGGGGAAGGTTTGCAGGGGTCTATTATTCACACTCACTTGTTTTAGCTATGCAGCAGAGTCCAATTATATATAAGAACAGAATAACTAATTCACAACAGCAGTCACTGGAGATATTATATATTTCTATTAGCTTTTGCACTAATCTTTCTCTGAAGCTTTTGTGTGAAGTATTGTCACTTTCAGGTCCTATATCTGGTGAAGGGACGTGGGTGCCGCTGTGGTCTCTACTGAGCCTCTTGGGTTTGCTGATCGGAAGGTCGGCAGTTCGAATCCCCGTGATGGGGTGAGCTCCCGTTGCTCTGTCCTAGCTTTTGCCAAACAAGCAGTTAGAAAGCATATCAGTGCAAGTAGGTAAATAAGTACCGCTGTGGCGGGAAGGTAAACAACATATCTGTGCGCTCTGGTTTCCGTCACGGTGTTCCATTGCGCCAGAAGCGGTTTAGTCATGCTGGCCACATGACATGGAAAGCTGTCTGTGGACAAACGCCAGCTCCCTTGGCCTGAAGTGAGATGAGCACCGCAATCCCATAGTCGCCTTTGACTGGACCTAACCAGCCAGGGGTCATTTACCTTACCTGACCTTATATCTGGTGACTCATTAAGTTGCAAATGTGAAAATGGGGAGGTGGGAGAATCTCTGGAGTCTTCCCAAATTCTTCTTTCCATGCCTCTTCATCACAATTTCACATCTGATGTTTCACTTTCTGCTGGGGTAGGAAGACCCAGACCACCAGCATAGGCTGCTACTGAGACAGTAAATTAAAATCCACTCTTCTACAGCACCTCATGTAAATCTATCCTGCTGAGACAAGCTCCCTCTCATTAGCTGCTCTCATTCCCCACTTGCGAGGTCATACTAATATTTGAATTTGTCCCAGTTGCCAGAAGTATCTTCATGAAATTGTTTTAAAAATGATAAAAGCATTCAATACAGGAAGCCAATTTTCTGGAGAAATGAGGGTCATGGAAGAATCCAGTTCTACATTTCGTGTGTGATACATGCTGCAATCTATAATGATCTCTTTTGTGACTGTCAGAAGAATGTGAATCATTAGAAGCAGGAATTTAAAAATAATTTGGTGGCTGGCTCTCCTCCCTCACTCTCACATCTTCAAAGCGGATGGACCATACTACCCTTATCTCTCCACTTGCTGGTATGGACTGATATAATCAGGACACACTTGGCTTTCTTCAGTTGCACTGAAAAGATAGTAATGTATCATGCTCATTTGTAAAAAGCTGACACAGACACTGCAGTATTATAATGGACAAAGCTTCCAAGTTGCTTTTTCGCTGGTGTGCATTCAAGAGACTCAGTTTGCTGCACTGACGGACTTGTAGCCTACAGAGTCATGGTTGTTCAGGGATGACTCACAAGAGCTGCCGTGGGGGTGTTCTGTAGCAGATCACTAGATAAGTGGTCTTCTCTTCTCTTCTCTTCATTTATTATTTTTATTTCTTTATTGCTCTTAAAAAAACAGTATCAGTTTCACAACTCCATTTCCATGTGGGGATGTGCAAGACAAGACCGTGATGCAACAAAAGAGTTGCATTATGTGGAAATGGGAGGCAATCCCAGGTGTAGCATATGCGGCGCCAGGGTGCAAAGATCCGCCCAGCACCCCCCCCCCGTTGCCCAGTCCCAGCCATGCGGGAGGGCAGAAAAGCTCCAACCAACTCTCGGGCCCCGGACTCTCGGCTTGGCACCCCTGAGAGCCCGGTGTCCGGGTGCCCCCCACCCCTAGAGCCTATGGGTAAGACGGCCCTGTAGCAAGATCCCAAGTCATGAGCTTTATAGGTCAGAACCATAACTTTTAACTGATCAAGAGGCAGTGAAGGTTTTAGTATTGGTGTAATATGATTGTAATGCCCAGCTGCAGCTGGAACTCTTACCATTATACTGTGCACTAAACGATGTTTCTGGGCTATCTGCAAAAGCAGCCCCACATACAACATGCTTTAGTAATCCAGATGGGAGGTTACCAGAGTCAAATCTGTCAATTTCAGTTGCTCTTAGTTTCTCATCTTTCCAATCTTGACTTCTCTACATTTCTACATTTGTTTGTGATATATGTATCTTTAAGTCTTCCTGGAAATTCACCAGCATTCAATTGCAAATTTCTCCTAATATACACATTTGTGTATGGAATTAATATGTTATTTTTTAGGAGTATAAGCATTCTTAGACACGCTTTACTGTAGGATATGCATTTTTGTACACATTATTTGGCTAGAGAACTGCATTGTAAAGTTCAGAAAAGTGTGAATTTCAGAGGATGGCTGTTTCCCCCCAATTCATATAGTTTATCAGAAAGTGCAAAGTAGGTAAGTTCAGCTTTAAGTGTGAACTGGATCAAATCTAGCCTCCATCCCTTACAAGAATAGTTAGGCTATCCCCATTCAGATAAGAGTCATAGTTGACATATTAGCCAGCTATTCCCTCCCTTCTAGAAGGAAAAGATTCAGAGTGGACAAGCTTACAAGCAGTCAAATTAACCCTTCCAAACACTTTGTCCACATTCTTGGGCCTTTCAGCTGATGTTCATCCATCATCACAGGACCAGGCAGTGCTTTAGGACACCTTCACAGACTGACTGCCAAAACTACAGAATCTAAATTGTGGTGGATGCAAGTGGTTTTATCCTCAAAATGCTTTTGTTTCCTATGCTAGAACTTTTGTTAGCACCTTGACACTCATGAAGCGCTCCATTTCAAATACCTTCTGATTGGTTTATTTAATTCGGAGTTAAAGACTTTTCCAGTCCAAGGAACAACTCAGCACAACCTTTGAAGCTGCTGCAGGAGAATAAATCTGTTCTCATCTTGCCAGTGTTAGGTAATGGCTTCCTGGGGGAGACAACCAGCAATGCTATCTTAGCACAAAAATATCAATCTGCATTCTCAAAGAGTCCATTAGCCAGATTTAAGAGAGTTTTGCATCTAAATAAGGAAACTTTTTTATCCACTAGGGATCTTTCTAAGTTTTAGAAGAAAACATTCCCCATGCAAAATGAATTTCTCAGTGGGTTTGCTTCCTTGAGTGTTTATTTCTTAATGATTTGCTCTCAAGATCTAAGGAATATACAAGTGCCTGGACTTACATGCCTCCGGAGGGTCGCGGAGAGCTGCCTGCCCTCCCGGGGTCCGCACAGCCCTGCGCGACCCTCCTGAGCCCGGCGCCAAACCGCACCGGCCTCCGGAGGATCGCGCAGAGCTGCCTGCCCTCCCAGGGTCTGCGCAGCTCTGTGCGACCCTCTGGAGCCCGGCGCCAAACTGCGCCGGGCTCCGGAGGGTTGCGCAGAGCTGCCTGCATTAGGAAGCCTCAGCACGCCCGGGCTTCGCACAGCTGTCCGCAAGCCTGGGTAGACCGGCGCGGCTCCCTAGGCTTGCGGATAGCAGGCTCTTCTGGGGGCTGGGGTCGGGGGAAGCTTGGGCTTCCCCCGTGCCAGCCCCGTGCCTGGGGGGGAAATAATTTTTTTCTCTTTATTTCCCCCCCCCCTCCAAAAAAACTAGGTGCATCCTATAGGGCGGTGCATCCTATGGGGCGAAAAATACAGTAAATCTCTTGCATTTGGGGGCAAAGGCTGAGGAAGATGTACCTTGACTCTAATACACATACACTGCTATGTACATTAATCAATAGTAACATGGCATGTAGTGCACATCCCAGCGAGTGGTGGAAACCCTGATTTGCAATCCTCAGTAACCAATCCCCTGTTTTGCCAGGTAAGGCTGGGAGAGTGTCTTCTCTGAACCCCTGCAGAGCCACTGCCAATCAGGGTCAAGAATACTGGGCTAAATAGACCAATGGTCTGACTCAATATAAGGCAGCTTCCTCCGTTCCTATGACAATGACATCCCTCCCACCCAGCCCCAGCAGCATCTCTTTATACAAAAGAAAAAAACTATTTAAATAAAGAGAGCACATAGGTCAGGTTACTGCTGAGAAAATTTAGACAGCAAAGAGCAGATGGACCGTTTTCATCATATGTGATGTGAAGTGTGTGTGGAGCTTCCGCATCATTCCTTGGTACGAGAATAGCAGAGTGACACACAGGTCACATTTTCATTTGGGAAGTGTTAGAGGGTATGTGACAAGTGTAAGAGGGAGGCATGGACCTTTTGGTGCCCCAGTGACAAGCGAGCGTGGGTGGTAGATTGCAGTTCAATTATAGGAACTGTGAAGTGCGGGGTGGTGTGTGCGCACATGCACATGGTCAGGGCTGGTCTTCCCATTAGGCAGGGTGAGGTGACTGCTTCAGGCAGCTGATTTTGAGTGTCATGAAGTGGCAGCAAACTTTTAATTGTTTAATTTATTGTTATTAAATGTTTCAGCCAGGGAAAAGGAGAGGCGCTTGTGGGATTTTCTGGCTCAGTTGCTGACATAAGTTTATCTGGCCTTCGATACCATGCATCTTGTTGGGGGGTGCATTTTCTTCTCTGGCTCAGGCAGCAGAATACCTTGGGCTAGCCAAGCTCAGAAGCAACATTATGAACAAATAACAACTCTACAAGCAGAGGCTAGTAGCAGCCCACTGAAAGGTGTCTCCTTCTCTTCCCCTGCTTCCTCACAATCAAAACAACAGTAACAAACTCCTTTCCACCAGGCCCTTTCTTTCTCAGGTTCATTTCTTCTCCACTGATCTCTGGATATCTGCAAGATTGGTTTCTCACCAGTAATTATTACTCAGCACATTCCATTACCTAGTAGTGCATTTTGCAGCCGTTTGTGTGTTGGTGTTTAAATGAGAAACACAAAGTTTCAGGAAATTGCTCAGAGAGGCAACAACTGTTCATTACTGAAAGCGATATGAATGTCCTGAGCTTGAGGTGAATCAAAAGTGTAGCTTTAATGTTGAGAAATATGGTCAGGAAACAGGGGGTAAGCGAATGGCACAGGAACACAGCACACAGCCACCCTGTCCCCATGTTTGATCTTTTCAAAGCTCCCTTTCTCCTTTTGTGAAGAACCACGCAAAAAACTTCGTGGGACATCAGCTACTAAGACGTGCTTAGCAAGGAGGGGGTGATACTAAGTGGGTCACTGCAGTTTCTGCAGTTTCAGAGGTTTTAATGAGGTATGGATTGGTTGGGGATTCTTCAGTGACAGTTTTTTGGTGTATCAAAGTCTCCCCTCCCCCTTTTAGTTTAATTCTTTCCCTGCTCTGTTATGCTTTTAGTCGTGGTCTGCTCATTGTTGCATATATCTGCTCACTTAAAGCACCTGTGATTTAAAAACTCTTAAATTCATTAGGTAGTGCAGTCATTGAACAATTAACAAAGCCCATCCTGGAACATACTAATTTTTTTTTATTTAAGCAGAGATTCGTAGCTGGAAACACTTTAATTAGGGAGTGGCAGTGCTCACCTGACCTCCAATCAGCCATGTTATTGCTTAATGGGAGGCGGAGGGGGAGGACAAGGTGGTGGTCAGATCATTGGGTAGCAAATGGTGGGAGCATTGGATTGGCTCCACTAGTGCATTTGCATTAACCTTCCCCTCCCAATCCCAGTAAGCAGCAGCAATGCATTAACTCCAAAGAAGAATGCTTCAAGAGGGGTATTATGGCATGACTGCAATCAGGTGGTCAGGTGAGTCCTGTTAGCCCCATCATGACATCCACAAGTGGACAAAGGTAGATATCACTGAGTGATGCCAAAGATAAAGAAGCTAATGCATTGCGCTGGAAAGAACATTGCCAGCATCTCCTTAACAGCAACTCCCCCATAGCTGCCGAGGTCCTCTCACAAATTCCGCAAGAACAAATCAGAGATGAGCTTGCAGTATCACTAAATCTGGGAGAGTTGTGTTCAGCTATTAACCAACTGAAAAACAACAAAGCCAGAGGACTGATGGGATACCTGCCAAAGTCTTCAAAGTGGGCGGAATTGAACTTACACAACAACTTTACAAGCTCATCGGGGGGAAATCTGGGAGAGAGAGGAGATCCCAACAGACTTTAGGGGTGACAAAATTATGAATCTCTTTTTTAAAAGGTGATAGAATGGATTGCAGAAACTATTGATGCATCTCTTTATTAACTGTGGCTGGCAAAATTCTTGCAAGGATCTTAGCAAACCGTCTCCTAACTATGTATATCCGAGGCTACCCTTCTTGAATCCCAAAATGGTTTTCAAAGGGGACACTGGACATGATTTTCCCAGCTTCAAGAAAAATGCAGAAAGCAAAACCATTTATTGGCCTGACTAAGGCCTTCAACACTGTAGATCATAATGCCATGTGGCATAGCTGTCAACGTTTCCCTTTTTTAAAGGGAAATTCCCTTATTCCAAATAGGATTCCTTGCAAGAAAAGGGAAAAGTTGACAGCTATGCCCTGTGGACTGTCCTTCTGAAAATCGGCTGCCCAGATAAATTTGTGAACATCATTCAGCTCCTCCATGATACTATGACAGCAACAATCGCAGATAACAATGGCTCCCAAAGTGAACCATTCACAGTGGGATCAGGTGTTAAACAGGGTTGTGTTATCGCCCCAACTCTATTCATTATTTTCATTGCCATGATCCTACACATTGTCCCACTGAATTAGATATCATATATCGAACAGATGGAAAGCTCTTTCATCTGAGTAGGCTGAAAGCAAAGAGTGAGGTTATCATTCATAACTTCCATCATAGAGCTTCAGTATGCTGAGGACAACGTAGTGTGTGCACACTCAGAGGATGACCTCCAAACCATCCTAAATATATTCGCAGAAGCTTATGAAAAGCTTGGCCTATTGCTCAACATCCAACAAGCACAAAACAACCCCTCTGCAGCACCACAAATCCAATTCAATGGTGTAACATTGGAAAGTGTCAATCACTTCTCCTACCTGGGCAATTATCTTTCCACAAGGGCCAACATTGATGCCAAAATCCAGCATCACCTGAGCTCTGCGAGTACAGTTGTCTCCCAATTGAAGTGTAGAGTGTTTAAGGAGAGGACCAGGACATTCAAGGGAAACCAAAATGCTTGTTTACAAAGCTATTGTACTACCAACCTTACTGTACACTTGTGAAACATGGACCACTTATAAACACCATCTCCAACTCCTCGAAATATTCCATCAACGGTGTCTCTGAAAAATTCTACATATCACTTGGGAAGACAGGTGAACTAATGCCAGTGTACTGGAAGAAGCAAAGATCACCAGTGTCAAAGCAATGATTCTTCAACATCAACTTCATTAGACTGGTCATGTTCAGGTGCCTGATTATCGTATTCCAAAGCAACTACTCTATTCCGAACTTAAACATGGAAAGCATAATGCTGGTGGTCAGCAAAAGAGGTTTAAAGACTCTCTCAAGGCAAATCTAAAAAAATGTAGAATAAACACTGACAACTGGGAAACACTGGCCTGCAAGAGCTCCAGTTGGAAAACAGCCTTTACCAAAGGTGTCATGGACTTTGAAGATGCTTGAACTCAGGACGAAAGGGAGAAATGAGCAAAGAGGAAGGCACATTTGGCAAACCCTCACCATGATCAACTCCTGCCCAGAAATCTATGGCCCCAATGTGGAAGGTCGTGTGGATCCAGAATTGGCCTCCACAGTCACTTATGGACTCACTGTTACCGTGTTCATGGAAGACAAGCTTACTCAGCTACGAGTGATCACCAAAGAGGAAATAAGGTTGTGCAGAACCCACCTCTGAAATACCTGCCGCCTCCCTCCCAAGGAGGCTTGCCTGCCGCCAGCTCAGTTGCCTTTGGGGCACAAAGTAAATACCTTTTTTAATTTTCCCAGGACTGTTGAAATTGCTTTTATCCTGCTGCTATCCTACTTTTTTATTGCTTTTGCAGTTTTAATTTGTTTCAAATTAGTTTCAACTATTTGCAGTTGTGCTAAAATGTGAGCCAGCCTGGGAATAGAAATACTGAAAGACAGGTTACAAATCTTTGAAATAAATTAGTGGACGATACAAGTCTACAATTTTCTCAGCGCCATCATTAGATTCAGCAATTTATTTTTGCTCTTTCGTTGTCGTATAGCTTTCTCTGACATTGTGCTTCAATTGCCCTGCTGTTAGTGCTGTTTGGTTAGAACTTTTCCCCTGTCAGTTTCTAGATTTAAGACTTACATTGTTCTAATAGGAAATGGGTTTAAAACAAACAAACAAACAAAACTAAACCAAAGCACCTTGGGAGTCACTATAACTGCCATTCACTCATTTAGGCTGCAATCCTATCCCTACCTCTTGACAGTAAACCCCTCTGAAATCAACAGAAGTTACTTCTGAGTAGCTATGCATGAGATTGCAGTATTAGGACACAATCCTAACCTTCTCTCACTGCCACCAGGGCTTTGTGGAATGGTGGGCCCACTGTGGCATCTGCAGGGCATCCATGGCAGAAGGTGAGGGAGGCAAAGTGACTGGGCCCAATCTGGGTTTAATCACTGGCACAGCTATCAGGCCTGAATCAGGTCCAATGACTTCACACAATGGCAGTAAGAATGGCTCAGGATCCAGCAGACCCCATGCCAGTTCAGCCATGTCACCCCTTCCCCACCTTCATCCGTCTGTATTTTGGGCAGCTGGCAGGGGGCTGCGCTAGGCCTTGTGTTGTCTCCGGCGGCCCCAAGGCCTGGAGTGGCTTTCCAGGCGCTGTGTTAGGTTTTGGATTGTGTCCAGCGGCCACCAGGCCTGGCGTGGCCTTCGAATGGCCGCTCAGCCTCACGTCGTCTGGAGAAGCAGCATCTCATGAGCAGAAGGCCAAAGACCGCAAAGGTAAGAGAGGGGAGGGAAGAGGGGGTAAGCAGGCAGGTGAGGAAGGGGTCAGCAGCAGGGAGGGGGTAAATGACTGAGATGTGGGATGGGGGGTGCGCCCCGAATTTTTCTCACAAAATGTTGGCGGGCATGTCATTTTCATTTTTAATTACCATTATTAAATATTTCAATACACCGTTTGTCTTTTACTGCACACACACTATTACGACTAGTTTTCTCTCCTCCCCCCCCCCCCAGCCCACCTACAAATATGTCCTCTTTTTTGCTCTTCGGAATATGGCAACCCTATTTCTGGTAGTTATAAACTTCTGTCCCCAGAGGGGTGGGGGTGGGGGTGGGGGTCTTGCATTTTGCTTCTCACTATAGTCGTTGATTTTTTAAATATTTTTTAAAGTATTCAAAGAATATCTTCTGCAAAGCATATCTTAACTACAGACTTAATAACTGGTCTTTAACTATGAAGTTAATTTCATCTAATGAAAGCCTGTGAATGTTAGTTCAGTTGTACAGGTTGGAGGGAGAAGAATCTCTAAATACGAATTCTCAGCATTTTACCAAACTAGAATTCCCAGGGTTATTTGCTGGCCAGCTGAAAACAATTTGTTACATAACATGGATAGTATGCCTTTGCAGTGCAATCTGATGAATGCTTACCCAGAAATAAGCCCCTACTGAGTTCAATGGAACTTAACAGTGCAATCTTAATCATGCATACTCTGAAGTCCTATTTAATAGGGCTTAAGGCCAGGTAATGAGGGTTAGGATCTCAGCTTTCCTTCCTAGTAAGTGTGAATAGGACTGCAGCTTCTGTGAATGCTTTTAAGAGGACTGTTATCCGATGAGGATTTGCTTTCCCTTGATTCTGGAACTTTCACAAGCTCAAAAGTGACCCAGACTTTGGTGCAATTCTCTTCAGTCTTTCAAATAACTCTTTACAAATGTGTCTCCTAGCACAAAAGTTCATTACCTGAATGGTGATTCAACTTCCTTTGCAGGTAGCCGAATATGTAATAATGAATGCAAAAAAGGGAGTGTTTCATGCACTGAATTTGTTTTCTTCCTGTGTACAATTACTGCTCCTCGGTTGTTTTTCTGCAAGAGCAGCTGTTGGCAGGGCAATAATAGTATCTTGCAGTATGTTGGCATTTCATATCCCCTGTGTGGGTACACTGGGGGGATGTATTATCCCTCATTTGCTAATTTAAAAACCCCTGTCTATTGTACACTGTCTGGCTAGGCTGAGGTGTCCAAGAGCAACACATATACACAAAAAAGGAAGCACTTACAGCTGTACATGGCAGAGAGATGGCATTTCCTTACAAACTCCCGCTTGTCCTTTACATTCGCAGCACGCATCCTCTTATTAAATATGAATTGGCCTGACAGCTGCTCTTTCTTTTGATTCACAATCCTTGAAATAGCAAGGCTACTAGTCAAGGTTGCTGTGCTAAGAGCCTGAGCAACTTGTAGAAAAAGGCCCTCTGACCTACTTGTGCTGTAAATTCTTGAGGAAGCACCATCTGTCAAGCCAGGACAGACTGGTGGCTGAGGGGCTGTGAAGCAGGTAGCATTGCCCAGTGAAGACTCTGCTCTGCCACCTCTCCCATCCTGCTTGGCTAAATGAATTGCAGATTTAGGACTCAGCTACATGTATGGAAGTGAGAGCTGGACCATAAGGAAAGCTAATCGCTGAAGAATCGATGCTTTTGAATTATGGTGCTGGAGGAGATTCTTGAGAGTCCCATGGACTGCAAGAAGATCAAACCTATCCATTCTTAAGGAAATCAGCCCTCAGTGCTCACTGGAAGGACAGATCCTGAAGCTGAGGCTCCAATACTTTGGCCACCTCATGAGAAGAGAAGACTCCCTGGAAAAGACCTTGATGTTGGGAAAGATGGAGGGCACAAGGAGAAGGGAACGACAGAAGACGAGATGGTTGGACATTGTTCTCGAAGCTACCAGCATGAATTTGACCAAACTGTGGGAGGCAGTGGAAGACAGGAGTGCCTGGCGTCCTCTGGTCCATGGGGTCACGAAGAGTCGGACACGACTAAACGACTAAACAACAACAACATTTGTACAGAAAAAGCGTTGTACAGTCAAACCTCGGAAGTCGAACATAATCCGTTCTGGAAGACAGTTCGACTTCTGAAACGTTTGACAACCAGAAACTGAAAGCGGAAGCCTCAATACAATAGGGAAACTCAAAATGGAAGTCGCGTAGCATGTTTGGCTTCTGAAAATTGTTTGAAAACCGCAACAGTTACTTCCGGGTTTTTGGCGTTCGGGAGCCGAAACGTTCCAAAACAGAGGCGTTCGGGAACTGAGGTTTGACTGTATATATGTTATAACACTGTGACACCAGATGGCACCTGTCTTTCGCCAACGTGATTTCCCATAATAAAGTTTACAATGTGTTTAACTGAAACAGTTTTTTGATGTGTCTAGATCCAGCCTTATTCTCAAAGCTCCCCAGTGCCATTCAAACCATGAGCACCTAGTGGATGAATGTAGTTACTTGCTCAACCTCATAAATCTATGAGAGATACATTGTGCACCGCTGTGAGAGGTAGAAGTCGTGGTGGACTGTAGCGTTGTCAAATTTTGGAAAAGACACATTTTCTGATTCTGTGCCAAGTGTTTGGAGGACTGCATATATCAGTCTATTGGGAAAAAGTTCCCCTTCTCATGTGCCTCTCATTTTTTACCATTTCCCCTCTGACTAATTTCCAGTTGTGTTAGACTGGGTGACACAAGGAGAAAAAGAAAAGTTTAACAAGAAGGAAGCTGTCATGGCTTGAGTTAATGCAAGCATAAATTTCGACGTGTGAAATGATAACCTGCCATCCTATCTTATCTAGATTCCTTAGAATGAAGAATGCTAATAATAGCAATCTCAATTAGTACTATCTTGATGCCTAAGAATGGACAACTGAATGACAGCTGCAATCCTCTCTCTACAGCAGCCAATGTTAGCCCCTTGGCTACACAATTAAATATTTGCACATAGTTGCAATATACTGTATTAGCTTTCTGTGTGATGATAAGAGCCAAGATTTTGCAGTAGCTTCTTTTAAAAAAGCAACAAGTCGCTAAATGTATTTCCTAAAAATTAACTTTTCCGTTTGCTGGCCAGCCAATCAAAGCATTGGACTACTCCTGTTCGATCACCAGGTTGGGGGAGGGGCTGGGAATTCAGTCTGGTTCATATTTCGTAGTAAGCCTACCTAATCTGCACTTCCCAAAATAATATGCTGACTGAAACATAGTTATCCTTCAATTTTTTTCCTTCTGCATATTTTGTGCCACATCTTGTCAGTCAAATAACGCGCGTCAAAATGTGTATGTTAAAAGTGTGCATAAAAAGACATAGTAGTGAAAATACAAAAGTGCAATATATTAGGAGAAATTGCTTGCAAAAAATGTGTGTGTTAAGGCAATGCTGCACACACCAAAAAATGTATTTTTTGGAGAAATTCATATTAAAATGCTGACAACTTTTATTTTACTAATAGAAGAAGCAAATTCATTTCACACAGAAAGTTGTTTAATGATGTTCAGTGCCTTCAAACGCAGCTATGGAAGGGGACTGTTTTGAACATAGGAGTAGCAAGGGGTGCTTAATCTTTCCTCTTCCTGCTAGATTTCTGTTCCATTTTTTTAAAAAAAAATAGTTTTTATTAAAGATTTTCTTGGTTTACAAAAGTACATGCATTGTGTCTTTTTCAGGTTGTAATTTCTGCTCCAAGTTGACCCAAAAGCTGTTTTTCGGGATTCAAATTCCCCTTACAGGATTTCCAAGCAAGCAGTGCTTCTGGAATGGGGACAATTTCAAGCACAAAAACAGGAGGAGGGGAAAGGGTTATCCACCCCTCGCTTCTCTAGTCAAAATTGCCCCCTCACACAAGTAGCAATATACTGACAAGGTGAAGAAAAGCAACTGCGGGAGGGGGCTATTTCGAGCTGAGAAGCAACAGGGGGAAGAGGTGATTAACCCTTTGTCCTCCTACTGCTTTTTGTATTTGTCCCTAAGACCTAGAATTTCCATTCTGACAGTGTTCATTCACTTGCCGACCAGTTAAGAAAGCAGGCACTGCCAAAATGCCCTTGGAAATTATTTGAAAAGTGCTGCTTCCCTGTCTAAGTTGGGTCAAATATTCTCATCTCATAGCTCCCTCCTGCTATTTCCCTTCCTAAGAAGCCAACGCGTCTCAGGGATGATGAGCTGGATTCTATTCAGCTCCCTTCATCATCAGTGCAGTTGTTCAAAAGACAGAATTATTGGTACGGATAATGGTGGATGAGTCAGTGAGAACCCAGCATGACTCTCTGTTCCTAGGCTCAGTTTGCCAAGTTAACAGCAGGAGAAAATCTTTAAGCTGTGCCCTGGGACAACACCATACAAAAAAGGCCTATGAGTGTGAGACGCAACACAGCAGAGGCTTGCAATATAAAAGATAAAAACTGCAAATGGGGATATCATCCATTCACATACTTTTAAAAACGGAAAAGATGCACATCTTTATTTAATTGTTTTTAAATTAAATCCTCATCACAAGCCCTTTTCAAAGTGTTTTTTTTTTAAGTTCAATGAATGTGCATTGGGGGGTGGGTGGGGGTGGAATGGGGCACCAGTTCCATCCCACCCCAGCATTATTTTTGGAATGCCGCTGTGATTTATCCTCATGACCCTGGCACTCGCTTTGCCATCTTTGAACTCTGAAGAAAGGATGTTGTTGGAAGTAGGTCTTGCTAAAATAAGCAAATGTGCACATAAATACATGGGGAAAGGCACAAGGCACCTGGATCTCATTTTTCTTTCTACAAAACACTTTATGGATCAACAGTTTCTGCATGCATATTTTCCAGGTGTCATAAATTATTTTGGACACAAGCTGCAGAACATCTAGTAATTTGAGAATCCCTTTTAAGAATTTGGCCTACAATATGCTATTACCCTAATGAGTTCCTGGCTGAGCAGAAGTGGGAATATTTTCCAAAGCCAGATATCATATAGGGCTGACATTTGGCTTGTTTTAAGCAAAGCTGCCCAGCTTTTCTATCACCTGGCTAAGTTTTTATTTCCCAAGCTAATGTGATATCTAAATGAAAGTCAAACACATCCAGTGAAGCAGTGGGTGGTATCCAACTAAGTTTTACTCTGTGTAGACCCAGTAAAATTAATGGACCCAGGTTAGTCATGTTCATTATTTTCAATAGGTTTTCTCTGAGTAGGACTGGCATTGGATTAAACCAAAGCCATATTTCTAGGCTGGGAGGAGTCACTGTAACCTTAGAGGCAAGACTATGCTCATTCTATGATAAAAGAAGCAAATGAATGTAAATAATACTCTAAGAGAAACTGAATTATGAGACCTGTAGCAGTTAATATATTTATATCAAATAACTAGCTATTGAAGAGCTAGGCATTGTCCAGAACTTTCTAATCCTTTTGCGAGTGGAAAGTTGATATTTTTTAGGATGCTGCATTCTGTGCAATTTCTCTGCCTGCATGGCATAATCGCACATCGTGCACATTAGAGCTCTTTATACAGAAACCTTTCTCCTGCCCCCATTTTCTTTCTCAGCTTCTACAGGGCAACCCTTCATATAAAACTGCCAGCACATTTGCAAAGCTAAGCAGGGTCCGGTATGGTTTCAAATTGGATGGGGAAAACCATGCGTGGAGATTCCTGCATTGCATGGGGTTGGAATAGATGACCCTTGGCATCCCTTCTAACTCTAAAATTCCATAATTTTACATTCATTCCATACTCTGTTGCTGCAAGCTCCTGCTTTGCATTATCATTTTGAGTCTTTTTAGCTCAAATGTACTGAACACTTTTTTTAAAAAAAGAAAAGAAAAAGAAAACCCTGAAAGCATTCAAAGACAGCAGCAGAAATATTCCATCTGTTGGCACCTTTCACATTTTTCTTGTAAAAGCGCAGGTTTCTTAGAACTACAAAGCAAACACTGGGGCCATCAAAAAAGGCTGACCTTAAAATGTAGCAATGATCAGAACAGCAATTCGATAAAGACAGAGCCTTACACCTGCACATTTGTTCTCTTTGCCTCTATGGCGCAGAGTACTAACAAAATCACCCTGAGCAGAGTGAACACAGTAAGGCAGAAACAAAAGGATTCATGCTGAGCACATTGGGACAGCTATTCCCAAGGGCTCATTCACACCAGGCTAGGTTAATGAGGTGGCAGAATTTCAAAATACAACAGCATCTTAGATATGCATGGGAAACCCAGGGTTTGTTTATTTCTTTGGCATCAGGTTTTTAATGGCATTATGCTAGCTGTTTGGAAACTATTTTGTTGCATAAAAGGAAGACGTTCAGCTTTCTTGTTAACAAAAAGAGCAGAAGCCAACCCCAACCTCTCTCACTACCAAAGGAACGCAAGCGAATAGTAAAGAGAACCTGCACAAGCGACACTGGCACAAAACCCCACATATACATTAAGTAAAATAGAAACATCGCCACCCGACTCCCCACCCACCCACCATGGCCCCCTCCACCTCTTTCCCCCTTTTCTTCCTAATGTAACACTAATGTCTCGACAAACGAAACTGACCTGTAGAAAATGTAACTTGAAAAAAGAGACACTGCACACACTTTTGTAAACCGAGAAATGTTTAATAAAAAAAATACGTTAAAACAAAACAAAACAAAAAGAGCAGAACACATTTACAATGGCATTTAGCATTCACAGAATGTTTTTTTCCTAGGTGCTCAAAGTTCTCACCATATATTGTCTCCGTAACCCTTTCGACACCCCTGCAAAATAGGCCAGCGTTATTATCCACCCCATATTGCAGAAAGAGTGGGTGGAAGGTTTGAGGCCAAAGGCTGTGCAATAAGTTCATGGCTGAGTTGAGAGTTTGGGCAAATCCTTGGGAGAGCATAGCTTTGTGAGGCTGTGAAAACAGTAACAGGTAAGGGGTGTGTGTGACCTGTTCCATTTCGCAGCCTGGGGCAAAATGAGAAGGTGTCATCCCAGTAAACCACCACCACCAAAACCTCGCTTTACAGGATCAACTCTGGAGAAGTGAGGAGAAGCAGCGGCAGCGACAAGACCTCCTCACTTCTCCAGCAATCGCGGCACGGTGGGTAGGGTGCGTGTGGAGGAATTGCATGCACAAGACCATAAGACCCTGCTAGATAAGGCCAATGGCCCATCTAGTCCACCATCCTGTTCTCATATAGCCAACCAGATGTTTGTGGGAAGCACACAAGCGAGCCCTGAGAGCTCTGCCCATATGTAACTCCCAGGAACTGCCTCTGAATACTGCATGTGACTAAATGGGCTAGGAGAGAAAGGGCAGAGCACTCCATCCCTCCTCTGCATGCGGTATAAACAGGGTCCCTACAGGACACTTTACTTGCTATTCTCTTGGTTTCGTGCTTATTTTAAACTGGTACTTAAAGACCTACATTGGCTCCCAGTACGTTTCCAAGCACAATTCAAAGTGTTGGTGCTGACCTTCAAAGCCCTAAATGGCCTCGGCCCAGTATACCTGAAGGAGCGTCTCCACCCCCATTGTTCAGCCTGGAGACTGAGGTCCAGCCCCGAGGGCCTTCTGGTGGTTCCCTCCCTGCGAGAAGTGAGGTTACAGGGAACCAGGCAGAGGGCCTTCTCAGTAGTGGCGCCCGCCCTGTTGAACGCCCTCCCATCAGATGTCAAGGAAATAAACAACTAGCTGACATCTGAAGGCAGCCCTGTTTAGGGAAGCTTTTAATATTTGATGAATTATTATTTTTTAATATTTTGCTGGAAACCTATTATTATTATTATTAAAAAGTTTATTCCCTCACCTGGGCAAGGACCTGTGGTATAGAGGTAAATTCTTACCACAGTAGAAACCAATTGGGTTGCTAGAGGAGGAATAATGTCCTCCATCCTTCCTCTGGTATGTAGCTTCCAGCAAGCTAGTGATTTTATTTTTATTTTATGTTTTGCAGTCTAGTAACTTCTGTGGACTATTTACCAGGATACTTTAATAGCTACGAAGAAGGGAGGACCTTTGACAGGTCTGATTTTCCCAGACATTGTACCATGATGGTAGAAATTTCACCTGTCTGGGGGCGGGGGGGGGGGGATCCTCCTGCAAAACAGGGGCTCTGAGCCATATTCAGTCTGGCATCCCATTCTGACCCACCTAGATTGCCAAACTGGCACAAAGAAGACCAGGATGCATTTTACACTCCGATAATGGTGAAGCTACAAGCACAATGTAGATCAGGTTTAAATAATACAGACACCTCTGCCTTTGTCCCCTGGCAACCCTGCTACCTCTTCTAAACCTTCCTGCTGCTTAGTAGTAACACCTGCTGCCAGCAATAAGGCTGTTTTTGTTTGCTATATATAATGTTCTCCACAAAGCAGCACAGATGCATCAAGGGATGACAGGCAGATGCTTCTGGGCATAAGGAGCATCTTGTCCACAATTACGGGAAAGCACAGAGGAAGTTACCATGGAAGTGGCAAGGTCAAGTAGGATCAGGTAGGTAGCAAGAGCTAAGGAAAAAGTCTAAGGTGCATTATCGTAAAAGTGAGTCAGTCGGTGTATTTCATCAACTGCCCCTAGGATCGTTGGCTGCAACCTTGAATGAGCTCCTGCACGTTTAACTATTGCATAGAAGAGAGAAATTTGCAGTGTCTTGCCCCACAACCCCATGGAGAAGTGCAATGATAAAAGAATCCATACCTGATGAGATTCTCTCTCTTTTACGAGGTTCTTAAAGAAACAGGCTCTTCAGGATTATGAGCTGGCAACTTTTCTTAGCTCAGTAAATGACAAAAAGAGCTAAGAGTTGATGGACCAAGCTGTCATCTGCACCCTGTTGAGCCAAATCTATTGTTTTAACATTTTATTAGCAGCTACTTTCAGTTTACCCCTTGGACCCTACAATAAAATTATTATTATTTTTTCAATCAGAAGTAGAGTACAGGTGGGATGAGACAGGCATGGCATTGACACCTGAAAGTCTAGAGTTTGTAAACAACTTAAGACAGAGCATTTGATGTGTCAGACAGATTTAGATAAGACCAGGTAGGTGCAAAAAGTATTTAAATTGCACCTAGGATTTCTGGAGCAAAGAAACCATAATGGCTGTTCCCGACATTTCTTTGTTTCCCCCCCAAAATAAAATGTAGCAGTTACTCAGATCTGTCTCCAGGACTAAGAGGAACACACAGATCCATCGTGAGGCAGTGGGAGGAAATAATGAGAAACTTGGTAGTCTTTATATTACCAAAGCTGTAGATTAATTTTAGATGGTGTCCTAGTTAAAAGAGTGAACAGTGGTGTGATCTAGTGTCAAGTTCTGTTAAGAAGAGTAAGGTACTGCAAATTCTCAATTTTCTCACCGATTTGCTGCTTTGGACAAGATTTTCCCCATGCTCTACAACCATCTAGATGTCTTAAGATCACATTCCTGTCTTCTTATCCATTGACAACAAGACCAGCAACACTATTGATCACACAGAAAGTCATGGCTTTCTCTTTGACTTTCCTCCCCTCCTTTGTACCCTCCCCCCCCTTTGTCCATTATTAAATCATATTGCTCTCTATTACAAAAATACAGGCTTCCTCTTTGTTCCCTCAGATAAAACTCTGGTAAATGCCCTGATTGACTACTGCAATCTTATTGTCCCTGGTCTTCCAGTGTGTCAGTTTCATTCACGTGCATACATTCCTCACATTACCTGTTTTGTGCTTATACACCATAAGAGGTGATCTCTCTTTTGTTTGTTTGTTTTGGAATTTTAGACCCTGCTTTTCAATCAAATAATTTACCATGGCAGCTTGCAAGCAACAGATAATAATACAAAAACCCCCCCCAAATCACACACAGATAGACACACTTCTTAGTCTCCTGGCTATACAGTGTTCTAACAACAATTTCATAAATTTCATAAACATATTGAATCATAAATTATATAAAGGTACCCCAAAAGTCATCTAGTCCATCCCCCTGCAATGCAGCAATAATTTGCATCATTCAAATAGACCAGGGTATATGCAAATATGTTAGTATCTAAACTACAAAAGAAGAAGCAGGCCTGACTTTGTGTTTAGTCCCTTGGCTGTAGTACTAAACTTGGAGACCTGACTTATTTCCATGCATTGTTGGGCATATGTGTTGAGCCTTGCAAAGGAACTATGCAATAAACATTCTCATTTCTTTCACACTTACAGTGCTCTTTACACATCAACATCTTCATCTCTGCCTTGTCAAACATATGTGCACACGTGTGCAAATGTGTCATATACCCATACAAAACATACGTACTCTCTCTCTCTCTCTCTCTCTCTCACACACACACACACACACACACACACACACACACTTAGTCCAGAATGGTGGCTTTACTTTCCTAGAATGTCTTAACTCCTCAAATAGCAAATATAATTTGCATTATGGCAGGGAAGTTAGCCAAAATCCAAGATGTTCGGCACTAATTAGCAAGATAATTCTGTAGACTGATTAATTGCTACAAAGTAGAGTGCTTTCATTGTACAAGCTTCATTAACTATGTCTGAACCAAGCTGATGAGCTGTGGTGCAATCTAATGGCGCTGAGTATTTACTCTTCCTGTCAAATCTTCCCTTCTCCCCACCCCATATCTCACCCACGCTGGGAATGCCACAGCTCTGCAGCATGCACTGCAATCTGGACTGGCCATTCCATCTTACCAAGGTCCTCCCACACACCTCACCCAGGATAATCCAGTGGCCTATATCCCTTTAGTGTGGTGTAGTGGTTAAGAGCGGTAGACTCGTAATCTGGTGAACCGGGTTCGCATCTCCGCTCCACTACATACAGCTGCTGGGTGACCTTGGGCTAGTCACACTTCTTTGAAGTCTCTAAGCCCCACTCACCTCAAAGAGTGTTTCTTGTGGGGGAGGAAGGGAAAGGAGAATGTTAGCCACTTTGAGACTCCTTCGGGTAGTGATAAAGCGGAATATCAAATCCAAACTCCTCCTCCTCCTCCTATTCTTCTTCTTCTTCTTCTTCTTCAGCAACCATATGGGGGTGGGCAGCTGTCCTATATTTACAGAAGACCGTTTTCTATTTGAAGGGCTGTTTGGTCCAAGTCTAGTTAAAAGATGAAGGGCTCCATCAACAGTTACCACCAGGGCAATAGACTCAGGAGACGCACAGGTCACCCTGTCAGTTTCCCTCACTACTGTGAGATGTATTGTAACTTTTATTTAAATTATAGTAATTTGCATCTATACATATACATTAGGACCTGCAAATGTCATTTTCTCCTCTTTTTGGTGATGCAGTTCATCTTTTTTTTGCTGAAGTGCCAACAGCCACCTTACCCTGTGTGCAGATTATTCTTCTCAGCAGATAAAAATAATGTTGCACGCTAGAACCAGGAGGGACAGCACACCATTGAATGCCCAAACACCTCGAGCTGGGAGGCATGGTGCAAAGTAGGAGGCACAGCTACCCTTTTGTATGGTACCAGTCCCAGGGACTAGTGTTTTTAAACTCAAAGCATGGTCATCCCCTCTTGACTTCCCAGCTGGCACGCCTGCTCCTTTAAAAGTTGCCTAGAAGGAGATGTCACAGTAAATGAGGTTTCATGCATTGTTGCCAGAAAAAAACATCCACATATGGTGACATTTACCACCCATCTCCACAATACCGCTGGCACACAATGCCATACCAATAAAGAAAGAAGAAGAAGAAGTGTTTGGACTTGATATCCCACCTTTCACTCCCCTTGAGGAGTCTCAAAGCGGCTAACAATCTCCTTTCCCTTCCTCCCCCACAACAAACACTCTGTGAGGTGAGTGGGGCTGAGAGACTTCAGAGAAGTGTGACTGGCCCAAGGTCACCCAGCAGCTGCATGTGGAGGAGCGGGGAAGCGAACCCGGTTCACCAGATTACGAGAAAACAAAGAAAGTGGCACAACAAAGCAAGGCTCCCCCTGCTCAGTTGTCAAAAATGGTATCGGGTATCTTAAGGCGATTGGGGGAAAGTTGCAGCTGTATGGCCATACTGCTGAAGGCTTGTTGGAGTCTTGTCTCCGTGTTACTTTTTATCATAGTGAAGGTATCACAAAATGGTTTAGCTTCCATCACTTTCACCTGATGTCTTGAGAAGACATCACTCGCTCTACTAGGGAACTCTGCTAATGATTGACCATGGAATTGCAGCCGAAACAGAGTCACCAGGAAATAAGAGGGAGATGTCCATAGGCTATGGGGAAGCAGAAGATTTGCACAACTATGAAAATAAAACTATTTAGGAACCTCCCTTTCAAAAGAAAACCCCCAATAAGACAGAATCAAGTAGCCTATAAATTAATAAATAATAACAATTAAAAATAATAAAATTGTTACCCATTCTTTTCTTTAAAAACACCCACTTAGAACTATATTTCTCCACATTTTAATGCACCATATTTCAGGGCTAATTTTGGACCTACTTTGAATTATTATTCTTTGAGTCGAGCAAATATCTACGTCATTTCCAACAGACACTCATAAGATTTATGGCCATTGTCATAAGTAAAATGGTTAATTACTGGATGATTTCATCCTCTCTTTTTGCTTACGCTGAGTATACCAATCCAGCTTCTATGAAAAAAGCAATTTTCCCTGGGGCAAACAATTGTTTACATGGCAACATGCTTATGATAGCATCTTTGCAGCAACTGGCACTTGATTTGTTAATTCAACTATATTTAAGGCTGTAAATCCTATACCCTCTTACCTGGGAGTAAGCCGCACTGAACTTGGACTTACTTCTGAGTAGACATGTAATAATAATGAGCTCTAGGCATTTCCAAAAGGCAATCTATTGTAGAATAAGATTTGTGCTTCATTACAGCACTGACACAACTAGGCTGAAATATTTGACTCCTTAAATTTTTATGAGCTTTGCTTTTGCACAGGAAGCTACAGGGCTTTTAGCTAGTGTCTGTATTGCATTGTAGGAATAGAGGATCAAACACAAAAGACCGTTTCGAATGCTTAAACTCCTTTAAATCAGAAGCCTTCTTCTCTGTGCCCACGAGTGGAGGAAGTGTTAATAGATGCTCTGAGCTGTCTGGATCATTCAGTTCTTATGAAACCTTGTGCACATTGGCTTGAAAGGAAATCCCTTTGCGCTCAATGGGATGTCCTCTCAAGAGAAGCGTGCAGAAAACCACAGCCCTCCAGTCCTCATCTAGAACCGTCTCCAGTTCTTAAGCTTATGAGACATGCAGTGTGTGCAATCATGGCTGGGTAATCCCTGCAAATCAGTGATAAATTTGGAAAGCAAATGTTTTCAAATATTCCCCATCTGCCAGTCGCTGTTTTAAATATAACTGCAGGGAAACAGAGGCACTTTATAATTCATTTTAAGACCACCATTTCTGTCTCATTTTGTTGTTATCTTAAAACTCTCAGGCTAGTAGCTAGAACATTTTCCAGTCATAATTTCCCGCAGATACAACATGCCCAAGGCCCTCCCTATCTGTTATTGCTGATGACTGATAACGAAATAATCTATTTTTGATTGCATTTCAGAAGGACACTTAGTTTCAGATGAGCCAGTCAGAACCACCTTGCAGTATGGAAAAACACAGTGGCCAGGCTACATTGTTAAAGAGAAAGTGTATCAAACAAATAAAATTCCTTCCTTTTCTTTGGGAAAAGGTTTTTCCAAGTCTAGGTGATGGAGACTTCACCCCCCACATAAAAACAAACCAACCCACCCCTAAGTGTGTATATTAATATCATCTAGGCCAGTGGTTCCCAATTCGTGGTCCGCAGAACCCAGGGGGTCTGCGTAACCCACCCAGGGGGTCTGTTGGTGCCACCATTAACACAACAAAAACTACCACAGAAATATCAATTTTTTTTTTCAAAAATAAGGAGACCATTGCTTTGTTTTTTGAAAAACAGGGGGTCCATGGTACTTTGCTAATTGGGATCCACTGATCCAGGCTTCCAAACTCATGCATTTTGGTATCTCATAGGCCACTGTTTTGAAGTGCACGCTTTCAGAACTGTCTTGCTATTACTTATTAGTAGTTTTCAGTTGCTTGGGCTTATGTTTCTTTTAAATTTAAATTTTCTTTTAAATTTATTATGAATTACTTCAGGTGATGGGTGGTTTTTTTTTTACTGAAAGGTGGTATGCAAAAGTTATAAATAAATTAATCATATCAATGGTATCAGACAAACATAGTGCATTGAACATTTTCAAAGCGTGATACAATTTCCATTGCATTTTATTTATAAAAATATTTTTGTACCACCATATCACAAAAATCTATCAAAGCGGTGTGTAACAGTAAAAACAAGATGAAACAATACAACGAAAGCATAAAAAGTTAAAAACAAAGATCACAGCAACCCAGAAGAAGAGGCCTTTGTTAGAGCTATACCGTCCAGGGATCTGACTTTACAGAAGACAGTCATCTGTCCGACAGAGTCCTCGGTTTGGAGGGCTGTCTGATTCAAGACTACTTTAAAGATTAAAAAAACTACAAGATGGGAAGAGCCCAAGGGGCCTTGAAGTTGCCCACCAACGCTTAGCACCCGGACGGGAAACTGAGCAGGCACACAGTCACAGTCTTCCCCACTATGGTGAAATGTATTGCAATTCCATTTAAATTATAGCAATCCTTTCTAAATTTGCATCCATACATATAGATTGGTATATACAAATTTAATCGAAAGCACTGACATCTTTTGTCCCCACCCCCACCTTGTGCATTTCCTCTTTTTGGATGCTTAACCCCAGTTAAACCTTGATGCATTCCTCGGATTGTATCCCACGCGAATCAAACCCATTGAAATTAATGGGCGTGATTAATTTACATCAATTAATTTCAATTGGTCTACTCTGAGTAGGACTGAGTTGGAGGTAACCCTGTCAACAGCTGCTTCTGCAGGTGATCAATTTGCTGGAAAAGTGTAGCAGCTGAGATGGGAACTCCTGAGGCAGCATGAGCTGTCCTTTGACAGCAACTTCCAGGAATGAGCAAACTTGCAAACTTGAAAATACACCTTGCTTTTCACAGCCTTGAAGTGGCATTGCATTAACTCTCCTTCATACTTTGCACATTGATCAGGTAAGATATTATTTGTTCCATTTAGAGTGTCTCCAGACCAACAATACCCCCCCCCCCAAATGCCACTGATCGCAGTGTGAGCACAGGGAGATCAGGCTCCATTTTCCATGAAATTACTTGTCCTTCATTAAGGAAATATTATTAGCTTGAAGTGGACTCTAGTCCACAAAACCTTATGCCAAAATAAACATTGTTAGTGGTGTTTGGATGCAGCAGTCAGTACGTTCCATCTTGCACACTTATTCACCAGCATAGCAAAACTTAGGATCTGGCCTTAATGCCTTAACAGCCACCCTTCCCTTGCCTCTTTTTATTGATATAGGAAAAACCAATGAAGAGGAGTTCCTTTTTTAAAAATGGAGTTACAATTCTGGTTCTTTATATATATATATATATATTTACAAAAAATGAAATATTTTATATTAAAGACTTTTTTTTTAAAAGCAGTTTAAATGTTTATTAAAAAATAGGAAAGTTTGTATTTAAACCCTGTTTAGGGAAGTTTTTAATATTTAATGCTGTATTGTTTTTAACACTTGATTGGGAGCCACCCAGAGTGGTTGGGGAAACTCAGCCAGATGGGTATAAATAATGAATTATTATTATTATTATTATTATTATTATTATTATTAACATGCTGCAAGATTCTCCCTTCATTTTGCTGCAACAGACTAATGGTGCTCTGGAAACTATTCCACGATTTCTCTAGGCAGAAATTTCACACTCCTTTTCTTCCTTGCCATTCTGCGGTCTCTTTCTCTTTCACCAGTAGACCCTTTAGTCAATGTGCAAAACATTCATTCACCTGGACATTTTGTTAATTTTCAACTGCTAATTTCTTAAGAATAAACTGCACCGGGTTACTTCATGGCCTGTATAAGATCCTTCCCTTTTTACATCTTCTATATAATTTATTGGTGAGATTAAGGGTGCACAGGTGAAATTTCAACTTTGGCAAGCTTGAAAACTAAGCTCACAATTCCAGAAGGAAGAAATACATACAAATTAGTTTGAGGATGGGAAGAGGGCTGAAAAGTGAATGGAGCAGAAATATTACTGCAAGTACTGGTCTGCATGCAGTGCACTCTTATTCCCATACTAGAGTTGGGTAACTTACTGATCCACCACAATTTGCCGGAGATCAGGGGATACCTTTGCGGAGGTGGGACAAGAGCCCAACTCTTTCTAATCTTGTTCTGAAATCATACCATGAAACAATTTTCTCTCTACTACATCCCTGGCTCTCCAAGACACACACATACACATTTCTCTGCAAAAGTGTAGCATGAAGGCTTTCAGGGCAGAAACTCAAGGGCTTTGTATTTGCCTTGCTCCTTGGGACTTGGCAAGTTTTTCAAACCAGACCTCTGAGCATACCAAGGGGAGGTGGAAGCAGGAAATTATGAGATCCAGAAAGCTTGAAATGGGAGGTAAAGCAAGGGGTAAATCAAACATTCATAGTACTTCTCTACAAATCACTCTCCATTTACTACATGGGGAAAACATGTGCCATGCAGCTACTTACATCGTGGAAGATTGCTAGTCCCTTGCCATAGTTCTGCAGGCTGTCTTTGGCTTCAGGGCTGTACGCGTGCTTGGCAGAGAGCAAGCACATTGTCAGCATCTCTGTACATGCCATCATCTTCTCGCTGAAGATTGCTGGGTTCTTCTTTCACAGATGCTGGGAGGCTGGTCCCTCAGTTACCCTAGCCTTCCCGGATTGCTTGGCACGCTGAATGCCCTGGTTTCAGTGACTGTCAGCGAACAAGCCTGCTCTGCAGTTGTTGGAAGCAGCAACTACTGTGCACTGAGAGATGCTCTTGCCAGCCACTCGGCAACATTCAGTGTAGGTGTATCTGTGTCAATGCCCTCCCCTTGGCTGCACTGATTGGTCAGGGTCTTTGAGTGGCAGGATTTGTTATTAGACGCTCGTCATCACCTCAGAGCGGCAAAGTCAGCAAGAGATTCCTCTTCAGAGAGGAGGATTGACTTCGAGGATTGCAGGCTGCACTTCTGTAAGCAGGAGTGAGTGCAGATCCTTGATTCTTGGCGGTGCACTGGGTCACACCAGTCAGTCTGAAGAGGACTGATTGATTGATTGATTGATTGATGTGCAGGAAAGGAGTCAGAAAAGAACTGCTGAAGGAACTGGGTAGGGAAGAAGAATAAAGTGTGTGTGTGTGTGTGTGTGCGCGCGCGCGCGCGCGCGCATTGACAGCTCTGAGCATTTGGAAAGAATGTCAGAAGGAAGGTCTAGGAGGCTGTTAGAATAACAAGTGCCCAAGCAGTTAGTTACATAGGAAGCTGTCTTCTACTGGGTCAGATCTTTGGTCCATCTAGCTTAGTACTGTCTACACTGACTGGCAGCGGCACACAACTTTCCCTTCCTAGAACAATGAAGCAAAGGCAGAGGAACTGGAGCTGGTCCAGTGTGACAGAGCTGGCATGAGGAATGATATCCCTTCCTGCAGAGATGGCTCTCCCCCAAAAAACTGCTGGGCCAGCCAGGCTGCAACCACTGGCTGCATTCCCCTAAGCACCTATAAGCAAGTCTCACTGAGTTCCACAGGCTTCACAACGCAACCACTCTAGTTAGCTGATCCTGCTTCACAGAAGCTGTAAAAAGGTTGGATCAGGAACCTGTGAGGCTGCAACCCAAAGCACCTTTTTTTTGGGAAAAGGGAAAGCATCTTTGCCATGAACACAGTGGGGTTTACTTCTGAGTAAAGCATAAGCCTCAAGACTCAAAGGTGCTAGTCTTTTTCTCTGGGAGGGAGAGCAAACAAATGCTGTGAGAGTCATTAGGAAATCATTTTCCCACCTACCACAATTCTCAACCTTGACAGTTGGGGCCCCTAAAATGTTGTCACCCAAGGTAGCCACCTAGTTCACCTATGTGCCATAACTCCCATGGGCTGTTGGCTGGAGACAGGGTAGTACTTTATGTTGAAGTAGACTGCTGAGTCAAGACTGCAAACAGCAACTTGCTCAGGTTCAGATCTTGAGCATAAATGCACTTTGATAAGCAATTCATTTTGCTCTGGTATTCTGTACAAAATGTTCTCAGAGAGTGAGCAAGCTCTTCATTTCCTAGTGCCTCACAGTAGAAGAAGAACCATTCCTCAAAAAAGACAGCCAGATTTTTAACAGAAATTATTGCCACAGCAGTGTCAACAGGACAGCTATTTCTCAAAACAGATTGGAGCTATGCTTGAGGGTAAAAGTAAAGGTAAAGGGACCCCTGACAATTAGGTCCAGTTGTGACCGACTCTGGGGTTGCGGCGCTCATCTTGCTTTATTGGCCGAGGGAGCTGGCGTACAGCTTCCAGGTCATGTGGCCAGCATGACTAAGCCACTTCTGGTGAACCAGAACAGTGCACGGAAATGCCGTTTACCTTCCTGCTGGAGTGGTACCTATTTATCTACTTGCACTTTGATGTGCTTTCGAACTGCTAGGTTGGCAGGAGCAGGGACCGAGCAACGGGAGCTCACCCCGTCATGGGGATTCGAACTGCCGACCTTCTGATCGGCAAGTCCTAGGCTCTGTGGTTTAACCCACAGCACCACCCGCATCCCTCTTGAGGGTAACCTTCCCCCAAATTAGTCACTGCAGTTCCCAGAGTGATTTAACAGTCAGTTCCTCTTCCCAGGGAAGTGTTGCTCTGTGAAGGGAGTAGGGGTTTCCTAACAACTCTCAGCCCCGTTAACAAACTACAGTTCCCAGGATTCTTTGGTAGAAGACACGGCTGTTTAAAGTGGTACGGTACTGCTTTAAATGTATAGTGCAGATGGGACCTTTGTTGCAACAACAAATTATTTATACTCTGCCCATCTGACTGGGTTCCACAGTGTGGGTGCCAGTACCAAGAAGGCACTCTGCTTGGTTCCCTGCAATTTCACTTCTTGCTGTGAGGAAACTGCCATAAGGCCCTTGGTGCTGGATCTCAGTGTACAGGCTGAACGATGGGGGTGGAGATGCTCCAAAACCATTTAGGGCATTAAAGGTCAGTACCAAGACTTTGAATTGTGCTTGGAAATGTAATAGGAGCCAATGTAGATCTTTTAGGACCGGTGTTATATGGTCCTGGCAACCACTCCCAGTCACTAGTCTGGCAGCCGCATTCTGGATTAGATGTAGTTTCCGAGTCACCTTCAAAGATAGCCCCATGTAGGGTGCATTGTAGTAGTCCAAGCAGGAGATAACCAAAGTATGTACACAACAAGTATGCACACAACAAGTGAGCCAAGAATCATTTCTCCCTTTTTCCTGGGAGACTCCTCAACCTGGCATGTTAAATGGCTCCTTTTTACTCTAGATGAATTAAATTTGGAATGTTTCCAAAATCAGTAACAGAGAAGAGAATAACCACGAGGTCCCTCAAATGCACTTGGTAGCAGCAGGGGATCCTTTCACCATGTGTTGTGTCCTCTTGGACAGGAAGTGGGGTGAAATACATTTTAACTCTTGGTACCCAACACAAAGAGGAATAGCAAGACAAAAGCTGGAGTCTTTGACAAATTGTTTCTGTGTAGCACAGGGCCTTAACAAACACTTAACATTTTTCACACTTCTGTTTCCAGCTGTCCTTGCAATAACAGCCATATGGACTATTTACAGGAAACTATAGAGGCTGTTTCTCCAAAGTGTGTGGCTGTTCCCCCCTCCACACACACCTGGCATAAAGCACTTGTTTTTGTTATGACAATAGCAGCAACTACAGGGACTCAGGCACCCAGTGCTATTCCCTCCAGACTACTGAATCCCCAAGTGGTTATTAGTTCATAACAATCAACACAGAGCGACCACTGACAAAGTTCAAACCCTGTCGCAATAGCAATAAAGCAATGAGATCAGCAGCAAACTGGCAGCCATTAGTAGCCTGATCCTGAGTTCAGTCAGTCTTTCTCCCATTTAAGTGGCCGTGGGATTGCATTTTAAAACCAGTAGATCAATCAACGAACCATGCGACCTCAACCTCCTGATCTATGCCACTTGAAGGGATTAGGATAAAGTGAAGGTGACCCTACATTGTGGGGTTTTGGGGGGAGCTCTGCCACTGCACCAAGGGAGTCTCTCCCATCAGTGGTAAAAGGTAAAGGTCCTGACCGACTCTGGGGTTGCAGCCCTCATCTCGCTTTATTGGCCAAGGGAGCTGGCGTACAGCTTCCAGGCCATGTGGCCAGTATGACTAAGCCGCTTCTGGTGAACCACAGCAGCACACGGAAACGCCGTTTACCTTCCTGCTGGAGCGGTACCTATTGATCTACTTGCACTTTTGACGTGCTTTCGAACTGCTAGGTTGGCAGGAGCTGGGACCAAGCAATGGGAGCTGACCCCGTTGCGGGGATTCGAACCACCAACCTTCAGATCGGCAAGTCCTAGGCTCTGTGGTTTAACCATCAGTGGTAGCTTATGGGAAATCCTCAAAACAGGGTGCTTGGGGGCAGGGCAGGGCATGGATAGCTTGGGCACTGCTGGATTCAAAGCACTGTAGAACTTGGAAGGGCCTGGAAAAAGAAGGAAAGGAGAAAGAAGAGGGGAAACAACCTCATGGGAGAGGTGTTTTCAGCTACCCCACCCTTTGCCCTTGGGAGCCTTGTAAGAAGCTGCTGCAGGAGAGCGACACTGAGCAACATCAGGAAGGGGTGTTTCTAGGACAGGAGTCAGCAATTTTTTTCAGCAGGGGGTCAGTCCACTGTCCCTCAGACCTTGTGGGGGGCTGGGCTATATTTTTTTGGGGGGGAATGAACAAATTCCTATGCCCCACAAATAAGTGAGAGCTGGACCATAAAGAAGGCTGATCGCCGAAGAATTGATGCTTTTGAATTATGGTGCTGGAGGAGACTCTTGAGAGTCCCATGGACTGCAAGAAGATCAAACCTATCCATTCTGAAAGAAATCAGCCCTGAGTGCTCACTGGAAGGACAGATCCTGAAGCTGAGGCTCCAATACTTTGGCCACCTCATGAGAAGAGAAGACTCCCTGGAAAAGACCCTGATGTTGGGAAAGATCAGGAGAAGGAGAAGGGGACGACGGAGAATGAGATGGTTGGATGGTGTTCTTGAAGCTACCAGCATGAGTTTGATCAAACTGCGGGAGGCAGTGGAGGACAGAAGTGCCTGGCGTGCTCTGGTCCATGGGGTCACGAAGAGTCGGACACGACTAAACGACTAAACAACAACAACAAATAACCCAGAGATGCATTTTAAATAAAAGGACGCATTCTACTCATGTAAAAACACGCTGATTCCTGGACTTTCCGCGGGCCAGAATGAGAAGGCGATTGCGCTGGATCTGGCCCCCGGGCCTTAGTTTGCCTACCCATGAACTAAAGAAAACAGCTTTTGTTTCTGTATTGGAAATGTTTAGAAGAATACTGTGATCATGAGATTAGTGACATCCAACTATTGCCTCAATGATACCTTATTTGGGGTTTGTTAGGGGGACTGAATCTGCTTAATACTCAGCTATTGCTGAGTATTTTGGTCCTTTTCAGCTGCGTCATTTAATTTTATATGAGAATGTACTGTGTCATAAGAGTGAATGTGGGCCTACAGAGATAAGCCATTGACATAGCATTGCATCACAAGTACATATCATCTTTTGGCTGATTTCCATGTTTTCATGGTTAACTCTTTAAGGTAATGGGAATCGTGGTGACTAGGAGAACCTAGTAGAAGAGGGCAGCTTGCCAACCCTTGGACCTACATGGGAATTGGATGGCACCATCAGTACCTCCCCTGGATGACCACAGGAGCATAGCTGTCAGCCATCTTCCTGGCTATAACAGTATAAATATGATAGACTA